GGCTACCATGCATTCAACAATTCTCAAAAACACTACTAAACGTATCACCAAACTTACAGATAAAGCAAAGGCAGCAGTGGACGAGAGGCTCGAAATCACATCCAAAAAAAGAAAGAACACTGATGGTAGCAACAGAACAATACACACACAGCCAAAGAAGGCCAAGTCAACCCAGGAACATGGCACTAACGGTGTCGAGGAAGCACTTCATAATGTCCCAGCATCAACCGAGCCTCATGGCAAAACCATTGAACAAGCCCCGCGTAAAGCCCTTCCAGCACCGAGCCGACGAGCAGTGGTCCACTCTGAAGATGAAGACGAAGTGTTGAATGACGAGGCAATTGTGATCAGTGATGAAGAAGAGACTGCCAAGGAGGAGCTCGGTGAGGGGCCAAGTTCGAGTTCTATGTATAAACTAACATTAGTCACTACAGAACGATTGATGAAGGAGTGGAACTCACCGATCTATGCCTTTTTCGATCCCACACCCACCATCGAGATCATCGAGGGACGTCGTGCACATGGGTTCAAGTGCATGGCGAAGGGATGCAAGGTCCGTATTCGTCGGTTCCTCGATAAGAAAGATGCTCGCTCGACAGGTAACATGCGAAAGCATGTCAAGTCTTGCTGGGGGGATGAGGTTTTGCAGGCTTGTGATGAGGCAAAAAACGCGGAGGAAGTGCGAACCAAGATCGTCAAGAGTATCCTGCATAGCGGGTCAATTACGGCGTCATTCGAGCGTAAGGGAAAAGGAAAGGTCACGTACTCGCATAGGCAGCATACTCGTACTGAAACCAAGTGGGTCCTCGAGCTTCATCTGCACATTAGCTAACAGACAATCTTGCAGGGCTGAATTGGTCCGTTGGGTAGCGGAGAGCCTGCGACCATTTGATATAGTCAAAGATAGAGGTTTTCAGTCATTGATGAAGACTGGGAGGCCCGAGTATTACATACCTTCTCCAAGGACAATCTCTCGTGATGTAAGACTGGTGTTTGCGCGAACGCGCGAGCGAATTGCTAAGATGTTAGGAGTTAGTAAAGTCTTATTTAATTGAATCACAGAAAAAAACTAAAACGACCTACCAGGAATACAAAGGGAAAATGAATTTTACTACGGATGCGTGGACCTCGGAGAACCACCGTGCGTTCGTCGCGTTCGCAGTACATCTCGAGTACGAAGGTATCCCCCTGAGTTTTCCGTTAGACATCATCGAAGTCGCCACGGTATGTTGATCACTTACATCGTGAACGGTCCATGTGTTGACCCACTGCTAGTCTCACACTGGAGAGCAGCTTGCAGCTGTCTTTGCAGATATGCTAAAAGAATTTGGAATATTAGAGAAGGTAATGTTTTAAAATAGTAGAAAAAACTTACATGCTGAAGCGTTGATAAATAGATGTTGAGCGTAACATGCGACAACACATCGAACAATAACGTCATGGTCGACAAGCTTGCAATGTTGGTTCCCGAGTTCGCAGGAGAAGCGAGCCACACACAGTGTTTTTTGCACACTGTGAATCTTGTCGCAAAGTCCTTGATACGCGAGTTTGACGTATCGAAGAAAGACGCTGAATGTGCCTGGGATAATAATGCCGCCGAAGATGATGGGCTTATCGAGCTCAGCGCTGACATTGAGAGGGAGGACAGGGAGATGGTCGCACAGTATAACGAGTTGGAGGATGACCCGCAAGACAACAATGAGGGATGGGTGAATGAGGTGGCCTTGTTGCCAGAGGCCCAAGCTGCAGAGCTGCGAACAAATATTCGACCCGTTAAGTTAGTTCTTCTCAAGGTGCGTTAGAATCGATACAAACTCACCTGCAAATTGACCACGACATTGTGCAGTTGCGCAAACTCGCGTACAAGCTCATACACTCCACAACGCTCCTCCTGCCTGCCTGGCACAAGATCCTCCTTGATCAGTCCATGTCGCCAACTAACATGCCCCGCGATGTCTCCACTCGTTGGAATTCCACATACAACATGTTGGAGTATGCCGTCTCGCATCGGAAAGCGATTGATGCTGTTACACAGCGAAGAGAGCTGGGTCTGCGAAAGTTCGAGCTTGCTGACAGTGAGTGGGAAATTGCCGGTCAACTTCGTGACGTCTTGAAGGTGTGTTATGACTTTGTTTACTAAGCAAACACAAACATGCTCACCGGCATCTAAGATTCTAAAGGATGCTACCCTCTTCTTCTCTCGTTCAACTCCTAATCTTGCAACCGTTATACCCGCAATGGATTTAATCGACACCCGGATGACCAAGTATTCTCACGACACGAAATATTCTCCATCAATTCGCGCGGCAGTTCGACTCGCAAAGAAGACCTTGGACCGATACTATGAGCTGACCGATACATCAGAGGTCTACAGGATTGCCATGAGTAAGTTCTTCCGTCCCACTCAGTAGTTACCACATCCCTATGAACACTGACTATTCTTTAGTCCTGCACCCTCGTCATAAACTGGCTTATTTCAAGTCCGCCGGTTGGGAGCAAGATTGGATCAACACCGCAGAAACCCTGGTCCGTGACGAGTTTGAGCGGTCCTACCAGGACATGGAGATTCAAGACGACGATGCTCTTGAGATGGCGATTGACGTGCCTGCTCAATCGGCGGTGGATTCTTTGTGCGAGGTTCGTTTTTCTTTGTTCCATCCACTCACTACTCACTGTGTTCTAGAATATATTTGACCATATGTCAGCGCTCGCGCCACCCCAATCCATCGACTTAGGGAACGAGCTTGACCGTTACCTGAGTGCTGATGTTGAGCACGTTACCGACGCTATCGTGTGGTGGCATGAGCACCGTTCATCTTATCCATGTCTCTCGCGGATGGCACTCGATTACCTGACAATACCTGGTACGTCTAATTTTTTACTATCAAAGATTGTTCTGACATTGTTGGTAGCTACATCGGTCGACGTTGAACGTCTTTTCAGCCGCGGTAGGCTCCTCTTAACTCACGTTCGGTCACGTCTGTCTGCGCAGTCAACACGCGCCTTACTCTGCCTCGGCGCTTGGAGCCGTTTGAACCTTGTCAAGGCTGAAGACGTTACGAAAGTCGCTACATTGCCCGACGTTGATGGTGATGCTGACGAGGTACTCGAGGATGGATGGGATAGAATAAGGTTGAATTAATTGTAGTTACATTTTGTTTTTTTTCAACTATGTTAGTGTGCACCCGCAGGTGTACCCATGGGTGCATATACCCGCGGGTGCGCTACCTACCAACCCACCATAAAACCCGCACCCGCGTCGCGGGTGTGGGTATATCTGCGGGTACGGGTGCGGGTGACACTGGCGACACCCACGGGTATACCCGTGTCATTGCCTAAGCTCAATAAGTATATCACGACAGTGCTTCCGATTTCACAGCAGTGAGCGACAAATTTCCTGTCAGCATCTGTTACACAGCATATTCAAGGATTTCATGTTACTGAGTTCCCACTTTGGAAACTTGTTTGTCTATTGGACAAGAATTGGGGTGAAGAAAATGTCCTCAATGCAATGGCAAACTGCTGTACTTTTGGCTAGCATCAGCATCAAAGTTCATTTTTTTTTCACTTTCTGTTTCTTCTGACATCGTTTTTCAATGATGTGAGATACCTCTATGGTCAGAAGCCACAGGTGTTTAGTTGAAATTTTGCTGCCTTATGAGACCAGCTGCATAGTTCGGAAGTTCAGACTATGGGCTTTATTGTCTGGGATCACAACCATTTTGCAGCATATTTTTACAACAAGTCTGCATGACTTCTTCACAATGACTCGATGGGTCTCGAACCAGCTTCAGATGTCCTTGATGTCTTGTCGTGGTTTCTGACAGGTCTCAGTGACCACCCCCCACCTAGCTATATCCAGAAGGGAGCTCTTGCTCTATAATCTGCTAGATCGTGGAGTTGTGGTGTTGCAGCCCACAATTTTGTTGAATCACTTGTCGACAATAGCATTCCATATTGGAATAATGTCTCATCACCAGCGTTCCGCAAGAAATCACTACAAGTAATGATTATCTATCATGATGCAGCTGTGCAAACAACAGTAAGATGGTCATATGATTCGTAAAATTTTATGTAGCTCATATTTTCATGTACTAACTCTTAGGACATAGTCTTTCTTGACTGGGTTCACCTGTGTCTAGGCAATAAATTTCAACCTAATGTCTTTTTTTTTTTTTTTTTTGATCCAATTTCTGTCCTTTGCAGAGTCTAACTCTATGTAGGACATTACATTCTAGTCTAGAGGCCCCCGGTGCCTCGTTCGCATCTCGAAGTACTCGAATGCCCTGACGTGAGGCGTACCTCCGTCAGTCCGCCGTTCCTGCCGGCCGTTTTAGACGAGTCCCTTCTTCTGATGAGACGACTTTGTAAGTACGTTCGTGGTGTAATGTATCTGATAATGCAAAGCTTGACGCGTACTCGGCTGCAAATTGCAGCTTGTACAGGAACATATAGGGAGGAGTATAAATGGATGTGATGTGACGTGGCGCGGATGCTGATGAACATGAGCTGTCTGTGCCTATTCCATTGGGATTGTCCTTCGGATTGAGGTTCCATGTAAACGAGTGGTGGGGGGTGAGAGAGTGAGGGCGACTTGATTACGGAGGTTTCACGATGCGCTGGTACTGATCTGGACGAAGACTGCTATATTAATCTGATGGAGTGCTGGGCAATGGTACTTCACCGTATGTCTGTTTGAGTCTCCCTGTCGAGTTGACATAGCGTACAAGATGCGGAGTGGCTTCTGGACTGGTGAGGAGGAAAGGGAGGGAGGTGGCCTTGCGCCCCAATGCGCATATCAGATTGTGTCGTTCAGGGCGGTAACACGTGCAGTCGATAAGGAAATGGGGGACTGTCTCTTTGATGCCTGGACAGTGCGGACAGTGCGGGGAGAGGGACTTTCCGATACGGTGTAGATGATGATTGAGCGGGACATGTTGTGAGCGTAGGGCCATATATAAGCTCGTGAGGCGTTTGGGGAATTGCGCGGAGAGTTTGACAAATGAACGTTGGAGAAGCTTGGGGTCTATGCGGTTCATGTGTGTGTAGCGGGGTGATCTACGCCAGATTCTCTCCCAGCGAGCTTGCGTGAGTTTGCTGTGTGCGGCCTTGAGCGCTGACACGCTCAGTGGAAGATTTCCTAGCCGCAGGTAATTGGGAAGGGACCCCACTGGGCTGTTGTTGTGTCTTCCTTCGGCCGCTCTCTTCGCCTGTGCGTCTACTTGCTCATTTCCATGTACTTCTGAATGCCCTGGCACCCAACGAACCATAACGTTGAACTCGCGGTACTCTCTAGCGATGTCTTCCATTCTGTGGCAAAAACGGTCTATTAAGTATGATCCAGGTCTAGAGTAGAAGTGTTCACCGGATTGTATGGTGGCTTGATTGTCGACTAGTATGGAGATGGGGAAGGTCAAGTCATCTTCAGTCGCCAATAGTTCCGCTGCTAATGTGAGGCCTACTGCCTCCGCCTCAAAAACGGTGTGCTCATCTTCTGAACCTAGGTAGTATCTCAGGGTGTGCGGGCGGCGTCCTGCTCGAAAGAGGATTGCCGCCGCCCCGATGTTGCCTTGATGCCCTGATCCATCGCAGTATACCTGGATGTCGTCTGAAAGGTGAGTGACCTCTTCGAGCGCTTCTTCCTTGGACGCGGCTATTCGGGTTTTGAACAAGTTGGAGCTGGATGGGGATCGGTGGACTGGATCGAGGGTCTCGATATCGTGTGGCACGATCGCGAATTGACGCGTGAGGCGGTGGAATGAGGAGCGATGGGAGCTGACATAGCGGTTTGCCGCACGACGGATAGGGCTGTATAAGGGGTGGGTGGCTGGGCGTGTAACGATGCGGACTGTGGCCCTGTAGCAGATATTCTGAAGGAGGAGGGGAATGGGTAGGAGGTTGGCATGTGCCTCCAATAGATCGGTAGCCGTGGTTCTCATTGCTCCAGTGATTGCGGTCGCTGCCAAGCGTTGTACTGAGGTGAGACATCTTGCTACTCTGATGGACCCGCGCTGAAGCGTGTCTGAGTGGTTGCGGAACGAAGGGGTGAACCATAAATCTGCTGCATATAGCATCTTCGGGATGGATACTGCCTGGTATAACCTGCGCATCAGCCGTAATGGGAGACCTTTGGTAGAGGAAGATAGTCTACGCAGCTGGCAGACATATGCCGTTCCCTTCGCCACTGCATTATCTACTTGCGCGCTCCATCTCAACTCCTGATCTACAATAACGCCGAGGAAACGATGCGTTGTAGATGGTCGAATAGTCGCCCCCTGGATGTGCATGTCGGGTCTGTCCTTCTGCCGATTCATCGAGAAATCTATTAATGCAAATTTGTTAGTTTCGAATTTGGAGTTGTGCGCTCTGGACCACTCGTATCCCCCGTTAGGGCGCTCCAACATATCTGCTAATATGCGGTGAGTGGAGGCAAAGTCTTTACCAATGGCGATGAATGCCGTGTCGTCGACAAATGCTAACGTTAGTTCTTTAAGCGCTTCGTTACCTCTCCTTGCCTTGGCGACGTCAACTGAGTCCGAGCTGTAGATTATGTAGAGGATCATAGATAGTGGATCCCCCTGGCCGATGCCATTATTGATGGGGATCCAGTCTGACACGTATCCGTCGAATTTGAGTTGAGTTTGTCGGCTAGATAGTACACGTTCTGTGAAGTCCACGAGCGGCTTTGGGAGACGGCGCTTGCGCATGTTGTGTACCAGGCGGGAAGTAACGGCGTTGGGAAACGCGCCTTCTATGTCTAAGAATAAGGCCGATGCTACTTTGTTAGTCCTCCATGCGTTCTTGACCGTCTCTTCCAGTAGATGCAAGGAGTCAGTAGTAGACCTCCCCGGTCTACCCCCGAAATGGGTGTGCGGAAGCAGTTGATACTTTTCTAGAAGATAGGTGATCCGTTCAGCGACGACCACTGTTAGTAACTTCCCCATGGTGTTAAGTAAAGCGATAGGGCGGTACGCCTTTGGGAGTGAGTAATTGGGCTTCCCCGGCTTACGCAAAACGACTGTGGTGAAGTGCTTCCAGGGTTCGTAATAGGTGCGGAAGGTAATCGAGGCGTTGAATAGATGTACGAGATGTGGGACTAGAACACCAGTGCACTTCTTGTATACCACGTTGCAGATACCATCTGGGCCTGGGGCCTTGAAACCATTGAGTTTGAGGATGGCGCGGGAGATTTCGGCTGAGGTGAATGGGGTGTGGCGTTCCACGGCATCGGGGTATAGGACGTCTGGAGGGATAAAGTCGTTAGCAGGGGGAGGCGGGAAAAAGGACTTAGCTATAGCGGTGCTCTTCTCTTGGTTCGTGTTGGCGATTTCGAATGTGCCGTCGGGTCGTTTGATCTTGAGGGTTGGGATCCTCGTCTTCCCTCCATCCTTGGGTTCCGAAGAGACGTATGCGTTCGCGGTCCATAGATCGTTTCCTTCGAGGCTCTCTAACCACTCTGTCCAATGTTCTTTCTTGGTGGTCTCGATCTCTTCGGCATAGCGTCGTTTGATGTTCTTGAGGTCTTCATGGCAGCGGTGGTTGGGGAGGCCTCGTAGTTGGTAGGAACGCCGGCTTGCCTCATTGACCTGACTGCGGAGCTTGGTGAGATCTTTAGTCCACCAACGTTTTGAGTATGGGCTGGGTTTTGAGAGTGGGACGACGGCTTCCATGGCATTGTTGATGGCGAGCGTTATGCGTCTGGCAGCCTGTTGGAATTCCACGTCAGAAGTCAGAGGACGAGGGGGAGAGGACGCAAGGGATCCGTTTAGGTGCTCTACAAAAGCCTCCCAATCTGTATCCCTCCAGTTGCGGCGTGGTACTTCCTCGTCTTTCTGGACTCCAAGTTCGAGTACTAGGCAAATGGGGACATGATCCGTGCGTGGACCGCGCTGGCTGGGATCGGTGTCGCATGACGTGATTGCGTTGACGAGGTGTTCTGTGCCGAATATGTTATCAGGCCTCGTCCAATTGCCGGTGGAGGTTGATTGAAGAGTAGGGATTCCGCAGGGAAGGAGCTGGAACATGTCGAAGTTGGCGATTAGATCGATAAGGGGTTCTGCCGCGGTATAATTGAAGAGGTGGCGGTTCTCGATGGCTTCCCACATGGGGTGGTGACGATTAAAGTCACCCATCCATAACATGTGATCGCGTGCGGACGGGCGGACAGTTGCGATGTTGTTTTCAAGATAGTCGTTAAGGGCCGTGAGCGTGTGTTGAGAGCGACCATCGTTGTAGATGTTGAGAATGGTGCAGTGTCCGTAAGGTCCAAGGAGCTGAACGATTACTACGTCAGATGATGGGAAGGTTAGTTGTTTCCAAGAGTTAGTGTTAAGGGACGTGTTAATGAGTGTGATAGCGCGTGTGCGCTGTTGGGGGTGAGTATGGTGTTGAGTAGGGTATAGAACATGCCATCTATGGTTAGCGCAAGTATTACGGAGAAAGTTAATGTGAGGTTCCTGGATTACCATTATGTCCCATTCGTTGGCGGATGGGTTGTTGAGCAGAGAGGCTTGCGCGACCATGGATGTGTTCAAGTTTTGCTGCCAAATTCGAAGACTTGCGTTCGGCTCCTCCAGTTGTTCAGGCATATTGGGTCGGGGAGGGGGGGTTGCTGTCTCTGGGGTGTTGTCTCCCCAGCGAGGGGAGGGGGCGATGGCGTCGTGTATGGCTGGATCCTGTGGCTGTTGCGGGGATCGTGGCCGTTGGAAATTGATCATGGTTTGCCGGAGTTGCAAGGGGCCTGAAACCTGAGATTGTGATGGCGGAGGTGAGGGCGGTGGTGTATTGGACTTGGGGGATCTTGGGGGACGTGTGACCTGGGTCCAGTTGTGTTCTGTGGGGAAGTAGGGTAAGCGGTTTTCAGGGTACTTATCATCTATTTCATTGCAGCGCTTGGTGAATTCTGGGCATGACCTGCTCCAGCTCGTGTGTTGCTGGCTTCAACAATTGGTGCAACGAGTCGTACGGTAGGAGTTACACTGGGAGGTTCGGTGCTGTTCACCGCATGTACCGCAGGTGTCGTGCGGGGCCGTACAGTTCTTGGCAATGTGGCTGAATTTTTGACATTTCGCGCAACGCATCGGCTCTCGTTTGTCCTTCCATATGTTGATTCGTTCGTTGACCACGCAGAGGCCATCACGGAGAATGTTATTTGCTGTGTGAATGTCCGTGACTTGTACAATGGTGAAGGCTTTTCGTTGTTCCGCAGCGCGTTTCGCAGGGGGTTTGATCCATCTAATGGTGGCCAACGATGATGGCGGGAGGCGGTTTTCTTGCTCTAGGTTCTTGAGGAAGTCGTCTTGTTCTATCTGTAAATGGACAGGTAAGTATTCAAGGACTATTGCGTAGGTGCGTTGGCGGAACGATACTGCTATGTCTAGATTGCTTTCGAGGGCCGCTCTGCCTGTTGGGCTGTTAATCCATGTTGCCAATGATTCTGATTCAAGCTCAATCACTACTCCTCCATTCCTTAGTGCCATAACCGCCTTGATGTTGCCGGGTGGGGTTGTCTCGGTTCTGGCCTTCGCGAGGGCTCCATTTAATTTCTTCGCTATATCGTAGTTTGAGGTGTTGGGAGGGAAGAACGATCCGCCTGGGGTCGGGTCTAGCAGTACTTGACGAGCCCGGATGGCTGCTCTCCCGATTGCTTGGTCGATTGCCGGTGGAAGATGCGATGCGGTTATGGAACTGTAGGTTGGTTGGGGAGTGGTAGATTGGTGGTTGAATGACGGTTCTATCTGTTGAGAGATTTGGTTAATTTTTGCTTGCATAGCGTCAATGGATGGAGTTAGAGTTTTCAGGGCATCTTGGCACGTCTCGACGTATGAAAACAAGGTGTCCGCTGATTCTTCGATGCGTTCGGCTGCCGATTTGATGTTGCCTTCGCTTTCTGTGTGTAGTCTGCTTGCTTTATCTTGCGCTTTGTCGGCTTGCTTCAAGGATTCTGAGGTGGCGAGGGATGCGGAGTGGACTAAGGCAACTTGAGGTGAGATGGCGGCTACCACGTGTTCTACTAGACGAGAGGCTAGAGTGTCCGAGATCATCTTTGCCGCAGTTTCTGCTATTTCACATGCTGCATGTTCCTTGAGAACAAACGCCACTGCGCGAATTGCCGAGGTTACTGGTATGGGAGTACTGCTCGACATTTGCGTAATCTGAAAAAGAACCGAAATTAGGTGAGTCAGCGAGAATGGTTCGTTGACGTGGCATAGCAGCTTTGAGGCCAGGAATTCTTTTCCGCTTGCAGAATCTTTAACTTTGTTGGACATAGCTTCGATAGCTTCTTGAGATATCGTCGATCTGGTGGTCCTCCGAGTGTTCAAGCCGTATGTTGGGGACGTGGTGCGTGATAGTGGAGTTGAGCCTGCACTGACACTGGCACTCCTCCGTGTTCCCGGCATGTCGGTGTGTTCTGTTCTGGGAGGAGGTGTGTACCTCTTTCGCTATTGGGACTTGTATGGATTGGTTACGCCTAGGGCGATAGGACGCCGGCGGGCGTTGTTGTACTCGCTGTTGGGTGAGTATTTTTCGGGGTCTTGATCCGGGGTGCCACTTGGTGTGGGTCCAAGGGGCGTTTTTTCAACCTAATGTCTCTGAAGCCTTTGTCAGCTTCAATGATTTCAACCTATATACACCATTGGTAGATCATAATCTAGACCTTATATGAGTTTCACTTACTGACATATCACCTTCATGCTTCTCATCCAATCTATAAATTCAAGACTTTAATTTCAAATGAACCAGTAATAGCCCTGCCATTTTGACATCTCTCGTCTCGTCAAATGGTCTTAACTGTAAGATGAACTTATCGAACATGTGCTAATAGTGGTATAATGATTGTTTAGGACTCATCACTGCTAAATGTACCTGCCATAATGACATTACTTACACCCCCTCTAATCACACCAATCCTGCATCTGGTCACAGTATGCTTAATCCTATCATCCTCGGATCCCCTTGATTTTCGGAATGGTCCAAAATGCAGGAACCAAGGACTCCGCTTCAAGTTCCAAAAATTGAGGTTATTGACCTTGTTTCACCACTCCACATCACGCCAAGTGCACTGCCAAAATATAATGTGCCTACTTTCGTGCATCAGCAAATCTATGTGAATGAGATGTGTGGTAAATATGAGATCATGGTATAACGTCGATCGTGAGGTGGTTTGGTATGTAGGCTAACTATATAGCCTATTGATTCATCTCTGGTCACTCGTTATAAGTCTTTGAAACTTGCAAACAAACGGAAAGCTTACCCTCTGCACTGCCAATCTCACTCGCTGAATCACACGATGGAAATCGTCCTTCGAAGATTGTATCCATCTCCCGACTGGACTTGGTCGCGGCGCTTGCGGGATATTCAAATTAGCCGCCTCCAAGCGCTAAAGTCAGGCTGATACGATCGAGTGATTGATATAGATGTGCACCTTAATTTTTGTTTCTAGATACTCTAGATGTGTCTGTTGCGCGTTAGCGCAACTTGGACGATGTAAGAAAGCATAGTGTTACTTATGCAGGCGTCATGATCGGCGAGCTGGGGTCTGTTGATAACCCGTGACATTTCTGTCTACTAACGTCGACATTGACATCAATATCTATTAGTAGATCTGATCGGGCATATTTAGTCGATTTATCATACCTTATTTGCCGTAGTTTGACGTAACTAAAGTTGTCGTTTATGGGAATAACGAGTTATGTGTGGTATTTGTGATTGTTTACATCTCAATACCTGTTCATTACTAATTGACCTGGACTTGCTGCATTACGTAATTTTTGAACTCTCGCCGCTACCACTACCATCATCTGGTCTGATCTAACTAAGGATACTTCGTTGAGGTGTTCCCTACGCTCAAAAAGTGCAAAGGTGCGTTTATCGTTCACCTCATTCGAGCCACATCACGCTAAGAACATATTGATGATTTTGTGATAGGAGAATATGGTACGTCTAATCGCTACCTGCCTTATGATGTTGCGCGATCCTCAGGACCTATCATACTAGACAACATCACTATCCCGACAGCAATCTGTGGCGTTGTCTGATTGCACCCCTGGTTGTAGTATTAGACCTAGTAAAATGGGAACTACCAGTTTTGCCATAGACACTTTTGACAGCAATTACCAACAGCACAATTTGACCTAATCCATGGCATTTGTCAGGCCCTATTTTGCTGGGTGTTTTGGCTTTCACAGCCGCATTTTTTGGATTTTTGAAACTCAGCTATGTTTTCAGTCACAAATGTGTTTTCCACATTTGTCAGATGTTTTGATATGTTTTATTCCGCAATTTTGGCCTCCTAAAGCGGAAATTCACAAAACACATCCTGTTTTGGTCACCTCCTCATGTCAGGCCTCCCCACATTATTCCCACACTCCGCATTTTCGCATTTTTAGCCACCTACTGTGGGAATTACCCCACAACACCCAAAACATCATCCCAATATGGTATACCACATAATTATAATTATTCCCACACCCTCCCCACCTCACTGCAGCTTCACCACTACACCACAATAGGTCCCCCCTTGTATCTAAGTAGTAGTTTGGTATATACATGTATAATATTATATAATAAACCGCTTTTTTTGTCAATTTGTGTGCCTGCTCATCCTCCAGGGCCTTTTTCAAACAGGGTAGGGTACAGAACATTTTCGCATTTTTGCCCCTTTGATAGGGGGGTGTTCCAGGACATTCAGAACATATTTATGAGCATATATGAGTATATTCCCATCTTTATTTCACCCCCTGAAGTGTCCTACATCAATAGATATAGCACATATGCAAGAAAACACAGAATATGTTCTCATGTGATTATTTCTGGGTGAAGAGCCTTGTAAAAATGATTCCCAGCATCTATTTAACAATAGGAACAATGTATCAGGAGCCCAGGACCATAGGATAATTCCCTGTTGCATGGTGTGCCCCCCCTCTCCTGGTGGTTTACCCCCTGTGAAATTTTTTCCTGTAGGACCGGACCTCAATTGAGGTAGGGGGTCTATTCTTATGTATATTTGAGGTAAGTCTATCATATAGCTGGCCCAGGACACACATAGGATCCTGCTACAGGAACAAAAACATAGAAAATCGCATTTTTGACACTTTTGATGTTTTTTAGTCCCTTACACTTGCACAAATGACCAGGCTTGCTCATATATGATCAGTAGTACATTCACAAATATGTTTTGTGCCAAGGATCAGCCCTACATAGGGTGCAAATGTGATATATGATGTACAGGGGCTTGTCTACTGATAAGAAGCCTACATAGTAATCAAGCCTGTGGTAAGTCATCAAAGACCTTGGATATGTCCTATATATGCCCCTGATGATAGATTTGAAGATTTAGAAAGATCCATCAAGGACTGACTGAATGACAAGTAAAACCACATATGTGTGAAAAGTGACAATTGACATCTTTTCACACAAAGTTACATTTATTTAAGATACAGGTCAAATATTTCATTAACAATATGTAGGATACATTGTAGACTACTAAAGGAATATATACTACATACTGCCCTGAGGTTGAAGGGTGGTGGAAGGGATGTGGTGTATATCTGAGTTGACCTAGCATTAAAATGCTACTATTGCTCAACTGACCATTTTCGATGTTTTGGGTCTTTGAACTTTCCCACACTCAATTTCTTATCTATTTCACTTCCTCAGCACTCAATTCTTGTAGGATTGTTCTGTAAATTTAGGACTATGATACTGAGTATATTTGAAATCTACTCCAGGTGTCTGATTATTAAATTTCGATGTATTGAAAGTATGGGATCCTTATCAGTAGAAATAGCAAGTATTCACACTAACTCAAACCTCTGGCCTATTTTGAGCTGATCCTTGTCACAAAAAGCAAGTATATATACTATGATAATGATATATGAACAGGTTGTATTATTTATGCAAGTGTAAGGGACTAAAAAACATCAAAAGTGTCAAAAATGCGATTTTCTATGTTTTTGTTCCTGTAGCAGGATCCTATGTGTGTCCTGGGCCAGCTATATGATAGACTTACCTCAAATATACATAAGAATAGACCCCCTACCTCAATTGAGGTCCGGTCCTACAGGAAAAAATTTCACAGGGGGTAAACCACCAGGAGAGGGGGGGCACACCATGCAACAGGGAATTATCCTATGGTCCTGGGCTCCTGATACATTGTTCCTATTGTTAAATAGATGCTGGGAATCATTTTTACAAGGCTCTTCACCCAGAAATAATCACATGAGAACATATTCTGTGTTTTCTTGCATATGTGCTATATCTATTGATGTAGGACACTTCAGGGGGTGAAATAAAGATGGGAATATACTCATATATGCTCATAAATATGTTCTGAATGTCCTGGAACACCCCCCTATCAAAGGGGCAAAAATGCGAAAATGTTCTGTACCCTACCCTGTTTGAAAAAGGCCCTGGAGGATGAGCAGGCACACAAATTGACAAAAAAAGCGGTTTATTATATAATATTATACATGTATATACCAAACTACTACTTAGATACAAGGGGGGACCTATTGTGGTGTAGTGGTGAAGCTGCAGTGAGGTGGGGAGGGTGTGGGAATAATTATAATTATGTGGTATACCATATTGGGATGATGTTTTGGGTGTTGTGGGGTAATTCCCACAGTAGGTGGCTAAAAATGCGAAAATGCGGAGTGTGGGAATAATGTGGGGAGGCCTGACATGAGGAGAGGACCCCTGATAATGCCTTGGGAACCCAGTCATCGATCCGGACAGAAATCGACCCAAATGACCATTTGTCCCAGGTTACAATCCGGACTTTTAGGGTCTGATTTTGGGTCTACCTGGGTCAACCATCCGGACATCAGCAAGGTTGTTTGCGAGCCAGGTCGCCATCCGGACACGGTGTTCTTGTCGCATGGTACAATAGTGTAGTGGGTGTAATGTATGATGTCACGTTTGACTGCTGGAGCGGTGGAGCTCTGGAGTTCGAACCACACTTTTTACCATCTGCCGCAAAACTGCTCAATATTAATCGTTATGATTCGGAGTGTGTTGTCCGACGGAGGCTTCATATTGGACAGATTGGCCTGTCAGACATGCAAATTGAGTGAAAAAAAACAAACCATACTTTTTCTTCAACACTCCTAACATGAATGATGTTATCGATCTCATACAACCTCCTATCTTTAATCCTCACGAGTGGATTGGGAAGGGAAAGATATACGATAAAAATACACTTCCGATGTCAGTACTCAACGCTCGTTCCGATGCACTCGTTATTCCATCCACCCACACCCAACACATTCCTTCTCATCACCTTCCTGTTGCCGATTTTCTGAAGATATCCTTGCCTACTCGATCACCAACTATTGTCGCTGTGAAGATCAAGTGTTGGTTCAGTCATGACCTTCCGGACCGTGACTTCTCTTACCTAAATACCCGGCCTATTCCCTCTGCTGAATTCCTTGTAGAGATCAACAAAGCCTTCGATCAAGCATGGTTTGATGGAGCTCGGTCATTGATAGACCCACGGTATAATGATGGCAAAGATTGACTGCCTTTATGGACCTTGACATGGTGGCGCGAGTTAACGACTGTCATTCGTGCACAGTCCGCATGGAGAACGAGCGAGGCGTGGCTTGCGAAAGCATTGTTGATGACTGGAGAGGCTCCTGACATGACGGCGCATGTCCAAGATATGTTCCTTGCCGTGCTGTGGAATAGTAAAGGTGGTGGATCCACGTCAACATTAGAGTTCACGCACCTACTTGGAATGGGATGGATAACGGACGAGCTCATAGATTCAATGATGGCGCACCTTGCTCACCGTGCCCACGCACAGTCCCATGGAAGACGAATTCTAATCGAAAACTCCCGACTCGCAGAGGTTATCAAGGGTCTCACAATTTCCGGCAACATGCATCCTCTGCTGTCCAAATGTCAAGAAAAAATTATTACCTTACACTATGAATTGCTGTTGTTCCCTGTTCACGTTCACGGTAACCATTGGGTCGCGGTTGCTGTCGACTTCAACAAAAAAAACATTGCTATTGGTGCGTCAGTATATCCACAAAGAAAACCAACAACTTACGAGTGTACTAGGGGATTCCTTACGGGGACAAATACCACCACCTGATGAATTCGCGAGGCAGGTGCAGCAATGGCTTCTGCGTGTATTCAACGCACATTTTAGTATCAACAACGAAGGCCTGACATGTGCGTCACAAAATGACACATATTCATGTGGGGTCGTGAGCACCAATGCAATTGCACACACTGTATTTGGAGATGAGCTCTGGCAACCAAAAGCGAAATCAGTTGCACGAGCTACCTGGTTTGTGATCCTTGCAAGAGATTGGCTGAGTAATGTGAGGATGTACTTTGCCATTTGCTTCAAGTGCCATACTGATATGATCATGTTTGCGAAGTGCGAGATTCGGAAAAGTATCAATGGTGGTGAAGTCGATAAAAAGAATTCACTATCCTTCATTCTCAACAACCCGTCTTCTTGCGCTCCTCCGATTCTTGCAACATCGAGCACCAGCACACTAGCCAGTACGATCGAACCAGTGGTGAATCATTCCAGTGTCGACTTGAGCGCAACTACGGGAGACTCGAAGATAGAGGTTCCAAAGCAGAGCCTGTTGAACTGGTTAAGCCACGTGCCAAAAGTCGGGGGGAAACGCACTCGTTCAAAGACAGATTTTGTGGGCACCGAAAACAAAGTGGTGGAGGTGGTGAAAAAGGCAAGATTAGGTGAAGAAAGCTTTGGCCCAGTGGGAATAAGCCAATCTGCCACTGCTTCGCGTGGTTTGCGTGCTGCAGCAAGGAGCGGTGAGTTCAAACCATGTCCGAAGAAGAAGGCCACTTGGAAGAAGAAGATCCGTGAACTCGATTCAGATGCCGTGGCCGAAGACGACTGTCAGACAGTCCGACATTCAATATGTGGGCGCACCATCAAAGTGAAGGAACCATATGATGTGTCAAGGTTTCGAGAGCATGCTACGAAAAAGTGTGCTCATCAAAAGTCAACTCCCGCTGCTGGAATGCCTACAGTCACTCAGTGGACAGAGAAGTTTGACATACAGATGAAAAACAACAACACATCCAAGACGTCCCTTAACTCCACCTTATCGACACCCAGTCTTCCTTGTCCTGGCATTTCATCACAGGTTGAACCTCTGATAGAAAATTATCTTTATCGATCTGCGGTCCCTGGAGGAGGCTCAAAATCAGTCGTGGAGATTGCCAATGAACTGTTTTCGAAGACATTTGGCAAATTGTCGAAAATGCGAAAGCAGATCGTTATGGACAAGCAAAGTCAAGGATGGAAGTGGAAGAATGACCACCAGCGAATTCGGGTCTACTCCACACAATGTGAAAAAGTTGTAAAAAGTACTGATGGACGTCCTCAACCATGCATTGAATGCTATTCTCTCCTCTCACTCGACAAATTTCTATGAGCAATCAAGCGGCCAATTCCAAAAGACAAAAACTTCATCCATATCAATCACCGATTTCGCTCAGCTGCACTCGCCATGATATACGCTCGCACCATTGGAGTTCGAGAAATCCTTGAAACAGCTGCAGTATGTTTCAATCTATTGACTCGTTGATGTGCTTTTATAATTCAGGTCTTAGAGTGCGGAGCGAACACCTTGCATTTAATTTGCTACTGGTGTCCTTCAGGGAAAATATACAGACCTCAATGTCTTCACTGGCCTCGTCGAAGCCATGGTGACCAAGCTTGACCGCGAAGAACGTGGTGTCGGCATGCAAAACTTCAAGTACTCGCCTAGCTGGGACGAATTTTCCAATGTCCTCAGGATACATAGTCCACAAGCACTTCGGTTTCTATCCAAACACCTCCCCGTTCATACAGAGCGAAGCTTTAGAGAGAAAGAGAGTTGACGGCCACATTTTCCGATGACAATATGCGAACATACCTTTCAGCTGGTCGCAGACCATCTCGCAGACTTGAGTTATCGTGGCCCGACATCTCTATGCTGTGACAACACCAAGCTATATTCTGCATGGCGTATCTTCTGGGATGCCGAGAAAGAAGCTCACTATCTCATTGGGGGGATTGGTGAACCATATCTCGTTGCCAACCTGGATGCTCTCCGCGAGATCATCAAGGAGGCTAAGTTAACTCTTGCAACGAAAATGCGTCTTTGGTGCTTACAAGTCCCACTCCCTAAGATTGCTCCAATCATCGTGGCTGCGCTCCCTCTCGCTTCCGACCACAACGCTGAATCTCTCGCAAAATGGAGTTTAGAGATCATTGGTGGCCTTCGGAGGCATCAAATCCCCATTGTCTCGTATGCGTGTGATGGCACCGAGGTCGAACGTGCTGTCCAGCGTATTGTTGTGCGAGATGCAGATAGTGTCATCGTCTACGGGATCGAGAGTCCATTTGCTGGCATGAGCGCAATAAGGCTGGAGATTCCTGTACACCATGGACAGGCCTTGGTTAATATCCAAGACCCGAAGCACGGCTTAAAAATGTTTCACAACAATCTCTTTTCTGGCGCTCGTCTACTCATCCTCGGCAACTACACAGCTCTCTTCGCTCACATACGTGCCATGGCCTTTGAAGACGGGACACCATTGTATCATTGGGATGTCGAGAAGCTAGACCGCCAAGACAACAATGCTGCTGCGAGGCTTTTTTCATCAGCGACCCTAAAGTTCCTTGTTGAGCACCACCCTGACCATGTTGGAGAGATAGTTTTTCTTTTCATCCATGGGGAGATTGTTGACGCCTATCAGCATTGGAGCATCTCTCATTGCGAGCGAGTCAAAATGGTGCTTCAAGCACGCTATTTTTATGACGGCTGGCGACTTTATCTGGCCAAAATCGGCTACAAAGAAAACAAGTACTTCATGTCACGCGAGTCGACCGACATTGTCATGAGGCTCATTGATGGTTTAATTTTGCTCGTCATCGTCTATCGTGACTACCTCCCCGATGACCACCCTCTCCTTCCTTGGCTTCATACCAGTGAACCCTGCGAGCACTCCTTTGCCAACCTCCGGAACATCAAGAAGGATTTTGTCATGCTCGATGCCTATTATGCCATTCCGAAGCTTCATGCCAAGCTGCAAGAAGAAGTCCTACGGCAACGATCACCCGATTTCAAGGCTCATGCTCAAGGTTACACGATAACTTACTTTTACGATCACACTGTTGACATTCCCGAACTGTCACAATATCCCTCTGACACAGATATACAGGAAGCTTCACAAGATGCAGCACACGAGGCACAGAGCTTATTGGCGTTATGTGGCATCAGCCCCGGCCTTCTCATGCAAACACAATCAATTGTGTTGCCAAGTATTGTTCACTTCGACGGCGGAATGGATATTAGCGACTCGGATAACGGGGGTGATGAATCCGAGAATGAATCTGTTGTTGACCGCGATGCAGATGCCGAGGAGCAATGCGAAGCTCAGTTACTCAACACACTAATGAAACTCGCCGAAGACGATGACATCTCCCGTACCGAGAAACAACGGAACAAGCTCCTTCAATTAACATTCGCTGCAATTGCCCTAGATACTGACGAGCAACAGTGCATGTAAGCATCTGTTTGTGCATCTCTTCATTAGTACTCACTCATCAATCAACCAGACGTAAATTTGCTGAAGACGAAGACGAAGACGACACCGAGATTTGTGCGCATGAATTCGCTCAAATCGAGCACTGCTTGTCACTTCCCACTGTGCGCCTTGCCGATAACTTGAGCAAGCCTATGGGTCTCGGTACTTTTCCTATTCAAGCCCTCGATATTGATGCTCTTGTGAGGATTCGGAGCAATCACGAGACTGAACAAGTTAAAAAGGGTATATGCACGGGTCGTGCCCAACTGAATGACATAGCGGGGAACGTGCTATCAGAAAGGCGGCGTTTGATACGCGAGTTCCAGGTGGTTCTCAAGGAACAGCAAGGTCGTGCGATTGGTACCGGTCTAGAACATGCTGCGCATTGGACAGAACAAGTTCCACAGGCAGGTAATTCTGCTAACGCCGCTAATGCAGCGAAGGCGGTGGTGAAAAGGGTGGGTGTGATTTTTGCTCATTCGTTTTTGTGCTGATTCTGTCATCAGGCAATGCTGCGCAGGAAAAGTGTCTTCAAAACGGCAAGACTGCCTCTACTTGCCATTCTTAACGACGCTCATATCACTTTACTTCGCCCACTCAAAGATGGTGACTTCGGCATTGTATTCACGGAGCAATGGGGACTACGTGTTGGACGCGGTAAGTTCTATCACTTCGTAAAGCTGGAGTTTAAACTAACTTCATGAAAGTCGTTGCAATATACTCAAAAGGTGGCGGAAAGAATGGCAAGCACGGCGCTGTTGAAAGCGTGGATGCTATTGCTGCAATCTCGTACTTGGGGGTTCAGCTCTACCAACAACATTTCCGCCAGTACTTCCGCTCCCTGCCCGATGCGACCTCCATCTTTCAGTGCCGTCAATTTGTGTTCCTTCCATCCACTGCCTTTCTTTGCCTTCTCACTTCTGCACCTAAGGTGACACCTTCGGGACTTGAACTTGTACCAGCTGACGTCTCCGCATTCGAAACACTACATCACGCATCTCCTCGACTTACCGAAGCAGCAAAACTTTTCCGCAAGCGAGTAGTAAATCAGACGGTCTTGCAAGCGGATCATGATGAGGGGGAGGAGGAATACTAGTATTTCCGTGTTTCCCTAGCTGCGCTACATGATCCTAGCTACTCCAACATGCAAAAAACGCGTTTTTGAAAAATTTTATAACCCGGGTTGGAATCCGGACAAATTTTGCGCTCATGGGTGACCCAGGACGGGATCTGGACAAAATTGGACAAAATCCATCCGGACAAGTTGGGGCCTCCGCCAACCCGGGTTCCAAAGGCATTATCAGGGGTCCTATGAGGAGGTGACCAAAACAGGATGTGTTTTGTGAATTTCCGCTTTAGGAGGCCAAAATTGCGGAATAAAACATATCAAAACATCTGACAAATGTGGAAAACACATTTGTGACTGAAAACATAGCTGAGTTTCAAAAATCCAAAAAATGCGGCTGTGAAAGCCAAAACACCCAGCAAAATAGGGCCTGACAAATGCCATGGATTAGGTCAAATTGCGCTGCTGGTAATTGCCGTCAAAAGTGTCTATGGTAAGAATTGTAGTTGCCATAATATGTAGGTCTAATACTACAACTATGGCTGCTGATTGTGGTATTGGTATCTGGCCGACGCAATTACCCCGGTACGCTGAAGCGGTCTCACTGTAAGTACTCATGTCATCAAGTACTTGGAGTTTGTATTGACTTATATATACATAGTCCGGATGACGCCTATGAAGATAACCTGGTCCACAAGAGGGAAATAAGTGATCCCCCATTTGTTGCCTTAATTTCGACCAGTGTCAATCTAACTTCCATTGACAGGCTCTTGATGTACGGAGACTGGCAAGAACTAATTCATCCACTGGGTGGTACATATTTCTACAATCTCAAACAGGTAAGCACTGCTTATACTTTTGAGTCACTTTATCTCATTCAGATTCAGAACGCGTATACTATGACAAATATGAAGACCTGTCGGAACATGCAGACACTCGACGCATTTCTTAATGCATCACGAGCTGCGGCGCAAGAAGATGCGTGGACATTGGTCGTTCAGCCGACGCTGTTTATGGGTGAGGAAAGATTTCAATACTATTATGTAGTCCCCGGCAGCCGCATCATTACCTGGCTAGAGGACCTGGACGGCTACATTCTTTTCCGAGCTTGTGTCAAGCCAAGCGAATGGAAGCACAAGAGTATGTCGTCTCCTACATTTATTTCATGAACTTAATCAAACCAATGCAGGGCTCGAATTGGAAGCTCAATATTGGTGAGTGGTCAGCATCACACAGAAATAAAGTTGAACTAAGCTGAGCGTTTCTCGCTAGGAAACACTTCGAGTACTTTCTGCACCAGTGTAGAATGTCTCGATCAGAAGTGAGGTGCATATGGGGAGAAATGGTTTGCTATCTTGGAGGTAAGCTCTATGCTACTGTGGTGACGCTCAGAATAACAGCAAAATAGAAGCGATAACCTTAAAGCAATCCACTGCGGCGTCCATATTCTGGAACTTAGACGAAATGAATTAGATCGTTGGCCAACTGGCCTGTATCGGTATGTGTCCCTATCTCACTGTACAGCAGCCATGATGAGATTAATCTAGTTCTCGTCGCTTAGAAGAAATTGCAGAAAACGATCTGGTCCCAGAAACCGGAGTCATAACATGTTGTTCGTGAATTTGTAGGGCCGAGAATTTCAAATGCTGATCCTTTTTTCACTAACAGGCAGAATTTTGTACATGCTACATGCGTTGCTCTCTTGTATCGCATGCGCTATTAATCACGCAGAAACATAGGTCATCATCAGTATTTGCACCGCCACAACCAACCTGAGGCTCGTCTAATTCGTACACATGAAGTGAGAGAAGTGAGAGAGAAGAACAGAAAGTTCAAACTCCTGGATTGTATGGGCAATACTGCAGCTACAATGCTCTGCGTGCCGATCACTATTGCTCGCGTCAGGAGCACCTCCATTGATGGTATCATAAATGGGGTGGAAGTTCAGTCGTTTATCGATGATTTCGGCAGCCAGACCAGAAACCAAATTACCCTGGTAAGCGTATATCAGTGCCGTGAATGAGGACACCTCCCCATTCAGTCTGCTCTTACAGGCAAGTGTCTCCATGGCCTTGGATGTCGCCATCCTTGCCATTCCATGGTTAGGCACAACAACAATTGCACAGGCATTGTGCTCCTGTTCCTTTCTTTTAGGTGTCGGCTGTATTTTTGCAGGCACGATAGTACACAACTTTGGTGAGAGAATGAAATCTTTAGATTTTGCAGTTCGATTTCTTCATCTTTCTGCGTCTTGAGCCTGACATTGCCAACTGAACAGGCCTATTATCTGCAAAGGAAGGTGCTGATGCTTCTGGTTATCACATGCATACCGACCTGTTTTTACGTCTTGAGGTAAGCAGATTTGATTTTGATTTTGATTACTTAGGTTACTCATGGAATTGCTTGCAGTGTGACAGGTTCCATTCTAGGATTTTTCACAGGTATCACTATAGAATTCAAGCCATCCGCGCCCTTAGTCATTGCGTGCTTTGCTACACTTGCCGTTGTGGTAGGTTCATTGATCATGTTGGTGGTCGCCAGTTACGGTCCAGGCCCAGCTAGGATAAGGCCTCAGTGATATCTGCGGGGATGTTTGTATCATCTCGCATGGGTTGTGCTCAGAAGAGGTTAGCTCTAGTTATTTAAATAGACAATGTCAATTTCCATGTTCTGAGTCTTAAGGTACCTACTCGTACGTTGGTTGGATGTGTTCGATGTTTTGACAGAAGCTTTTACCGCTCAGCTGGACAATATCGGCAACCGCACTATTCAAGTCAATTATTGTTGTATGCTATCGCAATTTCAGCTGGAATAACTACACTAAGATCTTCTGGTCACAGAACACTACCGCGACTACCTCAAATCACGCGTTACAATGTCTTCTGCACTTACTCCTGGTATTCAATTTTGTTGTCCTCATTGTCTGAGGAAATGGTCAGTTTATTTCAAGGGAACTCACGTGGGACATACTTTGAGTGGGGGAAGGGGCATTCCATGTGATCTGACGAGGAGAGTATGTGATGATCTCACTTGGTGCGTATTCCTCCAAAATTTTGGTCCGATAACATTCCTCTAACCAACAAAGCCTGCATTTTTGGTACATCTCTTCCAGTTTTGAATAGCACAAGTCTGCAAGTTGCAGTTGTTCTTTGAGTTTGGCTACAGAGTCCTCGTTCTTTTCATGAATGTGCTCCTCCAGAAGAGTGGGAGCCTCGTTATCTTCCGCTGAAGATGAGTTCTTGTCAATGTCCGTCGCTCTGCCTACCATAAGTTTTGGGAATGAGTGATGATGGTGTTCACAGACCTTATGATGATGGGCTCGCCCCTCTGATTGTCGTTTCCTGCTGCCTCAATCCTAATGGATGGCATTAGTAAGTCCCAGCGCAAGTGCATCATCAAAGTTACCGGAGGTTCAAGCTAATAATATATCCGGATATGTTAGAGGTTTGGCTCTGATTCAAGGATTGCTGCATATTTTGGTCGAACATTTTACTTCTTAGCACTGGTGAAAGTTTTAAGGAGCTTTTATTCCCCATCGATCTAACGGAATGTTGATAGCCTGCGAGTGTAGGCTATCGTGGCCCCCGGTCGCCACGGCCAGCGCCCAAGCCCCCATCACCATGTTCAGCCAGCCAGCCAGCCATCTTGACTTTCGCTTGGCCGCCATCAGGTACATCATTTACCTAGAATCCCACGTGGTGTGTTCGTGATAAAAGCTGACTCCAGTACCAGCGAAGCATGAACTTTCTTACCTCGCCAGCTCCCATGAATACTGAAAATGCCGCTTCCAGCATTCCGAGTAAACGCACTACATCAGCCCTCCAGATGGGGCCCCGTAAAAAAGCGTAAGCTGTCCCTTTTGTTTGATATACTGAGTTTGGCATTCTCATCTGGTCGCACAGTTCAACATCTGATCCTCTTATCTCCCATGGCCGTCACTTCGGTCGAACAGTATTCGCTCTGTGCAATTTCCCTTCTCTACTCACCAACGGTATCCTCAGGTTAGAGCAAATGGAAGATGCTCCACTAGAGGACTTTTCTGCTGAGTGAAAATGACATGCGTCTGTATTTACTCGCTGGCTTATTGACATCATTGGCAGTGAGCGACGAGAGCATCGCGTTTTTGAACACCTCTTAGAATCTTACCCTGGCCTTTTAGAGCGACTGCAAAACGGATCCGAGGAGGAGCTTATTCACGTGGGTGAGCTAGTGCGTTTTTTTTTGTGCCCCCAGAGTTTATGCTTATGCTCTGTAGATCGGTAAGGGAGCTGCAGGTGCCAGGGGCGACGACACGAAAACATTGAAGTCTGCAGTGATTGATTGGATTTCCCCGAAAGGGATTGCAATCCAGCCTCCTTTACACAGAAACTCAAAGATCGACCGCAGATTCAATCATGAGCTCACCGGATCACTGCTTTGTCCCACAGGGTTGGACTGGAAAGACCCAGAGTATGTTTTGGTTTACTGGCATCCGCAGTCACCAATCATTTTTCACTTCACTATTTACAGGACGAGAGAGAACCTCCGAAGCGGAGAAATGTCGGTATGTGGAGATCAATGGCCCGTATTTTTGTACGCCAACCATACTTACGATGCTGATGACCCGTGGTGTGGTCTTCTTAGGAATTGTTTACTTGTATCTGTGAGTAGGCACACCTATTCTATGTTATTCTTAACTACATCCCCGAGCTCTGTTGACAAAGAACCAAAAGCTACGCGATCTGGAAATGCTCGCCTTCATGGCATGAACACTGTCACTCTCACTTCTATATCTTATATTGCAACACAGGTTGGTTTTAGCATGCTTCTGAAGTTGAACTGTTCTGACACATGACTGTAGGTCTGATTCGCTCTAAGTTCCTCTTCAGTGTTTTCACGGACCGACACGACAACAGACTCAGAGACATTCTACCACAGTCTCCTCGACCTCTTCGAGGACCCTGATGAATGCAATGAAGTCGACGAGCTGCTGACGTGGTGGAATCGGTATTCTTCTCACTCTTTACCATTTTGCTGGGACTCGCGTGTTGTTGTTTACCCAGTCAAGTTTTTCCTACTTCATCTGCTGCCAAGCGACCTATCAGCGCCAACAGCGCCTTGGCAAAGATTCGACTTAAACGCCTTGCAGTCAAACAGACTGCAGATTTAAACTCCTCGTAGTCCTCATTCGAGTTTTTATTCGTGTAATAAATACATTTGCAATTTCATATTAGTACTCTCGCAACAAAGCTAGCACTGGATTGACCACAAGACAAGCCTACACATTACTCCGAATGCAAATGGTTCACTTTGAAGACAACTCAAGATAAAATAATTGAAATTCAGCTGTTGGATGACAACTTGTTGTCACTGTGCAGCACAATGTTCTCCTACGCCAAATTGATCCATGCGAGCAGGCCCTAAGAGACTATATCTACAGCTTACTTTCCGTTCGAGCCTTGGGGAATTATAATAACCAGCTGAAATGGAATGTGATGATCATTCCTCAGCGGCCAGCTGGTGAAAGTTAATGCATTGTTATTACTCCGCGACCTTGAATCAAAGTTAGCCGTAGTCCTTTGTAGTCTAGCCTTGGAATACTGTAAAGAACAACGACGTTCTGAGAGAGTTGTTGTGGAATAAAATGACAACCTTCACTTGCATACCATGATCATATCTCATCGGAGTGGGGCAGGATGATAGTTCACTGTCATTCATTGCTTACATTGTGTACCTAACAAATCTGGGCAACACAATCTGGCATCACAATCACATATCTAATATCAGCAACAAGAGAGATCTTGCCGAGTCTGCAACAAGAAGCACAACTTGCATATGACAACCATCTCAATATATTATGATACCACACTACAGTTTTCCCACACCCTTTACCCGTTGGCGGTGGCGATCCAGAATAGTCCGGCCATATAAACCTTGATATCATATTGGCATTTATCCAGATATTGTGAAGGAAGAGAACCATCAGTAAAATCACACATTACTTAATCTTACTTAAACAGGCTTAACTCACTTTTGTAGCTTTGCAAAAAGGGATCTACTTTGCTAAAATTCAAACTTGAACATATTCAGGAAAAAATTGTTGAGTTATATTAACATGCATGTTTTATTATATTTCACACCAAAAAACAAAGAGATATGCCGAGTGAATGATGCATGAGAGTGCAAACATTTTTGAGTAAAGTAGATTAAGCTGATTAAGTAATGTGTACATTTACTGATGACCCTGTCAAAGTTTACATGTCATGACCAGGACAGGGCAAAATTGTAGTGGATTACAAGTGTACCAGCATTATTACTCAAGTTAGAAACCATGGAGGCTCTCATCAACTTCACAGCAGCTGGCAGATGTTATAAAATATATCATCTTGATGACAAGCTAGCAGGTACTTGCAATGATACTATCAACATTGTACATTTGGCCGTTTCCATCCCATGTAGTCCGGGTATTTAAAGCTTTGTAATGTGAAGTACAATTATGATATTTATTGTACATATTGCAGATCAGATAAAGCATTCTATGACTTTATCATTTTCGCATCGGTTACCTGATGAAATGGGGTCCGGTCCATAGAAATGGATCCCGGACACGGGAGACAGATTCCAGTCCAGGGAAAAGGAATGAGGATAATCTAAGGTGATATTCAAATTGAGGAAACTACTACGAGTTACAAAGGGTTTATATACTATAGTGTATCCGATGGGTATCCAGCCGAAGCGCAGTCCTCGGAACATAAGGCTATGTAGGAAATGTACTAGCGGAACAAAACATACTGCGGACAATCGAGAATGGAGTCGGATATTAACTGTCAAGCAGATCCGGGCATATAGGGGTTAGGACAAGGGGACTCGGACTATACAAATGGGGTAACAGAATAGGAGCAGGATCGGAAATGAACTGTCAAGCAGATCATGGGAAATGGGGACGGAGATGAACTGTGAAGTAGATCCGATGTTTTCAGGGGTTAAGTGGGTCCGAGGCTCAGGATCTGAGTAGGTCCGATGTTTAGGGTCCGACGAATAGGAGGTCCAATGAATAGGACATCCGACGAATCCAGGAGGAGTGGACAAGTGGACGAGCGGATGAGTGGACAAGCAGACAAGTGGACAAGCGGACAAGTGGACAAGCAGACAAGCAGACAAGCAGACAAGTGGACGACATGGGTGGGATCTGATGAATAGGACATCTGATGAATAGGACATCCGACGTATAGGATGTCTGATGTATAGGGGATCCGAGGCATACAGGAGGAGGACTGATGAATAGGAGGTCCGACATATAGGAGAAGCAGGGCAGATCCTGCTGAGGGGTATGTCCGGACCGTCTGGTGGAGACTGGGATGCAGATTTATCCTGCCGAGGGGTAGGGATAGGGTTAAGGTATAGCTTGGCTACATTTCAGAGGTCCGGACATTGTTTGTTGGGAGAGATGGGATATGATTCAGGGGCTCAGTGTACGGTATATGACAGTACGCAAACAAAGTCTGACATACTTACATTTCTTACCTTTGCAAAGGTTCTTTGCATTTTGCACAAAATTAGAGTTTTGCCGTCTCGAATTTCTTAGATTTCTATCTATCTCAATCTGTACTTAGTAGACGTCTATTGCTACCTATCTACCTCATTCCTGTCGATTTTCACTGGGGCTGATTGCTCATACCTTGAAGTGATGCAATTCCAGGGAACCAAAAATTGTCGGACGAGTAACAGGGGACGGTAGACTCGTGAAAATGCCAAATTGATCAATAACATTTCGAAATAAGTGTTGCATAGCGGAAAACTCCCAAACCGCCGGTGTGTGATCATTTTCGGGTCGGTTACCTGATGAAGTTCCTTCGCTCGTACCTCGCTACGTAATAGAATTGCAATAAGTCAAGTTGCCTTACTAGATAGTCCCACGAGTTCGCGCGTCCCTAGAGTTCGCGCATTGGCTTTAGCACACGCAATTCTGCACGGAATCCTTATGTATGTTACATATAGGTTCCTCCCAACATAATACACATGGCCATGTATTTTGTTTGACAAAAAATGAAGCGGATCTCGTGCCATGGTCGAGTTATGGGTGTTCGAGGCTCATTTTGTGCATAGATGACTCCCTCCAAAGGTCAGATCACCACGGAAAAATCTGGGATGTGATATCATGGTTCTACATGATTATACAATGCCAAAATAAATTTCTCCGGGGCCACATGCTTGTCAGAATCATCCGCTGTGAATGAAATACGACCCAGACGTGACAATCTATCCAAAGCGTTATAATGACTGCACGCATCTAAACTCCGCCGTACCGAAATGCGGCACAAAAACACCAATGCAGACTTTCAAATGGTGCGGAGTGTGAAAAGGCATGGCGGCAAACGTGTGACATGGTGTGACAAAATGCGCGAACTCTAGGGAAAACTGCACTTTTCTGCGCGGTAAGTCTCCGCTGGACTCAACACGTCAATTTTAAAAGAAAAAACTAGCGGGCCTCATACTCTAAAGGTCAGGCTATCCATCCGTCGAAAAATTATATTTTTATGTGGACGTGTTGTAGAGTTATAGATGTTTTCTCGAAAATGCGCGAACTCTATGGGACATCTAGTAACTACACGTGACCGAGTCATTTGAGCATCGAGTTATCCTTTTCGCCCTATATTCGGGTTACAAACCACCGGGTAGACGAAGAAGCGATCCATCGTATGGCTTACTCCGTAATGAACGCTCAATGCTGTAGATAACACAAAACGGATTTGGAGTGGGACTGCTTTCTGCCGCACTCTATCGCCTCTTCTTTTCACTCCACTAGGTGCGCGCGACATGGAACCACTGCAGCACACCATTGCAAAGGCAGACGAGGCCCTGCTCGCTGAGCTCGGGTACAAACAAGAGTTCAAGCGTGCATTCACACCCTTAGAGGTATTATCAGCGCTGCTATGTTTAGTGATGGGAGAACTGATGGCGAAGACGACCACAGGTTTTTGGCATAGCTTTCAGTATCATTGGCTTACTTCCCTCGATTGCGTACGTCGTACTTTTCTTCGCCTTCGAAGGGTGGAATATATCTCGCTGTTCTTCATAGTTCTGTTCTGTTTTACGCCGTGCCTAATGGAGGACCAGTCTCAATGGTGTGGGGTGTACGTGCTTGCTTCGGATATCTCCATGCGTGAATTATGCTGATGGTTGAAATGCTTGCTTGTCGATATTCTATACCCATTTACCAATAGTGGGCAATTGCGAGTTTGTTTATTTTCTGTGTGGGGATGTCGATGGCAGAATTGGGTTCTGCAGCGCCAACATCCGGAGGCGTGAGTCTGTTTTTGTCTTCAATTTCATTGACGTGGTAGCCTCGAGTGACATGTATGAACTACAGTTATACTTCTGGACACACTCCTTGTCATCTCCGCGGTGTAGAAATTTGCTTGCATGGATTGTTGGGTGTAAGAATTTGTAGTAATTTTAATGAGCAGAGGTATAATGACCCGATCAAAGACTCAAACACAATTGGGAACATAGCGTCGGTCGGTAAGACGCTCACTTTCGTCTTATATTTTGCTTAGAATGACATTCTGCATAGCATCTATCGACTGGGGATGTGCAGTGCAAGTCATGGCTGCTGTGTCCATTGGCTCAGGCCAAACTTTCACCGCAACGAGTGCGCAAACTTTGTGCGTAATTCAAGACACCTATCCAGTCAATCAATCAACCTGTTCATGATGTCGAATATCTAGCGGAGTCTACGTTGCAATAATCCTATCACATGGAGTGATATGCTGCTTGGGAACTGCTGTTCTCGCAAGACTGCAAACAATCTATGTTGTGCTTAACATACTGTTCGTGCTGAAATCGTGCAGGCGCACTCGAGACACTGAATTACTCTGGGTAGTTTATGTCTCGCTGTTATCATTGGCCTTCCTGCTGCCACCCCAAAGGCCAACATGAACAGCGCAAGCTATGCGTTTGGTAATTTCACAAATCGTCAGTGAATATATTCCGCTGGTGAACTCGACTGATCCCAGAATGATACCTATAGTGAATGGTTGGTCAAATGGCTACGCATTCATTCTGAGCTTCCTTGCGCCGTCCTGGACCATTGGTATGTTCTCACAGATTGTTACACACATCATTGGTATTGATATCGTGTGTAAGGCTGCTTTGACTCAAGTGTGCATATTAGCGAGGAATCGTCGAATGCTGCTACTGCTGTTCCATGGGCCATCGTAAGCCTCGAGTCCCGCATTTATCCAAAATACTGAGTGCATTCCAGGTCAGCGCCATCGGTATTGCAGGAATCCTTGGTTGGGGTATGTATTTACTCATGGTAGTTTCTCGAACCCTGCTTACCGTCTCGCAGCAATCAACGTCTCTCTTACATTCTGCATGGGCACCGACATGAACTCCCTACTCAGTAGCCCGATTGGACAACCCATGGCTCAAATCTTCTTCAATAGCTTCGGCCAGAATGGAACACTTGTATTATGGTCCTTCGTCGTACTTGTTCAGTGAGTGGACAATTGTATCATTCGAAGTGCGATTGACTGGGTACAGGTATATGATGGGCTCGAGTATGGTCCTTGCTTCATCCCGCCAAACATTCGCATTTGCCCGTGACGGTGCACTTCCGTTCTCATCCTACCTCTATCGCATGAATAGCTTCACGAAGACGCCCGTCAACACCGTTTGGTTCGTCGCGGCCTTTTCCATCTTCCTCGGTGCATTGTCGTTCGCGGGCCCCCAAGCTATCAACGCTATCTTCTCTCTCTCCGTGACGGCGTTATACATCGCATATGCAATCCCAATCATTGCACGTTTCGCGTTCCAGAACAACTTTAAGCCCGGTCCATTCAATTTAGGCATCTTTGTAAGTCTCATGGCTTGGTGCTTACGGATCCGTGTTGACTATTGAACTGTGATTTATAGAGCCTTCCGGTTGCTGTCATTTCAGTGTCGTACATGTTCATTATCAACATCGTGTTCTTATTCCCGACGACGCCACAAACCGATGTTGCGAACATGAACTACACCGTGGTCGTGCTAGGTGGTACACTGTTTCTGTCTATCATGTGGTACTATTGCCCTGTGTATGGCGGCGTGCATTGGTTCACGGGCCCAGTGTCAAACATTGGGAAGGTGAGTGAGGAGAGTACGTCGAGTATTCGTGGCTCGGTGGAGAAGAATGTGCGTGTGGATATCGGGGAGTCTGTTGGGGCTTGATACTAGAAGGATTCCGATATTGGGCCCATAGTAGATTTAATTCGGTTACCCCGTACACTGCTTGCTATTCGTCGATTATCTGGTTAAGCCGGACACGAAGCTTAAGAAATGTGATTGTAATCATCGCGAGTAGATGACTCATCGAATCCAGCAGTAGAAAACATCATGGGTCGTGTCTGGCGAGTACATGAGACTGCCTTCAACAAATTGCCTAGTCTAGATAATTGGTGTGAGATAGTCACGGTCGCGACTCGCCCCGATCTCCACGTCCCACTGTCTTGCAGTCTCGACGTTCCGTGGATCAGGGTCATGCCATGACCATCATGGGCACGAATAGGTTCGAACCTTCTCCTGCAGCTAGGTAATATTAGATTTCTGATCTATAGGCTTGCTTCATAGACAGGTCACAAGCCCAGGATTGATCATATGCGGCGTGCAGTGGGCGTAAACAGTGATCGTCGCACCCCTTTATCAGTTGTTCCGAAGACATCCTCGAGTCTTATCTATCAGGCGCTCTTGCTCTCTCCCACTTCCCACTTTCAAACTCTCACTAATCACTCCTACAACTCACGATGTCTACCTTGGGAAATGCGCCAGCTGGCACTCGTCGGACATATGCCTTTCGCCCCAGAGCAACAGAGTCCACACAGCCTGACACCTCCTTCATCCTCAAAGACCTTGGAGATAAGGTAGCCAAGTTTAAAAGGAGCACAGATGTTCGTAGTCCTGTTGACGTTACAAACGTGAAGCCCGTTGCTTCATACTCATGGATCGAGGCTGCAACGCCAACGATCGCTGTCCCTGGTGAGCAAAACGTCCATATCTGTGTAAGATCAGGTTAATCGGTGTTTGCTGATGTCGCATAGGTTCTCCCAGAGTCTGGTTCAACGGGCCCCAGCGCGTTCCGGCTGACTCTGGAATACGCTTTATAGACCAAAATGCATTTTACATGCGAAAAATGTCCCCCCTCATTCCTCTGTTTGCGGCCATCGATGATATGGATCCTAGTTTTGACTACAAGCAGTTCGACTTCATCACGGACCGCAACAACCTTCGCAAGCTTCTCCGCTGGGCCAGTGGCTCGCCGGATGAGAAAGACTTCCGCATCGATGTCGATGTGGCGGGCTGGACGTGCTTGTTTACACGCCTTGAGGCACAGAACACAGATACCGTGCAAGGCTTTATGGGGTATGGACACGAGTATGAGAAAGCGGCAACGAGGGTCACTCGCGGCTGCGAGAGAGCTACTGGGCATCATCGGATGATTTCTATCGTAAGACTCTTGCATTATCAACCGGATCACTCATCGCAAGGTATTATGTTTCACAGGACATTGATGGACTGAAAATTCTCCTTCGTTTCACGATCGAGGCATGCACATCTTCCACCAATTACACGAACGACGAGGACGACCTCCTAGCAGCGTTCTCAGGCCTGGGTATCGGTGGAGCATCTGCCTCCACCGGCCGGGACACTAAGAAACCTCAAGTTACTGTGCCAGCCGTCCGTGGCGTCTCCATCAACCAAACTACACCGCGCAAAGTCGTCCCGCAATCTTCTCTCATCGAGCTTAAGACGCGCGCCGCCCGCCGAGAGCTCGACTGGGAAGAAGTATATCCACAAGTCTATCTTTCTCAGACAGCATTCTTGTATCTTGCGAAGCACGACCGCGGCAACTTCAACACCCTGGAAAAAATAGAGCTTGGCGCGAAGAGCATGCAGACCCATGCCCGCCGTGCTGAGCAGGGTATCGCGAAGCTGAAACTCGTGCTTCAAGATATCTTGGATGCTGTGAAAAAGGAAGATGTGGGGGTAGGCTTGAGTTTGGTGTCAAAGGATGGCAAGTTGGCATTGTACAAGCGCCAGGAGGGGACTGGAAAAGGGCCGGGAAAAGACATCACGGATAAATTCAAGTGATGTGGGACTATCTTGGTAAGTAAGAGATGTCAAAGCAAGTCTTCGACAATTCGCGGTGTAGGATATGATTAGAGCGATACCATGGTATTGTGATCAAATTCATGTAAAAGAGTGCACGCATGATTAATGCAAGATCGACCATTTGTGGGACCTATGGTCACTCGAAAAGCCGCCAATATCGCTGGAAACCCCACGTGCCGACAGAGGGGAACAGTACTGAGAAATGACAAACGGAACAGAAACGATGCACGGAACAGAGGCGACAAATGGATGTACTCGAGGATGAGCACGCGACTAACTTAGCTAGGCCCAAATTGTGTTCGTAACGATGTCCTGCAGCACAGTTCATTGACTAGGATGCATTCTACATTTGTTCTCCATGCAGAAAATGTCCGCATTGACGTGCTTGTTGGCGCAGAGAACGCATACACCTGGGTAGTAGAATATCTCACCACCGGAATGTAATATCGCGATAAAGAGAAGCCGAAACGGGTGAGCAAATTATAGTCAGCAAGATCAATCGACAAGCACTATTTGCGTGACCCACAGACTATTAGCAGGCCTAAGCTTGCCAATCTGGCTGGACAGAACCAGCAACCATCTCGCTACCATCAGACCATGCTTGAAACTCATGTGGACGGGACAGCAATTCCATCGAAGACGTCAATCGCTCGGTGGGCAAGCCTGGTAGCTCGCTGCTCACTTGAAGATTGAATAGTATTCGAGAAGCAAGAACACTGTGCGCAACAACTTGAGGGCTGAAATGAGGAACATGAGCTTTCAACATTATACATCTACATATATACTTGACCATACTAACGCGTTTAGCGTCTCGCTGTACGAGAGCTAGGGGATTCACTCAGTCCTTCGATGTCAACGGAAATAGGAAAGGACTCACAGGTAGCGCAGCGATAACAATCACATTGAATGTGGACATCACTATACATATGTCAGCACGAAATAGATCATGACAATGGTGTTAATACTTGTGATGCAGAACATGTAGAGGAGTCCATCACGATAGATACTCTTTATGAGCGTGCTATGAGACTCAAAGTAGTGTCGATATCTCAAAAATGCAGTGACGGACATGAGAACTAAAGGCAGATAGTCAGAGAAGGAATATTGAATTGATTGTCGTCTCACGAGTCTCGAATAAAATTGCAAGTCCATATGGGAGGGCAATGCCACGAACCTCCTCAAACGCGCAACTTGAAGGCGGCGCGACTGAAAAGGAATGAATACTAAGACTAAGAAGTGAACCTTGAGACCTCGCCTTCTGGAATGTTTGAATTGATGGGAGCAGCACTTAGAATCACAGACGTCACCAAGATGACCTGCGCCATATGGATTAGCGGTGCACAGGGAAATAGAGATATCATTGTACCAAACCAAAGGAGAGAAGACTGATAAGATAAACTTTCTTGTTGCCAGAAAAGGCGTAGACCCTGGCGATCAATAATCCTATTGTGCAAATGTAAAAGCACGCTGCGATGTGGTATTAAAAACTTAACCTTCCGAGGCAATAATGCCCAAGAAATGTATGCCTGCGAAATGTCACTGCGAAGTCATGTCACGAAAGACGTTTAAACCAACCATTTACAGCATTGTTAAAGGGTGCACACTGTATATTGATGTGAGTTGCAACTGACACTGCACATATCAAAGGTGTACTCACATCTTGCGCACCCCATGTCTTGACAGCGGCTTGTCAGGAATCAGCTTTTGCGTGGCAGTGCGTACGGGCGTAATATCTCACAGTACGAGGTCAAAAGTGCACCGGCAAAAGGTACATATCGTGAAACCGTGAAGGCAGTGCGAATTATTCCCCACTTCCGTCCCCAGGTCCATTGAACCTGCAAGAAATATTAACGGCGAGGTATGGGTGGCTGACTTTTCTGACTTCAGAGTGTAGCGTGACAAAGTAGTCATAAATCTGGTGAAACATCAGAACAACTCGTAATGAGACTGAATAGACGCAACTCACTAAAATTGCTGATGCAGCGACTTCAGAGCAAAGAAGAGATGTGAATAACGAGAAGCTTGACATCAGCACGACCTCACCGTTAGTATACTTCAATAATAAGAGACGTCAGAGAAAGGCTGGACAAAGCACGAATGAATTACCTTGGCTAACTGCAAGCCGAAGGTGTCTGGGGCGGACATTTGCGAGTGGCAGTGACAACGGGTGACTGAATGGAAATCTGCTGCTGCAAGAAGATGGTAATAAGTACTGCACAATGCAGTGTGCACTGCAATATTGTACGGACTCGAATGTGCATGTGATTGCCCAATGCCGACGGTAAGTAACGAGGACTGTGAGAAGCGCTCAGCGTTCAGATTTGAAAGGCGCCTTGATCGTCGTGATATTATGATGCACAAATCACGATGCGTCACACGGCAGGCTGCTACGTGATTGGAGCGCAGTATCGGACTCAAGCACGTTGAAATCCAATACCTGACTGCTTCAGGACCTTCTTGTGCACTCCCGACATTTTCTGTTTCTGTTTGAACCGTGAATTGTCCTACAGGAAGCGAGGGGTGTCGAGGTGTCCCTCCGAGTCATCACCGGCGGAGGTACACTACGTGCATGGATTCCCATACGTCTATGCAAACGTGCATGTAGAATAAGTTTATGGAGAGAGTACTTATTCAGAGTTGGGTAGTGGGAGAGCTCGAGGGAGCCTAGCTGACCAAGATTCCCACTACCCTGGGTAGTGCATTGATGGAAGGCCTTTGCTGTTGGTATCTTGACTTGTCAGCGTCGAGCATCTTTTCCTAGAAGTGATGGATAACACGCAACGTCGACTTCATTCTCACGGCGAAAGTAGGGTGGTTATTAGTAATCACACATTATGTGGATGGACGACCCAAATTCAACAGACTAGTCCCATCGTAAATCTGCTTAACACTCGCCTTTCATGTCGGCTCCAGCAGACAGTAAACTCTCTGCGCGTGTCCTGTCATTGTGCAACGATATTACCTGTGGCAGTGTCCCACAACCTCACCTCACCGTCACTACTACTGCCGCCAACCACTTGCCAAGTTGCTTCGCACCCGGAGATAACGCTATGTTGAAAACGGAATTGTCTTCGTCTCTCCGGTAGTCGTCATGCCCTATCTGCTCCCCACTCTCCAATTTCCATACTCGGATGCCCTCGAAACAAGTGATGATACGCTGTCCACATCAATAGGAGGTGCGTGCAGTGCGTGGCCCCGTATGGACGTACTTCAAATTCGCGACGGGGCTTTATCGTTGATGTCTCCGAATTCTGCGTCCCAGCAATGAGTGAAGACATTAATCAGATCTTCAACCACTCCCGTTTCGGCGTTCATCGAGACTGGTAACATATGCATTATACGTGATTAGCAACGGTCCTCGTGTCAACAAGAAAGAGAAGAAAAGTAAAACCCATCTACATGCATGCTAAAGTTCAACCTGCAAGGAAAAGAACAATGGCCGTGATCAAGCACGTTCAAGTAATCATTTACCGACTCGTGTGCTGACGTGTGTCACCGAATAACAAAAGTCACAAGGCAGAAGTGCAAGTGAAATAATTGTTATTGCAGCATTCTGTGGGGACCTGTCCTGACCTGTCAGTCAAAAGAGAGGGACGAGAATCACTGTGCTTACCTACTGATGAGCCGCTAGCTGTGTGGAGAAGCGGATCCGGTGGAAAATATTCCTGCGGCGAGTGGAGGAAGCGAGAACACAACCAGATCGTACGAGCCGCGATGGTAATTTTTGAACTTTGTCAAACCAACAACTTACAAGAGTCAAGCATTCGACCGTCAGGAGGATACAAGCACCATTACCTCAAATATTGCATATAAACATATACATGCGCCGATGCAGACAGAGATGACAAGGCATGTGGGTATCGAAACAGGACAGTTTGAAATATAGCAGAGTGAGTAGCACGAGTGCGTTGAGCACGTCAACGAGAGGTGTAAAGGCACGTGACTCGTAAGAGATGAAAGAATGACAGACTAATGACGACCATCTGTGTATTCAGGAGACAGACAACCAATGAAGAGCCAGAAACGAGTCCAGAGTCCAGCTTGTCTGAGCATTATGTCAGGGCGTGAGGAAGTTGAAGTTGTAACCGCGGTGGTATCACCAACAGCAGGTGTGGTAGACGAATGGGAGACAGCTGTTTGTGGTTGCGAAGATGGCTGTGTCTGAGTCGTACCACTGGATTGGGTGGCATTTTGCTTGGGAGGCCGTGAGCTTCCCATAGTAGTACGTAATGGTTTCGTTTTTCGTTTCTCTCTCGCTGAAGCATTCCTCTACATAATGTCAGGTCAAGTCGAATGTCTGGAAGGAGAAAAAACATACACGTTTTCCCTGTGCATACGGGACCTCGACAACTGCTGAGCTGCGCCCATGCAATTCGACGCCTTCGCCACCCTGTCCGCGCTGTTTCAAAAGGTTTTGGGCCCAGTCGAGAGGAGAGGATGGTGAGGTGTCATGTGCATCGGAGCGGCTGCGGTTGAATAAACGGCCAAGAAACGTGCCTCCTTGCGGTGCTGAGGAGGAGTGGAGGCGACTTCGTGCAGAGAACTGAGACCACGAAGGTCAGGATAAAACACGAAGTGATACTAATAACATACGCGAGAATGAGCTGGCGCGATATCGAAAAAGCCTGGGGGTACCCGATGGGCAGGCTGACGTCGCTGGACCGGATGTCGTGTAGCATTTTCCTAGAGTGAGTATGTTTGAACGCAATGAGATCTGTTTATGAAGGTGTCACGTACATGGAGCGCTGATTTGTTGGCCTGGCAGAGCGCGTTTAGTTGTGAGAATGTATGAAATGAGACATGCCTGTCGACTTACCTTTGGATCCAACAGAAGTTCGTCGAGGCCAGCTTCTCTAACAATAGTAGCAATATCCCATGTGTACGCGTTGTGATCAGAGTCACAGCCAGTGGCTAGTAGCTTTCCATCCGCGGAAAACGATACGCAGGCAACCATACGTGCATGCTGGAGTGGAGAACTGATAGGCTGGCCGTTGTCGAGGTTCCACAATCGCGCTGTCTTGTCCCACGATGCGCTTGCGAGAATGCGGCCATTCGGTGATATTGCAATGCCATAGACAGAGGAAGTGTGCTCATCCAGAACTGCGGTCTGCCTCCATGATTTTGTATTCCATGTCCGAAATTCCGAATCGAGCCATCGGAAGACCCGGAGATGAGCGTTTTACCGTCCGGGGTCCAAGCCAGGCACCACACCAAATTTGAGTGTCCTTTCATGAGAGTTGCGACAAGCTCGACTGTTTTGGCATCCCAGATTTGAATTGAGGACTCGGTTCCATCTTCAGTCCAGGGCCTATCACGTCCACTAGTCGCAATCATGGTGGTGTCTGGCGAATAGATGGCTGCGTATACATGTTCATGCCCAGTCTTGATTGGCCCGGGTGCCAGGATTGTCTCTCCGCTCTCCACATCCCACTGCCTTACAGTCCCATCCCAACATCCGCTCAATACTCGCTGCAGCGGCTGACCGTCATCTCCGGGTCGACTCCAATAGAGAGACCACACTTCATCTGTGTGTCCCATCCATTTCGCGATGACCGTGCCTGTCTCGATGTCCCACAACCTCACTCCACCGTCCCTACTCCCGCTAATCACTGTCTTCCCATTTGGGGATAACGTTATACTGCCCACTCCACTGTCTCCGTCCCGCCAGTCTTCTCCTATCTGTTTCCCGCTCTCCAAGTTCCATACCCGCAGCGAGCCATCATCTGAACAAGTAATCATCCGCTGTCCGTCAAGCAGGTGTATGACGCCCCAGACCACATCGGCGTGTCCTTCAAATTTTTGGCGAGGCGTTATTGTTTCTTTCATCTTAGCGGTGGGCGAAGACATAATTCAGAATGTCAACTGCCGAATGCAGCACCATCTCAGCTTTCATCCAGCATATTCCAAATTCATCACTTACCAAGGACAACAGCGACGGGGGGATAGTAGGGGACGATGGGCGTTTCGGTCAAGTTAGAGTGTAATTCACTGCTTCCTGGTATTGTTTGCCATGATTTATCCTCATGTCCACAGCTAATACACAGCATAGGCTGTGCAGCTGAAGCGCCCGAGAATCATCTGATACTCCGTAATGCCTATCGCTGTTGGACGGAGGATAAGTTAGCATTGCAGTTGTGCCTGTGCGTGTTCACGCAGAGTGTTTAAAGATGCAAGATGGATAGCTTGTTTTGAGGTTGTGTCCATTTCCTCCCAAGAAATAAATTCTTGACCTCCTCCCTAGACATCGTAAACCATCTGCTACTTGGACCTAGGCATATTCCCCACACATTATCGATCCACTGGGAGACGGCTGGATGGTTTGTTGGGCTTCACCTCCATCTTCTTGTCTGTGATGCTACCCTCGTCCTTTGATGCTTGAATTATGTATGCGGCGTCTTCTCTCTTGGGCTTTGCTTCTACTGCGGCTTGACGCTTTGCTGATCAAGGTTTTCGGCATTCTCTTCAGGTGAGCAAGCCGTTCTATGAGACGGTCATGAATCGTTCTTGGCTGTGGACGAGGACTTAATGATCGCTCGATGATATAATGAGCAAAATTGTCTCAATCCCTCAGCCGGCACTTACGAGTGAATATTTCTTCATGGGACAGTTGAGATTGCAGGGATGTGATGATCACATCCGAGTTCGGCGATTCAAAATATCAGAACGCTTGTTCGATGGTATCGAGAGTGGAGTACGAGCGTTCCACGTAGTATTGAATGATTCCCCAGCTACTATTGAAAACGCAGAGTTCCGTCCCACGATAGTACAACTATACACATAAGAAGCGGATTACAAAACGTTCTCGAGCTACAGCATTGCATAACAATGCAGAGCAAATAAAGAGGTCGCACGTAGAACCAACGTACAATGCCAGATATATGACATTGGATAAGAACTAGAAACTTGCGGATTGAATAATAACGAACGTCGATGTACGAGATGCACAGCAAATAAAACGCCAGAAGTGAGTTCAGCGTCTGGCCTGTCTTATCGTTGCATCAGGACGCGACGGCATGGACGCCCGAGCCGCGGAAGTACCACCTATGGCAGGTGTGGTAGACTCAGTAGCCTGGGGTTGCGAAGTTGGCCCGGCCTGAGCGATACTGCACGTTGGACACCGTGTGTGACGATTGAGACGCCGAGCGTAACACCGTGAGCTACATGTAGCAGCCTTATTCGAGTATTTCTGTCAATGAAGCATTCCTGTCATATCGGGGCGTCCAAGAAGAAACTTGCGCATTTGTCCTGTATAGCACCTCGACTAGTGTCGAGGCTCTTGCAACTCGATATATCTGCGCTGTGTAAGATTTCGAGCCCATTGTATAAAGGATGGCATATTGAGAGAATGAGGTGCGGCGAAAGTGAACTGAGACTAAAACCAAGAATTGAATCGATCATAACGAAGCCGACCCTCACCGACAATGACGCAAAATGGGATTGGCAAATATGAATAAATGACAAGGTGGTACGATGACTCACTTGCGAATTCATTATTTTTTGACACACTCGCCGGGTACAAAGTACTGGCTCCTGCGTAATAGCGTCCGGGAGTGTTCTGATGGGCGGATACCAAAAGTGACATTGTACGTTGAAAGAAAACATCCAGGGAACCGACACTCCGGGAACCACAGACTCTGGGAGTTCGAGTGTGGGAGACAGCAAGCTGGCAGGCAGAATTGAGTCGCAATTTGATTATGTCTATGACTTCATGAACGCTTCCTGACGCCTCCCAAGTTGTGCAAGTTCTCGGTGACAACACGTCTCTACAGATGAATCATGACCAAGACATTGAAAGAGGAGTTCGCGAGTTCTGGGTGCGTCGCTCAGACTGAGAGCTGAAACAGACTCCCTGGAGTCCATGAAGGACTGAAAAGTAATAAAACTGGTGACTGCCACTGCAGCGTTGATGACAGACGGTGGTGGTTGCAGTTATGTAGCTATATATTGGTAGTTGTCGTCGCGGCAAGTTGATTAGGGATAAAACTCCGACCCAATTCGAAGCCTCAGTCACCTTCGACTTCTTAATAGGTACTAGTAAGGTAGGTAAGAAGAAGATTCCATGTTGAGACCTTATCGTGACCTGCTGATCCGCATCAGGGAGCCATGCAGTGGCTGATGGGTACAAATTTCAGGCGGAATCTGCCATCATGCATCATCATGTGTTCTGCAAAATACCACGCTAGTGAAGTCCGATGGTGCCGGCTGTCTGCCAAAAGCCAGGGCAAACACTGCCGAGGGCTCAGGCGCAGGTCTGTCATATGTGACACATACAGTTCAGCGGTGTTACACCGGAATACTAGTATGAGACGCATCGCCTTCGTCCTACTATTTCGTTTGATTCTGATTATATATGGATACTACTAACACCTAACACCTTAGATAACAGCCTCGTCGCTTCCGAAATTGATCTCAGGAATTAGGGCGCTGAATAATCAGATATCCGCATGATAGAGGCCGATCTGGGGTCTTCGTATTAAGTTCTACTAGAACTATGATATACATGGAATTGACGAGAGTGCAACGCCCTTGTACGCCCCCAAGCAATCCCCGGGCGTCATTCTTGCCATGGCTTTTGCAAGCTCCATCTCGCTGGATACTGCTGCTATAATGTCGACAGCGCTAGAAGGCATTTTATACGGTGAGTTCCTCAATCAGTTCGTCCATCTGGTAACTACAAAGCTAGGGTTCTTCAGGCTTTTCGGTCCTCATGTTTATCGGCACCATCTGGGCACTGACCTACAAGCGATCCATGCGGGATGTCAATCGCCCAGTCGCTGCTGCGGCCATCCTGCTGCTGTTACTGAGTACCGCAGTTAGCCTTTCATATCTTTCATTCGATGTCATCTGCTGAATCATTCATCCAAGCATATAGTCTTGGACATTATTCGGACCGTAGACGGACTGGTTATCTATCGCAATACGTATCAAGGTGGGCCAGCGGCGTACTTCGCAGACGTTTCTCAAAATACGTATGTGGTCAAGAATTCCATATACGTTGTGCAGACTCTGCTTGGTGATGCGGTAGCGGTGGGTTCGACTTTTGATCTGCAAGCTTGAAATTGCTATAGAAATGTCTTGCTGGTGACAGATCTATCGTTGTTACATCGTTTGGCAAACTGCCTGGGTCATCATCTTACCAGGCATGTTATGGTGCGGTGTCGCAGGTTAGGTTGCAATGATTCAGGAGGTCGCATACTCTGATGTTGCCTTGAAGTCACTGGCGCTCTTTCAGTCTACGGGGATTCACAAACAACTAATGCTGGAAGCATATCCGCCGAAGTGACTATGGAGTGCATGGGTGCGTTCTGTGCCTTAACACTTGCAGCCAATTTGTCAAGTTCAGGTAGGCACGCTTCTGCTTGAGCGTGTTGTCATATCCTCATGCCAACTTGAATTTGTTAAGGACTGCTGGCGTATCGCATCTGGAAAATCGAACGCAATGTCTCTGCCTCTCGCGCTACGAAGGTCGTGACCACGAGTATCATGCGCGTAATTATGGATGCTGCTATTTTGTACACCATGGCGCTCCTCGCTACAATAATAGGATCCCTCTGCTCAGGCAGTGGACCGTTTGTTCTAATAGACATGGTGATTCCAGCGACAGCTCATATCATTGAAATTACTGACCTTCGATCAACTAGCTCACGCCGATCATCTCAATTGCCTTCTACATGGTAATCATCCGAATCGCAATCGGTAAAAACGCTCACAGTCAGATCTTGACTGTCCGTGGGGGGATGGCCACTAGTGAGACGGAACGAGGGAGCTTGCCGCAATATCATTCTATGAAGCCTCTCCAGGTCCATATATCCCGCTCCACGCACACCGATGGTACTCTGTATGAAGTTTGGAATCAGAACCGACCACCGACACGTAAGGAGTCTCTGGAAGGGGCGTCTTGCGACGTGTCATCAGCCTAAACGTTGGAAATTGTTGTAATAGTATCAGGCGATATCGATATAACCTTCGGTGAGTCGGTCCGAGGCGCGTGATAGCGAAGAAGTCATTCAACAATACTAGTCACTGAGATGATATATGATTTGAATAGGTCGTTGTACAAATACTATATGTTCTTCTCGTCATGAACAGTGGTAGCAATAGTATAGAAGCGTAGCGCTCAGTGTAGATTAATGATGACCGTCGTCAGTAAATTCAGGAGATGTATAACATATAAAGAGCCAGAAACGAGTCCAGCGACCAGCATATCTTATTGTTATGTGAGGGCGCGGGATTGTAGCTGCGGAAGTAGTTGCATCGGGAGGTAAGGAAGAGAACGTGGGGACAGTAACATGTAGTTCCAAAGACGACTAGGTCTGAGCTACTCCGATGGATTGCTGCGTGACAGTGTTCTTGGAAGGTCGTGAGCTGCCTACGGTAGCGGCCTTCAAGTTCAATGGGTTGTTCTTACGTTGTTCTCTTGTTGAAGCGTTCCTCTGTATGAAAGTAGGAGTCAAACATTCGAGAAGAATAAAAACATACACGTTTTCCCTGTGCATACGGGACGTCGATTACTGTTGGGTATTCCTGCAATTCCATGCCTTCGCCATCGATGCATCCCGGCTGTGCTGTACCCCAGGCTGGAATGGTGTATCGTGGGCATTGGAGTGGGTGCTGCGATATGACGAGAACAAGAGCGGCCAAGAAGCGTGCTTCCTGATACTGATAATATACCGACACGGTGGTGACGTGCATAAGAGCGGCGTTGTGGAGAGCTAAAGCATGAATATCAAGGAAAGACTTAATTTGATACTAATGGCACACGTCAGCGCGATCTCGCAGGTCATCGAAAAAACCTCGGGGTACACAATGATCGTTCTGAGGTTGCTGGACCGGACGTCGTGTAGCGTCAGCCTAAAAACATATGTTTAATCTCATTGAGATGATTTTGTACGTGTCACGTACATGGAGTAATGCCTTGTCACCATCCTGTAGAGCATGTTGGTTTACAGAGAGAGAAATGAAACGAGAAATGCCTTGAACTCACATTTGGATCTTACAGGAGGTCGTCGAGGCCAGGGTCTTTGACAATCACAGAAACATCCCATGTGTATTGCGTTGCCAACGCAGCCAGCGGCTAGTAGTTTTCCATCGCTCGAAAACGACACATGATTCGAAGAATATATAAAGCTGCAGCTAACTCATAACACGAAGGAAGGCTGACATACAACAGTGTGAAGACTTGCTATCGTTTCTTGGTATGCGCGCTCGGCCCATTTAATGATAAACTTGCCTGTATGTCAATGTCCACAACCTCACTGCGCCGTAGCAGTCAAAGTTAAAAATGATTGCTTTCCTCGACTGAAGGGATATACATGAATACTTTACTCTCTGTGGTATGCTTAGCAGAGTTTACATCAATATAAGTCTTCATTAGTGGGAAGATCGAACCCTGCGGCATGGAGCAGGGTAGCAAACTGAGTGTGAATTCATCAAGATAAGAACGAGAGCGTGCTGGATAGACAGACAGACGAACCTGAACTTTCGCAATAGAGCGAATTTGGCTCAAGTCGTAGCCAGGACGCTCGCTGAGATCACCTGAGGGAATATCAGCTCTGGGGTGGAAAGAATGGGAGGGTGTGAAGAACTGACCACTGTTGTGGTACATGGGGTCCGCAACTAGGTGGATGCGAATTAGCACGTCGAAGAGTATGTGCGTTTAGGGCTTACTTGGGCCAGCACGCTCAAACACTTGGGTCGAGGCATATCCTTGCTCATGGAAGGACTGAAGGAATGCAATACGAGTTGGCTCGTGTTGTCATGCATGAAATCACAAAACTGACCTGATGATCACTGCAACATGCAGCAGTGTAGCCCACAGTAAGCTCAGGGCTGTAGATGGCTGACATGTTTGAAACAAGTTGAGCCACTTCTGGAGTACCGATGCTGTAAAATGGAAGAGGTCGTCCATGTCCGGTTTAGTAAATCAGGTATAAAGAGACGCACTACATCGGAAGTCCAAGTTGAGGAGGTTCGCCAGGGGCATGGTACGCAAGCATATCAGCTTGAATCATCACAGTGATATTTGCATCCTTCTCGCGCATCTCGCCTGCATGGAGTGGTCAGATCTTTGACGCGTCGAATAGGTGCTGACTCACGGGCGTAAGCCTTTGAACCGTACAAGCCCTGTTCCTCGCCTGCGAAAGCGACGAGCTCTACGTTGCTGCGGAACGTGAGACCGGAGCGGGCAACGGCACGTGCGATTCCGAGCAGGGCAACAGTGCCTGAGCCGTCATCGTTTCCTCCAGGAGCCTGAAAATATTCAGAAAATGAAGCTGGTGATAGCGGACAGAGACATTACCCTCTGTGAACCAAAGGAACCACGAGAATCGTAATGCCCGGAAATGAGAACAGTGGACGTTGTGTCCACAGAAGCAGGGTATTTGCTATGACTTCGTTGAGCAACTGCAAGAAGAATGAGCAGACTTTGCTTACCAGGCTACATTCGGCGCGAATCCGAACATGAAGGTCTTGAGTTCGCAAGTTGCGCCCGTCTCCTCAAAACGCTCCTTGAGCCAATTAGCAGCGACGCGGGAGCCCTCCGCAAACGAGTGGCGGGAGACAATTCCGGACTCTCCATCCTCACCCGTGAGCCATCTGATGTCGTCACGCATCTGATCCAATGAGATGCTGTTTACGACTGATGAGACGACTGGGTCGAAGCGAACGGTCTCAAGGAGGTTCTTGACATGCTCGATAGCAGGTTTTGGGACCGGAAGAAACGACCTGGGTTGCATGGATAGAGTATATGGCTTCCAGTAACGAGGGAGCAACGCCTCAATGCTGGGCGCTAGACTTGGTTCGACGGTTATGAGTCCATAGGATCCCCCCGCTGGCTGCAAGTCCACCAAGTGCAACTCTACCCCAGGCTCATCTGCAGAAGACAGCAAATGCTGATAACCAGACAGTTGTTGACCGCCTCCCATGGAGTATCCGTCTTCTCTCAACCACCTAAAGAAACCTTGGACCTCCGCCTTGTACTCTGGAGTTACTAGAGCACTGTCGATAGCCGACTCTTGCAGCCATATAAGTTGACGGTCACTGTTGGCAACATATGGAACCAGAGAGGCCGCTTCTAAGCCATTGAAAGAGCTGGTTTCGAGGCAAGTAGGTGAGAGATGGAAAATGCTCCGTCCTCCGTATGTTCCATAGAAGTTGTCTGTTAAACAACCTGGTGTAGTTTCGACGGTAGCAATGTTCGGCGTATACGGGGTTACCAATAGTAATGCAGTGGCAACACCAGTAGCAGTTGGGGAGAATACCATGTTGATCTGCAGTCAACGAAGGGCACCGAGGCACTTATATCAGTTGATAGCAAGTTGCTTGAGATCTGCCTCGAGAACGCGACACGACGATTTGGGACAAACTTCCAGTAGCCGGTCGCCGTGAGTACATACCTCCCGGGGCCCAAGAAGCGACCCGGAACGGACCAGAACGGCGGCCAACGGAGGCAATATGCGTCCGTGCGATACCCGGTAACGTGACCGTTATCGTGGAATGACTGGGAGTTTCGCCTTCCTAGCTCTACAGGCGAGGTCGACTTTTGCACCTGCGGCCAATGCCATGACAGTTACCCACCGTAGGAAGCGAACAGGCTCATGGCGTATCTGAAATTCAGGGTCTCGATCCTGTGAATCACGGGCTGCATCAAAATATTACTACAAATATCACTACACATGTATGTGGGGTATACTAGTGCCTTGACACGATGAGAAACAGGCGATGAATGGTTGAACCTAGGTTGAGCGGGGTTATACAACTGAGACGGTGTTGCTGTACAGCTAGGGGCCATTATGACTATAGAAAGTCAGATTAGAATGTAAGGTCATGATATTGGTCGTGTGACTGAAATCAACGATATGAGACCTCGTCGTCGTCGTCCGGAGCAACTGGATAGGAGAGAATGGTGTTGGTTGGGGAACGCTTCATATAGTGTGGAAGGTTTCGATCCAATTCTGATGGAGGGATAGAGAGAACCAAACGAAAAGCATCCTTTCCATTGAGGTAGAATCGATACAGCCGTTTCTCGCGGATGAATCCCAGGGACTCATAGAGGGAAAGAGCCGGTGCATTATCATATTCAGTTTCAAGAACGACCTAGTTGGGCGTTAGGCAAGTTCTGAAATATAAATATGAATTACGCACCTCGTCAACTCCGTGTCGTCTCATGACCTCCACTGATCGTCTGACCAACGTGCTTGCTGGGATCGGTGGGTAAATAGAGATGATTGGATAGGAGCGCACGTGGTTACAGCGTACCTACACCACGTTTGCGCCAGCTCTTGCTAACGCTGAGCATAGCGATATAACCTCTATTGGATGCATGTTTGTGCATACTCTGCTTGCAAACGATGACACCTATCGGGTCCGATGATCCCGCAGGTATTGCCTGAAAGGGTCGTTCATTTCAGGTGATAGAAGGAGGTCGTAACACGCACGAGAAAAGAAAGTTGTGGCCTGTACATAGTAAAAGTCAGTGATTCGATTTCGCCAAATGGATAACGAGACTTACCATTGATGTAGGAAATAACGATATGTATATATCACATACGGCTCACTGAGCTCACTCTGCACGAGCGCCATAATGTGTGGTAAATCAGATTCGCCTACATACTGTCTGTACAATATTTCAGTCATTGTCTCAGATAATGGTCAGGAGCAAGAGCGGAAACACGACTCATCCTCAAGGCGAGCACGCGACCGACATTGCAAGGTCCATGGCGCGGTCTCCGGTGGACCATAAATATTCCCACGATTATACAACATCAAAACTAATCCCAGTGTCTTGCTCAACTTGATCTGCATTATGGAGTCCATATTACGACTCAGAAGCGTGCTTTTGACCAGTCTCAGCTCTCGTGGACATGGAGAGCAAGAACTCTTTGACGAACTCATGATGCACAAGCAGCGCCTGCTGGAGCTGTTCGAGGTCGGGCAGAGCAGTCAGCAGGAACAACAAGAGCTGCGAAGTGGTGAGCGCTTTGCACCTGTATCGACGCGTAAAATCCAATCATTTCTCTAGGAAGAATTACGATCAATGGCAGGTCATTCGCAGTCAACGCGGATTTTGCTCAGCAGGCAATATTCCTTGCCCAGCAGCTCAAATCCTCCGAGAAATACATCGCGAGCATACTGCATTCTGTCATGACCGAAAACCCAAATATCGGCCCAGTTGGTTGCATGGAAGCTACAGTCGTTGAATTTCATCAAAGACGACGCCATCTGGTCGACTGTCTGCGTTACATCTTTGAGGCTGCTGAGCTGGCTGAATTGCCAGATGCACCCCGACTTTACAAACGACTGGATGCTTTTGCTAGGCAGGATCTCGTCCCACCCACGAAGGGACCAGGGGGAGAGGTGTCTCTGGCATTACGAATATTCAAGGAGTTGGAGAACTTGGGCAATACAGTTGCACGAGCACAACAAGCAAAACAAAGTGCCACGAGCAATACTGTAGCCCCTTCTGGTGAGTGCTGCCTCGTCGTGCTGTTCATATCTAATGGACCATCGTTATAGGTTGTTCACCCACTCTGGGCCACGACATCCTCAGTGCACGTTGCGACTCACTCAAATACGAGAGACGATACCTTGCCACTGTCTACTTTCAGATTGCCCGTCTTGGATGTCTCACAGTCTCTGACATTCGCACTTCCCTCGACTGGCTATCCGTGAATCCCAACGACGCCATGACATTCTATGTCTTGACTGCCATTCTGGCTGCCTTTGATTTGGTGGATCCCTCATCTGTTGGTGGCCAGAATCGCCAACGTCTGGCTACAGACAACGCAATGATAACATATATGAAGCAGAAGCTCTCCCGAAATACGGAATGGAAGGATACGGGTTTGAAAGCAATTGTGTTGCTAAAATGGACTCTCCTCTTGACAGAGACGCGTCACCGGGACCCCTCTTTGGAGGCCAGGGAGGGTTTTAAAACAACAGAGCTAGAGACTCAGATTTGGAATGCGGTCCAGGGCGATGCCTTTACGTACCTCACCACAGCGCTTATCCAGTTGCAGCAGAGGTCCAGAAGCTCCCCATCGACATCATTCGCTGCCTTTATCGAGCTTACGCCCGAGCAGGAGCAACTAAGAGAACCGCCTCACGAAGACTTTAAGCTCGCCGTTCTGAATGCTTGCGACGCGCTGGTGCGCTCGGTGATAACATATGCATCTTCAGAGCTACGTAAAATCAAACAACGCCAGGAGGACATCGTGCTCGCCGGCGCACGTCTATTCCGAACAGTGACACATTCCGGGCAAGACTCGGATTCTCAAGCAAATCCACGCAACGACATCGCCATGCTGTACTCGTTCATCGGTCTTCTATACTCCATCCTTCCTCCCGAACGAGCTCTGCAGTTCTGGGGGGCTACGCCACTCACTGAAACTCACCGTCTCACCTACCTGGAGGTCACGGAGACCAATGCAGGAAGACTTCCGTCTTTCCTACAGTGGGCAGTATGGTCCACACAAACTCGTGATGTCATTATGACCACTGCGCTATACGATATGCTGTCTGGTTTAGCAAAAGGCCAACAATGCAGCGAGCTTGCGTATAACTTCCTTGCTAGAGGTGGTGCAGAAGTCGTACCAGGGAGCAGCCTGGCTGCCAGCTCATCTCACTACAGTGCTGGTTCGGCTGTGTCCTGGACGCTCATATTCGCCCTCCTAGAATCCTGGGCAGCTTCATCGACCAGCCCCAAGCCCCACCCACCTCCGCAACAAAGCTTGGGGGCATCGTTCAGTAGCTTCAGGTCATCTCATTTCGCCGAGTCTCAAGCTTCCTCTCAACAGCAGCAGCAGAAACAGGTTGTCATAGGGCCCAATGATGTTTTGCTTGCCCAGTCGTTCCTCCGCCTTCTATCTACCGTGGTTTCGTGCTCGGTCGCTGTCCGCCTCGCGGTCTCGGGAAACACGCATTTCAGGGCTATTCCCACGCTAGTCTCGCTGATACCTCTTGGGATACCCTTGGAGCTGAAGGGAGCCATTTTTGACGCCCTGGCAGCGTTTTGTGAACCTGGAGCAGGTGTTGCCGGAGTGGAGATATGTAGATCGGTATGGACGTTGATGGAGCGGCTAGAGGTCATAAACGTCCGCGCAAGCACTTCTCGTATTGGAGGAGTCTTGCATCCCGTCAAGGGCGTCGAGGTGGAGTTAGACGAGGTTGAAGCTATCCACAAGCTCTATCCCGCTACGATCCCATTCCTTAATCTCCTTAGCACCCTTATTCACACTCCCAAACGCATTTCCTTGAAGGACCTCGTCACGGATTCGGAGCCGCTAAATACTATTCCTGATGCCCTTGGTCAACCTTATCGTCTTCCTGGAATCGGACCTTACATATCCTTCGTCATCGACAATGTTTTCGCTAATATTCCCCGGAGAGAGTACAGGCGACCTTCAGACAGGTGGCAGATGAATGACTTGTGCTTGTCTTTCGTCGAGCGCGTTCTTGCGAGCTACGACCTCGAGCTGCTGGTCTCATCAGGGGAGGATGTCGTCTTAAAGCGAGAAGCCATTGTCCCCCTTCTCGTTCATCCAGGATATGATATCATGCAACGCCTCTTGACAAACTCGCTGTTGCAAACCAGCATCTTGACGTACATCGTCGACGGCGTGGAAGGCTTTGAGAAAGGGTTCGCCGATGAAGAACCGCATTTCAAAAATACAATCGTGCGCGTTTTGCGGATCCTCCACCGCGTTCTGGACATCCAGGACATCTTCCTTGACGTGCTCGTGCCGCTCCTCACGGAGTTTGATGGCTCGCAGTTTGTCGGCGTCGCTCATGCTCGGTCATATTACACGCGTTTCGATCAAGCGCTGTCGTATGGCACGCAGCATATTCCTGCGATTGCTGCGTATGTGGCGTACCCTGCATACCCTGAGCTTGTCCTTCTCGCCGTAAAGATAGTCACGCAACTGTCGTCTTCCGTCAGCAATTTGACCACCCTCATTGAACGCAGCAATGACTCGGATCGTATCCTCAATGGCTTCAGGCAATTACTCAGTGTCGAGTCATTTGATGATGTGGATGCTAGCGAAGCACAGGCTGAACAGGTGACCGGCGCTGGCGCTCCTGATAGAGAAGCACAAGAACCCCTCGATCAGGCAATACGGCTTGCTATCCTTGAATTGCTCATCCAGAATTCGCGACCAAACCGACCGTATCCCACCATCGGCCATTTTCTGCTATTCGGTGGCCCAGAAAACGATCATCAAATCCAGGATCCACATGCATTGGGTGTGCACAGAACTTGTGCCCACGTCATCTTCGACCTCGTCAATGCCGGCGTCCCCAGAGTGCACGGCAAAGGCAAAGAGCGCGAACGTGAACGCCGGCTTGCGCGTCAAGTGGACCCGTTGTTCATTTCTATACCAGCCTTGGCAGAACGTTGCTACCAGGTCATCCACCAGCTCTGTGTGCACCCGCGGACATCAGAGTCCACCATGCGATATCTACGCACAAGAGAAGACTTCTTCGCCCGCCATCTCGCAGCCATACCTTCCAAAGCCCCAGAAACGCAGGATGAACCTGTCATCGAGGTACTATATCATGACGGTTCTCGCGTCATCACCAGCGTATCAGCTCTGCGGTCGTTCATGGGCATACGCTCTCGCATCCTGGATTTAGTATCTCTTGATCTCCACGCCCTGACCCGCAAAGGCCATCACAAAGGCGTTTTGGAGGTTTTGCAGATCATATTTGGTTCGGAGGCCATGGCTGGTGAGGATTCGTTGGAATGGGATGTGGACGCGTTGCAGCCGTTCCAGGAGATGGGCCAGTCGCATCTTCGGATCATCGAGTCCGTTCAATCCCTCAGCTTTGATTGGTCAGACAGTTTAGCCGTTCATCCTGTTGACCTGGATTTCCTTGGTCAGTTGAACCTCCAGTCCTGTATCCGTGTAGATGGCACCGGTTGCGAAGTCGTTGATCGATCTGCGCTGTTATCCCTGTTGACGCTCGCACGACGTGCCCTCCATGCCCAAGGCCGAATCACCAATGGCGCGCATGCTGATAAATTGAACGCTGAAACTTCGTACGTCTTGGAGAGTTGTGCGATCGAGAACCATCGCCGCGAGGTCGCTTTTGCTGTTGCTACGGGATATGAAGCGTGGTGGAGGCTATTGGACATCACACTTACCAAGTGCTTCCAGCGTCTGCCGCACGACAGGCGCGAAAACATGCTCTTCGACTTGTTGCACGTTCTACCTACCGCCATTCGTTCCTCTGATATCCAGGAACCTACCGCAGTTCTGCTTTCGGAAGCCGTGCTCTCTTGCATCACGAAGCTACGGGAAGATCGACGTCACCAAGTTATGCTTCAATCCGCCGGCGGGGACACTGATGCGGGCTCTTTGCCTGCAGAGAGACTGTATGCCCTTCTTCGCAGCATCCTTGACTGCATCCTGGACAACAACCGTTCCGAATTGGTCCGCGGCAACCTATACGCCTCGTTGATCAATTACTTCCACCTTATCGGAGGGAGTGATCAGAGGCCTTCGGGAGAGGCGTCATTGGAGACATTCGGAAAGCACTCATCGTCAATGTCGATGTCAATGTCAATGTCCCTCTCCGTTCTCTCATCGCGCGACGATCTGTCCGAATCTCGATCTATGCACGGGACGCCAACGCCTGCAATGAATGCTTCGGCGCTAGAGCAGGGTACGCTAGCTGCGTTGAAAAGCGTGTTGGAGAGGCTTGTCACAATCGTATCTCGGGACGCTATCGATGGCACCGAAGTTTGGAAGACTGTCGCTTTCATGCTGCTAGACTCCCTCACTCAACTATGCCGCTCGGACAAATCCCGCATGCTCCTCACGTCTTTGGTTCGCTATGGAATTTTGTCGAACTTTGTTCAGGGACTGAAGGAAGCGGAGTCTCAAATGCAGTATGTGCTGAAACCAGACCCAGGTACGTGAGCGGTACACTTGTATCGCGAAGAAAACTGAAGAAATGGCGTAGACGATCTAAATCCTCTATACGTTTACGAGTCAAAGATGTCCTTCTTGATACGGATGGCACAAACGAGGCCAGGCGCGGAACGGTTGCTCGAAGCTCGAATTTTCCCGATCCTGAGTCAATGCGAGTTCTTGGATACGAGACCAGAAGCGGATCAGTCGTTTATGGGTGTGTTGACTTTGTCTTCTTCGGAGGGATTTCACGTACTGAGTCGTTTTATGAAGACCAAGACTCTTTCTTGCCTTCGGCGATTCAGCGATACCACCAGCTTTTCATGCCGGCACTTCAGCTCGTTGCTGCGATGCTGACGACGTTGGGAGCTCAACATGCTACAGCGAGTAGTCAGGTAAGACTGATTTCTGATTTTTGTTGTCTGATGGATGGACTTTGACTTTGACTTGCTATCAGGCACTTGACTTTTTATCAAGCCATCGAGAAACGATCATCATTCTCCTCAAAAACGATGCTGAAGAGATCGGCTTGTCAATTGTTCAAGAAATCCATCTCATCGTGTCGCTGAGCAGAAGTGTCCTGACGCTCGTCCCAAAATCTGAGCTGGTGAGCCGCCGTTCTTACCCTTGTCTTACTCGGTGGCTGATTATGCTGTTCTAGATGTCGACAAATTCTGGGTTTGGTGGTATCCACGGAGCCGTGTTGGGCCTTGCTGCGAGGTGCCTTGGAAATAGAAACTGGAGTCAAGCAGTGAAACCTCAGACGGACGCAGAGGTTCTGCGAGCTAGCGTCTTTGCATCCGGGCATGGATCGACCACTCAATTTGATCTAAATTTGAGGCGCCAAGAACGGTTGCTCCTCAAGGCCATCGTGGAGTACTTGGGAACTGCTAGTGAATTTACAGGTAAGTTAGTGGCTGCCTTGCTTGAACGCTTGCTGAAAAATTGCAACTGTAGAGCCTGAGATTACGCTGGTGCTTTCTCCTGTGGTCACGGTCCCTCGACATGATGAACGATCGTCTCGTTTCGTTGGTATGTAATGGTCCTCTCTGTGCTATCTTCACAATCTTACATGGTTTGGCGTAGCCACCATACCGGCAGTCGGCGATGCTATCGAAGCGCTGAATGGACTCTGCGATGATCTTTCAGAGACTTTGAAACAAATAGCTGACTTGTCTGCTGAACTGTCTTCAAGAGACCATATTCGAGTCGACAACATTCAGGAGGTACGTCTGCGCGTCTTTCTGGAGGGTATTTTGAATTTGAACAATGTTTGGGTTCGTGCAGATCGTCAGCGTGTCTGATCCTGCTTTCCTACAAGATCTAGACATTGCGCAGAAGAGATCGTTGATATTTAGAGAGTATGAGCGACTTAGGAACGAGGCTCAAGATGAGGTTAAAAACATGCTTGGTGAGAATCGTTTCGGGACGCTATTGCTGGGTGATATTCACGAGCGCATACACAGGCACTACTGAGATGGTATTACTGTTGCTATGGCGCCATCTCGTGAGCTATGTGGAGCGTGATTTATCGAGCAGCACAACCTCGGCGCCAGCCATGAATATGAAGAGCACCCTCAGGCTTCTTCCGCCTCCAGACTCTGATTCGTTCAAGGCGAATGCAGGCAAAAGATTGATCGGCGCGCTGGCGAGGCTATCAACATTGGATTTGGTGAGTTCATTCGTTCGTGTTCGCATGGCTTTTGGTGACGGTGATATCAGACGGTGGATACGCTGGGAAGTGAGTGGCAGTCATACCAGGGATATATTGAGATTATGTCGCGGAGGTTGAGGGATACGGTTGGGTTGCATGAAGCTCTGGAGTAGATGATTTGTTGTAGTAATCGTTTGTTGTTTTCAAAAGCATTGATCGCACTGCGCTCACAATGGGTTGATTGGCGGTGTTAGAATGAATAATGAGCAAGCACTAGATATCGTATGTGAGAATACAGTCATGTCAATGGGTTTCTATCATTATTTTTAGAAGGGTAATAGGCTTCCTGCTCCTCGAAGAGCGACTTGTCCACCAAAGCGCAACGTTTGTGTACCTCCCGGGAAGTACGCCAGGACATACGCTACTAGAGATACTACCTGGACGATACCTGCTAATAGCGAACCCAAGTACGATTGGACCTAAAAATGATCATTGAAATGGAGCCTCGTGGTAATGAAAGACTGCAGACTCACGCTGATGGAGAAATAGAGTGTCAAGCCCAAACTTGAGAAATAGACTAGGGTGAATGGCAGTCGCTCTTTTGAAATTAGATGTTTTGCGTGATTTAATGGCCCTATGAGCACTGAGAAACTTGAATATGGTAGTGCAGTCAGCTATGATCGGTTGGATTGACATGGAGTGGTAGGACATACCCGAACATCACGAGCAAGCTCCCCAGACTGCGAGGGAATTATCGATCGGAAGGTAAAGAACAAGGACCTATGCATACCTAAATGACAAAGCAAACTTTGCAGGATTGATTGGAAGCATAGGGAGGGTTATGAAAGCGACAAAAAAGCAGACTGCTGCGCCCAACAAGCATGCACCGAACCCGAGTAGCCTGGAGATTGAGGTCTGCGTTGAAAAGACTGGTAAAAGTTTTGAACGCGTACCTCTCCCAACGTGATAGCGCAAACCATGCCTCATCTTCGTTGGAGCGTTCGTCGGATCTGAGTGGGATATAATCGCCTGCTACTGCATTATAGAAGCGCGAGAATGGGTTTGATGATGGGAGTGATTGTTGGGTTTGTTGAGAGTCGTCTGTGACGCCTCTGGCCCAGCGAAACTGAGAGAGATTGGCCCTGAAGCTTTGTTCTGAGGATGGCGGCATGATGGTGTTCACGGGAAAAGAAGGAGCATGTGAAGCTTAATTTTGTGCCTTGTTCATTCACACCAAACTGGGCTCACGTCATGCTTCGAGTCGACTTCTGCTGCGGCAACTGCGCCTTACAGGCACTCATCACACAGAATCGACAGGATGCTACCAGAATGATATACGCGCAATGCATAAGGTCTGAGCTGAGTGCACACCGTTCGCGATCAAATTCAACAAGGGCGAAAGCCTTAAGGGCAGGAAGTGACTTGGTAGTCTAGTAAGTGCGATCTTTAGTGGCCCCGAATCAAGACCAAATGGGTTGATACTCCAGTTATGGTTCCATGCATTATTCGGATATGATAACACGAAGGTCTGTCTAAGGGAGATTAGCACAACGCTCGAGTGCGACACGCCGGCTTAGAGCATCGAAATCGCGATACAAGCCTACCCAGCACCTGCCACGACGACGAGATAAGCGTGCACAGTGAATGGTCACCGTGCGTTGTACTGCATGGCCAGCACACCACTTGTCTAATCCTCCACACTAAAGCAGAGATCACCGTGCCGCGCCATGAGGAACAACTAGCATCCGTGGTAGTATACGACAGGCTGGTCACAAGCCTACATATCCTCGTGGTATCTAACAAAGTAGTAAGGGGATCTCTAAAGCTAAAGAGTAAACTCTATAAGATTGCTACTTTGCATTCTGCGTGCCATTGAGATATCTACAAGATCATGTGTGCAGGCCATCTAGGGATGCAGTAACAACCGACTACTTATAACACACCAACAGGATGGCGACGTACAACGCGTGGAACGACAGACTCTACGTGCACCAGGAGCCATGTCTGGAATATAGATCTATCGTCTAGCACACTGGGCCGTTGGAGAGTGAGAGTGTGAAGGCAGAGTATCGCGATCTTCCAATTATCTTGGTGCGACGACGAGGCTGTGATACCATACTTGCCATCATCCTTCTTGTGCTGAAATATCCCCTTAAAGTCAGACTTTTTCTCCCTGCATCTAACCGCATCCACTGTGAGCCAGTCGTCGAGTAGTCTGCCCTCGCCCGAGGGCAAGAGTTCGCCACCCTTATACCGAAGACAGACCCAGACGAGGACCCATATGAACGATTCAGCGTCGTGCTGGTACAAGTGTTTGACTTTGCCTGCGAGAGCATCTTCCCGGAGCAGTTCAATTGCCATAAATGGCACTGTTCCTATGCGCTCGTTGCCGCTAGGCCCGTCGGAAATTGATGACAAGTCGTAGTCATTGAGAACCGCCACCCATTTGCCATTTAACCGGTACACCATGAGATTGTTCGGACTGACGTCGCGGTGATGGATACCGTGCTTCCAGAGGGTATAATGACCTGTAGGCGCAGTTAGGGACAATAAAGAGCACAATAAAAATCACACTCACAGAGTGCGGCTTGCCACCATGCGCCGAGGAACTTGTTATCGCTCAGCTTCGTGATTGGACGAAGCTTCCTGAGCACGATGATATACAAGACGCGACTGCCTTCTTGACCGGGAGGGTCTTCAATCCCTAGTGCCTTCCTGATGTTCACCGTTGACGTCTCGTCAAACCTGTGGGACCAGACCAGGTCTGGAATGTGGTTCTTCACTGTTGACTCCTTGCTCGCAATGGCATACACCTTCTGCAGTATCTCATCCTCGCTCTGGCGCCGCTCTTCTGGCCAATAGAGCTTGGCAACCAGTTTCTTGGTACGATTACCACAAATATCCCTAGTCTTCCTCGTCTTCGATAGATACTTGCTTTTCACTGGAAAGACATTGGTTGTGCGGCCGCGTAGACCGAAGTGAGTAGTGCAAGCGTTGGACTGCAAGTCAAGTTTGAGATCAACTTCGCCGACAAGAATGTCGCACGAAACTCCAGGCACAGTGGTGAAGTGCGAATTATGGCCCCATTGTTTGGGTGTCATGCGCTGCATAGAAAGCAGCAAGACCAGAAAGCGAGGAAGATCTTGGATGAAATTGAAGCCGGCGGATTGAATGGCGTTCTCGCGATCAAAATACCAGATGTAGATGATGTCGTCTAGCACGGGTCATCAATGTGACGAGGGGCCTGCAGGATTCAGTCGACCTACTCATCACCACATAGGAAATGATGTGCTGCAGTGCAATGTTGGCGGCAGATATCTCTGCGGCATACACACCATTCTGGACGTTAGGATGAATCTTTTTTGGCTCCTGCTCTGTGTTGTTGTTCTTGTCGTTCTCGATGGATGTGTCGTGCTTGCGGGATGCGTAGTCGTTCTCGTTGGATGACTCGTCGGGCTCGCTGGATGACTCGTCGGGCTCGCCGGATGTGTCGTCGCTAGATACGTAGTCCCTCTCGTTGGATGTGTAGTCGCTCTCGTGGGATGTCTTGAGGCGCTTGACGTCTTCGCTGGAGATTCTATCCTCAGGTTTACGTTTGTTTTTTGCTGCTTTTGCTTTCAGTCGCTCGGACCTACGCGGAGCTCGGGCTGAATCGTGAAGGTCAGCAATGAAGTAGTAAGTAGATGCTCTAGGTGGGCTTACCTTCATTCGATGTCATGTTCGCAGGAGCCGAACTCGTTGCATTAGCAGGGGCTTTCGTTTTCTTCCGAGAGTCCAGATACTTCGTCACAGGGGCGGTATATTTCGTCACTTCATATTTTTTGGGGGGAGGGGCCAGGCGACAGCGAGGGCATTTGAATTCCACTGTTGATCGAACACCCGTCCACTCGAAGTGGCCGACAGGTTTGTGTGCCGCCTCCTTCGTGTAGAACGCCTTCTTCGCCCTAGCCTTTTCGTCCAGATTCCCCTCTTTACCCTTACCCTTATTCTTCACCTCGGCCCTACTACCCTTACCCTTTCTCTTACTCTTACCCTTGCCACGCTTGCTCTTTCGATTGATCGTCGCATCCTTCGCCGTTTCCCAAGAGACAAGAACGACCTCAGGCTTGCATGTCGACCATACGCCTTGGTGCATTTGTGTTATATTCTTGTCGTTATGATGAAAGAGGATATCGGTGTCGTCGTTATGCGGAGAAGCACGTAGTCCGGACACCTCCACATTGCTCAGTTCGAGGAGTGCAGTGTTGGCCGCACGCACAAAATGCTCGTAAAACTCTGGCTCTACAGTGCAATCGGCACTGGACAAAGGCATTGAGTTCCTTACACACTGTTTGACCTCCCTACTTACAAAGCAGTCAAGTTATCTGTGATTTCTGGAGTGTTGTTACAGATGTCCAGCACGGCTTCAAGGGAATCTTGAAGTAACTTCGACTTCTCACTGCTAGAGCGCTGTTCGAAGCCACAAAGAAGTTCCTGCAGCATTCCATCTGCATCGCATTCCTTGTAGTTGTCGACATCCCGAGTGATCCATGGGCGGACATTATCAACCCTGCGTGCATGACGAAGTTCAATACCGGTGGCCGAGAAAAAAGAAGAAGCAACGTACTTAACGCCTACAGTATTGACGGCGTCGCTGATAACGGCAGAACCAGTTGCAAGTGGGGTAGACCTGAGCGCGGATTCAGAATTGACGCCGTGACCCGGAGGAGCCGTCTTTGGCGCAGTGGCGCCAGTGGCACTATTGACCATGGTGACAAGGCTAAGTGCTGCAAGGAAATAATTCGTTAAAAACAAAAGAACTCAGATTGAGGTTCGCGTTTAGGTCAGAACGCAACTTCGGATGAGTTGATAGCAGAATGCAGGATAGGAGCCACAGTTCAACGTTCAACGTTCAGACTCTAGGGGCGTGTCAGCCGCTCGGCTCAATTCGGTCGACTCGTCCCGCGCGTCTGTTGGTATGGGAGAGTTGAGGAGAGCGGTGCGGGTGCAAGGTGAAAACAAGTGAATATATTCAGAGAGCACCCGCTGGTTTTGGGTGGGGTCTCAGCGCTCAGCATGTGACTAGATCTACAGTACTAAAAAATCCCTAAAAACACGGAGAGTGGGAGTCTGCCTGGTCTGTCTGAAGGCTGAGGCCTGGGTTGTGCCGAGAGTACGAGGTGACACGGAAACCACCCAACAGCGCCAGAAGGACGTAGGACGCGAAAACAGGGAACGCGAAGACGAACGGGGGAACTGCCCACAAGCGGAGGCCTGCAACGAAAAGAGAGTGATGGGACACGAACGCGAAAGAACGGAACGGCGAAGGGGGGTAGGGGATGTTCAAGGAGCAGATGAGATTCGAGGGCCGATCATTTCTACATGTAGGGGAGCGAGTTGTTCGAGGCAGCGCCAGTAGCGTAGGAACGCGTCTGAAGACCAACAGCTCAGAGTTTTCACTGTGTGGGGAGGTACACCACGGAGCAAAAGCTCTGTGCCACTGCAACAATAGCGCTTTCCCAAAAAGGACATTTCTGGTCAATTCCTGGGGAAATAGAAAAGTCACCCTTCGATTGTGATTTTGCACCTAAAAGTGTGATCAGCCGCCAAAACCTGTCCAGTTCCGAATAAGGACCGGAAGAATTTGAATTTGAATTCGAGCAGCTCACATGCCAGCACTGACATTAAAATCAAGTATGCTGGCCAAATGAACTGCATCCTCCAATTCAGGTGTCCATCAGCATAATTTCCTAACTCTGGGTCACTGTAAATATTAATATTAACGAGTTACGGCCAACATCTTCTCTTGGTGGTTAGATGAGGCCCGTGGGTCGAATGCCAGCATTACTTTAATCTATTGGTACGGGGTGCTATGGGGTGCTTAAAAAGCTATTCATCACTTGACAGCACTTTGACTTACGATGAGTTTCTTCCAATCCTTCTTTGCGCTCATCCCACTACAACTACCTGACCTGCGCATCTCTGACAACACACAGCTCCTCCTCAGTGCTGTGGCTTGTTTTAGTGTCATAGGAGTAATTGCTCGGGCTTTCCGTCCTAAATCAGAAAACAACCTTCCTCTCCCGCCTTCCCCACCCACATGGAGACTTGGGGGACACTTCCGGCCACCTAGCAAGTAAGAATCCGCATTCGAATCACTGGCTTTTGAATGTTAATCGTGTCCTATCGTTGACAAGACCATTTCTCACTACAGCGGGATGGATCGACGAGTACGGTCCTGTGATCACCATTCGATCAAGACTTGAGAAAATTGTTATTGTCGGTCGTTACAAAGTAGGTCCCTACACGCTGCGTTATCATATTTAGGCTCAACGGCATTCTGTTTGCAGGCCGCCATGGACATTTTGGAGGATCAGGGAAAATCGACAGCTGATCGTCCCCCAAAGATTGCTGCTGAAATGACTAGCGGCGGATTGAGCATTGCCTTTGCACCCTTTGGAGACAGGTACCGTCGGATGCGTAGGTTAGCAGTCCGCGATACTTCTTCTTATCTATCTTACGTTTCAACGTGATGCAGAGCACTTCATTCTCATCTCTCGCCTACAGCGGCTGGGGCCTATGAGCCCCTGCAAAAGTCACACGTGAAAAACTTGATTCTTGGCATTCTCGATGAGCCACACAACTTCCAGAACCATGTGGTAACGTAGGTGCTGTTGCTTATGATAGAATTGGTACTTTGCTTACGGTTGCTTTGAAGTTATGCTGCGACGACAATTCTGAAAGTCGCATATGGGAAGAATACGCCCACGCTTGCGACTGATCCCGAAGTCATTGAGATACGCAAAGTCTTCGGGATGGTTGCTGAAGCCCTGCGCCCTGGTGCTTACCTGGTAGACTCGATCCCGTGGCTCAGATACCTTCCTTGGTATGGCCGGGATTTAAAGATGAGGTTTCAGAGGAGCAAGAAACTTAACACTGGACATCTGAACCGTGTGAAAGAGCAAATGGTGTGCATTCTTCTTTCCATCTTCACTTCATGATTGAATCGTTCCACAGAAGAGCAACGAGGACATCGGCCCTTCGTTCATGAGATATATGCTAGAAAATAGCCATCTCTATGGTTTGACAGAGATTGAGATGGCCTTTCTTGCAGGTGCATTTTTTGGAGCTGGATCACAAACGGTGAGATGCTGTTTTGTTGCCTTTGAAGATGTGTGGCTGAAAACAAGCGCAAGACTTCTATGGCAATTTGCACGGTGCTCATGGCAGCCGGATGTTTCCCCGAGGAGCAAGCTAAAGTTCAGGCCGAGCTCGATGCGGTCATCGGAAGGCACCGAGGTAGCTTGATCCCCTATTGCAGCGCTGTGGGTTCAATATTTTTTGCACTAAAGCGCCGACCTTCGACGACCAAAAATCCCTTCCTCGCCTACAAGCATTCATCTCTGAGGCTATGAGATGGAGACCTCTGACTTCCGGTGGTGGGCATCTTCCTTTTCGTTTTTGTGCCTAGGTGTCACAACATTCACGCCGCAGCATTGGCTCACCGAACAACCAAAGACGTGATTTGGGCAAGTGATCTTTTAACAACTTTTCGCGCGAATGATGATCTGGCCCATCAGGAAAACTATTGTATTCCAAGTGGGACCACTGTATACGGCGACGTTTGGTAAGCATCGTGCTTCAAGATACTGAGGATCTAACGGTCGCTGCCTTAGGTGCATCTCTCGAGATCCAGATGTCTACCCGGAGCCTGATGCGTTCAAGCCTCAGCGCTGGATTGACGACCAAGGTAACCTGAGAGAGGATTTAAAATTCTTTACTTTCGGGTTTGGTCGACGGTGAGCATTGTCTTTCGGTTACTAGTTTTTTTGAATGACATTCCTTTTCAGCGCATGCCCCGGTCAACATCTCGCGAGCAGGTAACGCTATTTTGTACGCACGCGGTCTTTAGAACTCATTTTGGTTGGTGCAGGTCGATGTACATAACTACCCTCCTTATTTTCTGGGCCTTCCAGCTCACTCTGGATCCTACGAAGCCATTAGAGGATATGGGGTTCATTGGTAGGTTGGGGATGCCAGTTGTACCGCCGTGCGTATTGGAGTTTAAGAAGAGGATTCCGGAAGTGGAGCTCAGGCGCATGATGCAGGGGTATGCTGAGAAGCATTGATGTCTTGATGGGTCAGGGAGAGAACGAAGAATCAATTGGTTCCCAACGAATCACCAATATTGGTGCATCCCTGCAGGACAGTATGTTTAATTTTGGCCGAGCTGATTCTGAATTGTGCATCATGTAGTTCCTATCTCCAAGTAGCTACCCTTTAATTTGTTGCAGAGCCTGGTAGCCATTTTCGAGTGGACGAAGCATCAGCTGCGTCAAGCTTGTTCTTTCTAAATTCAAAAAAAACAGTAATCGTCGACTCCCTGAAACTGTTCCTCTTTTACTGAGTGCAACGTGACTGTGCATATCTGCTCCAGATTAAGTGTGTTGCATCTATACAATATTTAAGCTTGAATAAATTGCGTCCACCCCGTCATGCTATGCTGACGCGCGTTTTTGCCGTTGGTCTGTACCGATGCATTTGAATAATTCGCGTCATTTGATATCGTTGCTCTGCGTTCTCCTATTTCCTTGCGCGCACTGCACTATGGCGCTCTGCAGAAAAGAATTTCTAGCGATACGACAGATTCGAATTCATCGCCACTTCAGACAGCGGTGATCTCCATCACCAAAATTCCCCAAGTCTGAAATTACCTTATGCGGACACTTTCCCGCGCCACAATCTTTTACGGGCTGATGACGCGATGACGATTGATGACAATGGGCTCGCAGGTTCAACGACACTCCCTCAGACATACCTCAATACCCTCCTAAACGTGTAAGGCCGCCATCAGTCTGATGCGCCCCTGGTAAGTTCAAATTTCCCCTGATATTCCACAACCAGCTCCGATAGATATATACGTGGGGGACGTTAATTCTCAGAATGCTTCCACTCATGCCTTTCTTTGGCAGGCGTCTCTCGTACGACGGAGCATTTTGACTTCTGCAGAACTTAACCCATGATTTCTTTTTTCCAGGACGCTTCGACCAGACCTGGCACAGGGTTTGCCTTTCACGCCACCGTCAGATTTCCGCTCAGAAAGCCAGTGATTCCAATTCCTTCAGTCCGTCTTTTCAGTCAAACTATTGTGCACGTCTCGAAAATTAGTCTGATTCACGCCACTCTGAAACCGTCGACTTCAACTCTCCGGTAAGTAGATATCATATATGCGCATTTTCCTGTTGAATCAAAGGATTTTTTCCATAGAATATCCTCGAACCACTTCCGCTCGGTGATGGACCTGAGAAATTGATCCTCGCAAGACAAGCACTTCTTGCCACGCTTCTTCTCCCTGCTCATATCCCAGATAACGCTCTAAACCCAATCCTCATTCCTCCACTGTTAGTAAGTCACACTCGACCTCCCGAGCAAAAATATTTTGAAAACTTTTGTAGCATTGGCACTATACTCGCAATCACCATCCCTCAAGTACCTGTTGTGTCATTCAATAGCTCCATGCCTCTGGTTGCTGCCACTGGGAACTACAATGCCTCGATTCCCAGCAAATTTCTCCCTTCCGGCACACGCAGTTTATCCAAGTTGATACCACCGCTAATATAATTCCCCTTACATTCAACTACATGTCTGCTGAAGTTCGGGATCCAACACGAATCTACAAGTCGGTACGGCTTACTTTGGAAAAGACACCCTCCCCGCCAAGTTATTCGAAGATCCAGGTCCCGCTCAACTTCTTGTATATTGCATCGAACGACTCGGATCCGACGTGGAATGTCTGCATTGTGGTATGCGTGATGCTTTCCGTGTACGCAGTGTTTGACTTGCTTATGCTGGGGACATGAAATCAGTATATGCAATGCACCATGTGTCTTGTACTATGTGACAGTCTGTAAATGTCTTGTTAATCCACTAGGTTGACCATCCCAGCGACCACGGGGACGAAGTAATGTATAGGTTCATCATTTCACAAAGCCGTCGAGAAAGTCATGTATCTGAATTTCAATGAATGCTATGTATGATGGCAGACGTCTATCAGTAGCAAAGTATCTTCAAATACATGCAATAGTAGTCTCTTATATTGCAGCGAAGAGGTTCTGAAGGGGTGACCGGTGACCGCTTAGCGGGCGCGGGAAGCAGCAGTACTCGTTCGCTAAGTGTGCGAAAGACACGAGAAACACCTTGCTAGACGTGCAAAGCAGCTAATGTCTGGAACATATTCAACGTCCATCGGAGAAGGGGGTCTGTTGGTTGCAGCAGAAGTACTCGTACTTCCGGTCTGCAAGGTTGCTGAGGTAGTTCCATCAGTCACATTGGATGTGCCCAATGGGGGTGCGCTGCTGCTCGAAGCACCAGCATTCGCTACACCAGTGTTGGAAGTGTGGGCTGGTTGGGGAGGGGGACGTGGTCGCTGCACCACATGCCGTTTCCCGCTGATGGCGTTAGCGGTGCACTGCGAGAATGTCATGAAGGGATCATGGATTGCCACAGCTCAGGAAACTTACGTATTTGCCCCGAGTTGCGAAGACATCCACAGTGGGGTTCCTGCTGGGGAGGGGAGTATCACCCTGAGGAGCGGAAGAGCGAGAAAAGAGACGATTCATGATGTTTTTTTTTTTTCATTCGTGAGCCTTCGGCATGGCGCGTGGTTGCAGTAGTGCGATTGTTGCGTCCAGGTGGGGAATGCGTATCAAATTGCAGAAGGATGATGAGATGTGCATTGAGACTACCCCATGGTACGGCAGAACGTTGAGTAATGGTAGTGAATTTGATAATCACGTGCGTCATTGATACGTGAACCAAACACCACGTCAATAACACCAAATATTGATAACACTATCTCATCGGCGGTCGTGTCCTAAGTTCTAACCCTTAGCCCTACCACCATGTCAGCCTGTCGCACTCAAGCTCCTCTGATCCCCTATTTGATTATTTCTCGTCGTATGAAGCTTTCACTTGGAAAGTGTAAATTGTAAGCACACTGCATACATCCATCGGAGTCATCACCAGGGCCCTTGAAAGTCAGAAAATGGAACTTTGGAGGGGTAAGCAACCACATAACGAAGTTGAAAGAGCAAAATAAAGTAGTCTAAGCATCCACAATTGTGAGTTCTCAGATTACATGTCAAAATATAGCGCATATATTGACTTTATTCGATCTCGTAGTCTTTTGACACCCGACCTCCCTCAGCTTAGGTGAGTGATGTGATCCGAACATGGGCGCTAACTATCTTAGACTAAGTCTATCTCTCGTGTGTTGCTATGCAAAAGCCACGGTGAGCCGCCAGCCCTATGTCATGTGCTTCGCGAGCTCAACATAACTCACTCCGCCGTCGGAAAATGCTGTTGTCAAATCAAACCCTGTACGCCTCGTCTCGCATCTTATGTTCACACAGCGGTACCGCAATGCTGCGTTCGCTGGTGGAGAGGAAAGGTGTTGTTTGATTAATTTGATGGCTGTTGTAGAGTTCTTGGAGAATGTGGATCTTGGTGCTGTGGGTGTTGGGAAGGGTGTTGGTATTGTTAGGTGGGTGTTCAAGCTTTTCGATCCCTCCATCTCGTGGGTTTGCTTGATTCAAACCGCTGTTCCTTGTTTCCCGTACTCTAATATCCATTCTCATTCGATGCGCTAACATTGATTGTCTACAGCACCGCAGACCTCACTCCAATCCCAATTGTACGCACCACACTTCCACCAGACGCACCTGCAGACGCGCCGGGCAGCCCCCACGGACGCGTAGAACAAGGTGTCGATGCCATCGCTGGGTCTGCTAATAAAGTAATGATGGGCGTCGTAGACAGCTCATTCGGCGTCCTCCGCTCATTCCTACCATCTGCACCCAGCGCAACATCTGCTCTTACTTCAGCATCTGCTGTAAACCCAATATTCACGTCTGCCCCTGCTACAGAGACCAGCGACGCGCAGTGGAACATGGACCACGTACACCGAGCCCTCGCTGGTATACCTGCACCCGTCTGTTGTCTTCAATGCAGATTCGGACGGGAATTCAGAGCCAGGCTGCTGACAACGAGGGCATGTCTCGTCCGATCATCGCATGTTTCCTTCTTGTTGTCGTTGTCATACTGAGCCTCCTTCAGAAGCTTTGGCGCGTGTCTGCCTCTTAGAGAAGCCCTGGTGCACGTTCTGCTCTTAGATGTACTTTTACTGTCTGCGCATACCATGTAATACAATACCGAAATGAAGTGTTCTTATCAGAATCCAATACCAGATCAGAACATATAAGTAGCATTGCCATATCAATGCTTATAAGCTCAAAATCTATGCTAAGGTACGAGTTACTTACCCAACCTCCGCCATCTTACCTTCAATTGAGTTTCTCAACCAGATCTTATACGTCGGTTCCCCCGCCTTCCGCGCGCTGATACACCTGGTGCACCTTTTGTGACCTTGCGCATCCTGGTCAGTCATTATCAGCCCTTATCCGAGTTGGGGAATTTCGGTGATGTCCGTGTCAATGTATTTATGTTTGGTGCGAATACAGCTTCCGCCGAAGATGGTATCTATCTGTTGGACGTGCACGAACGACTATTCTCGACCTCCGCACTGACCCCTTTGCTCACGGTCAATTATATACAGCGTGATCGAGAGTAAGGACACGGAGAGACACACTATCCTTATTTACGGAGACGAACGAAGAACAAGATTCTGCAAACATTGTATTTTCCGAGTTATTATTTTAAACGCAATGCTATTATATACAATGAATCATATATACAATATCAGCCATATCATAACACACCTAGTCGTCTTTAGAATCATAACGCCCAAATCCGCATGCCCAAACCTTCTGCCAATCTTCACGAGCATACCTAAAGTGTAAACGAGAACGGGACACCTTGAAACGAACATCATCCGACACAATACACTCCTCTCCGGGACCCCTCTTGATAAACCCACTCGCCACGTACGGAACAGGGTGGCGCAGCAAGGATGCAGACAACATCAGCACCTCCACATGCAAGGGCAATCCCGTTGTGATCAATGCGGATGAATCGAAAGGGCGTCTGACATGCGCATAGGCCAATGACACTGTTTGAAGCTTCTGGAAAGAACCCCATGGAGTGCGCTCCATCCACTTAGGCAGGTCGTACATTTGAGCATAGATCAGATCATGGGCAAGATGACAAGGGTCAATAAGCCCAACCCATCCCCGGGGGATGTCCGCCGTGAGGGGTCCCCATGGGGTGTTGTTGGACGTGTTGTTGGAGGCGAGGTGAAGGATCGAAGCAACGAAAGCAGATCCATGGGAAGTACCCATCAGGAACTCCCATGGTCTGACGCTATCTGCCTTACCAGATAGCGTCAGAGTTTGGGTTTTCCAGGGAGGCGGGGAGTGTTCGTTGTTGACGTCTGTGTCTGTACGGGACTCCCATGCAATTTCCAGGCAGTCTGAAAGAAGGTCCAGACTTGTCCAGGCAAGGGCAATGGAGGGCGCAGTGAGTAGCACCGGAGCCAGCAGACCCATGGCACGCTCGCGCTCAGACGCCGGTTCATAGCCCAGGGTTCTGAGCAAGTTAGGTTCTGCAAGATCCTCGTCCTCTCCAATCCAAATTTTCTGTACGAAAGATGCGTACTCGAATTGGAAGGGGCTGCTTTCTTGAGCATATGCTTCCTGCATATGCAGAGCTTCCACGAACTTTCTCACGTTCTGAGATTTTGGGAGCGATACGGTGTGCAGTAAATAAGGAAGCACGATCTCCCTGAAATTTTTGGAGACGAGACATAGCGAAAGAGTGGTCGAATAGGGATTATGATCAGCATATTTTTCAGCTTGGGAAAAAGTTGGCTGTGCAGCCTCTCTGATGATGAGGAGGACAAGCTCAGCTGGAAAGAAGCCAAATGGAGATCGGGTGATAGGTTGAGATGCCATGATGAGTGGGTAAGATGTGAAGCTGGTTTGAAGGAGCCCTGCCTTTAATACTCCCCCATGATTTGCGGCGTCAAAGACAGTAGTGGAAGCGCATTGTGTGTGGGACCACACGCTTTGATACGGAGGTCTACTGCAGATTCGTTGTTCCTTCGAGGTCGTACAATGTGCTTTGCCCTGCCTTGTCCTTGCCTGTTGTGCTCTCGCCCAGTCGTGTACTGGACCTGTGGATTACCATAGTGATGCAAAGGTAGCACGAACTATAGATTCTACCTGGATCTTGATTTCCGAACAGAGTCCATGTATCGGGTTTGGTGGCCAAACTCGATGCGTGTGCACGAGCTCATTCAGATTCTGTCATGGCAGAATGAGTTGCTCCTGGGGAAATTTCACTGCGCTTCAGATCAACGATAGTTTGAGAATGAACGTCCTCCACAAAACAAACACACCTCATTGCTCTCTTGCAGCTGCGCGTGTCGTTGAAACTCGAGGTGCCGGTTAACCATGGTTAGCAAATTTGATAGCTTGTTTCATATTATCTTCCACCTTCTTCCACTCTGTCGGAAATTTCCAAACTTACAAATTTTTTCGGGTCCGCTTTCAAGGCGAAGTTGCTTCAAATGGGCTCGAGGACTTATAATGCCCCACGCCAACCAAAAATAACTTTTCCAACATCAGGGTTTCCCTGTGGATGAAACATATCGACTTGTTGTTGTTCCCTTAGAGTCAATTTAGCCTGACAAGCTAGCCAAGGGTCGAATTACGAAACCGCGGGATAACACAGGTTACTAGTACATATGAAACAGCCTCACATTCGTCGGCGCGATTTCTTCGGCTTCCTTCGCTTTAGCACTGGACCTGCAAATGCGCGAAAACCACTCCAGCCCATGTATATAGGTACACCCCGAGATTGACACGCAGTTCTGTTACAGGGTTATTTACAGTGGTATTACATAGCTGCAGACAACAATCAAACCTCATAGCGGCGTACGCGAAGAGGCATACTTCCAGCATCAGCATTTCCAACCACACTCGGTCTCGGCAGAAGCCCAAAACTCTCCACAATCTCCACTCCAGGGCTATCCGCCATCTCAAACACGAAGTTTCGCATAAGCACGAACATCACAGACTGGGACGAGACCAAACCCGGTCAAAACGAATCAGAACCAATACTCTTGCACAACTGCATACCTTGAACTCTGTCAATGCAAATACTCGACCCAAGCACATCCGCGGGCCATCGCCAAATGTCATTAAATGACGATAGCCATGCAGTGCTTCTCTGCCCCCAGGCGTGTCCTTGTCCTCATTGAGCCACCGGGAAGGTTTGAACACCTTCGCGCCAGGCCCCCACATACTAACTGAGCAATTGAGCGCCGCCAGCGGGATAACGATTTCTGTCCCCTTTGGGATGCATACGCTGTCAGTAAAATCACCGGCCGCCGTACGCATGGGTTCACTGAGCGGGATCACGTCTTCTTCCAGAGCCTGCAATAGTTTGTTCGAGTGAGTTGTGTTGAATGATTATTGGATCGTACCGATCGTGCAAGTTCCTTGATCGACGGATGGAGCCGAAGAACTTCACTCACTACAGCGTCCAGGTATGGAAGCTTATTTGTGAGGTCGTCATATGAGGGGGTTGACCCAAAGTCTAGACACTCGTCGCGAAGCTTCGTCTGAATGTCTGGATTCCGCGCAAGTTCTATCAAAGCCCACTGTGAAGTTGAGAAACGCGGATGAAGCAGTGAACAGTTCAAAACATACTGTCATGCTGACTGATGAAATGCAAGCAATGGTGAGTGTGCGATTTATTTTGCTAGACAAATGCACGTTACCTGAAGTAGTCTCGAAGCCGCCGAGAAGTAGAGCCCTTACCTGGTGGAGATGGAAATTAGTATCACATAGCTTAGGGAACTTCTATGATTATACCTGGGCTAGCACTTCTTCGTAAGTCAGCCCCGCGCTCTCACCAGAATCCTCCGCTTTTACTACACAAAAGTTGTAGCGTTTGCAATTCGGAGAACCAAGGGCAGAACTCACAGAGCAAACCCAAGCATGATTTGTCCCCCTGCCCGGTGCCGCCAGCCTCTTTTTCCTTGCGCGACCGCGATATCGTCTCGTTGCATATTTTACCAAGACTCAGGGTCAGCTTCTTGAAGAACCGTGTGTGAGGCAATGGCAGCTTCAGGATGGAAGGAAAATTTTGTGCAAGGATGGCCAGGTCTTGGGAAGCATTGGTAGCTGAACTAGCCGCATTCAGGACGTACTGGACATCAGACTCATTTCCATCGAGTGCACGGAAGTCATGGGACAGGACGGCTATGCCCACGCTATCAAGTCTACGTGGCGGGTGTTGCATGAGACAGCAGCCTGGTAGAGAGGGATGGATATACATACGTAATGTGATTCATCCTGCATGATGTGTGTCTGAGTGCGTAGGTAGGAAACTTTGGGAGAGAAAACAAATACCATTGTTGAACGTCAATTACAGCGCAATGACCGCCCTGGTTCGATCCTATCTCAGCGTCCCAAGCGATCGCTGCCTGTGACCTATTTTGAGTGAAGTGACGGGCGAACGATTAGTGACTGACCTTGTGAGCTGCATCTTGGAAAACATATGTCAAGCTACGGATGGCAGCCGCGCTGAAGGCAGGGTTGAGAGCCTTGCGTTGCCTGATGAATGAGATAATGGCGTGGATTTAGAGCGGCACCACGCGAAGGTCATAGTTCTGACCTTTTGTGACTTTCACCATTGGACCACAAAATTCCTCGTCCAGCCTGTTAGTCGCAGAAGCTCACCATGACCATACAGTTGAACAAGGAGGTAAAGGGACATACAGTTATGCTAATGGCGAGCTTGTTGAATGGAGTTTGGTCATATAACAACGTGTCTCTTGCGACGAAATGAGAGATCGCTTTTGGGTCCCATAGTATGACCCTGGACTCTCCCAAGGCGAGGGGGACCCTGTACACTGGACCATACTCTGTGGCCCAACGTTCGTATAGTTCAGTAGTGGCGGTAGAATCTAGCACTGTCTTGGACCAGCCAAACACCCAACTTGGGCTCTGAGGTCCTCGTATGCGTGTCGCTCGTCGGTTTCGGCGATACACTTGCAGGAGATAGAGGGACATCAGTATCAGAGCTGAGACATGTGTCGTTGAACTTGTTAGGGACACTGAGAGGCAGAGGTCCTTCAAGGCATGCCAAATGTCCCTGCCGTAGTGCGTGCTTTGCGACACACCCATGGTTGAGAACAAGGGTATGATCGGGCAGTAACTGAATACTGGATGGCCTTTTATTATTTTGTAAACCAAATACACCACGAAAAGGGGTTCAGCTGATTGGCGAAGGACTTTGCTAAACACACACAAAAGGGCTCAGATGATTGGCCAAGGACTTTGTCAGACACCCCAAGTGAAAATTAAAAATAAGCGAGAAGAAGCGGGAAACAGCTCGCCGTAATCAAAGTTGATGATTGACTCATCGTCCATTCCACGATCGTTGATCGAGTTTAAACCGTCAAGCACGGCAACCGTCCCGGTTGGGCATCATGCCCCGTGAAGAAACTGTGTCAGTGAAAATGGAGGGAAGTATAACCAACATCGCATTCGGAATCACCTGCAGCTGTTGAGCCTCATCAGAGGACTTGGTAAGCTGCATATATGCCGATATGATCGTGTATGAAAAGGTTGTCGTTATATTGGAATATAACTAAATAGCAATCAGATAGAGCCATGATAAAGTCGGAAAAATTCCAGCATTCAACGTAAAGCACTGTGGAAAGACTCACGAGTTCTCTGATGACCCTTGCTCCTCTGATGAGGGTCGGGGACCTGGCGCCCGATGGGCACTTTGAGGAGGTAAGCAACCGCATTATAATACCCATGCTCCCTCAATTATGGCAACAGTTTGAGGGGCAGACCTGTAATCACATATTAAAATGACATCATTTATATGGTGTCATTGCACTAACATTTATCATAAGTACGACAAGGTTAACGAAGACTGTGGGGCTCTGACACCAGTAGTCCAGTAGTAGTAGTGAGGAACTCACGGTGAAATTTCAACTTAGAGATCTGGTTGTTCCTGTGTATGGATGACGTTCGTACCCGGACCACGTCGGGAGTACCCGTTACACACATAGTCATCCAGACGATCCGCGAGATCGACGATTAGGAATTTAACGGTGGCATTGCACAGCTGCCGACAGCAATCAAACCTCATAGCGACGCATCCGGAGAGGCACACTTCCAGCCTCAGCACTCCCGACCACACTCGGTCTTGGCTGAGTTCCTAAACCCTCCACAATCTGCACCCCAGGGCCATCTGCCATTTCAAACACGAAGTTTCGCACAAGGACAAACAGCACAGCCTGGGACGTGACCAAACCAGGTCAAAACGAATTGGAACAAATACTTGCAGTGAAGTGAGCAGCTGCGTACCTTGAACTCTGTCAACGCAAATAACCTCCCCAGGCACATGCGCGCACCATCGCCAAAAGTCATCAGATGACGGTAACCGTGCAATGTATCTCTGGTCCCATGCACGCCCTCGTCCTCTTCTAGCCACCTGGAAGGTTTAAACACCTTTGCGTCGGGCCCCCACATGCTAACTGAGCAATTGAGTGCCGCCACCGGGACAACGACGACTGTCCCCTTCGGGATGCATACGTTGTCGGTAAGATTACCCGCAGCCGTGGTCAAAGGTTCACTGAGCGGGATTACGTCTTCTCGCATGGCCTGTCATTGTCAGTTCGAGTGTTGCATCGAATGTCTGTCGGATACGCACCGATCGCGAGATTTCCTTGGCTGCTGCGTGGAGGCGGAGAACTTCATTCACTACAGCATCTAGGTATGGAAGCTTATTTGTGAGGTCGTCATATGAGGGGGTTGACCCAAAGTCTAGACACTCGTCGCGAAGCCTCGTCTGCATGTCCTGATTCCTCGCAAGTTCTATCAAAGCCCACTGTGAAGTTGAGAAACGCAGTTGAAGTAGTGAGCGCTTTGAAACTTACTGTCATGGTGACTGATAAATATGCAAGGCATGATGAGCATTAGGTTCTTTTACTAGATAAATGCACGCTACCTGCAGTGGTCTCAAAGCCGGCGAGAAGTAGAACCTTTGCCTGGCGGAGACCAAGATCAGTTTTACATCAGTAAGGAGACTTCTATGATTTGTATACCTCGTCTAGCACTTCTTGTTGAGTCAGTCTTGCGCTCTCACCAGATTCCTCCGCTTTCACTACACAACAATTGTAGCGTTTGCAATTCAACAAACAAAGGGCAGAACTCACAGAGCAAACCCAAGCTTGATTTGTCTCCCTGCTCGGCGCCGCCAGTCTCTTTTTCCTTGCGCATCCGCGATACCATCTCGTGACATATTCTGCCAACGATCAGGTTTAGCTTCTGGGAGAACTGTATGCGAGGCAGTGGTAACTTCAGGATGGAAGGAAATCTGTGTGCCAGGGTGACCAAGTTGTAGGAAGAGCTGGCAGATGAACTAAATGCATTCAGGACGTGCGCAACGTCGGAGTCGATTCCATCAAGTGCGCCGAAGTCATAGGACAGGATCCCTATACCCGCACTGTCGAGTCTACGTGGTGGGTGCTGTATGAGACCACAGCCTGGTGGAGAAGGACGGATATACATACGAGATATGATTCATCCTGTATAATGTATGTCTGAGTGCGCGAGCAGGAAACTTTCAAGGAGAAAATAAATACCATTGTTGAGCGTCAATTACAGCGCAATGACTGTCATGGTTCGATCCTATCTCAGCGTCCCAGGCGATCACTGCCTGTGACCTAATTTTGAGTGAAGTGACGGGCGAACGATTAGTGACTGACCTTGTGAGCTGCATCTTGGAAAATATATGTCAAGCTACGGATGGCAGCCGCGCTGAAGGCAGGGTTGAGAGCCTTGCGCTGCCTGATGATTGATGGATTTAGTTCAACACGACTTGATGGTCATAATTCTGACCTTTTGTGACTTTCACCATCGGCCCACAACACTCCCCTTCCAAGCTGTCAGTCGCAGAAGCGCACCGTCATCTTATAGCTGTACAAAGAGGTAAAAGGACATACTGTCATCTGGACGGCGATCTTGTTGAACGGAGTTTGGTGATACAACCATGTGTCTCTTGCAAAGAGATGAGAGATCGCTTTCGGGTCCCATAGTATGACCCTGGACTCTCCCAAGACATCCGGGACCTTGTACACTGGACCGTACTCTATGGCCCATTTTTCGTACAGTTCAGTGATGATAGCAGCAGAATTCACTGTCTTTGCGAAGCCAAACACCCAACTTGGGCTCTGAGGTCCTCGTAAGCGTGTTGTTCGTTGTCTTCGGCGATACACTTGCAGGAGATAGAGGGACACCAGTATCAGTACTGAGGCGCGGATCATCGAGCCTGACAAGGACCCAGCGAGGAAGAGGTCCTTAATGGCCAACCAAAAGTCCCTGCCGCAGTGCAACAAACCCATGGTCGTGAACAACTTGAAGAACCATCATCAATCAATCAAGGTTTATGTACTACCGGCAGCAACGGGCAATTGAGAATCGGAGAATGACGTGGCCGTGACGCGGCGTGTACGACGCGTTGGAATTGAATTCGAAATACATTTCATCTTCATTCTTGATGGATGTCCGAATCTGCGTACATGCCCGGAGTGCTGAAATGCACATCTAGATCTCAGCACAATTCCAGTGCTTGTCCTCCACATTCATACAGCTTAGGGATGTATTAATTTGTAGTGTGCCTCGGGGTTGAACGTTGAACCGTTGAACCAAAAGTCGCGTTCAATTTAGCGGTTTTGCTGAACGCATCAACAAGGCCATAAGAACACATACAACGTGTACACATGTTGAACTCGTCTGCGCTGGCTGAATTTGAAGGGTGGGAGGAGTGCGGCACCTGGAGTTCTAATAGCTAGTGGCCATGAGAGGGCGGGAGTGCGCAGGTGGTCCAGTAGTCGGTTGCGGCTTGCCAACGCTAGGCTCGTGACCAGCCTGAAGCGAGGAGTTTGAAATTTAGCAGGTGTTGGCCGTACCGGTGGTACTCGAATCGTTGTGTATAACCAAGTCTAAATTCGACAGTCACGCATCACAGCGTTTGATTGCAAAAGTTGATTAGATTCAACTTTAACAAACCAACCATGTCAATGGAGCTCAGTAGCGCTGCAGAGCTCAGACGATGGCTCACCTCCCATGGCGGATTTTTTCATTCGCTCGTCTCTTTGTCCCAAGGTGCTCGATCTAACACGTAAACACATCATATGCTTTCCGCCGTTTACTTTCACCGCCAGGCAAATTCGGACTCTCTGCCATCGCGCAGGATACTATCAATACCGACACAACGATCGTATCTTGTCCATTTTCACTGGCCATCGACGTGGAGTGTTCTCTGCGTGCTCTCACAGCGCTATTTGGCGAATCGACTCTCGTTGACCTGCAGTCGTGGTCGGAAAGGCAGCTTATTTGTACTTACATATGCTTGCACTGGATCTTCCCTGATTCTAGGCGCGTTGAATTATTTTTGTCCGTCTGCGTGCGTGTTTGATGATCCCACAATGCAGCCCAATTCCCGATGTTCTTCGACATCTCCCCTACTTGAAAAGCCTTCCACCTGCGGACGCATTGCTAACGCCACTTCAATTCACGCCATCTGAACTTGAGGCTTTCCGAGGAACTAACATCTACGGCGCTACCCGTGATCGTCAGGAGAGCTGGAGTGCTGAGTGGAACCAATGCCGAACCTTCATCCACGCCGTTAATCCGGATTGGGCTGAAAGATACACTTGGTATGTACCCTCCGTGCTTGTTTTATCCGCGTACACTCCTCAAACCAAATCAGGGATAAATATCTAATAGCATCGACGTATCTTTCAACCCGCGCATTTCCATCCACGCTCCTATCTCGATCCCCTACGCTGCAGACCACCGCCTCGAGTTATCCGTTCATGCTTCCGGGCGTGGATATTCTCAACCATGCTCGTGGACAGCCCGTTTCTTGGTGTACGTCGTATCCAGAGGGAAGTAAGGAAGAAAGGGATGACTCGGCCAATATTTCCATCATTTCGCATACCACGACGCTTCTTGGCGAAGAAGTCTTCAACAACTATGGACTGAAAGCAAACGACGAGCTGATCCTCGGATACGGCTTCTCGCTTCCACAGAACCCGGATGACAAAATTACGCTACAGCTAGGTGGGTCCTCTAACAAGTGGGTGATCGGTCGTCTTGCAAGTGGTGTGGAAGGACTCTGGAACGAAGTGAGGCGACTGGTGGCTGCAAACCTGGAGGAGATAGGGTACGAGGACGATTTAGAAGCAGCACAACTGCTGTTGGAAATGGTTCAGAAGAAATGTGATTTACTTCCGGATCTACCGGACGAGAAGGACGTCACTATACGCCCGGAGGTGAGATTGATGCTCAAACATTACCTAGAAGGTGGGTCTTCGGGAAATTCGTTGCGAGGTTTCCTGACGTCATTTTTTCAGGGCAGCGTGACATTCTTTCTTCGTTGAAATTGTACTTCGAGGAGAGACAAGAGGCCGCAATAGAGGCCGCAAGAGATGAAGGCATTGAATTAGTATTTGATGACGAATGAATATGAATAAAAGAGACTTGCTGGGAGCGCACCGTCAAGGTTCCTACAACCAATATCGACTAGAAATCAGTCTGCCCACTCAGACATCGATGATGGGGTGAATTTTTTTCAACAGAGATACAATAGCGCGGATATTGTGTAAACCACGAGTTGATAAAGGGCGAAACTCTCCAACCCAAGGACTCCAAAGGTAGAAATGCATTGGACCCCCGCCTAGTAAACCAACATATTTCTTCAAGCTGGACTTGCTGGACTTGGAGGAGATGATGCAAGCAATACGTGTAGCAACGTGAAAAGTGATCAACTTGTACCTGGGTCAAGTGCTGGGTTATGAAAACCATTGAAAATACAGGAGCCTTTGTAAGCTTCTGCCCTTCAGACAGAACGACGAGGTACGAACGCAGGCCCATAGAACACCACTGCATTTCAAGCCAGGAGAGGAAGTGATTATTCCAGACAGCCATATATGTATGGATGAGTACGTCGTCCCATGAGTTCGGAGCTCGCGAGAGATGAATAGCCCAGTGTTAACATGCGTATTTGAGAGTACCCGAAGCTGATCGACTTCGTTCTCGTTTGCGAGGTTTGTAAAGGTCTCCATGGAACGGATGACTTCCACATCGAATAGAAAACAATGTCGTTGTGTTGAATGATCATGGTGCCTCATGGCCAGGAGCGCCGAAAACATTAGGGAATTAGGCGTGCTTTTGAACCGCTGGATCGCTTGAAATGCCAGCTGTGAACACAATTCTGGGACAACTTTGGATTCGCTAATTGCTTCCAGTGTGCTCGAGAATTCTTCCGTTGTCACCCAGACGCAGGAGTAGATTGCCATGCTTGACCGTGAGATATGGGCAGCCACTCTCGTCCGTCCCTGGCCTGGCAAGACGGTTCCAAGAGGTAAGCCGTGACTTGACCAATATTAATTTTACAAGGTTTTATGTAAAAAGAACGTTCACTCAAATTCCCATGACAATATTTGGTCACCGGTGCCGCGCGCGGTGGTGCGCCATATTAGTGCGCCATCCGTTCACCGTCTTTTTCACCCACGGACGCCTACGCACGCTCGACGTAGGAGTTCCACATTGCATTCCACCACCCAACAGTGTCAGGCGGCTTTTGGACTCTCTGCGACTGCACTCAATCCGTTCGTCTCATATCTATTTTCGCCGATTGCGCGTTGCGACGAATTGACATGCTATGGTGATATCCAAGTTTACTTCATTGTAATCAAACTTTTGGGAGAAACAAAGAGATGCGATAAAGACTGCAAGGGAAGACTTAGGAGGCCAATTGAAGTCGTTTACGACGATAAATGGATACTTCAGTGCTTCTGGAATGAGTACATGAATACGAAGACACCATGGAACGACATTGCAATCTCTTGTATTCTCCCGCCCTTCTTTGTTCTGAACCACGGCGGCCCGTGTGTTCCAGGTGAATATCACTGGGGAGACAAAATACTAATATTCGGCTGAAGCCCTAGCATATAGATGCGATTCGCATTTTCAAAGAATGCCATCTTCACGATAGACACTGCCTGGTCTTCCGTGAGGTCTCGTTTACCGACAAAGCCCGCTAGGACCTGAAGAATCAAATTTCATATCTAGAGGATTCACGCAAGGAAATATACCGATTACCTCGTACATCACCTCGCGAGCTTGGGCAGTGGCAAGGTAGAACCTTTCCGGCCACCACGCCGCATCAGCTATGGAACGGTAAGTGGTGTGTGCGGTGACAGATAGGCTGCTGACGAACTGGACCACAAGATCTTATTGGTAGGCGCCAACTCAAGCACTTGACGTATCACGGTGCGTTGGCCGTCAGCGGAGATGAAGGGGAAAATCTCTCCAAAGTCGAGATAAACGTTCTTGTACACGGACGTGAGGTAGCCAGCGTCTCTCGTGTAAGGGTAGCTGGAATGCAGGAGAACGAATATGGTTTCTGGGAAGGCTTTGATGATAGGCTGCATATGCGCCGGAGAGGACTTTGTCAGCGTAATGTCATTGTCTCCGAGACCTTGAGGCGGATAAGTATCACGCACGACGACCGAAGCCGCAGTTTAGCAACGCACCTGTGTGGAACTGGACTTTATACGACGTGAGTGGGAAGGTGACGCGCGGAGTGGAACGAATGCTTACTAGGTTTCTTGCATCTGCCTGCAATATCGAGGACTATCTTGACTAGGTGATCGTTCAAAGCTTTGTGCTCGAAGCGAATAAAACCTTTTTCCTTGAACTGCTCAGATGCAGATGTTAGGCACTGGTAGAGTTCATCCGCACTGCAGGGCGCAGGATCGATATCCAAACCAGTTCTATTGCATCTGTGAGTCGACCTGACCATCTATCCAGACCACGATACAACTACTTACCTGTAGCAAGCAACAGATTTGTACCCTACCACATGATCATCTACGGCAGTATCATTCATGTAGATGGTGAACTCCTCCAGGAATGTGTCGCAGAGAATATTAATTGAAAGAGGCGAGTTATCATTTGCGACGAGGATGTCTTGTAAGATGTTCTGTGCATCAGAACTGAGCGTTTCTCAAAGATAGGGATGGTGATCCCTTACCTGGCCCTCCACTTCTAGTCTCACAATCCGCTTCGATGGACTTCCAGTGTACTGGTCGTGCCAATTCAAATCTTCAGCCATTTCCGCGATTCCACCTAAGCCATCGTCGAACAATATACACTGGATTCCAGTAGGCTCCATGCAGAGCTTACACAGCTCTGCATAATCAAACTCGAGCCTCTTCTTCTTGACGCCCTCCCAGGTAGCATCGTCACCCGTCAATCCAAAGAGTTGGGATAATTGAGCTGCTGCACGCAAACAAGGAAGAGTGTGGACGGCGTCGTTTAAAGCGTCGCCGTGGGCCTCAGATATGAGCACTTCGTATTGAATGGCGTCGCGGTGCTTTGATTTCAGGAATGGATGTGCATGGTTGTCGATAATGGGGTACCCGAAGGCAGCTTTGGCTAGTTCTCTGTACATTGGTCCCATGGTAGTTAGATGAGATGGTAATGATATGGGAGTGCTCGGAAGCAATTCTTATCTAGGGGTTGCAGCTGAACCTGGAATATTTATAACCGACATCGGACGATATCTTATCAGATCAAAGCACGACAATACAAAGTTGCTCCCGCTTTCCTTCACCCACACGAAACCAGTGACTGTTGACATGCCTGTGTCAGTCGAGGATTTGGATCGGGCAATTCGAGCTGCATTCCCCGTGTCCCATCTTGAAATCGAGGATCAATCGAGTGGGTGTGGATCCAGCTATGCAATTTTCCTAGTTAGTGAGGTATGTACTCAAATCGAACTGAAGCTGCTCATAGTCAATATGAAACGGAAATACTACATAGGTCTTTGAGGGCAAGAATACTCTCGCGAGGCATAGATTAAGTGAGAGACTCTCAGCATGACGTTCATCAAGATACGGGGATGCTCATCGTCTGACAGTCAATCAGGCACTGAAACAAGAAATATCACAGTTGCATGCGTTTTCTCAGGTGAGCTTGGGGGCTTCTTCATGGTTGGAACGGTACTTTGATTGATCGACTTTCTCTCCAGAAATCCTTCACTCCAGCGCAATACGCTACGTATCTAGCGAAAAGCGGTTGACCAATGAAGTTCTTTTGAACAGCACAATAGTTTCGCCACAAATTAGATGGGCGACACCAGCATGTTTTTTTTTAGTTCAAGTGGGGGATGTGACTAATAAGTAATACTGAAATCAACGCTCCAAGTGTAGCCTTCAGATCCAATGTGATGTTGTCTTCTGAAAGTGGACAATAGAGCCGGTTGCTCCTGCCTAGACCTCTGCCACTGTGCTTGTACACTGGCTGGCATTCAGTTGTTTCCACATACCATCATTCTCTACTACTAATTCACATTATTCACACACGGTTACACGACCTTTCACGTGACCTTGTGGACTCAGCATTATGGTTGATAAGTCCGATGGCCCTGCTTTGGTCAGTGCCTTCAATCACTTGTCAGTGTGGCACGTTCCCGTTTCATTGTGATTTGGTGAATATCCACAGGGACGTTTAGGGTAAAACAATAGCTTCTCGCGACGTCGTGCCCACAACAGAGGGGTATAAAGATGCTCGCGATGGACAGCAGAAGTCCCAACGCACAACACATCCATCTTCTTCTCCGTATCTTTTGATCTACCACTCTCACCATGTCAGAACAGGTTTTTGTCGACATTGACGCTCTTGTGAACGAGCTTCAGAAATATCCGCTTCCCACCGAAACAGACGCGTACTTTACGGAATTTGAGCCTGGAAGAGCCTTCCTTAGAGAACAGCTATACGCCGTCTTCAATGGTTTCCTCTCCCAGTTCTTCACGCCAGACGCTACAACATTTGTCTCCACTTGCGATAGTCTGATCCCTCTGCTTGACCTGGCGCTACTTACCGCGGAAAATCGCAAGCTGGTATGGTTCATCTCAAGTCATTTTGACGCGCTGGCTTACAAAAATCCTAGGTTTTAGATATCTTGGAGGTATGGGTTTTATTATGGCTCGCTAATACACGTTAGATGTTGACTCCGCGATGTACTAGCTGGCCGACGTAATGTTCGATAAATTCGTGAGCGTCTCTCTGACGCTCCAGCAGAGCTGCGACCCGCTTTCTGTTGTGCCGACACATTCAATCATCCGAACGCGCTTGCTTGACCTCATTGACCAATGTCTCGCGCCTCCGCACTATTTCAGTGACATCGGCTGTACGTATCCAGCTCATTCTCGATTGTGCATGCATGTCTCATAATTTCGCCCGCTTCAGCCGAGCTGCAAACTCTAAAATCAAAGATTCAAGAGCGCGAGGACCAAGCGAAAGCTGCCTTATTTGCTTGCGATACACAGTGGATTTACGATCTATGGGATTCATGCCCTGAGTTCAAAGCACTGGACTCGTGGCTGTCGGAAGATATTCCAGCTTTAGCGCTGGAAATAGTTGCTCAGGGATGCACGTCTACTGTTCCCACTTCCAATGAGGTTTCCATGCTTTCACCAAGCACAACCGCGCAACTCAGACGGAACTCGTCTATCATTTTGGAAAACCTACGAGCGTCCAACCTGGGAGCATCTCAATATTTATCTGCTCTACCTACATCAGTTTCACGCCCCATTAAGGGCCTCCCCAAACGAGGTGCCTCGTTTTCCCGGACGCAATCACTTTCCGCGATGCTTCCTCCTCAAGCTCAAGCCCGTGTGCTGGACGCGCTTGGGACGGTTGCTGAAATGGAGGAAGAATAGGACTGAGGTCCGCAGTTGTATTTGTATCGCATTTTACTGGTCTCAGCATAGTCTCAGCATATTCACGTACATATACTACTATTGGTAGTTGTAGCATCACAAAAATTCTGTCTTTTCAAACATTCGCTTTGCGGTATCTTGAAGTTCTGAACTACCTGTAAGTGGACCTGAAGGTTAGAATAATTCATAGTTGAGTAACAAAATACTGAAAGACACCGGTAATTGGCCAGTTTCCGAGTCGTGCTTTGGACCACCAGAAGGGGTCAATAATTCTGAACACTATTGTCTGAGGTCAGCAGACTTTTATTGGGAGGTTCTATGGCGGGCGGGGACATGCAATTTCAACGGTCAAACCATACTTTTATAAACGACGTTCGCCACAACCTTGACTATGTTTGACCATATTTGGTGTTGTTGAAAACAGAAGGCTTTGATCAACAAGTTTGATCTCTTGATCAAGAACTCATATACGACATTTAAGTACTAGTATCATACATCCAGTTGACATCCAGCACACAATGAACGACGAAGTTTCACGCTCTACATCTCCCAGTCCTTGTGAGTTATTCATTTTAGTCTGCTCACAATACACGTGCTATCGTCTGAATGCTGATCTTTTGAAGCTGAAGGAACCCATTTGAAGTCGGCCCAATTACACAGTACTTCACCATTACAAGAAGAGTTAGGTAGGTAGTTCTGCTTAATAAAAGCACGATGTAACAATTCTTTTGACAGATACCTATGATGGGGCACACAGATCTCAATTCTATGAATTGGGTCAGGTTGGTTTATAGTCGATGCGCTGTGCTGCGTACATAATTGATGCAGCTTCGTTCTTAGAAATTACTGGAGGAGAGTATGGGTCCAGATCGGCCTCTTATATCTCCACCGACGTCAATGTATGAGCTCCGGGGAGAGTATACTGGCGCCCCATCTTTTGTGGCGCAGATTGACAGCTTGATGAATCAAGGTTACACAAAGATTATCCGTACTAAAGGTAGTATATCAATGAAGCGAGGTACTCGCACAACCTGATGCGAACATTTAAACCAGGTGATGGGAATTGTTTCTACCGAGGTAAAGTTGAATTTACGACTTCCGCCTTCCGCATACTCACGAATTCATAATATCAGCTCTTGGATACGCGTACCTCAGTAGCCTCATCGATTCGCCAAACCTCGTCTCTTCTGCAAAATCTGTAATTGAATCGGGCTGCAGAATGATGGAACATAATTTCATGGACGCGGATATCATTTCGACTTTCTGCGAACCCCTCATGGATCTAGTAGATGCCGTTGGAAATCCCGATCCTACTCAAGTGCTGACGGATGAACATCTATTATCTGCTTTTCTGGAAGACGAAAGTAAGATTCTCGTGTACGACCTGACTACTTGCATCTGACACAATTCAGCGTCTAACTGTATTGTCACGTACTTGAGACTTTTAACCACAGCCCAAATACAATCCGCCAGCGACGATTATGCTGGCTTTCTCTTCAATGATTCAGGAGATCCGTTGGAACCCATCGAATTCTGTCGGCAATATGTCGATCCCCTCGGGAAAGAAGCAGGTCAATATACTGAGTTGCAGTCGCATTGATATATTCAAGTTGATATCATTCGATAGACCATGTTCAGGTGGCGGCCTTGTGTCGGGCTCTCAAACTGCACATCAGGATCGCGTATCTTGATGGCCATTCTCCAGACGGCCAAGCCCACTTCCAAGACATCACACCGCCGTCCGGCGGACAGAACAAACCGTTGATTCTCATCTATCGGTATGTCGACGACCGACTTTGAATTATCCACAGCTGATATTTGGTAGCCCTGGTCACTACGATGTTTTGATAAAGACGAACTGATTTGGTGCAGTATGAGCCCGCTGGTGCAAATATTCCCTGCGTATCGGTATGGCATCTCCAACCTATGAGTCTGACATACCTATATATCCTACGCGCACGCAAATGTGATTTGGCCGACATTCGTTCATGAATTCGAATTCTACTCGTCACACGTAGTCAAACTGTTGGCGAGTATATGTGGTTCATATGTGTTTCATTGCACGTCACCCTGTCCCGATCGCCCGCGACTTACACACATTGCAACCCGCTGGCTCAACAAGAATGTGCATATCGAATGTATCTGGGTGTACGTTCAGGGATAGATATTAATCCTGCGGCCTGCCAGCCACGAAAATAAGTGTGCCACTATGGCTCTTGAATATTGAATATTGAATCTTGATCATAGTAGTCTTCCATAGTACTAGTTTCGTGCATTGAATTTGAGCTTGATCCAATATTACTCGGCCCTGAGGCCTGAGTCATTATAACGCGCGCCGGTCCAGATTTCCCACAGTTTGAATCGTCCAATATCTGTCCCAGCCTGCCTTAGGCTGTAACAAATCAATCATCCTTGATTCTCTAATCTCTTCTTACAAAACCAAGGACGTAGTCCTTGCAGCGCAACTCGGAGATGTTCCAAGCACCATACCCACCGTATGATCCAACTGATAAATCTGGGTGAGTTAACCCTTGCGGCATGAGAAGAAAGCTGATGAGCCTAATCATTCAGATTCTCGTAAGTCTCCTTTCGCTCGTGCTCTGAGAGGTCTGTTGTTGACTGGCTCTCCATCAAGATATGACACAGTAGTGAAGAGGTGGCCCATCATCTTGACAACCATCATCGATCATGTGCATCGTCTTCTCCATGACATCACTATAGAAGCCCAACAAGCCCGCAATTCAGATGTTTCTAAGGCAGAAGAATTGTCAAAGAAGACAACAGAGGGGCAAGAAATTATCTCGGAAATAAGCCGTTTGAAGTATCGGATGGCAAGGGACCACGAACTTGAGTGGGTAGAACATGACAATTTTTCTTAAACATATCTGAGATTCCTTTATATGCTGATGCATATGACACAGGAATATTCCCCAGGACGGGGACATTCTAATCGCTGAATATAATGCAGAACTTGAGAGTCTAAAACAGACGTCCCGGAACACTTGGTTCAAGGCACCATGGTTGTATGCGGAGTAAGTTAGGTCTGCCCCATAAAATTCGAAACTCTGAATTCAACGTGCAGATGCTACTTGTATGTCACCTCGAACAGGAGTTACTACACGCTTAGACACGCATAGATACCGTCTGATCCGGGCGTATTTTAACCAGAAGACACACTGGCGCGGATTTGATCCATTTTTTGCTCAAAAGCAGGAAATGTTTAAGAGCAGCGGGGCAGCTATCTACCGTATGTTCGACTAGGCCCTCTTCTTCTTCTTCTTGGGCACGACTGATAGGATATGCTTTTGCTAGAGATCGCGACCACTATGCACGAATTGGAAAGTGAGAAGGCCAAACTTCAAGGAGATCCCGATAAACTTGAAGTGTTATTCAAGGAGATGATTCAGATATGCCTTTGGTTGGTCTGCATTTCCGGTTTTGTGACGTTTTACTAATAGATCGATGTAGGGGCAATGCAACAGCAAGTCTGCCGTGATGCTCTTTTTCGCATATCGTTAACGTCGATATATGTAGGATCTTTCCCTCTTGACGCACCTCTCGCCGTCGGACATAGAGCATTTGCAGACGGTCGGTAAAGAGGCTCAGGAGGCTCGGTCAGGATTCATTCTTAAGGACGACCAAGGTGCTGTTTGGAGTTACATCAAGACTCTGGCCAATCAAGGAAAGCGTTTAGACTTCGTATTAGACAACGGTACTTCTTGGCGCCTGTTGCTGCACTTATGTCTAATCATCTGTCATGAACAGCTGGTTTTGAGGTTCGTTATTTATCGTCTCTGCAAGCAATGTGAAGCTCAATTGCTAACCTCGAAATACAGCTGTTTACAGATTTCGTTTTTGCGGACTTTTTGGTCACTTACACCCCGTACTTCTCTCAAGTTGTATTTCAGTACGTCATCTGAGGATTTTCGCTTTCAAACGATCGTGACCTCTGACTAACATTCACAAGCCCCAAACTATTCCCATGGTTCGTTTCTGATGTCACTCCTACCGACTTTGCGAAGACTATTTCGTCTCTACTTTCTGCCGCATTCTTTCCACCAAACTCCACGATTAGTCCAGATTCTGCTGCCCACTTACAACAGATGGTCACTCGATGGAAAAATTACATAGACAAGGGCATTTTCGCTCTCGCCACAGACATTAGCGATGGACAGAAGATGACGGAGTTTTGGAATGGCCCGTGGCCTTACTGGAACATGAACGAACTTGCACCGGAGTTGGGGCAGTGGCTGAGTGGTTCTGGGTTGGTTATTTTCAAGGTAAGTGGCACCCGTTAATTTTTAAAAGCCTAGCATTCGAAATATGCATTTCTTAGGGGGATCTCAAGTAAGTAAAATTCGTTACCATACTGATCTCTAAACCTGAAGTTTGAACGCTGCGCCGAAGTTACCGCAAGTGAGAGCTTTTCTTTTCTAGTTAACATCTGTGACATTGATGCGACTCAACGTCAGACTTGCAGGTGATGTTAAGTGGCCTGTATCCACTCCATTCCCAACCGCGATCGGTTGGTAACCCATAAATCCTTTTCGTCATTGCTTAAGAATGATATTTGGCAGGCCCACTAGCCGGATCATTCCCGCTTCTCAGCCTTCGTACGAATAAGGCTGATGTGGCGGTGGGAATAGATGAGGAAGTAGCTGAGAATCTTGATAACAAAGGCGAAAAGTGGAGAGTAAGCGGGAAGTGAGTTACGCACAACTTTGGACCATTAATCGGATGCTGATCTATGTTCCACACTGCACAGGTATGCCTTGGTTAGCTTTTTGCCAGGAAGAATTAATCAGTAGATCGGCACAAGTTTTGTCGTCAGAACCATCGTATCCATAGGCTGGAAGTACGGTACTAGAGTTATACTTAGATTACTTGCAAACGGGCACAGGTAAAATGCTGCGGCAACTGCCGCGATCCACTGCTGCGCTGCTCACAAAACATTAATGAGTGCACATTCAGATACTCACTACGCCTGCTGTTACTGGACCTCTGTGTATTCCAAACTACCCATGGAGTCAAGCATGCGCTAGGTCCTTATGCATCCACGCTCACAAAATCGGGTGCTGTCATACCAAGATTCACGCGCTCTTACTAGCGCTCCTTCTGCAAGTCTTGGTTCAATAACCAATGTTGTCTTCTTCAAAGTCGTCAAACAACTAATTTTCCTGATGTCACCAACACTAACTATACCGCATCATTCGAATATTCAATGACAATAACAATATTCAATTTCTCCCCATACACACGCACCATCATTAGTCCCAAAGATTGATATATACGCCATGCTGGTTTCTTGGATTCCATAATGATTATCTGACTCGACACTCCGTCATGTCTTTTTCAACGTTCTTCGGAACAAATGACTTGAATACATATTACGACGAAATATTTGCGAAGACCTATGTCTATGTCTAGATCTCCTTGAAATCCGTTCCGCAACACTAAATAAATAAGTACTACGACGAAACTTGAAAATCAAGAAGAAAAAGCCAAATTCTCCTGCTCCCTGCATAGCACCAGACTACCGTCAACATCATAGAGCATCTCCCATGCTATACGCCACTGCCTGTCGATATTTGCACGCGCTCCTGGAAAGCGATTGAGGTCATGTCGGTTGCTGCATCAGAGTCGGCCACTAGCCGAGCGTAATATTCCCGGACGCTTAGGATGAGGCGTGGTCCTAGCACAAAGGACTGTATGACTTCCAAAATCTGACCAAAACTAACAAGAATCTGAGCGTCCAGGGAAAATGGGTCCTATAGAAATGATGAACCGCGGTCGCATGCAGAGGTCAGTGAAAGATTGCCATACCAGTAAGAGCGTTGGAGAAAGATCAATAATGAGGTTGAAGCAAGACACAACAACACAACTAGCACGTTCAATCATTCAGCGGAAAAGGGAACCACATTCACAATATGAGCTCACCTCGCAAGGTAAAGCACATGGAGTTTTATCAACTTTCCGATAATCCCTCCTGCCGAATGTTGTCGCAGTTCACGGAAGTGTTTTACAGCAATCCAGACTGCGAGACACAGTGCGAGGACCTCCCAGACAGTGCTGAGTACCCAAGCCATGAAAGTCAGAAGTACGGGATTATCGTCCGCATGGCCAATCGTGCACGCATAGGTGCCAGAGAGAATGAGTTCCTCTTGTATTCATCAATGAGCGCCATGCACGGTTTTCATTCACAATTAAGTGTACCTCCTGGAGCATGCCTCGTTACCACTACAATGGCCACTACGTCGACAATGTTGACAGCAAAGCACACGATGTCGAGAAATATCAGGATCCTTCTGGATCGTTGATACATGGCATGTAACCAAGCGATCATGATGACTGCAACATGTTTCGGTCAAGTCAATATCATAGGTCTTGTAACTGCACAACTCACCACACAGCATTGGCAATGTCACAACATCCGTCCAACTCTGTACGAGGTACATAATCCGGCCTGAGAAATCCAGTTAGTGATGGGCCTTGGGTGGATCACACACTACAAAGAGACTCACATCTGTAGCAGTCATGATAGTAAACGAAGAAGCTAGTCAAGAATGACACTCACCCCTACAGGGTGTCGCGGTTAATTGAATGGGAATAGCAGGCATCTGTGCAGAAGACTCACTGCATCTGTCAACAAAATCATCGGAACATTGACTGTATTCCACTGGTCACAAGATACAAACACGGTGAATGCGAGAAGACATACGCAGTATGGCCAGGCTGATTGTGAGAGATAGCAGATTAGCACGACAACAATTATCAAGCCTTCTAAACATACATGACAAAGAACATTCCAAGATAGCGCACCTAGGATATTGTCAAGTCGGCAGAAATTCACAACAGGCAAGCTACGTACACTCAGATAGAGAACCGTCATCAGGGACCAACGTTGCCTCTGTCGCAAATCAATATCGTTCTTCTGACGTGGAACTGTGCTCACCCAGACCAGTTCGACCTACAAACCAATCTTAGCGAGATGGCTGCTCCGGTCATAGCATCAACATACCTCTTGTCCGAACGTAAGGGCTGGAAATACTTGTGGGAAATCAGCAATTCTCTACTGTTATCATGCTCACCCCAATCATACACCACTCCAACACCAGTGGCAACTGGAAAACCACAATCAAGGTCAGATTAAGACATCAGCGTCAACATCTGACTGCTCTTCACGAACCTATAAAATAGCTTAAAAAACGCCATGAATTGATGAGTGGCCAATAAGCAGGGTCGTCTGAGATCAGGGTCATGCTGTTAGTGGATGGATGTGAGGGAGCGGGGAACTTGGTGGACATACAACGATGATATTCGTGCTAGATATACCACCATCCAGTGCTTGTATGACCGAAATGAGATCGAGGGATGATATCCGTTCCTGCCAATGGATATGATATCATGAAGTGATGCATTGGGCCTTGAATAAAATGCCGCTCATGCGAAAGTGATTGGATACTGACGGTTCGATGCTAGCGATCACCGCACCCCGCGCCAACGGCAGAATCGTTGAGTGTTGGTGCGGCAGTGTCTTCCCTTCTATCGAGGTCGTTCACTACAGGTACCAGTAGATATCTTATATCATTGATCTTCATTCTAATAGCCAGTGTTGCCAGCCTGTGCTTAATCAGGGAATAAATAATGAATTCAAGATGTGGGGCTCAACGTACGTAGAACAAGTTAGTCATGACACATTTGCACAGGCAGAACTTGAACACCGCAAAAGATGAAAGAACATCTAGAACTGTTCGTGATTTTGTCACCTCTGTTCTGATGCCATTCTCATATGCTGGTCATGATGCATGATGGGCGCAGTATTTTCGAATTTGCATCGTGGAGTTGGTGACAGGCATCAGTTTTCACAGCCAGAGACATGTGCATCATGGTTGAAGTTCCGCGATTGATATCTGGTGAAGATACTACACCATATGTAGCTCAAGATAGCAACACAGGGGAAAAGAGGAGTGGGAAGCACCGTTAATGACCGCATCAAGCCTGACTTGTTGTTTTTGGACCTAGCTGCCAGCGCACACCTTTAACGTCGAATACAATGAAGCCCGATGCGAAACGTACCACACTAAATCCATCATGTAGCCGATGCCGATTGGAGTGATAAAGTCGACTTCTTCATCCGCTGTTCGTAGGGTAGCCTGGTATGGAATACCGTCAATATCTCACGTGAGCCAGTTACTACCAGGACTACATAGTACACCAACCCCCCAGAACACCCACTAAAGATCAAGATTCGAGAATGCAGAGCCTCCAGATCATGCAGAAATGCTGTCTGAATTTGAGAATGCAGAGGCTGTAGACGGAGAGGTGATTGTAGCAGTGAGGTGATTTGTGGATATCACTACTACCTGGCGGGTGTAACAGGATCAAACCAGGACGATAAGTTGACTGGAGTTGCGGGATTGGTTGATGGTACAGCATTAAAGAACCTACTTATCTTTAGCCTCTGATTTGGTCTTTGACGATTTCATCATCGCGATCGATGTGGATCATCATAGGAATGTTTCTGTGCTAGAACGCGGATAGCTTGATCAGAAAGATTTCACGAAAGATTTCACTACTCGAGGGCCTGTGCGCATTTGGACATTCAAATGTTGATCTATTTGGAGTGTTTAGAATATTTTTCGAGGTTTACAGCATAGTATTTGAACAAGCTATACGCCGTTAGATATTGCATATAGATGGAAATATGGAACAGGAAGAGTTACATCACGGGGCAGCAGACTGAGAAGCAGAGACAGCGGGACGAGTTCAGCGTGGGATACACCAAAGTGCGAGGCAAAAATTGCCTCAACAATCATAGTCTTCTTCTTGAGTAGGTTGTTGTATCGCCGTCTGTACCTCAGGCTGACGCTGAGGGGTCGAATGTGGCTGCGATGCAGGCTGAGCTACTGCTGAGGGCGACTGACTAGTCTGAGCTTTCGAGTCGGTCTTCACAGGGGGAGGTGCTACGTAGACTCTCTGAAGATTAGGTGATGTATAAATAAATCATAACGAGGGACATCTAATACACTGCTTGCCTTTTTTCTTCCGGAAGAGACGGCGTTTGGGGTGCTATTGCATCGCAATGGACCCCCTTGCAGTAGGACGATGTCGAGAGGGGAAGAAGAAGTTCCAGAGGCGGCGAACCGAGGAAGCACGAGGACGCTGGGAACGAGGAGAGGGACCTGATGGTGCCGATGGCATGATAAGGCTTCGAATGTTTATCAACAATGTACCCTTTGCATGACGAAACACGAGGCTTACCTGAAAAAGTCGCTGTATGGATCTTCTCCCCCCTCTGAATCTTCTGTGAGAAGATTTGTAGCGTTAACGGAAAGCAGTCGAATGCGAGAGTACTGACGTCAAGGCAAGGTGGTGGCGGCGACTTGGTGAAGTGCCCTGTTGTGTAGCTTGTCACCTTGAAGCATGGGTGTAAAAGCACGTACTTGAAGATCAAAAGCTACATCCACAAAGTGATGTTGCTGTCATCTCCACTATATGCGATGTATCCTCCATCCCGAGAGAATGATACACAAAAGGGTTTTGCAATCCTCCTGGCTTAATGACTGTCTGGGTCGGTTATGGGGCTCTGTGTCCCATAACTTTGCTTAATACCAGAATAGCCCACGCACGCCAGTACACTGTGTTTGGGTGAAAGTGTGACGGAATTCACCAAATTGTTGTGTTTGAACTTTGAAGCGATTTCGAACTTCTGTGCCAGAGTTGGGGCAAACATCGCGGCATTATCACGTTGCCCCTTGCAAACGTATCACATGACAGATCTGAGGCTCCGGTCCGGCAACATCTTAAGCCGAAGAACTTTTGTCTGTTCGGTTTACGATTTTGAATGTCCACTGGTAGTCTGGTACTACTTAGTATGGCACTTTTACTCTCGGAGAACGTTTTGGATCCAACAGTCGTTCTGACGCTCTGAAGACGGTGACCGTACATATTGATATCTTACAACCTACTGGTCGAGCATTTGGAAGTATGTTTGCACTCCGTTTGCCGAAACGACAGTGTCTACGAAGCAGATCACTCAAATATGTCCTCGCCCCCTCTCAGCGGTGGATATCGTCTTCTCCAGCGCAGCTATGGAAGACAACCCATGCAACATCTACCTCAACAGAACTCAAGGCTGCAACTGAAACGCAGGATATCAAAGCGTTGGATAATCTTCTCAAAGCCGTCAGTCAGTATCAAGACGCAGTGTTTTGACGATATGATTGCTAATCTCGAGTTGGCGGCTTTGTAGGCGAGAAGGCTAATCCTGCTTACCACAAGTGCGACTGTTACTCATGTTGAAAGGAGGCAAACAGAGCTGACCATAATCTAGTATTATGCCAATGAGGACGCCAATGCTGTGGTCAGAAGCACTCTTGAATGCCACCTCGGCGTCGAAATCTTCTGGGGACAATCCCGTAGAAGCTCCTGCGCCCGAGAAAACACTTCCTCCACGGTACATGCACGATACATATGCCGAAATCCTTCTTCCGTTTGCGTCATCTCCAAAGTTATTTGAGCAGTATACAAACGCATGGGGTGGACTTCGGACTGGCATGCTTATGGAACATCTTGACTCGCTGGCTGGATCGATATCTTACAAGCATATGTTGGGACCAGGCGTGGAAACGCTTGGTCGTATACATGAAAGAGGCTTCTACATTGTCACCGCTTCTGTTGATAGGTCAGTAGAAGCCAAAGGGAAGTTATAATGCGTCTTAATGCTTGTCCCAGACTGGACGTCCTCGCCCCTCTTTCGCCCGTCAGGGACATCCGCCTGAGCGGCATAGTTATCTACACTGGGACTAGTTCCATGGAAGTAGCTGTCAAGATGGAAGCTCTCGGGGCAAGCGGCGTGGAGGATACTCTGCTACTTGGTCAGTACCCAACACTTGTCGGAGCTTTGTCTTGAGAAGTAACGTTTCTGCAGGCCGATTCTCTATGGTATGCAGGGACGCCCGAACTCACAAAGCTCGGCCGGTAAACCCACTCATACGTAGTTCACCCGAAGAGACTGCATTGTATTCGATGGGCGAAAGTGCGTTGTGGTCTCACATATCTCGTTGGATCCGTTGAAGACATGTAGATGCAAAGAAGCGGAGACGATCGATGGCCCTTCGCTCTCTTTCTAAGGTACCTCCCAGTTCTGATGAAGCGGCAGAACTGCACTCGATGTACTTGCAATACGGACAACTTGAAGACAATGGTCATCAACTGTCCAACTACGAACGTGTTTGGATGGGAGACACACATTTGGAGAAGACCATGCTCATGTTTCCGCAAGAGCGCAAGTAAGTCTTTATCCGGCTTTGTCTTTGTAGCGCTCAGTGACACGCTCGAAGTGTCCACCAGAAAATCTTCGGAGGTGACTATTTTGAGATCTGCCTCACACAACGCTGATTGTTCTCCTGAAGGCTATCTTATGCGACTTGCTTATGAGGTGTGTTGACTACTGCTGCTGCTAGCCACATCGTTGATATGGCATTCTCAGCTTGGTTTTGCGAACGCATCACTTTTCACACGTTCGCATGTAACATTCATGTCACTGGACAGTATCTCTTTCGCAAAACCCGTTCCCATAGGATCTATTTTACGACTGACCTCGCAGGTTCTTCACACTACACCTCCCGGAGAGCTCCCTGGTGTAGTGGTACGTTTTCAATGTATATGTTCTTGCTGCTCGTGCCTAAACCCCTGTATGTCTTTCAGCACGTTGGAGTCCAAGCTAATGTTGTCGATGTGCGAACTGGGCACGAGCAGACTACCAACGATTTCCGTTTCACATGGTATCCGGATGATGGTTCCGCTGTCCTTAGAACAGTTGTTCCAAAGACCTATCAAGGTATGGGCGAGCGCATTTCAGTAGAATTCTTGAATGATCAATTGTGGAATGACAGAGGCGATGCTTTGGTTGGAAGGCAAACGAGCACTGGAGATGGGCGATCAAATCAGGGGGGAAAGAAACCAGAAACGAAGCGCCTAGTAGTTCTTCTAATTGACGTTCATAAGAGAGGTCCCTCTAGACCAACCTCGCTACAATATCATTTTCGTGCCACTTCAACGAGAATGAAATCAATCAATTCACCCCTACTACAGGACGTTTATTGTGATGGAAGCATGCACGGATTGTGTTGTGTAATGTGCGCCCCGAAACTGTTATAGGCCTCAAATATTGTTCTCCGAAATGTGCACTTGACGAACCGAATGCTACCGGTATCCTAAGGCGAGGGTGTCCGAGGGACGACAATAGTGCATAGTGAACCTGAGGACTGTGAGTGCATTGAACAGTTTAGGGAACGGGTTTGATGTGACGTCTCTGAGACCTATGCACAATGATTGAAAGTTTGTATGCAGAACGTTTCGGCCCGGAAAATCTAGCGGGAGGAGAGGTTGGGGCGCAGCTGGAGTTGCTCAGCACATCATTTGGTGGAAGTACACCTATATCCACTTGAAAATAAGCACTCTAAGCTGGTCCTTGTTGAACAGCTGATTCATTAAAGCCGTTGTCCTGGTGTACAGTCCTGCTAAAACCTGAGTGCTGGGAGCCGGAAGTCTGTTAATCAACAAAGGTTAACGTTCCGGTGTGGCGTCGAGGAGAATGCAACACAAAGAAATGATACCATATTCGCATTTATCTGCAAGGCTGAGCACTGAAGTCCTGAAGAATTCCGAAGGCCTCGTACGGTTTACAGAGTAGGCTGTGTTCACTGTTTCTCCCAACTTGAAGGCACTGAGGTTTACACAAACCTGCGAAATACTGGCACTCTGAGTGCCGTTATGTAACCAGTGGCTGAGGCTGAGTCTGAATCGTACTAAGAACTTGTCTCCGCCACGGACCACGTCTGTACTTAAACTCAACGGAACACAGTAAAACGCTCAACAGAAGCGATATTCCTATAATTTTCGTCCGTGCTGTCATTATCCATGTCGCTCGAGTAATGCAATGCAATTTTGGGTGTTTCATTTCTGGACACGCTGACCTTCAGCTGACCTCCTTGTTATCTCCGAAACTCTCATGCATGTCAGATTTGTTTGATTTCAACGTTCAGCGCTTTAGTTCTCCTTTGTGATACTAGTACTATCAATCTACACAACAACACCAGTTTAACCGTTCTATTACAGTTTACCTGACTTGCTTTATCGCATGCTACGTCCCTGGGCAGTCCCTTCGGAACAACGACCCCGGGCCAGTCAATCAACTTCTTCGCCATGCCGCTCAGATTCATTCGTACGAAAAAGCTTGGAATCGACCCTTTGCAAGCAGCGATCACTACAACGGCTTTCGCCAGGGACCTCATGGCAACTATGCAGTTTCCTCCAGCCACTGCCGCTGTCTCAGTTTTGCTCCTGATCTTGGAAACTATCCAGGTGAGTGGACACTTCAAATATACATGTCTGCGCGTGTTTCGACTTGTGTTCGCCTTTATATAGAGCATTCAAGTCAACAGGTCCGGCTGTGATCGTTTGGCGCGTCGTGCTGCACAAATACTAATTGATATCGACAAACAAATGCGTGGACGATACCATGAAGCTCCGGAGGCGCTTCTCAGGAATTTGGACAGGTTTGAAAGGTACATCTGGCTGTTATCTGTTACATGATTCTTGACAAAGCATTCGTTCTCAACTTTTGACAGCACCCTCATTTCTATCCATCAGTTTATGAGAAAGTTAGCCGATTCGAAATGGAGTGATAGGTTCCTCCGTAAGTCGTCAATTGACGACGCTCTGGTCGAGTACATGCGCATGCTTGATGAGGCAGCGCAGTCTTTTCAGGTGTGCGTAGTGTCAAATTTACGTTCCAATTACTGAAGAGCCCTTGTAACGAAGCTCGCTACCCTCATCAATATACACCTCGCTGTGAGTTCACTGAGAGGGAATGCTGCTTCGGACGCAACTGCTGAAGGAGTCGTCGATGCTCCGCCTCCGCCTGCATATGAGGTTCCGAATGAACCAGACTCGGTCGCTGTAGAGATACAAAGCCCAGGGATAGTCGATGCAGTGGAGTGTCTAGCAGTTGTTAAATCTGATCCTTCGGTAGCAGCAGGAGGGGATCCTTTGTCACCACTCGAAAAAAGAATTACAGACCACTATCTTCCTGAAGAATTGTCATTCATGACTCTAGAGGATGATCACGGGGTCAGTAATCACTTCCTTTATTTGTTTGCTTGCTCATGTATTGTATACCTAGTTCCGACGATACCACCAGTCAGAGGTTATCTTACGCGGCCGGTCTCGACTGCAAGACGGATGGTGGGCTGGTGCGACGGAAGTCCAGGTCCAAGGACAGCGAGCCTTGATTAAGAAATACGATGACAAGGACCATGCATACTCTGTAAAGTGGCCATTTTCTCGTCTACGCAGTGGTTGCTCAAATCGCTTTTTAGAAATGGCTGCGAGACGTCAAGGTGCTGCAGAATCTTTAGTATGTCACATGAAGTACTTTAATTCCACCTAACCTCATTTTCTAGTCACCCCAATTTACCTCAGATGCTTGGGTTTTCGGATGAACGAGCCCCAACTCCTTTTATTTTGTTGGCAAATGGTATTAACCCATATCAAGCGTTCACGATATCATATCTAACACAAGAGCAGTTCAGACGCAGAGCCCTCAAGCACTAGTTCGCGAAGTGTTGCGCTCGTCAAGTCTAGGGACCTCGATGGAGCTCTTATTGCGTTTTGTAAGGTGTTTCTTTTGACTAGTTGATCAGCATATTGATATAGTGATATACAGTATCGCGACCTTGCCGTGAATGTTTAACTACATATATGCCGTCATTCTCTTGTGTTAATGGTTGTTTAGGACACAACGATGTATGTCCAGAGACAACTCAACCTGGATGAGAACAAGGTTCAAGATTTCATCGAGGTGTGTCGCCTGATCTGCCTCGCAGCTTATACTTGAAGTCGTATTTTCTGCAGGCTTCCTCATTTCGCGTCGATTCTCTCAAAACTCTTGTGGTTGGTCTGCCTCCTCCTCGAAATGGCGAGTGGTATACTGCGCGAAACTACGGGTTAACGCATACATTGCTAGATGCGTGTTTGCGAGTAAGAGCGTCGTCTTTCGTATGCTTTAAACCTTATACTAATGACATGCGCGCGCAAGATGTTGCCAAACAATGGGCGCGTCACTTACTCCTATGATAGAGGGGAAGAATTTGGTATGAATTCAAGCTCATGATGACTCCCTCGCTTACATCATTGCAGTGACAGAAGAGATACAAAAGAAGATCAACCACCTCGTCACTTTAGCACGAGCCTTGCTTCCCAGCGGGAAGCAGTCCCCCGTACTCCCAACACAATTAGAAGCCTTAATCGAAGAAACGGAATCCGAGACCCCTTCGCTGACTCTGCGACAAATTCGGGACCTCACTTGGAATGCTGAAGGCGCCCATGGTCATACGTGGTATGAGAGGAACGTGCCGGCTGATAAGTTTTCTATCGGTGACATCGGCTACATTCCGGCTGGGAAAGACTTTGGATCCTTCGTCCTTCTCAGCAATGTCATCAAAGATGGAAAAGCTGTGCTCAGCCTATCTCAGCGGTCGCACGGCGAGCACTGGTGCTGGAAGCATGTTCCAATACACAGACAACCTCTCTATGCTTTCGAGCTGCCTGAAGCTGTTGCAGGGTGAGTATTTTGACGAACTGACAGAAATTTTGTAAATGACATCCTGATAAGATGGCCCGTTGCAGTACCTCCGTACACTCAGATTGATGTCGTGGTGGTGCACGAGGCCTATATTGATTGCGTCAAGGATGCATGGCAATATCTATTGAAGAATGGACATGGCCACGCGGTCAATGGTGGCATCAGGCCGGAGGATTTGATCCTTGGTGAGCATTTCCTCGGTCCTGCGTGGCTTTGCGATGTCGTTGCTCACCCATTACGACAGTGACTCATGTTGGAACCCATCAAGATTTCTATGTGAGGGATTTTCGATCAAAGCCTCTTATGCCGCAAACACATGCAGCAAATCCCCGGTTTGCTACGAATCAGTTCCATCACCAACAGAGGCACGGTTTTCACCAGCCACCGGGCTTCGGGTTCCAGAACCATGGCGTCCCGCTCGCCCTTCCTACAATAGCTTATCTATTGACCTCGTTGGATGCTAATCACGAACCGCATTGGTCATCCTCACCAGTGTGTTTGCCAAAAGGAGCGTCTCGTCAACCTCTGGAGCGATATTTCACGACAAAGATCGGGTGGTGAGTGAAACCTACTGTATTACAACAGTTGGGCTGACCTGCCGGTGCAGGAAAACTGGGTTTTTGAACTATGTTCAACTTCATGCTGAGGACTTCGATGGCACATGATGTTTGGAGCTTGAAGCTGTTCCTGTCACCGTTCTCCTTCGGGCTTGACCACTATTTGCACATTTAAATCACGCTGAATGCCACCCCTCAATCCTCCACACTCTTGATACTCCGCTGCTGTCACACCCCTTCTGAGCACTAAGGGATGATCCGCTGCCCACAACATTATCTATCTTTTAAGCGCATCTCAAATCAGAATCAGACGAAGCGTTCCGAAACGTCTTTCTTGAACGCCAGATAATGTATACATTTTGCAGCGTATGTATACGTGTATAGCTGATAGCTGTAAGAGCAGAGCAAAGAACCGTGATAACACTGAGGCCTGTAAAGTCGACACCTGTCAGTCCCAGTCTCCCAGTCGAGAACTTGCGCCATCGTTCATACTCCTATGCGACCGTCCTGTCGCTTGTAAATGAATATGCCTAGGAGAACACGCCTTTGACGTCTCCTTTGTGCTGGTCTGAGCGCAGACTGCTGAGACGTTACTGCGCTGCATAATGACTGTCTGGTTATCTATGTCCATCAGGAGCTTACTCTCCATCATCGGTTGTATTCTCAATACAGTTACAATGTTCTCTCGCAAGAGGTATAATGGCTAAATAGCCCTTTGCGCGTCTGTTGTTAGGTTGTTGTCTGTAGTGCATATGCCTTGTCAACGTGTTGTCCGACGCGAGTCATTAGTAAGTGTGAAATCATCCAAATAAGGGGCATTCATTCTCTATTTAATACTCGATCGAAAAAGAGTTCTTCTCCAAGCTCAAATGCACCGCATCCGAGAGTCTCGTGTAGTAGCCAGGTGTCTGCTGGAATGATTACTCGTAAGTGATGATTTCTTGGAGTGACCATCGAGTCGTCATTCACAGCTGAGCGCTGAGAGGTAAGATGGTCGCAGCCCCGTCAAACACGGCGGGAGTGTCTTGTGCATCTTGTACTCAGAGAACGGCTCGCTGCGATTATGCAACTTGAACAGCCATGGACAGGTATGGGAGGTGACGATGGTAGTGAGGCGCTCTTAATACTTAGCGTATCGTATCATCGAGGCCGGGCAGTAAAAGTGGAAAACGGGAGTCAGGATGGCGGAGCGAAGTTTTGCCGGGAAATGTCATGACGAGATATGTGGGCGGTGGGTGGTGTGCGGTATGCGGTTAGTTCTTGTACAAATGAGGCTTGGGCGCTTCAGCTGCACAGCCCTATGCTATAAGCTGTGAAGTAAACGATGACACGTATAAAACGTACCAGCTCGAACTTCCTGTGCGCTTGACTCTGACTTGACCGAAATACTCCTCGTCCTCTTATTTCGTAGGTCGAGTCCTTCTGAGAACCACATTCTCGTAAGTGCTCATGAGTGTGAACTTTGTTGGATTAAAGCTGATACGGAACTGCCACCGGTAGTTGAGATTCAGGATTATGTCTTCACCTAGTATCGTTGAGACGCCGGGGGCATCAGGAATAACGCCCTGCCAGAAATTTGAAGGACACACATATTGCGTCGAGGGCGTCATTCATCTGCCTGACGGACAGCAGATCATGACTTGTTCAAGGGATGGCTCGCTGCGAGTATGGAACATGGAGAACGGGAAACAGATAGGAGACGACTGGCGGGACGTTGATGACAATCAAGTGTGGACCATAGCGTTGTCTCCGGACGGGAAGAAAGTAGTTAGTGGGGGTGGTGGTGATGGTGTCGTGAAGTTGTGGGATATCGAGACAGGCAAGGTCACTGCCAAATGGAAGGGGCACACAGATACCGTACAGTCGCTCTCCTGGAGTGAAGATGGTCAACAAGTGTTAAGCGGATCTAACGATGGGACTGCAAGGCAGTGGGATGTGGAGAGTGGAAAAACAATCCTCGGACCAATCGAGACCGGACACAAATACGTGTGGGCAGTGTTATACTCGCCAGACACGACCGTGTTTGCGACTGCTGGATATGACGAGTCCTACACTGTAGAAGATGGGGGGTGCTCAGTTAAAATCTGGGATGCGAAGACAGGGCAGCTGGTCACTACTCTCAAAGGACACACAGATATTGTTACGTGCCTGGCTTGGACCCCGGACGGAAAAACGCTCATTTCCGGGTCATGGGATCCCTCGATTCGGACATGGAATACGACAACATGGAAGCAGACCGCAGTTCTGGATGCGCACACTTCCGCTGTCTATGGCATTGCGATATCTCCGAATGGCCGCATCCTCGCAAGCGCGTCGAACGACGACACAGCGCGATTGTGGAACCTCAACAACGGCCAGCCCATTAGTTCGCCACTCGAGCATGCGAATTCAGTGGAATGTGTGTCATTTTCGGATGGAAATCTACTAGCCACTGGCGCCCGGGACTACAACGTATACATATGGGATGTTGCTACGATTGTTAAAGAGGCTGGCCTCGACGAACTTCTGTCAGATCCAAAGGTGGGTACTCATGTCTCATTGGAACTGATATCTTCGGTGGTTACTTAATAAGTGCTGAATTCGCCCTCCCAGGATAAAAAATTGCTGCTTGATGTATGGAGCACATTTACAAAATCATCTCATTTCGTTCGAGTAATATATTTTCTAGGATGATGCTACACGACGTCCGGGCCAGCGACGTCGGCCTGCTCATCGGGCACCCCCAGGTTTTTTCAATGTCCCACCAGATCGTTCTCGCGTACGTCATTCAAGTTAGTATCGCCACAATTTTTTTTCCTTGACATCCTTGGTCTCAGTTCTCTGCACCGAGCCGTCTCCGCTCCTCAGCACTGCAAGGAAACACACTTCTTGACCGCTTATTCCACCGCAGTCCCTCTGATGCTCATAATGATACGTCAGCGTCCTCTCCTCTTGGCTGGACTCGAAACCTTTTGAAACTTGGACGAAGCGGTGAAGGCATCGAATTGCACGGGCGCAGCTCATCAGTTGTGGAGGTCCCATATGCAAAGGGAAAGCGTGTATGTTTTCTCCCTCTCGGCCATTCAGCCCCACCTAATGTCACGTAGAGAAACGCTTCAGCGAGGGCGAAATGGAGGCCAATCACATTGCCCTCGAAGAACTCTACGGCAGGAAGCTCACGGCCTCCCCAGCCCAATGTCACCCAGCAATCTGGCACAGCGACTGAGGTTCAGCCATCTTCGCAACCACAGCCAGCTGTGTCCCCGTCGCCCACAACACCTGCCGTTGCGGCGACATCCGCAGCTACTACGTCGACGATCTCGCGCCCTGATATAACGATAAGACAGGCTGGGTGCTGGACTCGCTTTTGGCTCTTTATTGGTTGTCTGCCTCATGAGTATACCGACAATCATTAATATGCGATTCCCTCGGTGATTTCTCGTATGTTTTTATTAGTTCAAAGTGGACATACATCTGTTCATTGTGCTCCGCGACCTCCGTCCACGCACGCCACTCGCTCTGCTACATGACTGATGTTTTCGTTTTTTTGTACAATGCCACAAATAGTGATAGATTGAGTCTGGCATATAGGTCCATCATTTTGTCTAATAAAGTGACAATCTTGCGTTCATCAACCACCGCTAAGATGCTCGGTCCCCGCATCCCAAAAGTCAACCCAACCAGATTTTCCTAGTTCGATCGTCATGCAGGGCGCACGGACACTTGCCATGATCTCCAGCGCGAAATGGAAGACCTCTCTAACGACGAAAAGGAATTCAATGATGCGATACGTGTTTCTTTCATCTCATTCAGGCTTCGGAGTGGCGATTACTTACTAGGTACTACCATTTATTCATACCCACTCCTCGATGCGCGCGAAACAGAACCTATCAAACAGAATTGTATATTCTAGTGGCTCATCCCCATGGCTGGGCAGCATACAACGCTGCTTGAAGAGCAGGACAAGGCGCGTGGCAGGAATTTTTACATATTCTTTTGTTCTTGAACTATCGCTGATCAGATGGATGTGCTTCTCAGCAGAAGAGGACTCAGAGGAGTCCGAATGCCAATAGCCGTTTAAGCAGGAGGCACACAAACGCAGTGAGTTATGGGGGACACATTTTGTTTTAGAGCCAATTAGATAACGGCACTAGCATCGGTAACGTAACTCACTGCAATACCAACTCATCTTCCCATTCGACAGCAGCAGACACTGACCGCGATGCACGAGAACCAACTAATCATGGTGGAGTAGGGAGCCCCCAGGCGAGGGGTGAGGTCAATGGACTGAGGCGTCAATAATCGTAACTGGGCGGATTATTTAGGCAGTGAATGGGACGAACACTTGCTTGTGGAGAATTCATACGTGTTGGGAAGTCGCAAGCTGAAGTAGCGATGCCGTACACGCTCTTCAGGGGATCTCATGGTGTTGATATTCTGCACGACACGATCAAGATACGTTCCCTTAGCTCATGGTGTACAGGGAGCACGCGAGCCTTCTCGTTGAGAATTGGGGTACCAGATGTAGAGTTACTCACCAAACGGGTTGATTGGTAATTTGGTATTATAGAACAAGTGACAGAAGGAACTGCCAGTCAATGAAGCCAGAGTAGATTTTAGGAGCCGTTGGCGCCCGGGGTTTGAAGGAAGCTGATTGGAGACACTAGACCTTTCTCTTTTCTCAAGGCTCGAACGCGAAGACCGTCCACTGCAAGTCCACTGGCAGGTGAATAAAAACTACGACAACCAAAAACATTTGAACAGAGTGAGATTCGAACTCACGCCCCCGAAGAGACCAGATGATAAGCTCATCAAATGAGCTGGTGCTCTCCTTAGTCTGGCGCCTTGGACCGCTCGGCCATCTGTCCTGGGCTCGAACCTTGCTTCCGTGGCACCTTTCACTCCGACACCAACTTGGTGTCGCGGTATGGTTACTGATTGACAACAGATCGAGAGCATGTTATTACAAGGTAAAAAATGAGTAGAAAGTAGTAAAGGCTTGATAGCGAAAGTTACGCTAAAGGTACAACAGAGTCGGGTGTTCTGGTACGTGGTCGGGACAACAAATTTTAATAACTTCTTTTGTCATCTCCTTCTTCCACCTTGCGGTTGCCGCTAGATGAGGAGATGCATGTGCATCCGAGGACAGCAAGAACCCGGTAAATGGGATTTTCCCAGACCTGTCGATGGAACCATCCTCACCATCTACGCGATAGTCCAGGACACCTATTGCCCAGGCCGTGTCGCGACGTTCGCGCTTTGGGCCAATGTGCCTCACCTTCACCCTAAAGTAATCATGCCTGAACGAAAGGCATCTCGAGTCAGGCAGCTCTTCGGTGATGTCCTCTACCTGGACGGCCAGTAGGAGCACCCTTATTTCGAGGCCGTGATTGGTCAAGGCAAAGCGTCTATCTCCAATCTCGTCAACTGCGCTGGGGAGTGTTTCAGTACATCCCGCAGCATAGCAGTGCGGAGCATTCGGGAGGGCTGCGTTGTAGCGGGAACAACGGCCGCTCCACAAAAACACATCCCATTTGTCGTATCTCTTCAGTATCTCCTCCAAGAGACGGAAGAAGGCTCTGTTGCCTTCGCCGTATGCGATCATGAGGCTGATATCGAATATTCCGATAAGGCAGTAAGCGATGTCTTCGATACGAGTTGTTCGCCTCCTGGATGCCCACAACATCTTTTCTGGAACTCGATCGGTGCCAGGTGTGAATGATATAAGATCATTCATATGAATGTCCGTGAGCTCCGATATCTTTCGCATGATGGCTTCACTGTCCCTGTCGTTCGTAGAGCCTTGGATGAGGGGTTTCCAATGTGATCCGTAGAATTTGATTTGTGATGGAGCGAGGAGCTCTTGAAGCGTCCATCCTCTTATGAACCAAGCATCGATTCTCGCCTTTTCACCTCTTTCACCCTTCTCCTGCATTTGAAGAGCTGCTAGGTCTGCCGTTTCTGACAGAAAAGCGATGCATATATAGGAATTCCTGTACCAGCGAAACATGGAGCGGATGGATTCATCCAGCTCTGCGCTGCTTTTTTTGTCTATGCAGCAAGTATCAGACCAAGCAAATTCGCACTTGTGGACATCCTTTGCTGTGCGGCAAAATATTTGAAGCTTCTCCCATCCTGGCTCGGGATCGTCAGGGATATCCATCGGTTGATTCGACATGTGGTCATACAGAGGCTCTTGTTCGCCCGGCAACCACCTATGCGAGAAGATGGCATATTTCAGTTCCTTTTTCACGCGCTCTCTGATACGATCCTCCCTATCCTCCCCGTTCACGAGCATCATTTGGGCAAATTCTCCGTGAATGATGTCGGGGACTGATTCGAAGTGGTTCCTTACGAAGGCCCTGTCCACGAGTTTAAACTTTGTCTTCTGGTCGTGTTTGGTGATATGAAGTAGGCGAATGGGCATCTCGTTGGTGATGTACTCGTCGAAAACTTCTTGAACGAGGTCTTTAAGGTCGTCATGGCTGCCTGTTGTGGCAGCAATAGAGGCGCTCGTAGTAGGAAAGCCACCCATTGAGTTATCTAAGAATGTTAGAAGGCAGCGACTGTCATATGCATAGTGCGAACTCACGATCGATGACGTTTGGTAGCAGTGGTGACTGAGAGACTCCCAAGACGCTCTGCAAGGGATCGAAGAGGTTTTGGCTTATGAGGGTTTCGTGAACCCTGCTTTTAAACGAACGGACACGAGGAGCTGTGGATTTATATTCAGCACATCATCACGTACATTAGCCGTCTTCTCCTGGGTTAACTGATACAGCAATGCATTGCCTTCGTGAAACTTGAAAGAATTCCTACAGGTCTCCCTGCACTGCATTCGAGATATGGAACTTTCATCATGTCATATGGTCGTTCAGCGTCAAAGTAAACAGTCTAGAACTTCTGTCTTCTATAAACGGAACACAGGATGTGAATATTACATACCGAACATTGTCTGAACGTGGGTAACTGCCTCTAGCTGTTTTGGTTCAGATAGACGCGTGTAGAAGCGCCGAACCCGCTTTCTTCATAGCATCCGTTATCAAGAAGTAAGCCCACCCCAATTTCATTTAAGCGGTTATTCCTCAGAAAGCCTGACTTAATGCAATCTTTGATGCCACCCTCTTCATGTTGTGGTCCGATCACGGATACAGACAGACCGCTGAGATGTTATCAACGTATGCTTGTGAGCGCCGAGTCATGCATAAGCATGAGGGCTTGCGTTCGATGATTATTATCTCCTCATTTGAGGACACAGCTACTGCGTCTATTTCAGAATGTAAAACGCTAGATTGAGTGATACGCCAACAAGACGAGGCAGACGTACCATTTTACGATAAATCTGTTGGTTCCTGCCATCGCCTCATGAGCGCTGGACGTGAACTATTGACTGAGAAGAGTCTTAGGAATGAATCTAGAAGGAAGTTGGCAATTTCCATACCTCGTTCACGGAGTCTACATAGTTGCCCACCCTCCTCCTGTTCTTCCTCCCTTCTTCTCTCGGTTCGCACACGCGCGTGGGTCAAAACCAGCCTTTAAGGAGCCTCGACCTAAAGTGTGTTCTATACGGGAGATTGAGCAATTGAGCAGTATGCTTAGTAGTAGGCTGCTGTGTCCGCCGCATCGTCCACTCGCGCCTTGTTCTATCTTTCGCGTCATTTCAAATTGGTAAGAAACCGTAGGTCACCTTCCTCAGGCTCCTGCCTGAAGCAAAAAAAAAATCCATCAATTTGGTCAAAACTATTACACTCTGTCGACCAAACCTTTCAAACCCTGCGCATTGCCTCGGGTCTTCTGTAAGGCGGTGACTGGATAACGCGCTCCGCAGTGTCCGCACACGTGTTGTACTTCTAGGGACTCCGGAGGATAGCAGGATATTCGGTGACAGATTGTGCGACTCTACTTGCGGGAGGAGGCAGGGTTGAGGCAGGAGGTGGATAGCCAAATTCAGGCACGAAAGAGGACGAACACTTGTTTTAGTTGTTTAAGTAGAAGCTACATGTGTTAGTTGGAGTGTTTTAGATAAATGAGCTTCAACTTGAGAGATGACTTTCCCTGGCACGGTCAACTTGAAGATACAAGACTAGAACTGATAACCAGCTTCAAGTACTACGACCTCGAGAGACTTGTCGATCTCCGAGTTCGGAGCAGCACAGGTCGCTACTTGGCAGGGTGAAAACGTAAAAGTCTACAGTTGCCGATTGTGCAGCGTGCGTTTTACCAGTACTGAAGGCACGTCGCTGACTTGGCTCTTCGCCAACTCCTCCCACAACTCTCCGCGTCGTTCACCAAACAATTTCAGATAATCAGTTTCTTCTTATTTCAGAATCAACGACAAAGCCAGAAGAAATCAATCTTTCCTGTGGATGTGGTCTCGCTGGAGTAGCCGTGTTCTAGTGCCACTGCGTCTTCTCGGTTCGAGACTACATACCGTGGAATCTGGATGCAATGATATGGGGGTGTTCTACGGCAGGTGCACGCACGTCGGCTGCACTCAGCGAATTTGCAACTAACCAACTGCTCCAACACAACAGACTCTGAGCAAGCCGCACGGCACGCGCCGGGCCAACGGCTCAAGCTTCAAGTTCTGGTTTGCGGTCAATGCCACACTGCAGCCGGTGTTCTTCCCATGGACGAGCGTCAAATTGTTCTTCAGTTGCATTCCACCTGCTTACTCTGCAGTAAGTAGCAGAACTCGACTGTTCTATTATCCAGCTCATCACCGTTGGACAGACTTACTGCGTTAAAACATCGTTTCACAACTTCAACTTGAAGTTTTAGTGTGACCTTTGTTGATCAGCGCCCTCGTAAGTCGCAAGATAACCGTCGCTCCTATGATTTCTAACCGCTGTCGTATCTGATTAGAGTTATTCCACTTCATCCCACAATCTGCGTTATCATTATCATTGTCCCTTGTCAAGGAGTCGACGTGAGTATGCCTATCACTTTTCCTTATCTGTCTCTGACCGTATTACCAGTTCTTGGATATGTCTGAAGGAACTTGGGAGAAGTTGGCCCAGATCACCGTCAAGGGTGCTGAACACGACTCTCGTGAACGCCTTCCCCATCCCCAATGTTTGGAAGGGACCCGAGTGGTCCTTCTCAATCACATCTACGGAGTATTAGATGACAAATCAAAGAGTCGACTCATTTGGCTTCATGGCACAGCGGGCGTCGGAAAGTCTGCTGTTGCGTTCACTGTGGCTGAAAGGATGAGAGGTCTGAAGGTGATGGAGGAGACGAATGTCGAGAAGCGGCTTGCGGGAACATTCTTTTTCTCCCGCAAGCACACGAATCGGCGTACAACTGGTTATTTCTTTGCGACGCTTGCCTACCAGCTGGCCAGCAACTTCCCCAGCGTCAAGACGCATGTAAATAAAGCTATTCTCGAGAACCCTGCCCTTCTACACCCCGATGGGTCTCTCCGCAAGCAGATGGAAGAGTTGTTTTCCCGACCTCTGCGGCAGCTCAAATCCAGACTACGCGAGTGTCCGCCTTTGACATTCGTTATTGATGCCCTCGATGAATGCACAGAATCCCTCGATCAAGCCTCACCGGAATCCCTCGATCAATCCACATTCGAAAACAAATCCGAAATCGAGCTTGCTGAACTCATTTCCCTGCTCGCCCAAGCTCTTCGTGATCCTAATTTGCCCGTAATCCACATTTTAGTCACAAGCCGCTCGGAAGCGCATATCCAAGAAGCCATGCAGAACGAAGACGTGTGCCCGCTGGTGTGCGAGATACCAGTGAAGATTTCCGGACAGGGCGTTGCTGCTACCATCTCGTTAGACGGCGCAGATGTTGACGAAGACATCTATTTGTTCTTGGAACATTCGTTCAAAAGAATGCGCAGTCGCTTTTCCACTTTCCCGCAGCCAACGAAGGGTCAACTTGAACGGCTAGCGAACCGAGCGGGCAGACGCTTCATCGTCGCATCTACAATGATGAAGTTTATCAATGATCAACACAGTGATCCCCGCGATCGGCTTGAGCTCATGCTCGAACTAACAAGTGAACTGCTTCCAGGGACGGAGGTGTACAAGTTATACGACCGTATTCTCTCCACATGCGCTGACCCGACGCAGGCATACCTGCACTTGTCGGTTGTTGCTGCCCTTGCGGATCCTCTACCCATGGCACAAATCTCGGAACTTCTTGGCCCTGGTCAGGGCAGGGATGTCGAGGCAGTACTGGTGCAGCTACGGTCTGTCATAGATATTCCTACCGACAGCAGTCTCCCCGTGAACATATATCACTCCTCTGTCCGTGACTACGTTTCCCACCGCTCCAACTGCAGCCTCATTCAAGTGAAATATATCACATCACCACATTCCCTACTCGCTCTTTCCTCTCTCCACTTGATCATGTACGGCATCCCAGAACGTAAGGCTCTCTTGGACGCTCTCTCAGAATTGACGAAGCACAGCAATGCTATGGTACCCCAGGAGCCCCAGAATTTAAAACACTCATTATCTTTCATGGTCCAGCCACCGGACCCACTGCAAGTTATTACAGCCCTACTATGGCTTCGGGGAGATCGAGGCTCAAACTTCCAATTCTGGCTAGAGACCATGGACGGGCGTGCCTGGCTGCAGACTGACGGAGTGGAAGACTGGCTGCAGACTCAGGGGGGGAAGGACTGGCTGCTGACTCACGCGGCGAGTGAGTGGTTTCTGACCCGGTCTGGAAAGGATTGGCTGCAGACCCCGAGCGTGCGAGACTGGCTGCAAATACAGGGCGCCCAAGACTGGCTGCAGACAGAGAGCGGGAGATTCTGGCTACAGACAGAGGGCGGGAAAGACTGGCTAAAAATCAGGGGCGGGAAAGACTGGCTGCAGACTCACGGCGGGGGAGTTTGGCTGCAGACTAAGGGCGGACGAGACTGGCTAGGGACAGAGGGCGGCCGCGACTGGCTGGGGACAGAAGGCGCGACAGATTGGCTGCAGACAGAAAGCGCGACAGACTGGCTGCGAACAACAAGCGCGAGGGACTGGCTGCAAACAGAGAGCGCGGCACACTGGCTGAAGACATATAGAGGGAGAAATTGGTTACGGACACAGGATGCGGAAGCCTGGCTGCAGGTAGAGGGTGGGGCGTACTGGCTGCAGACCAAAAGCGGACAAGACTGGCTGCTGACAAATGGCAGGCGAGAGATTTGGCTGCAGACCCATGGCGGGCGAAGCTGGCTGTGGACAGAGGGCGGCCGCGACTGGCTGGGGACAGAAAGTGGGGCAGACTGGCTGCGGTCAGATAACGCGGCAGACTGGCTGGGGACAGAATGCGCGGCAGACTGGCTGCGGTCAGATAGCGCGGCAAAATGGCTGCGAACAGAGAGCGCGGCAGACTGGCTGAAGACACATAGAGGGAGAAAGTGGTTGCGGACACAGGATGCGGAAGCCTGGCTGCAGACAGAGGGTGGGGCGTACTGGCTGCAGACCGAGGGGGGGCAAGACTGGTTGCTGGCAGATGACGGGCGAGAGAAGAGATGGCGAGACTGGCTGCGAATAGAGGGTGGACAAGACTGGCTGCGAACAGAGGCTGGGCAAGACTGGCTACAGACAGAGGCCGGGCGAGAGTGGCTGCAGGTCAATGGTGGGCGAGAGTGGCTGCAGGCAAATGGCGGGCGAGAGTGGCTGCTGACCCTGGACGGGCGAGAGTGGCTGCTGACCCTGGGCGGGAGAGACTGGGTGCTGACCCTGGGAGGGCGGGAGTGGCTGCAGACAGAAGGCGGGAGAGAGTGGCTGCTGACAGCGGGCGGGAGAGAGTGGCTGTACACCCAGCACGGGCGAATATGGCTACTGACCACAGGTGGGCATAACTGGCTGCAGACAGAGGGTGGGCAAGACTGGCTGCACAACCACAGCGGGCAATGCTGGTTGCAGATCCTCGATGTGCTTGATGTGCTTCTATCCTCGCTGCCACTTTCCCAGCAATCCTCGCGCTCATCCCTCCAGCAATCCTCGCCCCCGCCTGTCAGCAAGGTAGACCTCATGGAGACTTGGGACGATTATTGGCTAAAAATCCATGGCGTGAGAGATCTGCAGACCCAGGACGGGCAAGATTGGTTGCAGACACAGGTTGGACGACACTGGCTGCAGACCCAGGGCGGACGAACATGGCTACAGACCCAGGGCGGGCGAACATGGCTACAGACCCAGAGCGGGCAAGACTTGCTGCAGACCCAGCACGGGCGAGAGTGGCTGCAAACAGGGAGGGGTGGACGATATTGGCTGCAGACAGACGGTGGGCGAGATTGGCTGCAGACAGATGGCGGACGAGACTGGCTGCAAACCCTGGGCGGACGAGACTGGCTGCACATTCTAGGCGGCGAAGACTGGCTAAAGACAGAGGGCGGGCGAGAGTGGCTGCAGACCCAGCACGGGCGAGAGTGGCTGCAAACAGAGGGCGGGCGAGGGTGGCTGCAGACAGAGGGCGGGCGAGGGTGGTTGCAGAACCAGGGAGGACGAGACTGGTTGCAGACACAGCACGGTCAAGCATGGCGGTTGACCACTACCTGGGTAACCATGGAAGAATTCTCGAGCACTTTGCAGGCAGTCAGGGAGTATATAATCGTCCCAGAATTGCCTTTGCAGCCCACTTTTCAAGTTATCCAGCAGTTCAAGAACCTGCCGGATTACTTGATGTTCCCGGCATTTCTGGCGTTGAGGCACCAGGGTCATTCCACTGCGTCATTACCACAAAGGCATCTCCCACAAGACATGGAAATCATCCATGCTATAGAGGCCTTTTTATGTTTTGCCCACGAAGCACGGGAACAAAGCCAATCTACTTCCGACGCTCTTAACTACGCATGTCAAAACTGGGCCGTCCATCTCTCGCGAGCTTCGAATCCATGGGACGAGAGGCTTGCCCATACATTTAAGTCTTTCTGGAATCGGAATCTCCCCTCCTGGCTCGAGCGGCAGTGGTGTTTGAAGGATTTGCGCTCTTGCCTCACTATCTTATCCGAAGGCGAGAAACTTGCAAAGGTGCGTGCGTTCCGACGGTTGCCTAGGCTCACAATCTGACCCGCTCATATAGCAACATCTCCAACAAACCTCAGGGTCGTCTCAGTAACCAGCTGGAGCTGTCGGGTTTATACCACGTTATGTTACTGAAATGCCCGTGACGGAGTTCATTAATTATTGATACTTTCTTCAAGGATTCTTCAATGCTTGCTTGAAAGTATCTATCTGTTCAATTTCAGTTCAATACGAGTACATATAAATATTGTATACCCATGGTCCATGAAAATGCAACTCATTACAACGGCCGAAGGATTGCTCGTGAGTAAAGTAAAAAGCAAGGTGACAGTAATACCAGGTACCACTATGGTCCATGCAAATGGAAATACTAAAAGTATGTGGCTGTGCTATACATGTCCCTATCCGCCATTTTATTTCTTCCACTTTGCAACGACATTCAAATCGAGGACGCTCTTCCGAGCCTCGGAATTTAACTACACGCTGGCCACCTTCCTGTGTTCGAAAAAATTGCTGTCGGATGCGTTGTGCGGAGGCAGGGTTCCGAGTTATCCACGTATCCCGACATCAATCAAAACGTCCTTGGACGGCTGCAGGGCGTCTCGCTCAGCGAGGAACCTGACTTTCCTCGGTATTCGAAGCTATTTCAATAGTCTCGAAAGACACGTCCAGAAACGCAATAATGAACCTCGGGGTGTCCGTCGGGCACAGTTTTCGGTTTCGTGTCCCTCGCGGAGTTCAGCGCAGGTGTTGCTTCAGAAGCCAAAGGAAATGCATATCCCAACAGAAGATTATTACCCTGGAACTTCTGCCCCTCTGCCACCTTCTCAGCGCTCTGACTGGCGGCTAAGAGCCACTTCGCGTACCCACCGCACTCAACTATTTGATGCTCAACGACACAGGAGATACATCAAACGTGTAAATCCACCCCATATCCAAGTGCAGCAGGGAGAGCCATTTTTTGAAGAGATACAGGCCTACAATAAACAGTTCGTCACTTTTCTGAATCTCGTCGTTGTATCCAATCAATTTTCTACAGTTTCTTATCCTTGCTCGAGTCTGAACAAGCCGAGGATGAGGCAGTTCTGAGGGAGCGACTGTCTACTTGGTCGTTGCTTCGATTACAAGAAGAAGGTTATACTATATCGGGTCTTTCTGCCTTTTGGATGGGCGCACCAAAGTTCGGACGTCCCGTGGCTTCGTTTTCTCTTGGTCCCGGTATCGACCTACCAGAACATAGATTTGAGTAAGCTTTCAAGAGTGGAATCATGTCACATAAGTCATTACTTTGTTCAGGAACGGTACCCAAGTTCTGGTTTCACGGTTCGATCCCCTTCAAGAGCCACCGCACCGAGGAAGCGTTCTTAGCAGGACTGCGTCACAGCTACGCGTAGCATTTGAAGAGAAATTCGACATTGAAGATGGCTGTTGGCGCTTGGACATTGGACGGTCCAACATCGTGTTCATTCGTATGCGAGAAGCCATTTCTCGCTTCAATCATGATCCGCAAGCACTAGAAGACCGAACTCAGTTGATATCCTCTCCAGACAACCAGTTTATTCTCCACGGGACACATTTGCGAGACGTATTGTTGCGTTCGTTCTCTCCAGATAGACCATCATTGCATGCACCGTTGCAACCTCCAGATGAGGTTGAGTACGTGCCTCGAGGGAGACTTGAGCATGACAGTCGCGAGGTGCGAGAGCACGGAGGCGCGTTCAAGGAAGACATGCACATCCAAAGCTGGGCAAGACGCTATTCGCAGATCAATCCAATTATCATAGATGGTGATCCGGTCCTTGAAGGCCTGAATGCCACGCAGATTCGAGCTATTGCCATGATGATTAGCGAACGAATTAGTCTTGTTCAGGGAGTACGTCTCATCTCGCCAAGTCATATTGAAAACTAAAGGACATTTGCTTCAGCCGCCTGGTACAGGCAAAACGAAAACCATCATTGAAGCCGTGAAACTACTGAAGGTCCGATATTCCTCGCCATCAATTTGATATCTATCTCTGATATGTCATTCAAGGTTCACTTCGAAGTCCATCACCCTCTTCTCGTCTGCACCTACACCAATGTCGCAGTCGATAATCTGGTGGAAGGTTTTGCTGCGGCTGGCGTGAAACCTCTTCGAGTTGGGTTTGGTGCTAAAATCAAATCGTCTCTATACGAATATACGTTAGATGCGAAGCTGGAGGCGCATCCTCTCAAGCCTAAAGTCGACCAACTTCTGAAAGACCAGGAAAACGCCGAAAAGAAGTTGGGCGCGCTGGAGCAAAGAATTGTCGAGGCTGAAAAATCGGGCAGTGAAAAGCTCAGTAACATGCGGACTGCGTTAACCGTATTGGAGAGGCAAGTTTTAGCGCTGAGAGCAAAACTGTATGCGCTGCATCAGGAAATGCTCAACAGTATCACTGCCGCGGCCGACGTAGTGAGTGATGTATTATCTGCGCCCCACTTTGCCACGGACTCACGACTTAATGGTAGATTTGCACGACGTGCATTACATCCGCCAGTGCTGCACTCAATATTCTTGACTTTCCTGTTGTGTTCTTGGATGAGGCCTCCATGTCGACAGAACCGGCGTCACTCATTCCTTTGATGCGAGGAGTGAGCCGACTGAGCTTTTCCCACATTTTCGTTCTGACCGTTAGTACAGTCTCAGCATGTGGCCCTGATTGGAGATCATAAACAATTACCTCCCGTCATCACAAGTCGCGAGGCGCAGCTTAACGGCCTTGGCATCAGTCTGTTCGAGAGACTCACTGAAGAAGGAGGTGTGTGATTCTTGCAACATCCGTCTGGAGATTTCTTATCAGAAATTTCAAATAGTTGTTCCGTCAATCATGCTTGATGTGCAGTACAGGATGCACCCTTCCATTTCTAGATTTCCCTCTTTAGAGTTTTATGACCTTGCCTTGCAAGACGGGACGGTGGACTCTGCTGGTAACATACACCCCATGCTTCTACCCCCGCTGTCAAGTCACCTCGAACAAAATGTTCTCACTGGTCACCGCCCCTCTGTCGTATTTATCGATCACGGCGGTGCAGAAACTTACAAGGACCGCAGCAGGGTGAACTGGAACGAGGCTTACATTGTTTGTAGCATCGTTGAAGACCTACTCTTGCAAAACGAGGTAAGCGCTGCCTGATCGCCGGGCATGTCAGACCGACATTAATAATTTCCAAAGAACCTGCAAGGAGCAAACATAGGTGTCATTGCCCCATATGCTGCGCAGATTTCGCTCTTGTATCGCCTCCTAAACACCGATGCCAAGTATCGCAAGCGCTTCGCATCTACTCTTGGCGATCATCGAATGATGCAGCTCAGCAGTATCGAAGTGAAGACGGTGGACGGGTTCGAAGGACGCGAGAAGGACGTCATAATCTTTTCGACCGTGCGAAATAATACGTCAGGGTATATTGGGTTCCTTGCTGACAGACGACGATTAAATGTTGGCCTCACGCGTGCAAAGAGGGGGCTGTTCGTTGTTGGGAGTATTAGTACTCTGAAGGCTGGGAAGATGGCCAAGGGTCGGTTGGGCGAGGGCCCTGCAAGAGTGGGTAAAGGCGCTGAGGCTTGGAGGAAATACGCGAAATATCTCCTCGAGGAGAACATGGTGCTGACCCTTAGCGGAGATAAGCTAAGGAATGTGCTGTATGGACACGCAGCAAAGGCGACGTTGAGCTGAGTCTTTCTACCTGCTGGATCCTAGTACATATTGGTCATTGGTCTCGTATGTGCTTAGCGCTATTATGTCGCAGTGACCCCTCTTTCTGTGCGAGTATCAGAAAGGACGTAAGTTTTCCATCGACCTCGAGAAGTCAGAACCCTTTGCGAGGCTATGTTTTCGAACATTGATTGACATTTTTCGGCGCTCATATTACGTTGTACCCACTCATGGGGCAATCCGGGACAGCTTGGCATTTGGACCGAAGCCGGAAATGACAGCATGCATACCGACATGTAACATACAACCCTGAGTCGGATAATAAGGCGATACTTGTGCGTTCCTTGTGCGCTATAAGCACATCGGTCCCGGAGTTCGTGCCGTTTTGACAATTATGGTTTCTCTCGGAGGGATATCGATTCGATCGCAGCCTTCGCTAATAGCGGCTGTTGGCATGAATGTAAAAAATGCCGCAGTTGGTAGTCTAAAAACCTTGAAGCTGCGATTTGCTGGACAAGTACGTGAATTGATCCAGATCCGAACCGCATAACTTGAAGCAGGGCCGGCGCCATCGCTGGAATCACTTTGTTGAGACCCACGCTCTGTATGAAGGGTGAGTGCAACTATATTCAATTTTCCCCGGTAGTGCACATCGCGGAATATTTGAGCAATATGTGACATACGGGATTTGGATGGAGTCCGAGGGTTACACACGGGGCGAGAGAGAGAAAGGCTATATCACTTTTGAGCGCTGACATTAATCAGTCACAGCCCAGGGCTGGATTCGCACTTCACTTCTTTTTTTCAGGGCCAAATTGGCGCTAGGCCTTCGATGGTGCTGTGTTGCACGCTGGAGAGGACTTGTGGTTCGGATGAGCTTCGGTTGGCTTCCATGGCCACCGACATACACCAACGGAAATCCGAAAAAGGAAAGTGTTGATCCGTCACGTTGTGCACAGCAAAGAGCGCGGGGCTCCGAATCGTATGGACCCGAGGCGGTGCCGTGCAGGGTAATTTATTGAATGCTCCGCTAGTGCTGAGACTAATGAGTCTCTCTGAACTTGTTTGACCGAGGATCCGGGAAAGAACTGGGATAGGACGCCTTTGGACGCAAGCTTCTTGGATAAATTGATGATCAACTTCCTTGATGATGATGCTGTTGTTGGAGGATGCTTTACGTAGTTACGTAGGGAGCGGAATGGAGCGGAAGTAACCGTCGGAGGATGCCACGTGTGGCGAGATATCGCACTCTAATTTGACTGTGTGAATTGGGTGTCAGATTGTTACTGACAAGTGACGGAATCGTATACCGTACGAGCGTCCTTCCAGGACAGTTGAAAAGGACGTTTGGAATGAGATTTACCCACTTATTTCCCTCATTACTTGTCACGGCGGTCGTAGCAATCCGGTATAGAGAAGACTACTACCATTCGAATTCTATTAGGAATCGACAATCACTTTAATCTGCAAATCGTAAACTTCTTGGTAACCAACAAAATTGCCATCTCCGCTGGCGGTATCGAGTTCAAATAGGCCCCTCCTCCCTATGTCATCCAATTCATTCAACATGCACTCCCATCCTGCAGTGTCTTTCGAGAACATGTTGCGTCAATTTCGCAAGTTGTCCTCCCCCTCATGTAATTCCTCCCATTATCACCTCGATCCTAATTGTATTCCTCCATCGGCAATTTCTCAGCCGCCTTCCCCCCTTCCTTGTCTCCGCGTCCCTGTATCCTGCCAAACGTCAATCGATTTAGACATCGGCATACCTACCTATCACCGCTTTCACAGCGACTCCCACTTGAATTTGTCTCCGACATCCTCAGGGAGCAGCGAGGGACATTCCTTGCCGTCGTGCGAGCTCTCTGCTAGCCGACCATTATTTGAGCAATTCAGAAATACACGGTCGCGCGTCCTGCTTGTAAGTACCTTGGTTCTCCATGCCTTTCAGTATCTGATAACCACTCGAAGCTCCACAAAGATCGCCGCTCCCCATTGTCCTCGTTTGTGTCGCTCTTTACAGAGGTAAGCGCATCACCGCTAGAACGTCCAAACCATTTGTTGAGTGATTGTCTGAACAGGGACGAGACAGACGCGCTTTTGTCAGACCACCTGTGTCTATGTGGGCCGCAAACGAGTGCATTGAGCCAAGCGACGTTTGGGCAATATTCCAGTCACACGAGGATGTAAGCGGCATCTAATTTCTTTATATGGTATCGTTCCCTCGAAGGGTTTAATATTCCCGTGATCCGGAGACCCATTGTTTCCTACTTTGGCCACTTCCGGGCCAACGTGTCCGCCACGTGAGAGCGGGTTAGTGCAAAGGATACCGTTGCATTGCTACCACTCAGTTAGGCACCAGCGAGATGATTATCGATGATTTATTCCACTGCTGGCTTATTTTTTTTTGTTCATCCACTTTCACTGATTATCCGATCTTAAAATTGCGGTGCTGACTGAACATGATTTCTTAGGCCTGTACAACTCTTTCTCTCTCTCACCCCTCCATCACCATCACCCCCGCTCTTGAGAGCGATTTGGAGCCTTTTGATAGGTTGCGCAGAGTCGATTCCGTGTTGAAGGTGCGTCATATACCATGTGGCTTAGCAGCGGCTCAACTCAGTGTCACGTCAGAATTCTTCTGCGATTTCATATCCTGCTGGTCTCCGCATGTCCCTGTCAACACCTGACCTTCACAAATACGTCCAATACGGTGCGCCGCATGATGACTTTGTCATCTCCAGCAACCCGCCCAACCCTCGGACGACATTCAGACTGGGTGACTGGATGTAAGCACTTCATTTCGAACTCAATTTGCAAACATGATTTTGTTTGTGATCGTGTTGTGGAGTTGCCCAGACATCATAGGGGCAACTTTATTTGAAATGGATTACAGAGTCAGTTTGCTGACTGGTTTCTCGACAGATGCAATTCGCCCAACTGCGCAGCGCACAACTTTGGGTGAGTTTCGTTCTTTGACGGTCACCATATTTTTGGCATATTTTTCACTCTCGTTGGATGTGAAAATCCCGAAGGCGAAACTAGGAGAACACGTCACACTCCGAAATCGCTCGATCATCATATGCGTCATCGTTACCTACTTTGAACTGCTCTTCTCATTCTGTTATCCGTATCTTTACTTTGATTGCTCGCCACCTTCCTCTCCCTTCCAATCTCTCATGCAAGGATGGTACTGACTGATTCGTTTCCTTGCATGATTTTACACAGGCGTAATTTAGCTTGCAGAGGTTGTGGATGTCCACGTTCTGAGAACCCGCCCTCAACAATGCAGCGACAAGGGTCTTGCGGGCCACCCGCGTCGCGTCTCCCAGTATCACCTCGCTTCGTCAATCCATCTGGACACACGCCCATGCCGCAAAGCTCTCTTTCTCCACCACTTACCTCTCCTCTTTACGCCAGTGCCGGTCATAACGTGCGTCATGCACCCCAGCCTATCCAGCCTAGCATTATGAGTGCAAAGCCTCCCACTTCGCCTACCCACCCACTTCTCACCCCATCCGGTCGTTCTTTTGCGGTGGGAGGGAAGGTGCAAAACGTCTCTTCGGACCCGTTGTCGCCGTGCGTCATGTATTGGCCGGATAATGAATCATTCCCAGAACAAGGTCAAATTCGACCGAGCAGCTTGATGGTCATTCCGGCAAGTACCGCACTCTATGTTCTTCCTTCCCAGGCTAACGCGCAATTATTTCTAGCAGCCTCCGATCCTGAACACTGGTAACCGTGGGCCTATCGAACATCAGCCTGGCGATTGGATATGTCAGAAGTGCAATTACCTGAATTGGAGACGCCGCAAAGTTTGCCAGACTTGCTTCCCTTGTAGGTGCACATCAACTGCGAAGTCGAATTTTTATTAACCTTTTGCAGATGCTGAAGGAAACGGCGATTCTATCTCCGCTGCTGTGCAAGCGGAGCGCATCAACTTACTTACGTCGCTCCTTGCGCAGAACCAGCTTCCGCTCGCGAGTGGCCCCCCATCTCTTCCATCTCAAGCCCCTCGGTCTCATTCCATGACACCCCCCGCAGCGCCGTCGTATGTTCATGGACAACGTTCCTCAGAATCAAGTACCATACCGATCCCGTTCGCATTCTAATTTCGACGCAGACACCCAATATTCTGATTCCCAGTTCATCTATGAAACGTCCGCTCCCCGTCGTACCTCGCCGTCTTCGTTCCCAAGTCTTGGTGACCTCGAGAATTATCTTCCTGTCAACCTCCCTGCTCCTTTGCTCCCCTCTTTCTTGCAGGATATTGTGCAATCCCCCACTCTGTCTCCGAGTTCTACCTCATCCACTGACCTCTCTCCTGAGGATTATGATGATAGTTTTTCTTCGGAACGTTCATCGTTTGGGAAGGATCGCATTGCGACGAACGACTCTTCTTCGAACCTGCCTGTTAGTAACATTTGGAAGCTAAACGACGAGGAAACCAAGGGTATCGCCGGCGTTGCATTGCCTCACATAGGTGTGATAGGGAGTCGGAAAAGCAGCCACGAGGCATTGCGTCGCCGAACCAATTCGCCTTGATTGTAAGCTCTCTCTTCGTTCCAAATCGATGAGTGTGCTCACGATGCCTTTAGTCATCACGTATATATATTAAGCATTAGGGAAGGATACCGACAAGCAAGGTCAAGTGCGGACTCATCCGCGGATGGACATGTGGACAGCGTCCTGGGTATTGTACGGAGAATACGGTTAGAATGATTTTTCTGGTATTTTTATTTGTTCTTCCCCTAGTGCTGGCTCATATGACGGATTGGCTTGCTTCGATGCAAGGCGTCCCACGCATTTTTTCTGCTTCATCTTCGCACTTTCAAGTTGGATCTCGCAATCGCACCAGCATATTCTGCATATTGTTTATCTTGGTCATTTATTTTATCTTGGAGTTCTTACGCCTCCCTTATGTACTACTGCATAGTCTAATTGTGTTCGTAAAAGTTTGCAATAGTATCGACGTGGTCACCCTTAATAGGAGTAGCGTGCTCCCGACGATGTTTGTGCATGTTAGGATCAGAAGGTGTTGCACAACAATGGACACTAAACACAAATAACGCGCTTGCTGATATCATGGTAGTCGCTTTTGCTATCTATCAATGTTTGCACGCCGCATATTATGTCTGGTGTTGTAATACAAGTTCAACAATATCAGCCTTCCGCCGCCACCACATTCCTCACAACCAAATCAGGAGATGCGTCCGAAGAATCTGACCTCCTTCGCTCCATACGTGCTGCCATTCGAAGTTCTCGTACTAATACTGTGACCACGACTTTTAGCCCCCTCTTCACAGGTGGATCGGAGTCCTGGATAGACCAAGAACTTTCCTGGAACGACTATTGCGTGGTTCTGAGTGAAGGTGGCGTCATCAAGAGGAAATGGGACCTCACGCAAGAAAATCAGATCATCCAACACGCTTGCGTCGGAAAACTCCTGCAGCCGACGGGATGTTCTAGTCGTCAGGCCCACGGCAGTGCCCACTATACGAGATCAAACGAAACACCTGGAGCTACGAACATCTTTGGACCCTTTGCGTCACTCCGAGACGAAACTAGAGCTGTTGGGGATGCAGACGAGGAGATAACGGGCGTGTTTGTGTTCCTGCGGAGCATTGGAAAGGTTTTCTTGCAGAATGGGATGGACTACACGTTTTCGCTTCCGTTTCTCGTTCACAAAGCGTGGCCGCTTCATCCTCATGGTGTCCTTATCCAGCGAATCCTTGATCCGGCTGAAGTTGACGAGGCTCGGGCTACCGGAGATGAGCTATTACCCACCATATTCACCATCACAAGCGCGTTCTCGGAGCCTGAAGCTGTAGGGATCACGAGTGGCATTTTGGGAGGCTGCGGTAACGAACCTGTTGCTTTAGTAGATGAGGAAGAGAATTGTTCCAAGCCACTGGTCACTGTCTCTGCTAGCGAGGAGGTCGTCTGGGTCTCTCCTGGCGTCCCTAATTCAACTGGCGAATTTTTGGTCACCTTCGATGCAGACAAAGGGGGTCTGTCCATATGGAGATATGCCTACATCAAACCCAAAGACGCTCCTGTGCCTCTTACTCGGGCTATACGTCGCAGTACTTCGCGGAAGAGCATGTCTGCACCCGGAAACAGGCGACAATCAAGCATCAGCGACCTATTAGAACTTGACCGCCGTCTACCGTCTCAAGACATGGAGTTTGATGGTGATTTCCCCCCACCGTTTCCCTCAATGTCAGCTTCAACGGCAACTAGTATCACTGCTCAACCACCAATACCAGGACGAAAACGGGATTCCCTCACTCGCCTAGATCTCAGTTTGACAATGGACAGAATGGCGCTTGGGGGACAGAAAGATGCAGAAGTGTTGATCACCCCTGTCGAACATGGAAGAATGAAGGCGTCTTATTGGGCCCAGCAATTGACCACTCATCGTTTGGGAGGGAGACAGTAGGAGGTTATTGATGCCTTATTTAAATGCACACTCATGTTGTTGTAGACTGTCGTCGCGGGATATCTCTGTTGCGTTATTTGATCAACGATGTGATGACAAGGCTCACCACTCGCTCCTCGCAGTCTGCCTGCCCGAGGCCAAGGTGATCGTCTTTACGATTACCTTTGAGGAAGGCAAGAAATCATTTGTGGTTGAGACTCTCGGCACTCTGGAAGCCGTCGCAATTGCGCCGATACGCGCAACGCGCGGTGATATTTGGGACCTCCTTGCAGTGAAGAAGGATGGTTCATTATCATTGTACACCCATGGATTACACGAGCTGCGTATACGACTGAGGCTCGCGCAGCCCTGGAACGGCGACAGCAATGATTCATTTGAGGTCATCTCACTTGATCATGTTGTAGCATTGAACCACGTTTGCGTCTCGTCGGTGTTTATGGAGATGAGTGATGGGAAGGTCTATTATGCACGACTGGACATGACCCCATGCGATCCATTGGTGACTCAGGCCATACAGGTTCTGTCACTTGTGTTGCCGAAGGCTCAAGCTTTTGATCTGCACCGAAACTTTCTCGAGTCATGGTCACAGCATTACTTCCGAACATCGCCTGGGCTCGAGTTCCAGGAGTTCACGCTCGCACTTTTCGCCCTTCTTGAGCTGAAGCTTGTGTATCCATTCAAAAACGACGAGTCTACAAGTTCTTCTGTGTGGGAAAGATTTTCAGCTCTGTCTACTTCTATTCGTTCTTTCAATGACGATCCGGCTCTCAAGCGCTTGAAGCTTCCTACACCCCCGACCACGCAACATTACTTCCTTTTTACTCTGACCGTCAACCCTCTCCTCGCGCCTGTGCTCTATGCATTACATATGCTGGCAGAGGATCTCCGCTTAGTGGTCCTTCGATACGAATCTCTCATGCTCCTCATTCCTCTGATATGTCAAATTGCACACATCATTCGACCAGAATGGGCAGATTACTGGAAGCGCCTCTGCCCCAATATCATGCCAGGATGGCCAGCCCCATCCACGACCCGTCAGTTCACAGGTTTCTTACGCCGAACTGTTCTTAATCTTCTTACTTAGGTGTGGACATGCTGGACGACCGGATACCAGTCTGGCCGCCAGATATGTCGGCGATTCTTTATGGAAGCATAAGTAACCCTGACTGGCAATTCCCTGCGTATGGAACTTCCCGACTGGCCCGATCTTTTTCCATTGATCCGTCATTTGCTTTCGGTGACACCGAACCGCTCGTGTCGTTGCAGCGTCTCACGGCGGCCTATAAGTGTCTTGCTGACAAGACGGTGCCGTCTACACAAAAGCGGGCAGAAGTAACCGTTGAAAAGCTCGTCGACATACTTGGGACGGCGGAGAAGGGTTCTGCATTCCTCAATAGTCTTCCCTTGGGTATCGCGGCGCCCCTGAGAGAAGCTGTTAGAACCTGCCAGCTGGCGCCTCCTTCACACTGGCGTAAAGAGCATTATGACCTCATTGGCCGGCGTGACTTGGCTTTCAGCGTCGCTGGGACACAGCCAGAGCTCTCTCAGAAGGGCATTGCTCAGTCTCCCGAGACCTATATGGTAGGGGCTTGCAATTCGAGATTTATTGGAGTGACTAATCCAATTCCAGAATACTCATCAACGAGTGACGATCAGTAGTCTGGCCGAGCAGGCAAAGCATGCAAGCATCGGAGAAATCGATGCGGTTTCTGGAGTCGAGCTGGATCTCAAGGGATTTACCAAGATCCGTTTTGGGCAAGATCGCAGATTGGAAGAAGTGGCCCGTATGCTTTGTTCGTCAGCAATTCCATCGGTTCGGCTTATAGAGCGCCCGGAATTGAAGTGAGCAGGACACTCAGTGAATCAGGTCGAGGATTTGCTAACAACTCCTGAATAGCGAACATGACCAAGCGAAGGAACAGCAGCATCAAGTGGTTCGTATCGCAGAGCGAACGCTGGCACTTCCCTATGGCCGTGCTATGTTCACCTTTGGTTCTGTGTTGATGGTCACGAAAGAGGCCTATATCATCCCCAAGATCGAGTATGCGGTTAAGATACAACCATCAAATATCACTACTGCACCCGAGATTGGCAAGATACCTATCGATTGTCTCAGCTGGGGCGAGTTCCATAATGGCGTTGCAGCAGGATTACGCATCGCTCCGGAAGCTCGCGGTGTGGAGAGTTCGTGGATTGCCTTTAACAAGCCTTCCGACCTCACACCAGAACATGCCGGCTTCTTGTTTGGCCTTGGGCTCACGGGCCATCTCAAGGAAATGCTTACATGGCATACCTTTGGATATCTAACCCCAAAGCATGACTTGACGTCCATCGGCGTCTTGCTTGGTTTGTCAGCTGCGAACGCTGGGACAGGCAATCGGCATGTGACAAAGCTGCTTGCCGTTCATACCCCAGCTTTGCTTCCCACGCAGAGCGTTGACTTGAACGTATCCCTCATGACCCAAGCGGCCGGTTTGGCGGGAGTCGGCATTCTGTACCTCGGTACCAAAAATAGGCGTATGGCAGAAGTATGTCTTCACCAAATCAGCAGAAAAGACCTCGTGCAACCGGACCTTAGCAATGAACACCGAGAGGCTTATACTTATTGTGCTGCCCTAGCCTTCGGCATGATAATGCTAGGTCAAGGCTCCTCCGTACCCGCAGATCTCTCATCGCTCAATCGCCTCCGCATCCTTGTGCATGGTGAAGGAAAGTCAGTTGTGAACTCCCAAACACGGCCGACATTCGATGTCAACATCACCTCGCCAGCGGCTTCTATCGCGCTTGGGCTGATGTATCTCAAGACAGAGCGACGAGATGTCGCTGACATCCTGGCGATTCCAAGTACGGTCTTGGAACTGAACCGTATACAACCCAGCTTTTTGCTCATGCGGACCATTGCAAAATCCTTGATCATGTGGAACGATATCGCAGCGACGCCGCCGTGGTTATTTGCTCAGGTTCCCGAAACTATCGTAAAGGCTATGCATGGTCACGTACAAGGAAAACCGGCCGACGATGCTATCGAGCTTGCCTATTACAACATTATTGCAGGTTGTTGTTTTGCTATCGGCTTGAAGTACGCGGGGACAGCACGTCATGAGGCGTATATCATGCTTTCGAATTACTTTGATATGTTCAGTAGATTTGTGGCAGCTAGTGGTGAATTTCTTTCACGGGACTCGCAGGGTTTCATGCTAACTATCTGATGCTTTCCAGGCCCTGCCTTCGACCACAAGATCAAGCGCTCTGCTGTTCGTGAAGGCTTGAACCTCATTTCTATTGCGCTTTGTATGGTCATGGCGGGTACAGGGGAAATCACCTGTTTGCGACGCCTGAGGTATGCATATGGGATGTATCACCAAGCGTTTCGATACGGTGTCCATGTTGCAACTCATCTGTCACTTGGTTTATTATTCCTCGGGGCCGGTCGCTATACCCTCGGAACTTCGAATGCCGCAATAGCTTGCATGATCGTTGCCTTTTTCCCCCGTTTCCATCATGTATCGTCGGACAACAAAAGCTATCTCCAGGCCCTCCGCCACCTCTGGGTTCTTGCAGTCGAGCCCAGATGCCTTATGGCACGGGATGTTAATACCCGGGAGGCAGTCTATCTCCCAGTCAAAATCACGACAAAAGAAGGTGCCGAAAAGGGCGCGACGCAGCTGATATCGCCCACATTGATACCGGATTTCAACAAGCTTTTATCCATCAGAATCGATACGCCCCGCTATTGGCCTTTCTTTGTGGACCTTGAAAACGTACCACAGCACAGGAGAAGCCTGTTAAAGCACCAAACGTTGTACGTGAAACGACGGACGGCTTTCTTGAGCTATACGGAGGACCCTAGGGGAAGTAGAAGTCTTTTTGTCCGCTCTGGTTCATCCGCTGGGGATGCTGCAACTTTAGACTTTCCGCAACTGACCGACACGAAGGCGCACCCCGCAAGCGACCTGACTCATTTCATCTCATCATTCTCCAACGACACCCTATTCCTAGCTTTCGCAGATTATTTCTCACGCGAAGACGGCAAGACAGTCGAAGAAAGAGTTTTCCACAATTACTGTCACGCGGTCCTGCTCGATAGCATCCTCCAGGATAAGATGGAAACACTACAGTCCCATCTGATGCTCTATCAATATCGCACGCAATCGCCATCGTGCAGCTACTTTCATCTCCGGCTGCAAGATCTCCGTTTTGCTGTTGACTTTTACAGCAAAGTCTACGAGCGGCGGTTCAGCGGGAAATCCGAAAATAACATTCGGCCTTCCTTAATTCGCGAAAATACGGTCTCTGGCGCATTACAAGCGTTGGATGAGCGCCTTGCGCAGGTGCAGAGTTCTACGGCCCTTAATATGGTCTTTAGTAGATATGCGCGTGGGGAGCTTATTGTGGAGTCTGAAGATACCCCTGAGGTGTCGCGCTGGCTGGCTTGGTATCTGCTGCGCCATGGTGTCCCGTCTGCGTCGCTGCTGGCTATCCTCAAGCAGCTTGCGCAAGATGCTCATACACAATGTGCTGCTCCTGGGAACGTCGATTTGAGGATGCTGGATGAGGGCATAAAGGAAGTTTTGAGAGGGACGGGGACGAAAATGAATACGGTGTTTGGGTCGGGGTGGTCGGGTCCGTCTTTGGAGAGGGTTATTGATGCGTGGCAGGGACATTCGTGAGAGCTGATTCCGTCTGTGACTTTCTGTTGTTTATTGGTAAATGGCGAGAAGATGTAGCAGATATGATCGTGCAGAATGAAACTTGCAGTTACAACCGTGGATATGTTCATGTCCGTCCGGCATGCATTGGCAACCTTGCATGGAGACACATCATCCAGATGTTAAAGATCCTGCGGAGATTCGACCCATAATGCACTCGTATATTCGTTTCACCTGAGATCATAACGCAGACCACACTGCATAATATCTATTTTACTCTGTATCACAACACCACATATGTAGTTTCACCTTGATCAATATGACCAGACCATGTGCATGAGCGCTGGATATGTACCGTATAAGTGGACTCCGCAGCGTAATGTGAATGGCACTGCATGTGCAATGTACACCGCACTCTAATTTTATTCGTTTCACCCTGATCACTACCGTAGCGCTCGATGGAGGCACGTCCAGTTGTGTCAAGATTAGGAATACTTTACCGCAAGGAGTGATGGCTTGGGGTGATACGATGCAGGGAACCCCTGAACGTCGCGTCCATGGATACATGGGTACAAATCTAGAACGGTCCGGAATATGTATGTAGCATGCTGGGAATCTTTGATGTGATTCTTCATTGATATTAAGATTTGACAGCAACGGGTTTGGTACGTACGCGCTCCAGCCTCCAGCGCATATGCATGCATAAATATCTCATTGAAGGTATGCGTCCCACGCCGAGAAATAAAACACAATTGAATGCGAAAAAGAGGCTGTAGTATTATCATGTTATAATTAAATGCAAGGAACGCAGATCAGCCAGTAGTATTTTAGACAAAAATCCGGGAAACATTGATAATATTATCGTATCATGTTTTGTGGGTGGACAAAAGATAAAGCATAAGAATAGTTTAACCCGCACAACGTTCGATGGGGGTAATGAACGTTGGACTAACTAAAGGAATACAGCAAGGATCCCCCCTCCTCCTCTCCTCCTTCTAACGATCTAAATACTATGGACGGTTGGAAGAAGACTAGAATACAACACATACATGGCGTACATGTAACAAAGCATCCACGGAGTTACAATATGAACCCAGGTTCACGGCGAGGGAGGTGTGCCACGTTGGAAGCCAGCTGGCCGTTGCAGACCCTGCTCGAAGAGGAAATCACGACGTGCCTTGACAGCTGCGTTAAGCTTGTCCAACATCCCAACAGTGCACTCCCAGTCGACACATGCGTCGGTGATTGAAACACCGTGTTTCAGGGCAGCGGGGCCTTCAGCGGGAACATCTTGGCGGCCTGAGTTGATGTGGGACTCAATCATGACGCCGGTGAGGTTCCTGTCACCGGCGGCGAGCTGTGAGCAGATGTCATCGACTACTTTGGGTTGGTTGTTGTGGTTCTTCTGCGAGTTGCCGTCTGAAGATATTGCATGAGTGATTTTGGCTGACTGGGATGATTAATGATGCTTACGACTGCAGTCTACCATGATGCTGGCATGATTTGTTGGGCGAGCCTTCTCGATTGACTTGGCACCCGCGCGAACGTGTTCGGATGCGAAGTTGGGACCCTTTGTACCACCACGGAGGATGACATGTACATCATTGTTTCCACGGGTCTTGACGATAGCGGCAAGACCTTGCTCTGTGACGCCCATGAAGGCGTGGGGGTTTGAGGCTGAGCGCATCGCATCGATGGCGACGTTGACACTGCCAAGAACGGGATGAGGATATGTTCCTCAAATGAAAATATAAAGTGTGTACCTTCCATCAGTGCCGTTCTTGAACCCTATAGGAAAAGAAACACCGGAAGCGAGTTCGCGGTGGAGTTGGGATTCCGTTGTTCGGGCTCCAATCGCTCCCCAAGAGATGACTGTGTGAAGGAAGAGGCGGTGTGTGTCAGACTTCTAGGAATGTTGGGAAACTGATAAGGCGTGACGTACGGTCTGCGATGTATTGAGGCGAGATGGTATCGAGTAGCTCGGAACCGACGGGAACACCGATATCGGTAAGGTCGCAGAGAAGCTGCCTTGCTACTCGAAGACCCTTGTTAATCTTGAAAGAACCATCGATATCCTTGGGGAAAGAATGAGGATGAAATTAGAGGTAGAAGAGAATTGAACTGACGGGATCGTTGATGAGACCTTTCCATCCGACAGTAGTTCTTGGTTTCTATAATAGGAAGGGTGAGTCATTGCCAGGAACTGATTGATGTGCGGGCGGCGAACCTCACTGGATGACATAAGTTCAGTTGAAGTACAATGTATGAGTAACAGGCACGACTCACAAGTATGCGCGCATCACGATGAGGAGATTATCCCAGGAAGCCATTTTAGATTTGAGCAGGTTTGCATACTCAATGGCTTGGGATGCGCAGTGAATGGAGCAGGGACCGACGATGACGAGGACGCGGTCATCCTGACCTGCTACAATGCGAGCAGCATTGTAACGGGCAGCTGCGATTGTGAGCTGTGAAGCAGCTGTTGGCTGAACTTCATGCCTGAGCAAAGCAGGTTGGACGAGAGGGTCATACTATGGTCGAGTTTAGAGTATGAAAATGGATGTTAGTTGAGTACATACGCCAATGACACGTCTATCCTGGATGTATTGCTGTAGCTTCTGGTCATCATCGACGTCGGGAATGGGAGTGACGTTGTAAGGCATTTTATAATAATTGATTGATTTTACAAGGTAAAAGGAGATGATGATTGTACCAAGGTAAGTGAAAATGCGCGGGTTTTTATAGCATATGTGAGGCCGAGTAATTTACCGATTTCAGAACACAGCAAACGTTGACAAGTCATTCTCAATTTGCCAATTTCGTAAGTAGAACTTCATTTTTGGTAAGTGCAGGTCCATAGTCTCAATTAGGAAATGAATGTAATTCGTTGAAACTCGTTGTTTCCACTTGGTTTCCACGCTATCTTCGCTTATGTCCTCCTCAATCAGTCTAACGCTAAATCCAGTCCCCGGTTTCTGTCTAAAATCAAACGTCCTCACCGCCCCCCAACTAAAACTTTTCCTTAACATCGCATGGGACGCTAATGTGCCACCACCTCCGACTGAGACTGAAGATGTGATTCAAAAGGCGATGCGTGGCGAAGACGTTGGATGGTTCGTACCGGTCATAGTCTCAGATCTGCGCCATGACAAAGATAAAGGTCGGTGCAGTGCTCTACCCGTCTCCTACTTCCCTCAATCGCCATTCAGTCGGCCGACCGGCCCTTGTCGTCGACTGTGTATTCAATACATCGATCAAGTCACGAACGATGAAAGAACCAGATTTCAAAGCGTTCATTATAGGTACGTCATTTTAATACACCTCCGATACCTTTCTAACCATCAATCTAGAACTTGCCCTCCAGCGCGTTGAATCCCAGACCTCTCTTTTACTTTCTCGGCAAATCGGCACGCCCAACATCGCCTCGAAAGGCAAACCTGTGTCGCGCCAAGTCCTCGTGCCTGAACTACTCTTCCCGCCTCACCACAAACCCGACACTAAGTCGCTCGTTCAGGAACTAGCTTCTACACCGACAGTCAAGGGGATATCCACTCCCACATGGTCTTGGTCCAACGATGACCGTAAAATCCGCATCATCGTCAATGTCCCCAATCTGGTAAGTCTCATCCCCCGGCATACCATCTACTTTCCCTGTTTCCACGGAGACACTAGCATTTTAGTTCCCGTGTTCATACCGATCATACAGACTCATGCACATATTACCACCTCAACTCTCGACGTAGAACCACGAAGAGTAATACTTCATGTTCCTTCATTATACGACCTAGATATCAACTTCGATCTCTCGCCTACGTATCCTCTTGGTCCAACAGACCTCAAAAGGTTCAGAGATCTTGATGTGGACGGTGCCAAGGCGGAGTGGATAGTTGCTGAAAAGGTTATAGTTCTTCTGGCTTAGCAGTGCAGGCGCCATACCTCCGACTCGGGGTAACCTTGACGAATATGTGCGCTTTAATTATTTAAGTGACTGTATAATCCGTAATTAGCACAGCACCTAGCACTGCGCAGAGATATAGTGCGAGGGTGAGTTTCATTCTTCATCAACTAATAATCTTATGGCTTCTAACTACGCCACCAGCGATAACCTGCTCGGGTCGTGACTGCTCACGAGTAGGGTCGCAACTGCTCACGAGCAGCACTTCGGGTCCTGACACCAAGATTGACGAGGTCGCGAATTGTGCCCTAGATATGACAAGGACCAATGATTGTCTGGACACCTCTAAACTTGCCGTCTATCAGTGCGTCTTTGTTATCTCTCCTACCTGCGTATCATGCACGTTGCTCCCTCCATTTTACTAAGCGCAAACGTCAACCGTTCCGTACAATTGCTGTGACTTTGATCATCATCATGTCATCCCTTCCCTCGAAAAGCACCCCGGCGATCTATGTCTATATCTCACCAGGGACATCCTGAGATTTGCGACCGTCGCTTACTGATTGCTGTCCTCGCCTCCTACGTCTCCGGAAGCTGGCGAAATTAATCCCTTGCGCAATTAGAAATACAGGCACCATCATGCATGGCTTAGTATTTCTAGCGTTCTTACCGGCCGCATCAGCAGCGAACAGAAGAGGGAACCTATCTACGCCGGGGACCCGAGTCAATGTGCCCAGCTCCACGTCATATGGGAATCAAAGTTCACGGTGACTTGTTGGTACATGGTATCAAACTACAGGTTGAAACCCCTTGAGCGATACGTTTCATTAACACGGGCCCCCATATCTGCGCTCAGGCCTCGCCAAGGGGGAATGATATAGTACATCGGTCTGGGGTCATTTAGCAATCGAAGCGCAAGGCGCCTAGCTCCTGTGCAATGTCCCGGGGGCCTGTGGAGCGGGGGGAGCGAAGATCAGCAGCAGAGCAGCATAAGAACGGAGATAAGCATACACTGGCAAGCGCTTTTGATTAGGGCCATCCCTTCCAATTGGCCGTTCTCGACTTCGTGTCCGAGGCTGATGATCGCTTGATGGCGCTTTACTGCGAGTGGCTGTAAGAATGCTATTTGTTTAGAGAAAATGTAATTATGGCTTCTTGACGCTGAAGGGACAGACTATGAGTTCTTGCTGTGCTTCAGCGATCGCGGCTGTGATCTGTCGCTTCTTGTCTTCTAGAATCGCATATTGTTCGAGGAAATTCTGATGGATTGCCTCCCTTTGATTTGTGCATCAGCGTTAAGTAGCAGTGGTGTGTGCTAGGACAGGGATGTCCCTACATATCGTGTATGATGCTGGCGATTTCTGTTTCCTTTTTATGGAGCTGGTTGGGAGTTGAAGATTATGAGACGATGAGCCTTAAAGAATACGAACGGCGAGGTCTAGTTCCTTTTGTGTCGTCTGTATGATTTTATCGTCGCGTCCTCTCAATTTCTTATCCCATGTCGCTAGGAGGCGCATATAGGTAGCGTAATGAATCCCATGATGCGTAGGACACACCTTTGAACTCCGCTGCGACGACCGCGAATGTTCTTGGATATGGGCTTGTTGTCAGCGTGGTAAGATTAAATTGGGTGGAAATTACTCGTTGCTGTGGTCAGAGAGGCTGTCTTCGGGGGAGAGTTTGAAGTCTATGTCTTCTGATGGTGCTTGGGAAGGGGGTCTGGCTGATGGGACGCGTCTTTCGGGCATCTTGGGTGATATCGGTAAGAGATCAGTAAGCAGTAGACGCGCGTCGGTGGTTGTTCGTAAGACGCGATCACGTGATCATATATTTATGCGTCGTTATACATATGCTCCACCAGCGTCCATTATGTATATGAGGAAGAGCACGGGTTCTCTTTAGGGGCTTCTTTGTCGTGGTGGCAATGGCATTGATCATGAGACTCTACTGAGTTCAGACACCGGCGCTTCGCGGGAAACCAACACGGTCACCCGCGAGTGCCCGTCGTTCCTTTCATATCGTCGAGATAGATATATCCTGTTCAAAACAACCGCTCCGAGGGCACGTGTAGGTTGGCATCTGCACAAGTTCAGCCTCATCAGTTAATTCTCTCTTGCAACTTCACAAGTTCAGCCTCATCAGTATTCTCTCTTGCGACTTCTCCGTCGTTGTCATCAACTTCGAACACCGGCGCTTCGCGGGAAACGAACGCGGTCACCCGCGAGTGCCCGTCGTTCCTTTCATATCGTCGGGCATCATAGATAATATTATCCTGTTCGAAACAACCGCTCCGAGGGTACGCATAGTTGCGTCTGCACCAGTTGAGCCTCATCAGTTAATTCTTTCTAGGGGTCTTCTTTGTCGTGGCATCGAGTTCGAACACCGGCGCTTCGCGGGAATCCAACACGAGTCTGGTCGTTCCTTTCACATCGTCGGGCTAGAGACACCCTCTTTCGAAACAGCCATTCTGAGCGGTTGCTTGGAAGGGTATTTAAGGGTATTTAATCATGGCATTGATCCCAACAAACGTGTGCAGGGAATATCCCTATAGATCAGCGCTAATATCTACGCCAGGAACACTAGGTGGCCAGACAATCATCGAGATTCAAGCAAGGGACGTGGCAAGTTTGATTGTGTAGGTGCGATAGAATTGCTAATGGAGCGCGCGCGCGGCTGCTGATCATTTTGCTGGATTAGGCGTTCCGGGAACCCTGCACTGCGGAGCTTCAAATGTCAAAGTAGAGGTGACTAAAACGTACACAAGCCTAAAGCTTGTGCTCCGCCTCGCTGATATATGGACCCACAACCCTCATTGTATACCTAATAACAGGCACAAGCGCGTGCAGCCGATGCCAAACTTTGCGACCCTGTAGATAATATACTCTTTGATCGCTCTGATAGCGGCACAAGCAGTACTCGGTAACTCACATGTTGGCAATACCAGTGCTTGCGGCGTGTTCACCACTAGGATTATGGCCTCACCCGAAAAGACCGCCTCGCGCTTTCCCGCAGCGTTTACAACCCTGGATGAGGTTTTGAATCTTAAACGTCGCATCTCCTATCCGCCTCACACCTTGGCCGCCATGTTGTTGCAAACCGCGGATTTATTGTATCTGAATTCTGTAATACATGGGACTGAGAGTAAGCGGAGATCGGGGCACAACATCGTCTTGAAGTTTCAAAAACTCCTTTCGGTATCTAGAACATGTTAGAGGAGGAAGATGGGCCGCCCTGTTCTATGTATTTTTAACGTGCAGATTTGTAAAACACTGGCGTTTGACGGCAAGACGTCGGCTGGAGGACTTTGGATTGATTTAGATTTGAAACGACACTCTAAGCGCAGCGGGAAGTCGTCAGTGCCAGTGTAGCGGTCACCCAACACCAGATACGGACTGTAGAACAAACTCCTATTCCTCAGTCTGCCTCCATAATGTGCCATCTTGGTACAATAATAACGCTTCTTGGGGGCATCAATGGCTCAACCGAAAGGCTTCCCAGTACCTCCCTCGGCACCACACTAGTGAGCATAGCCTTGTACCACGGTGTCCAGGCCAAGATATCCCTGCCCTCTTCGAAATTACGACTGGGCTCCACAACGTGTGGAAAAAGGACGACATAGCATTGATCTCCCAAATCGGATGTGTTGGCGGACCTGTGGCGCGATGAGATGCGACATATGGCGATATGAACACGAGTGGGGGTGGGGGTTTTCGTGGGAAGAGGTTGTACGCGCAGAATACGTAGGCGCATGTCACACGCTGGAATCGGTGCGGAGGGTGGCGCGGACGAGAGCTTCTGTTTGAGCTGGAGGCACCAAAGGGTATAGTCGGTCTTTGTTCCTGAGATCAAGTGGTGCGCGCGCGCTGCCATTCCACCGCTGTTATACCGTTGTGTTTCAGTGTTAATCGGCGAGTATTTTCGGGGCGCGCACGTACCGTATAAACTTCGCTTTGGCGCTCTTGTTTTTGCGAGGGCTGAGTCCAATACCGCGCTGCATCTCGCGCTCGAATGGGGAGATAAAGTTGTGTCCGTGCTGTTGAAGGAAAAGCGAGAGCAGCTCGGCACCTGCACCATCCTTTGTGGGATTTGTCGCAAAAGATGAGATGGGCTTCATGTTAGTTGATGATTTCTTTGAGGGAAACGGAGCAAAGCTAGGTGGACCAAGAGGCTTCAGAATGACCGCTTTAGTAGTTGGCTGAGGCATCGGAGGTGGCTTGAGAATCGAGAAAGATCGGGGTTTGGAAGATGATGCATTTTCTGGGGCACTGGTTATGAACGAAGGTGGCTTGAGAGGTTGAAGTGCGGAATGTGGTTTTTGACGAGATATCGGGGGAGGGTGCGCAGATCCTGATTCCGAAGGGGCAATGGCGAGACGCTTCACGGTTGGCACGCGAGATGTGCCTGCCTCTGCGTTACTCGCAGTGGTAGATGGGTTCAGTCGCTTGCGATTGCCAGCTGGGCGAACTGATGACTCCTTTTCCTTTTCCTTTCCCTTAGCCTCACGTCCAAGTGAAGTGTCGCCAAAGTCTGGGAGCTCGGCAGTGAATGGGTTCTGTGGTCGCTCTCGAACACGAGTTGAACCCTTTGACTTTTCATCGGGAATCTTTGTTGATGGCCCGGCCTTGGGTGAGCCAAAAGAAGATACAAAGGGCGGGGGAGGTTTGTAGGCCGGTTTCGAGGTGGTCTTCGTTACCTGGAAGCCGTCGGGTCCTTGAAAGCGATGTCTTTTAGCTGGTCGACTGCTGGACTGCTGCTGGACCGTCATCAGTATTTGGAGTGAGAAGGATCTGCGTGTGCCACTGACCTCCATGTTGCTTTTTGTCCTGCAGTTTCTGAAGTGATAGGAGCCACATCAGGTTGAATGATTAGTCAGCTGTGATTTTGCAATTTGTTCCCCGCCGCGGGTCGTGACGACGGTCCACAAAAAACCTGCATTATCATCGCTTGACTGGCTCGATTTAGATTTTTGAAGTGCTTGCGACGAACGGACTCGTACAGAGATAACAGTTGTCCCCGTTATGTAACTCCGTGGTCCAGTGAGCGTTAGCTTTCATGACGAACGAAGCTGACAACAGTGACAACCACTATTCAAATACCTCTGGCCTACATAATGATGTGGGGTCAAGTCCCATGTCAAATTCCGCGGCTGCCTTGTCAACCCCACGTCAATGTTTAATCGGCTACACCTAGTGTGGGGTCAATTCCATGTCAAATTCCGCGGATGACTAGGACTTGTCAACCCCACGTCAATATCTCTGTCACTGCTGCGTCGAATTTCCGTGTTTGTGCCATCACATGCACCACATTCTATTCATGACGTATCATGTGAGGTGTGCTATTTTCTGCTTAATCCCACCCAGGACATCCGATCTGCTTTGACCCTGTACCATCTGGGCGTCTATTGTCAAGCGCACGTGCATCATCGTATTGTGCCAGTGCGCGCGGACTCGGTATACCTTTGCAGTGACCAGCTCTCATCGATATTAACTTCAATGCCATTTCAGGGTTATATTAAAGGCCGGATCTAAGTTATCAAACTTTGTAGCTTCCTGCTCCAGAAGCTTTTGCATTCGCCAAGTGCTCGGAGTGTCATGCCTCACAGAGAAGCCAGAAAGGGAAGGGACGCATAGAACTCAGGGTTACCGTACGGTGATGTAACTATGTGTTATCAGGATGAATGAATCCGAAAGCGAGAAGACAGCCGTTCATTGTTCCATAGACTCGGTGCTACGTGCTCCAATTCCACTCTTGAGGCGCATTACAACAGGGCGCAAAGGGAGCTGTCACAGCGCAGCCATGGGGCCGCATCTGGCCGCATCAGCTAAGCTTGATGTATGTGTACTACTAGCTCGGTGCAATTAGGTTTAGCTACATGGTAGCTGGAGTGCCTTTTCAAATGCATCACCGTGCGGCCCGGTCGCTGCAAGACCGGGTCACCTTAGCCACACTCAATTGCTCCGAAGTTGAAAGCCACCTTGTGACAACGTGATCACGATGTCTTCAAACCATATGGCCGACCTTCGTTTCTTCGTTCTTGACTACCATGAATCTTTCAGACGAGGATAAGAGGGAAATCGGTCAGGTGCGCTGAAAGCTACTCTAAGATAAAATCAACTTCTGAAGTCGGACTACAGCACTTCGTTTTCGGATTTCATGGACATGAAATCAGTGAGGATGCAAAGGAACTCATCGAGAAGTATCATGTTGGGTAGGGAAACACGAATATAGATGTGCTCTATGCAAGGGAGCTCACGGGCCATTTGCGATCAGGAACATCATCCTCATGAAACGGAACGTACAAAGTGAGATGCTAATGTTTGTTCAAATATTGACACCGTGCAAACAATGATTGTCCTAGGTGTGAAGCAGGTGCACGCGCTTGTTCAATCTTTGCAGCAGTGCGCAAGAGATGCTGGTCATGCGCATCCTCTGATGATTGGGATCGATCAAGAGAATGGTGCGCTGAGGCTTCTCAGTGACGATCTCATCTTTGGCAGCAACTATATGATCACACAGGCCTCGTATCCGCGTTCAGCTCAACTGCAAAGTATCAGGCTGGGACACAGTTGTAAGTTGTGTTCCGTTGAACCTATTTTGTCTCATCATTTTTCAGCCCAGGGGCTATGGCAATCGCTGCTACCGGTGATCCAAAATATGCCAAAGAATGCTCAGAGGCTTCAGCTCGCGAGATGAAAGCTGTTGGCATCAATTGGTCCTATTCCCCGGTAGGAGATGTGAATTCTGACCCGCAGAACCCGGTCATTGGTGAGTATCAAGCTTCGCCCCTCAATGGTATCTTTACCTGTGATTTTTCGTAAGGTGTTCGCTCTTTTGGAGATGGTGAGATCTAGGCTATCTTATTTACCTCGAGAATTTTGGCTGAGCTTAGGTGATTAGACCCTACAAAAGTTGCGCGATATGCGAAGGCGGTTGGTGATGGCCTCACACAAGGTGGTGTCGCACCGTCCGCGAAACATTTTCCAGGGCACGGTGATACAAACATCGACTCGCATCTTGGTCTCCCCGTCATCAAGAAAAGTCGTATCGAGTTGGATCAAACAGAGTTGAAACCTTTCAAGGAACTGATCGACGCTGGCATCGCCAGCATCATGACGGGGCATATGGTTATCCAGGCCTTGACTGGTGACAGTGAGACTCCAGCTTCCCTTTCACGAGCTGTGACTACGACACTCTTGCGGGAGGAGCTGCACTTTGAAGGAGTGGTCGTGACGGATTGTCTAGAAATGAATGCGGTGAAGGAGAGACAAGGCGGCGTACCACGTGGTGCTGTGGAAGCATTAGCGGCCGGTGCAGATGTGGTAATGGTTTGCCATACTATGGCGTTGCATAGGGGAGCGATGGAGGCCACCTATGAGGCAGTCCAGAAGGCCGAACTGAATATGGACGAGCTGAGGAAAAGTGGAGAAAGGATTATTGCGCTGAAACGGGAATTCGCTGGGACATGGGACGACGTGCTTGGAAAGCCATTTGACGAGAAGGCGATGAATGCGTTGCAGGCGACGAACAAGAAACTGAGCAAGGAAGCATACGCAAAGTCCACCGCGCTAATTTCTGGATCTCTCCCTGTGTTTTCTTCAGGCAAGATTGTGGTGATGACACCAGTCGTGGAAAGCCTAAACGCAGCAGTGGATGATGCGGAAGGTGTGCAACGCACCGACAATGGCCACGTCCGGAATACGGCAGCACCTTACTACATGTCTTTTGCGGAGTCTGTGCAACGCCGCACTGCAGATGTCGAACATTTGGTTTATGCAGCTGATTTTGACTGCAGAAGAGATTTTGGCGAAGGAATTGTGTTCGTGACACGCAATGCGGATCGTGGCGCTTGGCAACTGGATGTCTTGGAGAGAGTCAGGACGCAGGCCAGTGGAGTACCGGTCGTGGTACTGGCGAGCTGCGCACCGTATGAATTGTTCTCTAGGAGGGTCTTGGGTGTGCAGGCATGCGTGGCGAGCTTCGAGTACACCAGTGAAGCGTTGGAAGCTGCTGCGAAAGTTATTTTTGACGGGATTTCTCCGGTGGGGGAGTCGCCTGTTAGCAATATTCGAGGACAATAAGCTTGGTTGCTAGAAAATTATGTACATATGTACCGCAGACTCTGCCAAGCAGTACGAGCGTCTTCGAAATTTTGCTATGCTCGTCGTTGACTTCACACGCACGACTCGCGTCGAAACTAAATGCATCATGCATGTAAATTTATTGTCTGTGTATATATACTAGCTAGTAGTCACGACTCACCGGTGCACCACCCTAAGCGTTTGTCGCAATGCTATACTTATAATCAGCAGGCTCTTGTGCAAAGTGCAGATAAAGCTTCCTCATCCATGATATCCATGGCAGCCACCCAGCTCCTTTTCCTACCAACGGAGAAGGAATTTGAGCGCGATAAAGCAAAGCAGCAACAAGTCACCTCGAGCAGAGACGTTGATTTTGTCATCGACAAATATGTACGTCTTGAGTACTGAGTCTTAGCTTGATCTCTCACTTACTTTTTTTTTGCAACATCATCAACTGGCGCTGACTAGAACTCCAAAGCATATGGATAGGCCGTACACGTTACCAGTCACACTATCACCATGCCTACACCTACACCCACCCCCCAGACTAACCCAAATCCAACACGAAGAGACGGACGTACTGAGACAGAGAAGGCACAGCCTGGTATACTGAAGGAGGTACGAGAGCGCCTTGGGCGAGAGGAAGTTAATCCCTCAGAGCTTAAGCGCATGATCGGTAGGTCACTTCAGCCGACACCTGATGTCGCAGGCATTAATATCTGCAAGGTGTCTGCAAGTACATATTATGAGTCGGATGTAGAAATGGAAATATGCGAAGGAGACGCCTCAATCGACGGTAACAGCCCGACTTCGGAGATCGTTTTTGGCTTCGTTGATCTCCTGCGGATGACCAGATATCAGCACATGACTCTTTGAGAAAAATTTCCGGTGCTTACCTGCAACAACTCGTGATAGGCTTCGGGGCAGTCACGGAATGTAAACACCCCCCAGCCGAGACTCCAGAGGGAATACGATCCGAATGATACCAAAAGCCACCAGGGAATCTAGTATTATGTCGAGTGTGCGTGAATTAAGGTGTTCGTGCCAGTGAGCTCATGAGAAGGACGTACGACGGGAAGAATTTCTTGTGCTACACCAGCGTCAATGAGTGGTATGGGTAGGATCTCGAACAACACCAGTAGATAGATTGAAATAAGGATGGTGGAGTATATTGAGACTCGATGCAAGCGAGCCATGTTTCGATACAATAAAGTGTCCTCACAAAAACCGGGTTGGCAAATGATGGATGTTGATGACGATGAGGGCTGTCGACGGTCGTCGTGCTTGACAGCGTCGGATTTCATATTTTGAAGGTCACGTGATTCACTTGAAGCTTAGTAACAGCATCCTGTGACTGTCAGTAAGTCTTAACTTGGCACGTGTTCGTTCAAAAATAATGTTGAAAATTCAAATAAATCGACAATTCAGCAAACTTGAGCAGAAAGCAACTGCCGACCACGACGAGCGCACGCTGTCTAGGGTCACCTCCTGAATGCTCTGACGAGAATGCCTCTCATTCAAGTACTATGCATATGCACATACTGCAGACTCTGAGCAACACAAGCGATGCATAAATATCGGCCGCCTGCAGCTGTGCCCTGTATGGTAGTCGTAAAGAGGCTGTGACTCACTGACATTAGGAAGTTCCTGTGCAAAGTGTAGGGATTAAAGCTCTCTCATGATGACCAGCCCTGTTTCCTTTTCCTACCAATGAAGAAACTCTTTGGGCGCGACAGAGTGAAGCAGCAAAAGGTTACCTGGCACAGCGATGTTTCGGATGTTCTCATCGACGATGTAAGTCTTGAGCTCGAGCCTTGATACATCATAACTTGGATTATCACTAACCTGAACTTTGATGCATATGTATAGGACGCAGTACTACTTGTGCCAGTGCGCCCCAAACGGCCCACACAGGGCCACCGTGACTGGGATATCACACTATCTGAGCCCCCTGCCCCTTCTAGCCCACCTCAGTTTGCCGTGCCTCCGATATCGCCGAACCGTCTAGCTTCCATTCCACCTGTAATATTACTCGCAGAGAAGAAGAGTTTCTGGGACGGGATCAGCCGGGATAGGGACAGGGACAAAGACAAGGAGCGCGGACGTGATAAAGAGCGCGAAATTCGTGAGAAGGAAAAGGAAAGAGAAAAGGACAAGGAGGGTCGAGACCGCCTTTGGCGCGAGGAAGATAATCCCTCAGAGCTTACGCGCATGATCGGTGCGTCAATTCAGCCGATACCGTGTCTTTGATGGTGCGGGATCAATATCGGTGGTGTAGTGTATCTTACGGCGACCTCATTGGAGGACTGGGTGCTCGTACTCGAAGTCTCCGACCGCGCGTCGGCTACTGAAGCGAATGCCAAGGAGGCTATGAAAGCCCTTAGGCGGGAATTCAAGTGCGTTTCATAACCGAACTTTACTTTCTATACCGTTGACAGGGTACATTGGATACAGATATGCAGAGCCTAAATCTCAACTATCGGCTGCCAGGGTGAGCACCACCCTTCTTGTTGCTTTGTCCTTGATCTCTCTCACCTCGGAAAACGCATATTCGTCCATTCTTTGTCCAATTTGTATCACTGTTTGCACAGTTATGGGCAATAATGCTCCGCAATGCGTCCGGTATCTTTCTTACCCAGATCAGCTCCCGCAAATTCATTGACACCGTCGAGGACGTGCTAACAAGCTCAAGAACGAGTCCTGTTGTCAGAAAACGACTAATGGAGGTGCTCGCAGCTGCCGCATTCATCACTGCTTCGCGTATGTGTTAAGTTTGTTCTTGACTATACACTCCCTTTTGCTGAATATCTTTTTTGACTCATTTAACTTTTGGAAACCCATTTTTATCGGTCTCCAGCCATTTCCCCATCAACCCACGTTCTTTTCGCGTTACTGCTACTCTCACTGACCCTTCTTCACAGGTCCTCATCCATCGCCTTTTTTACTCAATGATCGTGACCATGATTGGGACGGTTTCTGTGCCCTATGGATACGATTGAAACCTGCTGACAAGCCCGATGTGGGGATTCCGTTCGACATCGAGGATGCTATGTTTAGCCCCCCTATAGGTTCTACGCGTCCGCCAATAGAGGAGGTCAGTGTCATTTTTGTTTGTGTTTATAACGGTACCCTGATCGATTCTCTTGATCTGTTCTTGCTTGCGGTTTGTCTTGATGATGTCTTGTTGTGAATAGCCGCCGTCGAGGAGTCTCCGCCAGCGTGGTGTCATTCCTCCTGAAGATGATATAAAACGCTTATTCCAGGAATGCAAGATCGCGAAAGGAAATGCGACCGTCCTTAGCGAAATGCTTGCATACGCGAAACCGGAGCAGATAGAAGGGAGCCAAATACTGGTGCGTATGATTTCTCAGTTAACCTCTGATCTCCATTTTGTTAGTCTGCCACATCTCTGCGTGGCATCATGACTCTCCTGCCCAATTCCTGTTGACATCAATCTGACCGATCCATAGGAATATTTGACAAAATGCCGCGGGTCGCAAGAACTGATATATACCCAAATTCCATGGGCGTCTGCAGGCGCCGAACGGTCACGCAGTGACCGAGAAAGGAATGCAGAAGGAAATGAACGCACGAAATCGCAGCCTGATGTCCAATTCAGTTCTCCTCCGAGTCGAGATTACCATGGCATAGAGGGTAAATTCTATAATGCAGATGGAGAAGAACAGACTTTGGAGGAACAGCTTCTTGCGGCGTTGCTTGACGCGAATGAGGCGCTGTTTGGGGCGTTGAGAATATATGATGATGTTATGCGGGTCGCGGAGGAACGGGTGGCTGTTGAGATTAGTAGGAGGGATGTGAAGATGGACCGAAGAGTGAGTGTTTCTTTTTTTGCTGCCTCAGCCATTGCAACTTTCATGTACTCTGTACATTTTCATTTTCATTTTCTTCCCTGTACCTCCGGACTGAGGCTGACGTTTGGTATAGCACATGGAAAATGAATACCTCGGAGAATCTCAACATGATTATGGAGGCGGTTCTTCACGCACGCCATCTCCGATTCCATCACCACCTGCTTCGCCCAGCCAACACAATCTCCCTTCCTCACAAGTCTATACCCTTCCTCGGGTCCCTGCCACTATCTCCCCTGCCCATTCGCACTACAGCCCACCACCACCGTACGACCTGCCCCGACAACACGATCTCCCACGTGTTGTTCCCTCACAAACCCATCCCCTTCCTCGGGTCCCTCCCGCGCTCTCCCCTGCCCATTCGCATTACGGCCCACCACCACCGTACGTGAGCACATCAACGCTGCTCATGCCGCCGCCGGTACCCCGTTCACCTGCAAACCTGCCACACCCACCCTCGCCTCCGCCTCTGCCACCTCTAGCTAGTACATCTCTCATACGACCGAGCGCGAAGGTCGTGGAAGAAGTCGATGATGGTGCGTTACGCTCTCACTTGATCAATGACAAAATTGTGGTTTCCTGATGTGTGGTCGACATAGAAGAACACGAGCCGAGTGACTTGTACTGCGAGCCAAGGCATGAATCGGTTGTACTGGACTCGGACGAGGAGGTTCACGGTGAGGTTAATGCAAATACGTGGTGGCTTCGAAGACAGCCTATACAGTACGTATATGACGCAGTTGCTGAGCGCACGACGCAGTATCTGCGAGAAAGGAGCAGACCTCCCGACATATTCGGTGTGAGCTTTGCCCTCGACGCAGTGGATGCTACGTCCATCCCCACCGTAGTTCCTACACATCTGCCAATGGAATGGGAGGTGAGCACTTTTTCCATCTGTGTTTGACGAGGGTCTATAATTGACTCCTTTCTAGCCTCCATCCCCAATACAACCGAGCGAAAAGGCGCTCGGGAAGAGGAGGGTCGTGGAAGAAGTCGACGATGGTGGGTCACAGTTGATCACAAGACTGTGGTTTGCTGATGTGTTGTCGATATAGAACACCACGACTCGAGTGACTTGTACTATGAACCGAGACGCGAATCGGTTGCACTGGACTCAGATGAGGAGACACATGGTGGGGATCATGCTAATGCGTTGTGGGCTCGAAGACAGCCTATACATTACGTATATGATGCGTTTGCTGAGCGCACGGCGCAGTATCTGCGAGAAAGGAGCAGACCTCCCGACATATTCGGTGTGAGCTTTGCCCTCGACGCAGTGGATGCTACGTCCATCCCCACCGTAGTTCCTACACATCTGCCAATGGAATGGGAGGTGAGCACTTTTTTCCATCTGTGTTTGACGAGGGTCTATCATTGACTCCTGTCTAGCCTCCATCCCCAATACGACCGAGCGAAAAGGCGCTCGGGAAGAGGAGGGTCGTGGAAGAAGTCGACGATGGTGGGTCACAGTTGATCACAAGACTGTGGTTTGCTGATGTGTTGTCGATATAGAACACCACGACTCGAGTGACTTGTACTATGAACCGAGACGCGAATCGGTTGCACTGGACTCAGATGAGGAGACACATGGTGGGGATCATGCTAATGCGTTGTGGGCTCGAAGGCAGTCTATACATTACGTATATGATGCGTTTGCTGAGCGCATGGCGCAGTATCTGCGAGAAAGGAGAAGACCTCCCGATATATCTGGTGTGAGCTTTGCCCTCGACGTAGCGGGTGCTACGTCCACCCTCGACATAGTTCCTACACATCTGCCAATGGAAGAGGAGGTGAGCACCTTGTTTTCATTCATGATTAATGACGGTGCTATGATCGATTCTCTTCTGTTGTGCTGTATAGATACCTGGTAGCAAGCCAGGTGCTACTATTGCTTCCAGCGATTTGGACAGGGCTATTGATAGGGTTACCGACCCATACTGGGCAGGGATGGATCTGGATTTTTCAACGGATACTGTCTTTGCATACAGCAGTAAAGTAAATTTAGAAAAAATGGCATGGGAGGATGCGCGTCTCGATGCGCAAAAGGTACGATGACATCAATCACTTTGGAGCCAGAGCTCATTTTGGCAGGTCATCATACTCAACCCATCGTCCTATCTTGGATACCAGTTGAAGCATGCAGCGCTTCATGGCGCACACCGCTATGACGAAGCGATCGAGACTTTCGACATCATGCTTTCCAAGTTGGACAATGCTCCTGAGATGCAGCTACGAGGTGAGCCCCAAATAACTCATGTGTCAAGGTGCTTGACACTTTCTCCAGAGCTGCGCCAGCAGTATTTCAGTCTATCCGAAGCAGACGATGCTATTCGACAGGCCATTCACGCTCAACTCGACGATGCCCCACTTCGTCTACTCGACACCACTTCCGGGCTCTTGTGTGATCGAGAGGCGCAGATATGCGCCTTCAAACTGAGCACCGAATACAAGGGGCTTCTGTCATTAATAATCAAGCATGCAGACATTCGAATGGAGCGCATAAAAGAAGTGGTGGCGTTCTACTTCCGCTGTGTCATGTTATCACACAGGTGGGAAGGGAAGGAGCCACTGCTGCAAGACATCAAGGACAAGGTCGTGTACAAGTTGAATCCGGTCAATGGTATCGTGAAGTTGCAGTCGTTCTGCAAAACTGCGCGCGATACGGGCTATCGATGGGCGTGGATTGATACGTGTTGCATCGACCAGAACAACAACGTCGAGCTCCAAAAATCACTCAATTCCATGTTTATTTGGTATCGCCACTCGGCGCTCACGATCGTCTACCTGTCGGATGTCGTGCCTTCGTCCAAGTCTGGCGCCCTAGCGAGGAGCGCTTGGAACACGCGTGGGTGGACTCTCCCGGAATTCCTTGCTCCTGAAATCGTTCTCTTTTACCAAAGAGATTGGTCGCTATATCTCGATGACCACTCTCACAATCACAAAGAGTCTTTCATAATCATGGGGGAGTTGGAGGATGCGACGGGCATAGATGCACATACCCTCGTTACATTCCGTCCGGGAATGACAGGTGCCCGGGAGAAACTCCGATGGGCATCGACGCGTGTAACAACTGTGCAGGAAGATGTTGCATACTCACTGTTCGGCGTCTTTGGCATCCACCTACCTGCTATTTATGGCGAGAAGAAGCAAAACGCGCTCGGGCGGCTCCTACAGGAGATTGTGGCTCAGTCGGGCGACATTACTGCATTGGACTGGGTTGGAACATCATCCGAGTTTAATAGCTGCCTGCCAGCCGACATAACCTCATACACAGCTTTACCATCCACGCTGCCACCTCTGTCCGAAGACTACATTCAGTCATCTGTCTCCTGGCTGCAAAATACCGTGGATATTGATGCGGCTTTGAAACTTTATAGCCTGCTTGACAATCTGGGTGCTCCTCGTTTCGCGAACCGCAGGCTGCGTCTGCCTTGTATCGCATTCACTGTCACAGAAGTCAGACGAAGCCGTGCTCAAGACCAGGAGGCCTGTTTTGCGTATGAAGTCAAGGCAAGCGGACTTCGTGACCTGCTTTTCACCACGGAAGACAAGCTAGTCCAATTTTCGCGGGCAAAGCCCACTCTGCAGACATTCCTGCTTGTCCGTCCGTGGGATCCTTATCTCTTGGAGTTGCCTGAATTTGCAGACAATCCACAGAACATGGACAATTGGTCTGTGCGCGGTTCTATGGTTCACGATACTTTCAGCATGTTTTCAGGTGAAACGGGGCCGATTGATTTCCAGTCAAAACCACGAGCATTGCGATTGATTGTTCGCCTCGGACAGCCTTTCGGCGCGTTTCTGCTAGCGCGGCAGCGCGGTGGAGAATACAGGAGAATTGCGTCAGATCGCAATATCATTGCGCAAGTCAAAGACGTGGCGGGTTCTATTCACAGAATGCATGTCAGAACACTGGAGATATCATAATATTTGGAAGGACAGATTTTAACATTCATACCTTGTTCATACCTTGATAGTTGACCTTATATATAGGTTGCACATATACCTCTCTGTACTCGTGGTGATACTGTTACAACTGGAAAGCGGACTGTCATTTCACATGCTCCATCACACAGTGCTCAGTACTCAGTACTCAACTCCGAGGCCTTTGGAAGTTGCATTGTTTGCTGGGCAAGTACCGCTCCCTCTCCTGACCTAATTAGTATCCCTAAATCACCAGACCATGAGTCCGGTTCGGAAAGGTCCAGGTTCGAACCAAGGTTCAGAACCTACCTGTAAAGCACTACTCCCAGCCAGTGAAGATATATACTGCCCTCCACATCCACGTTAGCAGTTACTTCCTTGATGGCGGCATTGACGCCTCGACTCGTGAACTTGGCTCTGACCTTCCGCAGAATCTTCATGCAATGCGCAACAACACTCCACGGTTCTCGTCATCCCGTTCGGGATTCAACATGCTCGTCAAACCAAAGCACAACCCCTGGGATAGGACATGAAGTCATTCGTCATTTCATGGTTTTCCTGACACTTTCTACCTGAATCTACCCTACAATCAGCTAATCAGACTGTGATAATCCTTTAGATTGTTTTCTTTACCTTTGACTCTACGTCAAAATTTTATACATAGTTAGTATTGAAAATGTCGGAGTGTCTGCGCGCGATTTCTTTTCTGCGTGCGTGCGTGAAATTCTCGCGTGCACGTAATTTGATTATGTTATCCACGGTACACTAATACGCCCACGCTAAATAGTAGTAACAGGTGATTCGCAATGCTGTATCATGATGCTTATAATTAGCAGGCTCCTGTGCAAAGTGCAGATACTAAAGCTTCCTTGTCCATGGCCAACCCTGCTCCCTTTTCCTACCAATGGAGAAGCTCTTTGAGCGCAACAAAGCAAAGCAGCAACAAGTCACCTCGCACAGCGACGTTGATTTTGTCATCGACAAATATGTACGTCTTGAGTACTGAGTCTTAGCTTGATCTCTCACTTACTTTTTTTTGCAACATCATCAACTGTCATAACTTGGGTGATCACTGACTCGAACTCCGATGCATGTGTACAGACCGTAGACGTTACCAGTCACGCTATTACCACGCCTACGCCTACACCCACCCCCCAAACTAACCCAAACCCAGCCCATACCGAGCAGAGGAATGGACGTAAGATTCACAAGGCACAGCCTGCACTTGGTATACTGAAGTATCATGATCCACATCTGGAGCATGCCCTGCAACAGATTCACCCACACCATGTCCACGAAATAAAAATACCAGAAGATTCTTTTCCAATGGATCACAGGGACAGGGCAGAGAAGAAGGAGAGGAAGAGTTTCTGGGATGGGATCACCCGGGACAGGGACAGGGACGAAGACAAGGAGCGCGGACGTGATAAAGAGCGTGAAACTCGTGAGAAGGAAAAGGAAAGAGAAAAGGACAAAGAGGGTCGAGACCGCCTTTGGCGCGAGGAAGATAATCCCTCGGAGCTTAAGCGCATGATCGGTAGGTCACTTCAGCTGATACTTGATGTCATGTGCATTGATATCGGTGCAGGGTACCTTACAGCGACTTCATCGGAGGACTGGACGCTTGTGCTCGAGGTCTCCGACCGCGCGTCTGCTACTGAGGCGAATGCCAAGGAGGCTGTGAAAGCCCTTAGGAGAGAGCTCATGTGCGTTTCACAGCCAAGTCTCACTTTTTATATTGATGAAGTGCATGGATTACAGATATGCTGAGCCTAAATCTCAACTATCTGCTGCTACGGTTAGCCCTATTTGTCTTGTTCTTCATCCTTGATTTCTCATTTTCGCCAATGCATACTCGTCCGTTCTCTGTTCAACTCGCATTATTGTTTGCAGTTATGGGAAATAATGCTCCGCAATGCATCCGATATCTTTCTTACTCAGATCAGCTCTCGTACATTCATTGACACCCTCCAGGGCGTGCTAACCAGCTCAAGAACGAGTCCTGTTGTCAGAAATCGACTAATGGAGGTGCTCGCAGCTGCCGCGTTCATCACTAGTTCACGTACGTATTTTTCCATTGCTGAGTCTATACATTCCCCTTTCCTGAACATATTCGTTCTCATTTACCTTTCGGGAACCCATTTTTATCGGTGTTGAGCCATTCACTCGTTGCATCGAGCCCCCATTCTTTTCGCGAAACTGCCACTCTCGCTGACCCTTCTCTACAGGCCCTTGTCCCTCACTCAAATCTAAACCATCGCCTTTTATACTCAATGGATACGACTTTGATAGGAACAGTTTCCGTGCCCTATGGATGCGATTAAAACCTGCTGACAAGCCCGATGTTGGGATGCCGTTCGACACCGAGGACACTGTGTTTAGCCCCCTCGCAGTTCCGACGCGTCTGCCAGTAGAGAAGGTCAGCGCCTTTTTTGTTTGTGTTTATGACGGTACCTTGATCGATTTTTTGCTTGCGGTTTGTTTCGACTAGCGGCCGTCGAGGAAGGGTCTCCACCGGCGTGGTGGCATTACTCCTGAAGAGTACATGAAATGCTTATTACAGGAATGCAAGATCGCGAAAGGACATGCGACTGTCCTTAGCGAAATGCTTGCATACGCGAAACCGGAGCAGATGGAATGGAACCTAATACCAGTGCGTGTGATTTTTCAGTTAACCTCTGATCTCCATTTTGTCAGTCTGCCACATCACCTCTGCGTGGCATCATGACTCTCCTGCCCTATTCTATTGATATCAATCTCAGGCTGACCGGTCCACAGGAAGTTTTGACAAAATGCCGCAGGTCGCAAGAACTGATATGTACCCAAATTCCATGGGCGTCTGCAGGCGCCGAACGGTCGCGCACGAAATTGCAGCTTGATATCCAGTTCAGTTCTCCTCCGAGTCGAGATTACCATGGCATGGAGGGTAAATTCTATAATGCAGATGGAGAAGAACAGACTTTGGAGGAACAGCTTTCTGCGGCGTTGCTTGACGCGAATGAGGCGCTGTTTGGGGTGTTGAGAAAATATGATGATGTTATGCGGGTCACAGAGAAATGGGTGGATGTTGAGGTTAGTAGGAGGATTGTGAATATGGACCGAAGAGTGAGTGTTTTTCTTTTCTTTTTTGTGTGTCTAAGTCATTCTATTATCCTTGACTTTATTGCCATCACCCCGATTTGTCATTCTGTTTTTTTCTCTTGGAGATTGACATTTGGTATAGAACATTGACAATGAGTACCTCGGGGAATGTAACAATGATCACGGAAACAGCTCCTCTTGCACGCCATCACCAACGTCATCACCACTTACCTCGCCCCACCGATTCGATCTCTCTCCCGTTACGCCCACACAAATCCATCCCCTTCCTCGGTTGTTTGTGAGCACATCGGCGCTGCCCGCCCCGCCGCCTCCCCCTATGGGACCCCGTTCGCCTAAACTGTCGTCGCCTGCTCCTGCACTAGATAGTAAATCTCCCATACGACCGAGCGCAGGGGCGTTCGGGGGGATCGTGGAAGAAGTCAATGATGGTGTGTTGCGTCGTTCTCATTCAGTTGATGACAAAATTGTTTGCTGATACGTGGCCAATATAGAACGCGATTTGAGTGATTCTCCAGAGCTGCGCCAGCAGTATTTCAATTTATCCGAAGCAGACGATGCTATTCAAAAGGCCATTCACGCTCAACTTGACGATGCCCCACTTCGTCTACTCGACACCACTTCCGGGCTCTTGTGTGATCGAGAGGCGCAGATATGCGCCTTCAAACTGAGCACCAAGTACAAGGAACTTCTGTCATCAATAATAAACCACGCAGACATCCAAATGGAGCGCATCAAAGAAGTGGTGGCGTTCTACTTCCGTTTTGTCATGTTATCACATCGGTGGGAAGGCAAGGAGCCACTGCTGCACGACATCAAGAACAAGGCCGTGTATGAGCTGGATCCAGCTGGCGGCATTATGAAATTGCAGTCGTTTTGCCAAACTACGCGTGGTGCGGGGTATCTATGGGCGTGGATTGATAATTGTTGCATCGACCAGAAGAACAACGTCGAGCTCCAAAAATCACTCAATTCCATGTTTGACTGGTATCGCTACTCGGCACTCACCATGGTCTACCTGTCGGATGTTCCACCTTCGTCCAAGTCTGGCGCACTGGCGAGGAGTGCTTGGAACACGCGCGGATGGACTGTCCCGGAATTCCTCGCTCCCAAAATTGTTCTCTTCTACCAAAACGATTGGACGCTATATCTTGATGACGGTTCTCCAAACCATAAGGAGTCTGCTACAATTATGCAGGAGTTGGAGGATGCGACGGGCATAGATACACAGGCCCTCATCGACTTCCGTCCGGGGATGACAGGCGCCCGAGAGAAACTCCGATGGGCGTCCGGACGTGTTACAACAGTGCAGGAAGATATTGCATACTCGCTGTTTGGCATCTTCGGTGTCCACCTACCTATCCTTTATGGCGAGAAGAAGCAAAAAGCGCTCGGACGGCTCCTGCAGGAGATTGTGGCCCAGTCGGGCGATATTACTGCACTGGACTGGGTTGGAAAGTCGTCCGAGTTTAATAGTTGCCTGCCAGCCGACATTACTTCATACAAAGCTCTGCCATGCGCCCTGCCACTTCTGTCCGAAGAGGACATTCAGACATCGGTCTCCTGGCTGAAAAATGCCGTGGATATTGATGTGGCTTTGAAACTTTATAACCTGCTTGACAATCTAGGTGCTCCTCGTTTCGCGAACCGCAGACTGCATCTTCCTTGTATCGCATTCACTGTCACACAAGTCAGACGCAGACGTGCTCAAGACCAGGAGGGATATTTCGCGTATGAAGTCAAGGCAGACGGACTTCGTCGCATGGTGATCACCACGGAAGACAAACTGACACAATTCTCGCGGGAAAAGCCCACTCTGCAGACATTATTGCTTGTCCGTCCTTGGCATCCTTATCTCCTCGAGCTGCCTGACTTCGCAGACAACCGACACTGGAGCATGAGCAGTTGGTCTGTGTCCGATTCTCTCAGCGTGGTTTCTAGTGAATCGGGGCCGATTGGTTTGCAGTCAGGCTCACGGGCGTTACGATTGATTGTTCGCCTTGGACAGCCTTTCAGCGCGTTTTTGCTAGCGCGTCAGCGCAGTGGAGAATACAAGAGAATTGCATCAGATTACGATATCATTGCACAAGTCGAAGACGTGGCGGGTTCTGTTTACAAAATGATGGATGCCAGGACATTGGAGATATTATAAGTTAGCCGTGATTTTTTTTTGGAAGGACAGATCTTAACATTCATACCGTCATAGTTTACCTTACAGTCGTACAAAATTACATTTTTGTACTCATAGTATTTTGTATATCGGCTTACAACAGAAAAATGACATCTGAAATGCTTTGAGGTACACGCCCAGAGTGCTCAAGTCCGAAGTCTTTGGCCCGGGAGGCTGGGTTGGGTTTTCCCGACAAGCGGAGGACACAGGCTAGCGGAGTACCTGGGTGAAGCACCATATGAATTGTTTTCTGGAAGGTGAGAAGGCACGCGTAGCGAACTTTGAGTACACCAGCGAAGCTTTGGAAGCTGCTGCCAGATTTAGTTTTGACGAGGTTTCTCCGATGGGGGGAGCAGCCTGTTAGCACTCGAGGATGGGGAGCTAGGTAGTGAGCTAAATAATCGCAAGAATTTTATGCACGTAGCTGAGTGTGATATGTTCAATTGGGCAGTAAATTAGGTGAAGAAATGGAGCATAACTTATCACTGACTCGTGATAGTCACTGGCAGGACTGTCAGCAAGTCGTTGTTTTGCATTGTTTGGAGTACTTCTTCTCCTGATCACATAGGCTACAAACATTGTCATTAACCTTGCAGATTAACGATGACCACGCCATACACACCGACGTCGTTCATTCAGATGACTCCTAGCACACCAGCAACGCCAAGTCCAGCGCCAGCGCCAACGCGTGGTCGCGGAACAGGTGCAAAACGCGGCCGCAAGCCTCGCGGTACATTCCCCAACGTGTCCACCGATACCCCTCGGCCCTCACCACAATCTGGGCCATCTACACCTGCAATGCGATTTACCCCGGTTCAGTGGGCGACTCCTGGAGCCCCTGCGGGCGCCACTGCCACTGCTTCGACATCTACTGCGACTGTTCCTGCTCCAAGTACCCCCGGAAATACTGGAGACGTATCGATGGACAGTGGGGACGATGAACCTGTAGCGACGCAGCCTCCACCTGTTACTGCTGCTTCTTCTTCGACAGATACGATAATTCCACAGCCTGGGACCACTGCAAAACCCGCGGGTGCCCCGGACGAGGATGCGGAGGGTGAAGACGAGCTCTTGCCTGCAATGGCGGATGATGACTATTCTGCGCAGTTGTCATGGCAGAGTGAGAGCAAGGATAATCTGAAGTGAACTGGGTATTTTGTTTGATAGTACACCGTGCTTATCAAATTGGTCTAGGGTTCTTATGGACAATTTCAGTCCAGGACAGTATGAACGCTTTGAAGCCTATCGACGTCATGCACTACCAAAGCAGGCTATACGGAAGGTGCGAGCTCGTGATAACAAGATGTTGCTGTCTCTTATTTGTGACACCATGGATAGGTCATACAGCAAACGACAGGACAACAGGTCTCTCAGCCCGTTGCACAAATAGTAGCAGGTGTTGGGAAAGTGTTTGTTGGCGAGATTGTGGAAAAAGGTGTGCTTTTTCGTTTGTATTGTGTATTCTCATTTAGCTCGCATTTAGCCCGCCAAGTCCAATCACGGCGTAACGATTCTGGGCCCCTCACGCCAGACCACCTTCGTGAGGCATATAGAATGTATCAGGCAGAGACTGGGCGTGTGGGCAGCGCGCGACCAATGAGAGGAAAGCGGCTATTTGTCAAATAGTGAGTCAAGCTCAGACTTGGCAGTGTCATTATATCATGAAGTTGCAACCTAGGCGTACGCGTGAATTACCACCGGGGGGCCACTTCCCTGGTATTATGTGGACATTACGGTGCAGTAAATTAGTGTTGAAAGTTTATATCTGATGGACTGTGCATGGCTATAAGCGCTTTAACATTGATATTAGATAGTGACCTTGCTACGAAGTCATTACAATCACTGATAGATCGACTGGCTGTGCATGTGAATGCTGCCAAGACACTGAGACTAGCCAAGACTACATTGACCGACGGTGCCGGGAATTGAGTTGAACGCGGCAGTCGCGACGAAGGGATATGACTTGTCACGTGATGGCAGCAGTAGCTGTGATACACAGCCTCGTGTGTAAGTGACTGCTTGTAGTCCTCATCCATCTACTCCCAACTCTTTTCTTTCTATCTATCATACCAATGAAGAAACTTTTTGGGCGCGACAAAGCGAAGCAGCAGAAGGTAACCTCGCACAGAGATGTTGATGTGGTCATCGACGATGTAAGTCTTGATCTCTCACTTAACTTTTGGCAACAATCATCCATGTCATAACTTGGATTATCACTAACCCCAATTTTGATGCATATGTGTAGGATGCACCACTTGTCCGCCCCAAACAGCCCTCGGAGGACCACCGTGACTGGGAGGTGCTATCTGAGCCCCCTGTCCCTTCTAGCCCGTACCCTCAGTTTGCTGTGCCTCCGATGTCACCGAGCCGCTCGTCTTCCTTAGCTTCAATTTCACCTGTAGTCTTACCCGCGCGTTCTAGCAGCCCATACAGCGTTACCAGTCACACTACCACCACGCCCACGCCCACACTCGCACCCACACCCACTCCCCAGACTAACCCAAACCCAGCCCATATCGTACGGAGAGATGGACGTAAGATCCAGAAGGCACAGCCTGCGCCTGCCGCACTTGGTATACTGAAGTCTCTTGATCCACATTTGGAGCACGCCCTGCAACAGACTCACCCGCACCATGTCCACGAATTACCAGACGATTCTTTTCCAATGGATCACAGGGACAGGGCAGAGAAGAAGGAGAGGAAGAGTTTCTGGGACGGGATCATCAGGGACAGGGACAGGGACAAAGACAAGGAGCGCGGGCGTGACAAAGAGCGCGAAACTCGTGAGAAGGAAAAGGAAAGAGAAAAGGACAAAGAGGGTCGAGACCGCCTTTGGCGCGAGGAAGATAATCCCTCAGAGCTTACGCGCATGATCGGTGCGTCAATTAAGCTGATACCGTGTCTTTGATGGTGCGGGGATTAATGTCGGTCTAGGGTACCTTACGGCGACATCATCGGAGGACTGGGCGCTCGTACTTGAAGTTTCCGACCGCGCGTCGGCTACTGAAGCGAATGCCAAGGAGGCTATGAAAGCCCTTAGGCGGGAATTCAAGTGCGTTTCTTACCCAAATTTTACTTTCTACACCGTTGACAGGTATTTTGGATACAGATATGCAGAGCCTAAATCTCAATTGTCGGCTGCTAGGGTGAGCACTACCCTTCTGGTTGCTTTGTCTTTGATCTCTCACCTTGGAAAACGCATATCTGTCCATTCTCTGTCCAATTTGCATCACTGTCTGCACAGTTATGGGCAATAATGCTCCGCAACGCGTCCGATATCTTTCTCACTCAGATCAGCTCCCGTAAATTCATTGACACCCTCGAGGACGTGCTAACAAGCTCAAGAACGAGTCCTGTCGTCAGAGAACGACTAATGGAAGTGCTCGCAGCTGCCGCGTTCATCACTGGTTCACGTACGTGTTCATCGGTTTGCTAAAATTATTATCAGTCTTCCCCCTTTCCCGAGCATCTTTCGCAATAACGTTTCCTCGTTTACTCCACAATTCCCCTTTTGTAACCCCATCTCCATCGGTTCTGAGTCAAATCCTCATCCGAACCTGCGTTCTCTTCGCGATACTGACCCACCCTCTTGCCGGTTCTTCTTCACAGGTCCCCACCCCTCACCCAAGTCTGAACCATCGCCTTTTTCGCTCAAAGATCGCGACCGTGATAGGGACGGTTTCCGTGCCCTATGGATACGATTAAAACCTGCTGATAAGCCTGATGTGGGGATTCCCTTTGACACCGAGGATGCTATGTTTAGCCCCCCTATAGTTCCTACGCGTCCGCCAATAGAGGAGGTTAGTGCCTTTTTTGGTTTGTGGTTTATGATGGTACCCTGATCAATTCTCTTGCTCTATTTTTGCTCGCGGTTTGTCTCGATGGCGTCTTGTCGCAAATAGCGACCGTCAAGGAAGAGTCTCCACCAGCGTGGTGTCATTCCTCCTGAAGAGGACATGAAACGCTTATTCCAGGAATGCAAGATCGCGAAAGGAAATGCGACCGTCCTTAGCGAAATGCTTGCATACGCGAAACCGGAGCAGATGGAAGGGAGCCTAATACCGGTGCGTGTGATTTCTCAGTTAACCTCTGATCTCCATTTGTTAGTCTGCCACATCACCTGGCATCATGACTCTCCTGCCCCTATTCTCTTGACATCAATCTGACCGATCCACAGGAATTTTTGACAAAATGCCGCGGGTCGCAAGAACTGATATATACCCAAATTCCATGGGCGTCTGCAGGCGCCGAACGGTCGCGCAGTGAGCGAGAAAAGAATGCAGAAGGAAATGGACGCACGAAATCGCAGCCTGATGTCCAATTCAGTTCTCCTCCGAGCCGAGATTACCATGGCATGGAGGGTAAATTCTATAATGCAGATGGAGAAGAACAGACTTTGGAGGAACAGCTTCTTGCGGCGTTGCTTGACGCGAATGAGGCGCTGTTTGGGGCGTTGAGAATATATGATGATGTTATGCGGGTCGCGGAGGAACGGGTGGCTGTTGAGATTAGTAGGAGGGATGTGAAGATGGACCGAAGAGTGAGTGTTTCTTTTTTTGCTGCCTCAGCCATTACAACTTCTATGTACTCTGTCCATTTTCATTCATTTTCTTCCCTGTACCTCCGGACTGAGGCTGACATTTGGTATAGCATATGGAAAATGAATACCTCGGAGAATCCCAACATGACTATGGAGGCGGCTCTTCACGCACGCCATCTCCGATTCCATCACCACCTGCTTCGCCCCGCCAACACGATCTCCCTCCCGTTATTCCCTCACAAACCCATCCTCTTCCTCGGGTCCCTCCCGCACTCTCCCCTGCCCATTCACATTATGGTTCGCCACCACAGTCCATGAGTACACCAACACTGCTCGCACCACCGCCTCCACCTATGGGTCCTCGTTCGCCTGCATTCCCGTCGCGTCCGCCCTCACCAGACAGGGGTGGTCTCGTGCGTCCATCAAGGGGGAACTCGCTGGAAAGTATGGGTGGTGCTTTGGACCGGTTACATATGGACGAAAACGATGCCGATGAAGAAGAAGTTAAGTCCCCAATACGACCGAGCGCGAAGGCGCTCGGGAAGAGGAGAGTCGTGGAAGAAGTCGACGATGGTGCGTTACAGTTGATCTGAAAATTGTGGTTTGCTGATGTGTTGTCGATATAGAACAACACGACTCGAGTGACTTGTACTATGAACCGAGACGCGAATCGGTTGCACTGGACTCGGACGAGGAGACACGCGGTGGGTACCATACTAATGCGTCGTGGGCTCGAAGACAGCCTACGCAGTACGTATATGATGCGGCTGCTGAGCGCACGGCGCAGCATCTGCGGGAAGGTAGAGTGAATGTAGCTGCGAATGGGGTTCATTAGCGTTTTTGATACTTGGTCCTTTTAATCTGTCTCGAGCTTCATTTGAAGTGTGGTTAGAGGAGATGTCCATTTTATTCCGTTCTTCATCACATCATGTTCAACCAATTTGTACGTTAGTTCTGCAGTCAATCATCCAACCCCCTTGCTATTTATGTTTTTGGAACTGTCTTCTTTGACCTGGACGTTACTCTACTACAATTGTAACTTGTACCAACCTGCTATACAGCCTTGATTGGAGTCTTTCACTATCCTTGTGTGATCGTAGAAAGTGGGCTCCGGCGCTTCAGCTCCACAGACCTGCTAACTGATGCTGTGATGACTTTTCTGTCAGATCTCATTGCCTGACACAAACAACCACAGGCACAACTTGAAACTCTAGCGTATGGCGTCCACATCAGCGTCTGCGCTCGTGCAGGAGCTAGATGATACACCCGACGTGCTCACATGGCTCAACGATACGCTTACACCACAGGACAACCATGTTCCGCTTGCTGCTCTGGAATCCCTACTGGCGGACCTGCTGACCGCCACAGACCTCTCAGCAGTAACAACTTCCGCCACACTCGAGCACACGATCGATGAGGTGTCGCGCACCGCTCCCCGTCTCACGTACGACCTTCATTTCATGCGTGACGGTGCTCTTTCCCTACACTCTGCTCTCGCTACCGTCACTGCCCGCATTCCAGCAGGAACAGGCACTTCTGCTGCTCTCGACAAATTGCAGACTCTTGACACTGCAAAACGACGGATGGAGGCTGTGAGGGATGTGCTACGTGAGGCAGAGTCGTGGTCCAGCTTAGAGGCAGAGGTTATTGCATTGCTGACGGAGCGTGCATATGACAAGGCTGCTGAGAGATTGAACGAGGCTAGCAGGAGTATGCCTGTATTTGCAGGAACCCCGGAATACGAGCCCCGTCGTGCGCTGATGGTGTCCCTTCAAAACCAACTCGAAGCTGCCCTCAGTTCCGCGTTGGTTGGCGCAATCAACTCGGGCGATACGGCGATTTGTAGAAACTTTTACGGGATATTTTCTAACATACAGAGGGAGAGTGAGTTCAGGAACTATTACTTTGGCTCTCGGAGAGCAGGGCTGGTTGCTTCGTGGCAGAGCGAGGTGTTGGAAGACACGGAGCCGTCATTGCCTGCGCTGCCGAAACAGACGTTCAACGCCTTCTGGGCGACTTTTTGTACCAGTTTCCTGGCTGTCCTCAATGCAGAACGCACGTCTATTCCTGCCATATTTCCTGATCCTCAAATCACGCTCTCGACGTTCATCACTTCCACTTTATCCACACTACAGCCTTCGTGTCCGCAACGCCTTGCATCCCTCTTCAACACCGCCGGTTCATCTGCTCTCAAGGATGTCATAGCCATCTACAAAACGACAGAGGAGTTCGCGGCGAGCACAGACAAAATCATGGAGAAAATACAGTTCTCTGTTATCCCTACGGACAGCACTTTGGAGCCTCCGAAGCACACACGCCGCCGCTCCATGCGTATGTCCATGTCCTGGCGCTCAAATTCAGCAACGAACTTCTCACGGGCCCAACACTCTACACTCAATGATGAACTTGATTGGGACCAAACGCTCTTTCAGGCGTTTCTCGACTTCCAGGTTGAGTACGGCACACTGGAGCGGCGCCTCCTCTCTGATGAGCTCGCTTTTCCCTCTACACTCACTCCTAACAAGAACCCAAGCACTGATCGGGCTCGCCTTCTTCGCGAGCGCGCGGTCGATGTGTTTAGTGCTGCAGAGGAAAGCCTCGTACGATGCATGTCATTTACTTATGGATATGCTGCTCCTGGACTTATCTCCGCGTTGGATACGGCTCTCGCGTCATTTGTTGACTCTTGGACCCAATCTCTGACCGCAAATCTAACTGCTCCTTCAACTGCTCATGTGGAATCCGAAGATGACCTCGCGGATCTGGATTACTCCCCGCAGGACTGGAGCAACATTCAACTTGTCTTACACCTCCTCGCTTCTACAAGAGCCGTGCTTGACCGACTTGGGACATTTGAGGGCAAGCTGCGAGCTGCACTCGTACAAATCGCCACGGCGTTTCGGCTGGCACAACACGAAGGCGGTTTGTATACACCTTGTGCAACTAAGGGTGCTAGTTTGCTCCTTGCGCAGTCCCCTCTGAATAGCGCAGCTTTGCACACTCTCTTATCCTCTGCGGAATCCCATCCCCCTATTCCACTCCTCACCACAACACGCGCATCCATTGCGTCCCTTGCCAGGGCCCTTCAGTCATCACTCCAGCATACCCTTCTTGCCCCTTTACATGCGCATCTCTCACCCTATGCATCCCTTGCCCTCTGGGCGGCACCGGGTGATCCCAAATCTATGCGCACGGCCAGCGACCTGCACGTGCCTGTGTTTTCGCTTTCCCCCAGTGATACCGTACAGCACGTTGCTGAAGGGCTGTTAAATCTCCCGCGGCTCTTTGAAGTGTATGCAGACGACGACGCGCTGGGCTTCTCACTCAACACACTCCCGAATGTTGATGAAGCATATCTGAGTGGTCTGGGTGAAACGCAATCCCCTGAGCTTGGACACAACCGACGAGCTTCGCTCGTCATGCCTTCCAAGTCGGTAGTGCTGAGCCCGGAGGCAGTTGCAGCAGCCTGGCTGTCATCCCTCGGACATTCTATCTTATCACATCTTACCAGCAACGTCCTGCCAAAAATCCGTACGCTTTCCGTCGCAGGCGCGGCACAGCTCTCATCGGATCTTGGGTATCTGTCGAATATCGTGAGGGCACTCAATGTTGAGTATGAGGAATTGGATAGGTGGAAAGAGTATGTGGGGATGAACAACGAAGAAGGAAATCGGGTGGTTGGGGAGAAAATACCTGGTGATCAGGTCTTAGCGCTAGTGGCGAAGATGAGAGGGTGGACGTGATGACAATTGATGGGGTCTTTTTGCTTTTGGTCTTAGTTAGACATGCTTAGGTTCAACTGGATACGCCTCAGAGACAAAATTCAGCTGAAGTGTACAAAGAACAAGGTGGAATTAGAGTATCAGTGTCGATCTACACTGAACATATACGTATGCATCCAGGAGGGCATTATCATATTGTGATGCCCTAAGCCTGGTTCGAATTCGTAGTTCCTGAGTATGACATTTCCTAGTGTAGCTGAAATTGTAGTGATATTGGTAGACAACACTGTCGCTACGTGAGGACAGCGCACTTCAAGAAGAAGTTTGTCATGCACTCAGCCATGCATAGTTAAATAACTAGTGGTGATATATGGTACAGATCAGCAAGTGCAAAGCAAATAAAAATACCAGCACACTATCGTGCATATGGATGGAATGAATGCTGTCCACGACTCGACATTCTCGAAGGACCCAATCCCTGGTTCATCGTCATGCGCCCTGCATTCGCGTTCGGGGTAACAGCGCCAGTCATGCCCTGTCGCATCCGCATCCCCATGCTGTTCATCCCCAATCCCGCGCCTGCACCCGCAGCGTTCATCATCCCCATCCCTGGCATTCCCATCCGCATGGCGTTCATACCCATACCACCCATAGGACTCATACCGCCCATCATGTTCATCCCCATGCCGCCCATTCCGCCCATGCCACCCATACCACCCACGCCGCCCATGCCACCCATACCGTTCATGCCGCCCATGCCTCCCATGCCCATGCCCATCATCATGGGATTCATCATGCCCATGTTCGCTGCTCCCATCATGGGCATGTGACTCATGACGCGTTGATAAAGCATGTTAGTGGCTGCGGAGTTGGGCTGTTGCGGGAAGCCCATTGCGGACGTGTTGGGCGTGCGTGAGTCGGAGTCGTTGAAATAGGGTTCGCGGCTGCCCTGTTGCATGTTTCGCGCTTGATCGCGCTGGCTTCGGGGTTGAGCAGCTTTCACTTCGATCTGTCGACAACTTGAGAGGAGAATGTGTTCGGTAGGCACATCCATACGTACCTGCTTATCATCCAACATCAACCCGAGTTTCCCCACGAACTCATCAGAGTTGTTCGAGTCCTCAAAGGTGACGAAGCCAAAGCCTTTGGAACGGCCTGACTCGCGATCGACCATGACTGTCGCATCGACGACCTTCCCAAACCGCGCGAAAAACTCGCGCATGGTGTCTGCATTGGTTGTGGGGGCGAGACCGCCAACAAAGTACCGCGTGTTTCTTAGGTGCTCTTCTCGGGGAATCGCGCGTTTTGGGTCGATCTAATGCTTGCGTTAGTGATCGAAAAGTTGCAAGCCGGAGACACTGACAGCTTTCCCGTCCAAAACATGTTCCCTTCCGGTGACAGCATTCACGCTCTCTGGTTCATCGAAGGTCAGGAACGCGAAACCCCTTGAGCGCCCATCCGGGTCGCGCATAATCGTACAAGCATCCACCTTAAATGCTCATCAGTATCATAACCCGACGACAACATCCATCAACAGCTTAAATCCAAAAATAAATTACCTTGCCAAACTGCGAAAAATATGTCCTTAGACCCTCTGCTCATAAGAACAACATAGGATAATAGTCAGTAGATAGAAGTTGATTGTCATTGCATGGGCGTATACCATCTGTAGTGTCCCAGTTAAGGCCGCCAATAAACATTTTGCTATCGGAGGTGACGACCGTATGTGAGGCAAGGACCCGTAGGTGAGGCAAGGCATGTAGTAAGAGTAGAGCGTGTCGATGGGTCCACGGAAGTATCCAGAAAGATATAAGTGATTAGTGACCAATTATAGCAAGTAGCCATGAGAGTATGAAAGACGGCAGCATAGGCGATGCGCAGAGTGTAAGTGCAGATAGTAAGCTCGACTGTAAGCAGTAGTAGCAGTGCAGCGGCATGTACTGTAACTGTCAGGCCCTGTTCGTTCATCTCTCGTGAAAGAACGACAAGGGTAAAACTATCGTGCAAGACATAGCGGAGACCGAGTCTAGAAATGCTTCGCCCCCAGGAGAATACAGACAAGAAATAACCATACATATAGCAAGCGTGCACTTACCCTTCATCTTTCATTTCCGACGGTCGGATAGGCCTGTCCGCATGGCTGTCGGTCGGTCCTTCGTGTGTTGCTATTGCAGAAGGCCCACCTTGTGTACTCGGATTTGGTGGAAGGGGCAAAGGTGGTTTCTGAATACGCTCCTGGCTCGGTGTCTGTTGGTACGCAGAAAACTGCTTTGCAACCTGTGCTGAATATGACATAGAAAAGTCGCCTTTTGATGACTGAGGTTTAGCAGGTAGCGATGACGCAGACGTGGTCGATGTTGAAGTCTCCATCTTCACAGGTTCAAGATTCTTGTCGGCGTGCGGAGGAGCCTCGGTGGTAGGTGAGGCTTCATCGTCCAGTGGGACAGTGAACTCGTCATCGTACAAGTCTGCGCAATGTGAGTTATTGCCCTAGAGCCGATGTCATGAAATAACACTCACCTCCGTAGAGGTCAGAATCTGGGTTTTCCTTGGAACTTGCCATGTCGATGAGCCTTCAATAATCCGTTAGCCGAGGGCTTGTCCGTTGTGGTTGATAGTATTGTCGTGGTCGCTGTGCAAGGTAAAGCGTTAAAATACCGAGTCCTGTGCACTTTCAAAGGTAGGATGATGCTCAACCAAACAACCTATATATAGAAGTCACTTATATGTAATATAGAAATAAAATTTGAAGAAAATAATAGTAGTTAACATTTACAAGTAATTGCTGTACGAGGATCACCGTGGACCAACCGTGGACCCACGGAAAATTTGACTGGCAGGGCTGCCATATCTACTCAGTGGTCTGACCACAGCATGCCATCATGCCACCAAGACTATGTTGGTGATAGTTAGGGGGCAGAATTATCGCGGTTATTCTGCTAGCAGGACAACCGCTTCCACCGAAGCGCTTTCCAACATGCTGGGGAAGTACGTAGGGGTACTAACTCTTATCCGGAGGTGGTTCGGGCGTTCACTGCGACAACTCAGAAGTGGGCATATGATCGGAATAAATGGGAGACCACGATCTCCTCCATAAATGCCTCCTGTGACCTGTCTACAACATGAAATACATAATTCTTTATTTCAACACCGGAACCTAGTCATACTGATGTACATTCAGTACAATGCCTTGATGAAAGTACATGCGCAGATATCGACTGAAAGTAAGAATAGCTGACGTGACAGAAAAATGACAGGACGTGTACGACAATCAGAAGCGAAAGACCTTGATAACAAATAGTGTGAAAATTGCGGACAGAGCATATAATCAAAGCAAAGACATACGTTTACTGATTGGAGACCTTGAAAGATGTGACCTAGAACGCGCATTAGGAGTCAGAAAGTTGAAAGGATGTTGCATGATAAATGTACCTGCTCCTCGCCCATCGCGGCAGTGACCGTGACCATGACGGTGTCTGCAACTTCGTAGCCAGCCAAGATTTCTTCACCGAGCTTCCCATCGGGAAGCTTGACATCATCCTTAGTACCTCCGTCAGTGTTCATTAGATTGAGGAAGCCGTCATCGGTACCGAGCTACCGCGAATTTAAGTGACATCAGCAGACGAATGTAAACAGCACACTCACGAGCTGGTACTCAGTACGGTTCACATTGGGGACGTCCATGTTGTGGGTGGAAGGGGAGATATCTTCCTATAAAAAGGCATAAGGGAGCCGTAAGCGGCAGCGCTTATGTCTATGAGTCAATTATTGATACTTTACCATCTTTTTGTCAGTGAAGATCTGTGTGATCGGAAATTAAGGCAGCAATTCGCAGGTTTAGTGGAACATGAACGCACGTCGACACCGACGAGATGGACCTTCGCGTGACCGTGTTTTCCGGTCTTGGAGGTGGACATCTCAACGATCTTGCAGGGACGACCTGGAATAAGGTTGTCGGACCGGCAATGCAAGACAGATACAGTCTAACGCACCTTTTATGACAACGTGGCCGTTTTTGCGGAGCGCAGAACATTGCATAGGGAAAGTGAGCGAGGCACCTGCGCTAGCCTATATGACGATTATCGCGCAATCAGTTGTCTAGGATGATCGCGGGCGTTATAGATCAGATAGGCGGACCTGCTCGAACTGCTGGTTGTGTTGCTCATCGTCAGACATGATGGCGGAATAAGAAGAGAAAACAAAAATCTATGAACTGGATAAGAGGGAGGGAGATGGCGATGAACGAAAGATTGGCGTGTAGCAAAAAAGCGATTTAACTTTCAATCTCCGATGGATGTTTCCCGTTACTCCTCCACATTACATAGTCACATCCGCTCATAAGCACAACCATCCTCCAAGCTTGCACTGATACTAATCTGAGACTTGAACTTGATCAGGTACAAGTCAAATTTACAGTCACAATGCACCCGTTTGGCGGTACGCCGATATGTCCTAGATGCAGCAAGGCTGTTTATGCTGCAGAACAGGTTAGCAGCCTCGTTTCATGCTTCGCGAATTTCTTATGACGTCCGACAGGTGATGGGACCTGGCAGGAAGGTGGGCTGATCGTAGTACTCTGCAATACAAATGTTATTAATAAACGTAATCAGCTCTATCACAAGGTGAGCTCCCCCACATACGCCTCGCTTCGTGTGATTTACGACAAGTCCGGTTAGCCTTGCCTTGCCTGCACGACATGCAATAAGAGATTGGACTCGTTTACTCTTCTTGAACACGATCAGGAGGTGCGTTTTGTCTGTGAGGATGTTTTTGCGTCGTGCAGCTTACCCTTCCCTCCTTAGCCATACTGGTAATCCCCGCGGCTCTTCGTGTCTTCCAATCATTGACCTGAATTACAGCAAAACATGTCACGTTCGAAACTTCGGCACTCGCGACCTGAGGCATGCCAATCTTCCCCATCGTAATGACATGGCCTCGCCTCCACCACTTCCTGCGTCACCCGTGCGCAGCACCTTCCCTGCACCCACTCTTGTGCGCGGCGAATCTGTAGATCTAAGCCAGCGGCAAGGTGCGCGATCACCGGTGCATCCGCACAATACTGGCACAGGACGCTATACGAACGGTGCCATGTCGCCACCACCCATCCTCAAAGCGAACTCGGTCCTCCCTGCACGGTACAATCGCTCACCCATTAATCCTATTCCCGATATTAGCTCTGAAACCCGAAATCAACCTCTCAACACAAACTCGCACCGTGAGGAAGAGAGAGAAGAGACACCGGCAGAATCCACGCCGCCTTCAACGCTCACGTTTGCGGGGACAGCTACTAGCACAGCACGCATCGGTGATATGCCACGTACTGTTCCATTGAGTCCGACTAAATCGATGGGCAATGGGACTTATGCTACGTCTACCCCGAAATTATCTTCTGTGGCACTTGGACGCTCAAGTTCATCTTCGACGACGCCGTTGCAGCCAACTGGCACTGGCACGCGGTATGGCGCAGCATTTGGTAGCGGTGGCACTCCCGTAAAGGTCTTTTCTGCGGGTGCAACTCCAGCGTGTCCGCGGTGCGGGAAGAATGTTTATTTCGCTGAACAGGTAAATTTTATCAAGAGGCCGACGCGAGTTTGACTAATATGTGGGATAGATGAAGGCCATAGGAAAGACATGGCACAAGGGATGTTTGAGGTGCAAGGAGTGTAATACTCTGTTGGATTCAACTAGATTGACGGAGAAAGACGGAGAACCCCTTTGCCATCGATGCTACTCAAAGGTATGATTATTTTCTTTTCGTGTTTTCGGTATTTCTCATGCGTGCAATGTAGCTGCACGGCCCAGCAGGAAGCGGCTATGCTTTGCTCGGTAAAGCCGGCGGTTAGGCCTGTTAGGTATGTATATCGGCGACTCGGCACACCCCAATCGTTCGCACCAATTTTTACTGTCATATGAATGGACTCTACATATTTCCGCTTTCTGTTTTCTTGATTTGAATTGTTGTTGAGATACTACTGTACTGCCACTCTTCTTGATGGTGTATCGATACCTTTCACTGTCTCCGCTAGTGCTCGCTTTCGTATCCACTCGTCCATAGATTGCTCAATGCTCACTATTTTTATCGAGCTGCCAGTATCTAAGCTTGCAAGTTGCGGCACTGTTATGATCATAGATAGCCACGCAATAGCTCGAGGGGGTGAGATGAGCTTCATGGTATGTCGGATGAGGTGGGAGAAATCATCATTCTTGGAGGAATAGAAAATTTTGGTAGACTAACGACGACCTTGAGTATATTTGGGAGAGGTACAACAAATAAACAGCCAGAAACGAGACCATCGTCCAGGCTGTCTGATCGTTGCATGAAGGCCCGAGTTCATCGATGTTGTAGATGCGAAAGTGGTAGTGATGGGACGCGTGGTCGATGGTGTCGCAGTCAGTAGCTACGAATGTGACTTGGAGGTGAGGCCGCGAGCAGCGTTTTTGGGGCTCATTGTAAGAAATTGTTGGAAGGCGAAGGAGACAAATGATGAAACGAAACATGAAACGTCAGCTGGCAGAAGCAGTAAGGGGGTATGAATGGGTGAGGGGGAGTCATAGTTGTTGGCACCATCCGAAATAACACTCGCCATATTTTTCTTTCTCTGTCGTGCCACCTACCGGAGTATCATGCTCAAACGGCGCGGGCCACAGCTGAATCAGCGGGGGCGCGGGCCACTTGAGTGGTGTGAGGGTGAGGGGGGGGAGGGGGGGAGGCGGAAAGGTGACGCGAGGGTACGCATATGAAATGGTGCGGAGTCTGCGGATCATAAATATGACTGTAGATTGGCGGGACCTAGGAGCAGCCGCCAGCGGCAGTGTGATCAATCATCGGGTCAAGTAAGACAGGCAAGTTACAACGATTTATGATCTGCAAATTTGTTTAGAAACCGGCCGCGGCAAACAAAGTTAAAGAATTGTGAAATACAACATGATCTTCCAATGGACACGGTATGAATGATCATGTTGAGATATAAGCCCAGTTTTCCCATAACATAGAAACTGGGTCTGAAAGACTCGTTATTGGCACCGAAAGCTGCTGCATAAGGTGACTATTGTCGATCTACTGTAATTGGTCGTGTACTGGAGAGATCGACGAGCTTGTCCGAAGAATGACCATCCCTGATAATTCAAAACCCACAACTCTAGGGTATCGATCCCATTGATCCTACACATACTTGTTGTACATCCAAAAGCTTAAATTACGATCAACCAACCCAAAACCAACCGGGTAATATAATGGTCGAGTTATCAAGTCAAATCAATGATATCATTCTCCGCCACAACCGTCCTCGTTGATTTGCCCTTTAACATCGGCTCGAGGTCAGGGCGTTTGCTTTTGACGTGAGACAAACCATCCCCTTTCTTGGTTCTCTCTCTGGCAAGTAGCAGGGGTGCTTTGACACAAAGTTTCGTGGGTGGTAATGGTACATCGGAATCACTGGATATATCAATTATATCGTCGAACTTCTGGATCAGTCGTATAGATGGTGGTGAACCCGGGCGCATGGTCAAGCTTGACGAGCGCGGGGATGTTTGCTGCGGCAATTTTCTTGGAGATTTGGTTGCGGAGGGTGGGATGGGTTCGGAGTCAGATGACTTGGTATGTTTCTTAGAGCCGGTTTGTGAGGACTGCTGGGACGTGTGAGCGCGAATAGAATGTGTGGGCTCTGCGAAAGGATCGTCAGAAGTAATGATGAAACCTGACAGTGGGAAAGGACGAGGAGCAAGCGCAGTGGCCTGGGGTTCTACGACCGCTTTCTTCCGGCGGACTGTTGTCTTCTTCGGAGAAGATGAAAGAGGTAGGGCATCTCTATCGCTGTCGCCTTCGGCGGTGGAAACATCCTTCTTTTTCCTCTCCGTCATGTCCGAGATATCAATGATATCGTTAAATTTGCGCATCGGCTGTATGAGTGACGTTGAACCCATGCGCCTGGTCAAGCCTGGTGAGCGCGGGGATGTTTGCTGCGTTGATTTTCTTGGAGACTTAGTTATATGGGATTGTGGGGAATCTGAGTCCGATGATTTCGTATGTTTCTTAGAACCAATTTGTGACTGCCGAGGCGGATTAGCGCCAACAGGATTCTTGGGCTCCAAGCAAGGATCGTCAGAAGCACTGATGAAATCTGAGATTGGGAGGGGATGAGGAGCAAGCCCGCTATCCTGCCGTTCCGCCACCGCTTTCTTCCGACGGGTAGGTTTCTTCTTCGCAGGAGCTAGGATAGGGAGAGCATCTCCATCGCTGTCTCCCCGCGCAGCGGAAGCACCCTTCTTCCCATCCGTCTTGTTCGTTCGCTTGGTCTTTTTCTCCAGCTTTCTGCGCTGGATGTCCTCGAAGGCTTCGACGAGTTCTGGCTCCACAATCTGCACCATACATGCTGGCATCCATACACGAAGGTGGCTCTTAGGGTCTGGTGGAGGTTTCTTCCCCTTGCTCTTGCCCTTTTGCTTTCCGCCGTCCTCGTCCTCATCATCCCCTTCAGTTTCATCGAAAGTAGCATCTACTTCGATTGGGGGCCTTATTCCTTGAACACCATCCCCAGCCAGTCGTACAAGCTGTGCAGGCGCAATCTCCAGTCGATACTCAAGAATTTTATCCGTGGACGCGTGCCGTCGCGAAGAGTGAATCTTGACAATAAGCCTATCTTCTTCTGCTTCAGATTCAGTATCACTGCACTCTTCCTCCTTCCGGTTGTCTTTGCTTGGGGAGTTGAGCTTCATCGACGAAAAGTACTTTGTAATCATCTTCGAGGGTGTTCCGGGCGCGAGCTTGCCTGTTGTCTTGCTCTTTTTTGGGCTCATTGGTAAACCCTTACGCCTCTTCTCATCCTTTTCCATCGCGCCACGCCGCAAGATACGTTGTACAGCGCTTGACCATAAAACGGTGCGAAAACGCTTGATAATCACATCCTTCACACCCCATTCGAAGTACAGTTCGCAAAGTCCAGCGATTTTACCAATGTCGGGCTCTTGTTCCCAAGTGATTTCTCGCGTCGGTTTACCCTCTGTCTCGCTCGTGATAGGATTGGTGTAGGACAGTAGAATATCGACATCAGGAAAATCATCAGGAATCTTCTTTGCGAGTGCAGGCTTTTTCGATCCGATAAGACCGCTCTTGTTCGTACGCAATTCCTCGCGCACATCTTCACGCCATGTGTCAAGCCATTTCTCTAGCTCTTCACGGCTGAGGGAGCTGGCAGCTTCAAGCAGTCGGTCTCCGAATCCACAACGTGCGAGGGCAGCAGCAATGAGCTTGCCGCAACCTTGAACGCCAGCCTGATGGTAATCTCCGCCAGAGAGGAGGCCGATTAGGATACATCCTCCTTGCGAGAGACGGATGTCGTCGTGGGAGAGAATATCAGCGGCGCGATACGTCACGACGTGGTTTCCATCATCACGTCCCTCAGCGTTCTTCACCGGGTGCGCACGATTTCCGGAAAGCGTGTTGCTGGGACTATGCGACAGTTAGCGTTTGACGGTTTGCTTAGGGTGATACAATTTACTTGCGGATGACCATTGTGGCACCAAATAGAAAGTTATCAACATCATCAGAGAGTACAGCATCAATGATTCCCATGCGATTCAGATATGCAAGTTCAGCTTCAGCCTCTCCAGGAGCCTGTGCAGCGTAAATATTCTGTTCGTCATCACTTGTTGTGCACACGCACCGTTCTCCACTCAAAACCAAAAGCAGCAATAATGTTTTTCATTCCAGTAGTAAGCCAGTGCGCATTGCCGCCCACCCTCTTCCCGCGCTTGACCGAAGGCCGTTTTGGACCATCGAATACGAAGAGTGGGAGAAGAGGCATGTTCATGAGTCTAGAACAGCGAAAGAAGAGCGTACGCAGCTCCGGATTCTCTCCTTCTTTACCGTACGCGGCATGGAAGAACCAAATCGAGGCATCAATGCCTATGCGAAAGCCTCGTCGGCCACCAGCATTGGCTTCAAATCCTTGGATAACAGAGAGATGCGTTAAAGACTGTGTTTGTCCAGCAGGTCGTAGCACCTAGTAGTAGACCATGACTCAGAACGAAACTTCGTGTCAACTCATGCGACAAACCTCCCAAAGTCCCGCTACACCCATGTCCTGCAATAGTTGAAGTAGAAAAGGATCGCAAGGCAAACGCAGCCTCAGTTCACTGCTCGATGAATGATTTGCTGCAACTTGAAGTTGAATCATGCAGACAAGTTGCACGTGATCGCGTGCTTGGTTGTATTACTAAGCTAACTTGCGGCCCATTTGATGGCAGCCAAAACATACAAAGATACAAACCCCCCCCGGCCCATTTGGGGTCCAAGCCAGGACCTGTGCAAAGAATTGCGACAAGCTCGCCTGCCTTTGCATCACAGATTTAGTTGATTACTCTCTGTGTTCTTCAGCCGAGGGCGTCCCATCTACCAATCGCAAACATAAGTATTCATCTCTGGCGAGCACACAACTACTCCCACACGTATTCGTGCTGGGCCGAGAGTATGACCAAGGTCTCTCCGCAGTCCCATCGTTGGATCCACTCACCACTCGCCGACCATCTTGACCCCAGCAGACAGACAATACTCTCCCTCTGTGTCCCATCCATTTAGTGGAGACCTTGCCTGCGTCAATGTTCCGCAACCTCACAGCTCAGCACACACTGCCGCTAACTTTCTTCCCGCCTAGAGACAACGCAATGGTCCATATTCCACTGGCTTCAACGTCCTGCCTGTCGTCTCCTACCGAGCGAGCGACAGGATACGTTCTCGTACTAGGTCACTGATTTATGCTCCACCAGTTCCATCAGCGCGCCCAAACACCTTTGCATCGATTTCATCTGCTGCGCCCGATGAGAGGCTACGTACAGGATGTGCAGGAAAGTTGAATTGTTGCTCGCGAAAGACGCCAAGTCTCGAAGACATCAAAATCTCATGCGTCGCCCAAAGTTCAACTACAGTGTAATTGAATGAGTGCCGCTCAGTGCACGAAAGACAAACTCACAGTGTTTCTCAAGCTTTCTCTCGCGTCATTGGAGAACAGTCATACTCACAAGTAGCCATGGAACAAGGAGCGGATCGCAATGTCATCATGCGGCACATCAGTAGCACACTTTCCTCTTGGCAGGACAATGTCATTACGTGGACCTTTCAGCACAAAGTGCCACCTCAAATCTGATCAATCGCGATGATTAGTTGCCGCTCCTCGAGAATACATGCCCAACATTGAACAACACTGTTATACATAGCCTCACGGAGTAGAACCTGTGTGATACATCATTGCCGGAGTTTGAATTTATGCTGTAACTCTTTGTAAAATATGAATCTTCAACTGGAAGTACAGACGTAATTGCGGGGCCCGCGCTCATCACCATCGTCGCGACTTTTTAGCCCTGCGAGCACATCCGCGCTACAACCTGCAAATCATTCTGATTGAGACGGTGGCTGATTGGTATCAGGAGGCCAACGAGATGAAGAACCAGCCCCTATTATCATCATTAAACATTGCGAGGTAACATTGGCAGCGAACACAACAAACCACCATTCACCCCGATGTTCAATGTTGTTCCTGTCGATTCTGAATCAAAAGACACCACGCTTTGGTTGATATAAATATTGATTGTGCAACTGCGGCTAGGAGACGGCGGTATACTTTGTGAGGTTGAGGGTCTGACTGAGAAATCAAGAAGCTTGTCAAGGGATATCATGGGTGACAATTTAGAAACCCACTTGTTTCACCATCATCGTCGTCGTCATCATCATCATCACCATCATCATCATCATCCTCTCTGGAGAACGTAATTCCAAGTCGATCGAGCATCGCAAAGGCCTCTTGTGCTTCTTGTTCGGTGTTTACATTCACATTTATGTCTTGCATGTTTTCGTTCGGAGACAGATCTTCGGCTAATCCGCTGTATGTGAGATATGGGGGCAGAGTAAGAACCTTCACACCGACCTGAAAGATCGTCTTGATCAACGATAGTGTTTCACCATAGGATGTGATAACACACACCTGGACCCTCCTCAGTAACAGACTCGTTGCATTGCGCGGACTCCCCGAGGTTCCCTGATTAAGTTAGCCAACAAATTGAAGTTAGCAATAGGAAATTGCTGACATACTTAAGATAGTATCAATTTCTGACAACAATAGTCTATTCAGGTCATCTGAAGTTCTCTGTGTCGCTATTCAACTGCAATTCTAAGGATCTGCCATGCGGTTAGTCGACTTACTCTGATAGACGAATAATTCCGATATGAGATTTTATAAAAGTGCTTGGTCTTTGACTCGCGGACGAAAAGGTTGACAAGAAATTTGCGAAAAGATTTCTTTTGCGTCAACAGTTGGTTTCTGATTTTTATCGTCCTGCGAGAATGATTAGTGAGGTCTTTTTGCTGGGTGAAAAGCCTACTCTTCAGATAGGATCCTACCACTCCTGTAAGCTTCAGCGCAGGAAGCTTTTTGACTTGCTGAAAGGCGCTCGTGTGCTGACAAGCTGGCGAGCTCGTTCAAGGTTGCCAGAGATAATTGTAGATAGTGCGAGCCCTTTTCGTAATTTGTCCGGCCCTTCAGCAACTTGGCTATAGTAGTGGGTGAGTTCGAAGATTTGCTCGTAGGATCTACGGGCGTGGCTATCGGTATCGTGATGGTCGGAGGATCCATTGGTGAGGACTACTAAAAATGACGGGAGCTGCCAGTGGTAGCGCTGATTGCTTTAGGTTGTGTACAAAGGCTTATATGCAAGCGATTGTATACAATAAACCTGTTTCGTTTACAAGGAGATTATGGCAATATGGCAACTGGCAGTGCCAGTGGTGGACGAAAGTTACTGTATAGTTCGAGCCTTGTCGACCAAAAATCATACCATCCTCGATATCGATGAGATGCTATCATAGAACTTGTTCGGGTAACAGTTTCCTATCGCGGGGTACTTTGCAGATACATACTGGATATGAATCATTGGTTGTGCTTTGCCTGCCGGTGAGATAAGCCGCTAAGTGACTTGTGGTCCACAAAACGTTCTAACTAGGAAGTTGAAGTCCGCGAAGTGCCGGGGTCCGAATTACAAAGTTGCTTGTAGGTCCATATTTGTTCTGAAAACGTTTATGTAAGGGTACCCTTAGTTGACACCACAGCTCAAGCAGTTTTCATAGGATGGACTCAACCTCCGCTGCTCATTCCCATCTTTCTGAATTTGAGATTTGGTGGAGGGACCACTATAATTTCCTCAAAGACAAGGGCTACAAGTTACGAAGTCGCTATAGTCCGGATTGGGTGCCCTCTTGGACGAACACCAACAAAGTTGACATAAATTGCGAGGATGGAATCATGCCACGAGTAGGTGCTTCCATAAACCAATTTTGATCATCTGCCATGCGTCCTTTAGCATTATTCTTTGCTAGATGCACGGCGCACTCAAGACGACGCTCGCGTATCACTCAAACGTATAGACGTATCGCGACATCCATATGAGATAGAAATCGGTCGCTATTTCTGTAGCTCCCCTCTCAGCGAAGATCCAGCCAACCATTGCGTGCCAATTTACGATGTTTTGGAGGTACCCGGCGGCAATCATCTTGCGATAATTGTTATGCCGTTACTTCGAGATGCTACGGATCCCTATTTTGATACTGTCGGAGAAGTTGTAGACTGCATTCATCAGCTCTTTGAGGTAAAGGTCTTGATTGACTAACCCTTCGTGACTCATCTTTCCTCTTTCTTTTGAAGGGGCTGCGTTTCATGCACAGACATCACGTCGCTCACCGGTACGTATCATAGCCGCTCGAGTGACTTGGTCTCATCGCCTGGGCAAAGGGACTGCATGCAGCTAAACATACTGATGGATGGCAGCATGTTCATAGACGCATGGCATCCAAGCGACGAATACATGTCTGAGGACTTCAAACGCGTGGCCAGGCACCGCACACGCACGCAGTCTCCGCCGCGATACTATTACATAGACTTTGGCATCTCCCGCAAATATGATGTGTCCAATGCCAATCCACTGGAAATACCCATATACGGTGGAGATAAAGGAGTGCCAGAGTTCGCGGAAGCCTACACCAAACCTTGGAACCCTTTCCCAACTGATGTTTGGTATCTTGGGCATGCTATCCAAGAAACATTTCTCGACGTAAAGTGCAGCAGCGCTTCTCATTTTTCATACTCTGATTTGGACACAATAGCGCTACTCAGGTGTGGAATTCTTGAGCGGTCTGGCAATGGATATGATGCACTCCGATCCAGCACAACGTCCGAACATGGACGATGTTTTTTCTCGATTCCAGGTTCTGCGTCAAGACCTCAGCAAATGGAAATTACGTTCCCGGGTGGCTCATGATGATGAGAGATCTCTTTTTAATTTAATAGTCCACTGGGCCCGTCGCATTCAGTACTTAGTACGCAGGATTCCCTCAACGCATACCTCGCTGTCATAGAATGGACTTCTTTGTAACCAGTCTCCTACAATGCACGAGTTTTTTGCTCTCAAGTCCTCGCATCTGTAGAATGGATGTCGCGCTGACTTCACGCTGCACACTCGACTGCACATCGTCTGATGCATTGAATTCATCCGTTAAGCTGTGGTTCCTTCTAGGCTCTTACGCACAACCTTACAATGACGTCAGGTGACTAGTGGCCTTCGTGCATGCACGCAACCACGCCAAACCGCGTTTTGCTTGAAACTTAAAGTTGACACATCGGCAATGATATTTGACCCATCCTGCATTCTAGAACGACTTGTGCGACGTAGATTCGCCAAAACCTGTTCAATGCGCCAAGTCAAAAGCATCTCGAGCATAAATAACAAACTCAAGCAGGGATAACACCCCACAACCTAAAGTCCCTGCTGCTTGCGCCAATAGAAAACGAGATCTGGCCGTCAGGTTTGCACCAGCCTTGAGCAATGACGTCCCAGACAGACAGTTCGTAGCGGGAGAGTGTGATCGAGACATGCTTCGTATTGTACGGTCCGATTTCAACATTTGTAAATCCCTTCAGAACCGAAGGAGGTTCGCCGGCGGAAGACGGGTGGTGGACGTAGAGCTGAGGAATCTATTCGAAGTTGAGCGCAGGGTTAAGTGCGGCTAAAGTAACAGGTTTCACAAACCTCAGTCCCGGACAGAGTTCCAGTGTTAGTGACCTTGAAAGTGACCTTGAATGCGGGCTCATGGAGCCTGGGAGCGGCATCAGCCTGCAGATCTGTCATTGGTGGTGAAAATCTCACCAGAGCGCAGTAGAAGACCCTTCGGCGATGGGCGACGCCTCCCCGTTCTCCCACGCAGTGATCAAATCTGCCTGATCAACGTTTGATGACTGAATAGTAGTCACGCCCAGGTCGGAGTACGAGAACGTGGTGTAGCTCAAGCCGAAGCCAAACTCGAAGCGCGGCGTGATATTGGCCTGTAGTTCCCCTTATTCAAGACGCGAAAGCACAAAGCAGATTCGGGTATCTCACTTGATCAAAGTGGCGATAATCGATGAATAACCTACAGAGATCGTAAAATCAATCCAGAACGGCCTTGGCCGAGTGTACGTACCCCTCCGTATAATCGATTGTCACAATGTCGGTTCCAGAACCATTAGTGATGAGTTGTGCGGGATAATCAGCAAGATCCTTGGCAATGGTATAAGGCAGTCTTCCAGAAGGGTTGTATGCGCCATAAAGTACATCAGCAATAGAATTGCCTGCTTCCTGGCCTTGGATGCCGGCCCAGACGACGGCAGTGATGTTAGGGTGCTCAATCCAGGGCTCCAAAATGAGCGGGCCGACGCTGTTTACGACAACTATTGTATTGTTGTTCTGCGCGGCGACAGCAAGGATAAGGTCATCACCGTTGTTCCAGGCAGTGAGGTTGTTACTGGCAGGGAATGAAGATCACCATCACCTGAAGATGTGAGAGACGTACCGATCGCCCTCGTTGCCATCAACAGTAAGATAACCCTCGCCAGAGTCCGAGTTGGTGAAAACCAGAGCGACGGCCTGACCAAACGCCATGCTACCAGCGAGAACAGTGTTCCAGTCGTCAAAGTCCCAGAACACGCTGCTGCCATCCTGGCGAGCACGCTCCTGGATACCCTCAAGAGGCGAAATAAGGTAAGGGAAGTAACCAGTCCTATGCGGCGCCAACCTTGTTCAGGAACAATACAAGTATATCTGAGAACGAACATACCCAGATCCCCAGCCCATGGCAAGAATGCCATCACTACCGCCGCCACCAATCTGCTGTGTAAACTCGTTCGGGCCAGATTTGCCTGGACCCGCATCACTTCCGATCAATACCAAGTTCTTGGGTTTGTTCAATGGCAGTGCGCCGTCTTTATTTTTCAAAAGTACCGTCCCGGCCGCGCCAATCTCCCTCACAAGCTTGTAATGATCCGACTGCACGTTTACATGCTTGTTGTTCACTTCATCATTCGGATTGAATAAGTTGAAGTTTGTTGCAGGATAGTCCTCGTCTTGGTGAAGGTAGTACCAAGCAGCAATGATACGCGTTGCCATATCGTCCAGGCGAGCCATGCTGATATATCCGTCGTTCACATATTCCGTGAGGTTGCCCCCGAAGTAGGAGTTGCCAGAGTCACCACTGATATCACCGGGCATAGTCATGTCAAGCCCTGCAACAGCAGAGAGGGTCGACATTGTCGCCCACCAGTCAGATAGAATGAAGCCTTGGAAACCGTACTCCCGCTTCAAGATGTCATTGAGCATCTTGTCGTTGTTGCATGCGTAGGTTTCGTTGATGAGGTCTGTAGACCTCAAATGATGCAAATGGTATAGGACATGATTGGAGCTTACTGTAGCTGCACATGACGGCTGAAACACCAGCCATGACGCTGCGCAGGAACGGGTGCGCGTAAATCTCATGTTGAGTCCGGTCATCAACATTTGAGGATTCTATACCTCGAAAATGCTCCTGTTCACTAGAGGGACAGATAAGAACAAGCGCAAATTGGTGTAACGGGAAACGAACTTGTTTATGAAGTGCTTGACGCAGGATTGTACTCCGCCGTGTTGCAGGCCTAAAACTGTCTCATACGCAGACTCGCCGGCCAGGAAAGGGTCGGCACCGAAACCCTCCCAATTGCGGCCACCTTGAGGGATGCGTCCCATATTCATCATTGGGCCATTGGCAATGTTGACGCCCTTGCCCTTGAACTCTTGACCCAAAGCCAGGCCACGAGCACGCATTAAAGCACGATTCCAGCTGTGATACATATCAGAAATATTACGTTGGGGAGTTGTCGGTGATTTACGTGGACGCTACCTGAATGCCAGCTGGAAACACAGTCGCAAAGTCTACATAATTGACGGCGAGAGGTGAGTCCTGGCTCATCATCAGACAAATATTTCATAAATTCAAGCTATGCACCTCAAGACACAAACCAGGGAAGTTCTTATTGGGTGGGGTGTTACCAATGCAGAAGCCATTCCCCAAACCGACTCCAGTGGTGATGCTGACTTTTTCCTCCATGGTATAATCTAATATCTGGGTAGAAAGTATATTCAGCACGTGCCGGCATCGGTGATTATGGGAAGTGTTACAAAATTCATGATGAAATTGGCAAGACGACCAAAATTATTGCACTCACATGGTTCTTGGCCTTCTGGTAGGCAGCGGCCCACGCAGGCGCAAAATCGGGCACAATGTGCGGATCGCTGCTGACATTGGGAGGGTTCAAAGGATCGGTTGCGGGGAAAACCGGGGGGCGAGGGTTGAGAGTAGGTGTAGGGTAGGGAATGAATGAATAGTTAGAGAGTGGAATAGTGACGACACCGGCTGTAGTGGACGCGGCTGGGATGTTGGCGGGTGCGAAAGTTGTAGTGAAGCTTATTGTATCACTTGACGAAGAATTGGATGAAGTTGTTGCCGACGAAAACGAGCCAGCTAAATGAACGTTAAAATTAAGCCCTGGAGTTGGGGGCGGGCCAAGGCCGGCGCACCTAGAGCACAGGGAAATATACACAACAGCGACAGTAGCTTGGGTAGGTGGGCTGAACGCGTCATGTTTTGTGGAACAAACGAGCGAAAGGACCTACAAAATTCAACAGCTGGGACATTTTATGAACTGTGTGCTAGCACTTTGTACTTAATTATTTGAGCCACGAGGCTGCTGACGATTGGCAATACCGCATCATAGCTACGGACCACGGTACGGTTGCGTGTCATGATCGCACTGGCACCGGGCTTGTTCCGCAGATCATATAGAGGCCCTCGATGATAGAATTGACGAACTAGAAGGCTGATGCGTAAGATTTTAGGATCATCATACAGTCGAACATAGCATTCATTATGCATGACTGAAGCAGTACTGCTAAGTAGTAGTATTGTTCAGCAGAGCTGATTTGTCAGCAAGCTCATTTTGAGCGGAGTCCATAAACAACTGGAGACAGGGTTCGGAGATTGATTTACTTCTTGCTCACCTTCCAATTCGTTGCACTCGCCGTCACGCTCTCGAGATTTTTGTTGTTGACATCCCGGTTTTAAAAATGTGGAGGCCTGCTACTCGCGAGGTGACTGGGACGAATGAAGGTCGGTCCCATTTTTGCGACAAAACCTTACATTTGCTGATAAATGTTTATTCAGTTCCGCTGGGCACCCGTCGTCGTTTTGGACCAGCACCTGCAGAAGAAACTGCGCGCCCACAGCTTGCCCAACCATCTCCCTCTGCCTATCCAAAACAGTCCAATCAAGACCAAGACTCGAGGAGGGGGAGGGAGGAAACCCCCACCAATTCCCAAGGTAAGCCCATCATCCTTGAACACCGACTTCCCAAGTCGTGCTTCCTTGCCAAGCATTTCTCTATAGCAGGTCCTGTGAGATTTGCTGGCGATCCTGGCAGCTCGTCTGTTGCGATTGCTGTTACAACCTTACTAATTACTAACTGACTGTGTTACTAACCCTGATACTATGTGCTTTTCACTTACCCACAGCTGACGCTAATGGTGCTCGCAAAAGGCGCAGCCGCTGGGGAGAAGCAAAGACGGACATCCCTGGTTTACCTACTGCCATCTCTGCTGCCGGCGTTTCCCAGGCACAACTCGACAATTATGCAATTCACCTTCGGTTGGAAGAAATCAATCGCAAGCTGCGATTGAACGATTTTATCCCGCCCGAGCGTGAGCGGTAAGTAGATGATGGTTTGACGTCTTCAGGGACATATGCTCATTCTGGTATTAGGTCACCTTCGCCCCCTCCCACCTATGACGGCCACGGTCGCCGTACTAACACCCGCGAGGTCCGCTATCGCAAAAAGCTGGAAGACGAACGAATCCGCCTCGTCGATCGTGCTATGAAGAATGACCCCAACTTCCGCCCTCCTGTCGAATATCACCAGCAAAAGCGTTCCCAACGTCCATCCGAAAAAGTCTATATACCTGTCAAGGAATTTCCGGAAATTAATTTCTTCGGTCTTCTTGTCGGTCCTCGTGGCAATAGTTTGAAGAAGATGGAGAGGGAAAGTGGTGCCAAAATTAGTATTCGTGGCAAAGGAAGCGTCAAGGAAGGCAAAGCTCGTCCTGACCAGTACGCTGACGACGCAGAAGAAGATCTCCACTGTCTGGTTCTTGCTGATTCTGAAGAGAAAGTTGCAGCATGCGTAAAGATGATCAATAGGGTCATTGAAACAGTAAGATCCCTAGTTTGTATCATCGACCATTTGCTGAAAGTTTCTTCAGGCTGCCTCTACTCCTGAGGGTCAGAATGACCACAAGCGCAATCAGCTTCGCGAGCTCGCAGCATTGAACGGTACCTTACGTGACGACGAAAACCAGATTTGTCAGAATTGTGGCGGTCTTGGTCACCGAAAATATGACTGTCCAGAACAGCGCAACTTCACAGCTAACATCATCTGTCGTGTCTGTGGTAGTGCAGGCCACATGGCGCGCGACTGTACCGTTAACAAGGACCCCAACGCAATCGCTATGGGCAGCCCCCCTCCTATGAACAAGGGAGGGTTCGACTCTGAGTACGCTAGCCTGATGGCAGAGCTTGGCGAGAGTGGCAGAGGCACAGGCGGCGATACAGCCAAGAGCTCGTGGGGTGGCCCCAGTGCTGGTCATGATATCACTGCAGGCGGGTCCAGCATTCCTCCTTGGCGCCGACCAGAGTCCTGGCAATCCAACAACCCTCCGCAAAACCAAGGTTACCGCCCACCACAAGCCTACAGTGGCTACAGCGCTCCTGGGTACAGCGCGCAGTGGGGCCAGCAAGGCTACCCAGGTTACGGCTCACAGGATTATGCAGCGAATTACGCCCAGTACTACCAACAGCAATATGCCCAGCAACAGCCCTCATAGTGACGAGTCTTTGCCTGTCGGTAAACTCACCTAACAGCCCCATAATTTCCGCCCACTTGACCAAGATTTGTTTCCGTATTCACATCTCATAGCAGCTCGTTCTTCCCTCACTTTCGGGTGAAGCATGGAGTCCAGGAACCGTACTCACTGCAGCTGACATCCAGCATTGTTTAGGACCGTTATTGATAGCAGGGTAGCTCTTATTGATTGAATTGATTGTAGCTCACGTTTCCTTGATGAATTTCATCCTATGAATTTGTAAACATAGTCGCGTGATAAGCTTAGCTTAGTCTATGCCTGACGGCCATCCAAATGCAAGACAAACCGAGAAGTACGTATGTAGTCTTTCCAGGCTGCATATGCGCGCTGCTTAAGGCCTAAAGAATGACGCGGACTTTGAAAACTATTCCAAGTTGTGTAAACTGCGCAACTCGTCTGTCACTCTGTGGACTTGCAACGGGAAACGTTCAGTCTAGTCTGCGACAATCTGCCCTCATCGTATCCAACGCTGGACTCGTCGTTCTTTAGTGTCGGAGGCTAATCGCTGCCATTAGAAGGAAGATTTCAAGACAGCCGTTCCTTCTATATATCGACATGTAGTTCAAAAGACGCCTGAAAATACAATATGCACAGCTGACTACATACCATGCGAAAAGGCCGAGTCAAGCACATTTACAAAACGGCGAGATGGAGGATGAGGGGCGGTGTGGGACCCACCGGTGGTTGGTAGACCTCATCGGACGAGAAGGACCTGCCACGTTATGGTGCACAGCACCACCAGGATGCACTTTGGGAAGGGGAGTCACCACATTGTGATGCCTACCGACTTACTCAACGAGAAGCAAGCGGGAATGAAGAGCTTCTTCCTGGCATTCTATTATCTTAAACGGCCACCATGAACTCAATGGTGGCAGTGTGAGATGATCAAATGCGATATCAAGATTTCACACTCATGCCAGGATCGCCGCCAGGAGCGAGGATCTCACAAATAGATCACCACGAACAACTCGTTTCCGGATGCGAATGGCACATTTCACCACATGATCGGACCTACTTCGTCGATCACAGTACTCGAACCACATCGAGGAAGAAGCCAACGCCAAAACGTCCACCAGGGAGCTTGACACTGGATTGCGTCATTCAAGATCATTCCAATGTCATTTGGAGCCTTGCACGTTTGGGCACCAGTTGAAATATAATGAGCACGTCAGGCGATGGTTCAATTTGTTGAGATGGAGAGCCGGTGGGGATGCTTCGAATAGTCGTGGAGGACCGGTTGGTCCAGTCGCAATGTGTTCGGATGAAACAAGGATCGTGAGTGAAAGCATAGACGGGAGACTACGGTTGTGGGACATCAGGAAGGGCAGCATGTCACAAGCAATGGGATGGACAAGGTAATACATGTGTGGTTGGGGGACAGCGAGCTGCTATTCGAGATTAAAGGATATGAAGAGACAGTGATGTCGTTGTGTTGATCCAAGGATGGTACATGCATCTTCTCTGCATCAGTCGATTGACGGGGAGGAGCTTGCGGTGTATGCCCTCTGTATTTCCCTTGATGTTGGAGCCTGGGAGCAGACAGGCGGACGATGATCATGTGAGTGCGAGTGTGGTTATTCATTGTCAACGTCTTTTCTAAAGCGGGTTTTGGTTGTCATTCAGATTGCGGATAATGACTATAATCGCGACGTGAAGCTCAAGGCGAATCATCTGCACTTCTATATATGAATACTGCATCTCTTTTTTTTTGCCAGGGACGTACAGTCTGACCGAGATATGTGCGTCAGGCTGCTGTGAACAACCAGACCCTTTTCTCATTTGTGTCGTTAGATGTTTGAAGTGCATCTGGTATCCAAGTAGCAGCCCAACAAGAGAGGCTTGGCAAAATGTGTCAGTAATCCTTGCTTTTTTTGCTCCTAAGTTCTTGCAAGTTTGACATGAATACAGGGCGAGGACTTTTGGAACACTGATACGCACCGCGCGCCTCATCAAGCAGCTACTCCTGCGAGCCCATCGTCTGCCCTTCATCGGCGCCAATTGGTCGGTTCCCTGCTTTTCAAATTTCAGCACTCAATCTGCAAATGCACCACAATCAGTACGCCAGGTACCGCTCGAACCACGGTATCGGAAGTTCAGCCTGCTTCTTGTAGGAATCTCTAGATGAATCGTCGATTTAGCTGCCTTGTCGCGAGGAAGATGTAAGCGTTCGACATGATCGATATTCACCCTGTTTAATAGATTTGATATTTCCCATGAGATGGACACAGAAGCAGCTGCAGCTATACATTGTACATGCGGTAACGAGGCTGACGGTTTAGCACTCTACTACGCCAGGGATACAAGGGGCTATCAACAACAGAGGCTCGAGTGTGGTGGTGGGACAGGAGAAATTGTCTATGGAGGGGTAAGCTTCCATGTATTTTTTATCGTCGTCGTCCCACCTCGCATCAGTTACGAGGTGATCTACTGAGACTCTCATGTTACTTTAATAATCTTCGCTCTTCCCCCTCTTATGATTGACTGTATGTTGATTTTACAAACACGTGACTTTCGCGTTGGTTGTTTGATGATCAAGTTGGCAAGCACGCACAAACAATATATTTATTTCGCGGGATATCTTGGAATCGCCCGCCGTCGAATATCTTTCCAGCTGCACGCCGTATACGCATACATCTCATAACGATATTCACCATCATGATTTCTACCACTTGTCAAGTTACTTCGCGCTTGGCCATTACGGGCCTCATATCGGTGTACTTCTTTAGAGACACCGTCGTCCGTCCTCAGGTTCTATCTGGACGCGACAAGAAGGTCACCGCCGGTCAAATCGTCGTGTCGACCTGCGTATCGACGGTCATTCTCGTTCTCGCCGCCCATAGGACTGCTGCAAAGTTCCTCAGCGGCGAGATCGGTGCACCCTCCACCGACGAGACCCTTACCGACACCGATTGCCCAGCGTTACGACGTCAAGACACCACGAGCCGTTGCCCGCCCGTGAATTCAGCATCACTAGTTCCAGTCCAGCCTCCATTTCTACCATTTCAGCCAATCTTATCGTCACCTGTACTCGACCCAACGCCTTGTAATACCATTATGATCAATTTATCAACTTCTTCGTCACCTGTATTCAAATCAACAACGCCTTACAACATCACTACCACCATGGATTTGCCAACTGCCTCGACACCTGTACTAGATTCAACAGCGCCTAGCGACATCACTACCACCATGGATTTGCCAACCACTTCGACACCTGTAATCGATTCAACAACACCTAGCGACATCACTACCACCGTGGACTTGTCAACTACCTCGACACCTGTACTCGATTTAACAACGCCTGGTGACATCACTATCTTCGATTTGCCGACACCTTTATCACCTGTATTCCTATCAATACCTTCCGACATCTCCATCATCGAGTTGCCAGATCTCGCCAATTGTTCCCGCTTATCGTTCACATCTGATACTACCGTCATAGCCCGCGACGACAAAGACGACTCGAAGAACACCTTCGCTGACGATACCTCGAACACCAAAGAGGCCGAGTCGTCTGGCGACCAACGGACCTTCCACGAGGTACGAAGAATCATTCCTAAACTCTCCGTTGCCTAACGTTTTAATCTCTATAGGCTGAGGAACCAGAACCAGAACGTGCTGCACAGTCACAGGACAACTACGCTATGACAGCTAATCTGATAAAAAATCCTCCCTCTCGTCCGGCTAACCTTTGGCGACTTGCTTTGGTCGACAAAATGAAGTCTACGAATACTAACCCTGCTCTTCCTGGATTTACTGATCCCGCTAACGCTAACACCTCTCTTACCGGATCCGCCCACCCCGCTATCGCTAACACCTCTCTTACTGGATCCGCCCACCCCGCTGACACCAATGCTTTTCTTACTGGATCTACCTACCCCACTCACGCGCTAGGTCAAAAGACGAAGGCCGCTGCCTCCTGGCTAAAGCCTCTGATACTGGTCACGAAATACGCCAGTCGACTTGTACCTCCCCCTCCTACAGCACTTCAATACCCCCAGCCTGAGAAGCCCCGTCCGCATAAGCTCAAGCCGCAAAAGGTACGGACGTGTTAATCACTAGATTAAGTATGTCACTCATCATGTTTTATTAGCGCAAACACAGAGCTTCTCGATCGAACGCAGCCTGCGACAGCATCGTGCGTTCTCGCCTTCGGCGGCACGCCAACAGGATTGGTCAGTTATTTCTCGTGACGTCAACAAAATCGCTTATTGATTTCATTGCTACTAGTTGGCCACCTTGCGCAAGTCTGCGAGCAGATTCGCGCCGACCAGGCAGTCCTAATGGACGGCTGGGTTGCTGCCATGGCGGGGCTGGGGCTCACCTCAACACTAGCTGGCAACCACCAAACGTCGCCAGGATCGCCGCTCCCTCCTATAGCTGATGCTGTTTTAGTGTTAGAGCCTGGCTCACGCACAAAGGCCCGCATTGCGTCGCTTCGCCAGCGAACGAATGCAATCGTAGCCACGATTCCAGCTACCACCGCCACCACCACCACCATTGCCTCGGTCTAAGACCTCTGACATCTTACGCCCGCCCGTCGCCGCTTCATTACTCACCACAGCGCCCAAGAACCACCCCCTAACAATATCACACTACGTACGATAGCCCACCATGTTCACGGGCCACAAGCCGATGAGCACAATACGATGCTGTTAGGAAACCATCGTTTCATGACACTTACGCCACGACGCTATCAAACAACACGACTTCGCGACACTCAAGCCAGATCACGAAAGGCGCTACGACGCTCTCAGACGTAGACCATTTCACGACACTCACGACAGACAATGCTAATCACCATTGCACGACATCCAAGAAAACTCTTATGACGCCATGAGGACAAGACGACTTCACGACACTCACCACTGACCTTTTCAAAATGGCTCGTGTTATCGCCGGGAAGCGCGATGTTCTGCTAGAATAACCCAGCGAGACGAGTCTCAACCTGCTCCAGAGAACCTATTGACCTCGTTGGGTGTTCGATTTGCTAATTATGCTTGATATCTATCTACATTACCTGCTTCCCTTACTGTTCTGCGCATTTTTGTATTGAATGACAATCTCCTTTGATCAAGTTCATTACCTGCTCGCTCGTCCTTTGTTTGAATGTCATGATAAGTCAGCTCAGCTTCAACAGCGCATGTGTATTCTTGTGCCACATGCTATATATGTCTTCGCAAAGCCATTCATAGGTCATCAGATGCATTGGATGACATGCGAGTTATTGGCTCCTTCCAGTCGCAAAATGATAGTGACTGTGAATCAACCTTACACTACGTAATCCATGATAGAAGTGGTGAACAATACAAGTAACATACCATGACGTGAAGTACGGAGATCAACTTGAACAAAGATGAGTGAATTGTAGAGAAGAGATACCCAACGTAAAATATCCCGCGTAGAACCGCAAACACATTCAAAGGCTAGAATGTAGCTGTGAAGTTGCGATAGGCCTCCTGCCCGATTACTCCCTCGATTTCATCCCCAATCTGCAGGGGTGGCATTTTCTCCCTCTTGAACACCATAATCTTTTGGAGTCGAGCACGCCAGTTGGTGATCACCTCGACTTCCTTGGTGTCTCGTTCTGTGCGTTCAAACACAGACGCAAAACAATCCGCCAGTAAGCTGAGTTGCCTGACCAACAAAGGGAGCTGTTCCGCCGATATGAGCTTGAAGTCACCGACAGGCGTAAAGTCACTCATGCCAGGGGCACGTTGGATAGTGACCTTGAAATACTCGTTTTCGTGGATGTTGTTGGAAAAGGCAGCGATTGCGCCAAGGGAATGTGGTTCGACGACAATGTTCACAAATTGGAACTGAGTGGCAAGTGTGTCGAACCGATAGGGAATTCCAGAGTCATTCCACACGATTCGGACGTAGTCATTCCCAATATGACGTTTTTTGTCGACGCAGTACTCGTCGTCAGGTTTGGACGGCATCATCGTAGCGGTGTGGTAAAGGACTTGACCTATGTCATCCCACCATGCATAGGCGTATTCACCGTCTTCGTCCGGGCTGAGGCCACCCGCATAAACGTCGACTTGACCTCGAAGATTGATGAGTCTGCCAATGCCCTCGAGGAACCTTGTGTACGCAGGCGACCCATGGGTGTTTCGTAGAATATCAAGCTCATGAGTCTGGCCAGGTGCAACGTACATGATTCCCACTTTATGGGTGTCAATCACGGGAATCTGGTCCAACGACCGGAAGAGAGCCGGAAGTAACGCTGGATCGACCATCCGCTGGCTAGCGGGTTGGTTCATCCTATCAGGGTAGGGGGAAAGTTGGAGGGCGAAGAAAGCGGGATCGACAGCAACATATTTTCGACGTTGGGAGGGAGCAGTGTTACTCCACACGTAGCCAGTGATTGGATCTGGTGCTGGTGGTGCAGTTCCACCATCATCCCCTTCGACGACGGTTTTGATCGAGTCCTAGAATGGATGAGCCCATTAGTTTGTGAACGAGAGTTCCGGCTTACACTGCGAGGATTCGTTTCTAGTGATTGATCAGCGCCCGCATCGGGGCGTTCAGGGCGTGGAATATCGCGCTCCATCATCATACCCGCAGCCACAGAAACCATATCAGGATCGACATCACCCGGTCCAACTAAGGGTATGTTTTCCAGCTTGCAGAGGAACCTAGTTAACCCAGAAGGGCGGCGAGATAGAACTTCAATCCAACCGAGGCGGGCCAGAGAGCGGATGGTGACGACAGAATTACCCAAAAGCCACGTCTTTTCACTGACAGCAGGGTCCGGAGATGCCAGGTTACTGGGATTCATCACAATCTCACTCAGCGTCGAACGAGCGGGTCGTGGATCGGCGCTGGCGTACGCATATCGCGCCAGCCAGTCGAAGCATACCTCGGTGGGTTCGTCAATGTCATCCTTCCCCTCGTTCGCTAGTAGCAACTGGCGAGTGATATATGAGATATGTCGAGGACGATGAGGAAGTTTGACTGCCAAAAACCAGACATATACCACGTAGAACGAAATCGTTCGAACATGCTGGGACATTGCCCACGAAATTGTGGGCGTTGCACCAGGACGATTGTGATGCTGAAGGTATTGCAACGCAACACCAAACACCATTTTGAAGTCTTCTTCCCGAAGATTAGCATGTAGCGCGCGGATTGAGCCAACGATGGAGAGGAAACTGAGAATGTGAACAGCCATGTCTGGATTTGACATGATCTGCGAGAGCTTCTCCAAGATTGATGGCAGGGACCTCTTGAGCGAAGACAGAAGCTCAAAGGCACATAATGACAAAGTCTGCAGACAGCAGATGATGGTCGTTGGCTGACTATCCAACCCTTCTCGAAGCACATCGACAATAACGTGTCGCAACGGCAAGTCGAAGCACCGCCGATAGCTGACGAGGACGGTGAGTGTGTGGAATGCCAATCCATGAGCATCGCGAGGTTTGAGACCGAGAGGCCAGCGATCAATATTGGAGGCTAATTGACCACTTGCCAATCCCGAACAGATGGTGGTAAGCAATCTCGCGATCACCTCGCGACACTTGGGGCCGCAAAACAGGTGTTTGTTTGCGAGTTGGACGGGAAGATGACAGAGCACGTAAGAGAAAATTTCCCAATTTCTCTCTTTCTCTAGCAGGTCGAGGACGGCAGACAAATAAGAGTCCATGTGTATGACACCAATAGACTCGGCTGCTGGATCATATGAAAAAATGCCCTCGCTTGGATTGTCTGGGTCTATGGAAGTGAACGGGAGAGATTCGGGAACTTGCCAAAGGGTCTCTCGTGATTTTGCTTGATTTGCACTGGGCGATGGCGTTGGCAAGGGTGCTCTCGATCGACTGCGGCTGCCTGCTGATTGATTGGGTCTGATTCCCCTTCCACGAGATGCTCGTCTCCCATCGCGCTCTTGCGTACCTCGAGGCTGCGGTTTGCGCACATGAGAGTCATCGTTGTTCAGGTCACCAGAGCTAGTCCTCTCATCTTCTGACTGCTGCGGCTGTCCATAAAGCGATGGTTCTTGTATCCGACCTATCAGCGATGCCAAGGTCGTGGTATTGCCATCCGGGTCATGATGGGCGTCAACGAAATAAAGGCGATGATCTCTGTCGGCACGGATTCTCATGGTGAACTGGAGAACTGTGAGGCGAGTGCGGGGGGATTTTGCTTCACCAATGAGCTGAACCAAAGTATCGAATATCTGGCCTGCCAAAACGACGTTATGCTGCAGTAGTGCGTGAGGAGTGAATGCGAGTTGGCTGAATATCGAAACCAACGACACCACTGCTACAGCTGCACGAGGCAATATTGGCTCTGATACAGGGGAAGCGACCAATGGCACGAGGGTACTCTCATTTTCTTGAGAGTGCTGGGACTGGGAGCGGGAACCCGCAACGAATGAGAGAATTGACATGACTGAGGGCATATTTGAATCTCTGTCTCTAGCATTTCCGCTGCGATGCTCTGACTGCTTTCGTGAGAGAATAGGAGTTGCGGCAGCAGAAGCACTGCTGGAGGAAAATGCAGGTGATGCTGGGGTGCCAGACATGTTGGCACATCCAGAGTCATCGTCATCCTCTTGGACTCCTTCGACAGCAACAGCTATCAAAAGGTCTATCATTTCCCGCAAAGGTGCAAAGAGAGTCGGAGCCTCGGATTCTGAAGATGGGGCCGCTGACGCTGGTGCAGTATGTTCCTCTGCTGCACGAAGGACTACTTCATCGCCTAATATCTTCCATGCCACGCTGCTGTCGAATGTCATGTCTTCCTGCGGATTTTCTGCCTGCATCCGACAAAACTTGAAGACTAGGTCTGCCAGGGACCTCCTGTAGCTATGCATGTCCTTGAGAGAGTCGTAGACGGATCGTAATGCCTTCATGATTTCCAACCGCGTTAGCGCTCGCGTAGGAGCAAATAGAGTGGGATTTGAAAGAATGTCCTCCCAGCTCTTCAACCAATCTGGTGATGCAGGTGAGAGGTCATGTTGTTCAAACATCATGCTTGGGAGTTTGGCAGTATCTGCATCGGTAAGATGGTCCGCAATAAAGAAGAGTGTGGTTGACAGCAACGGGATCATGTAGGTTGAATGATCTCGGGCTAACAAGGATGAAAGCGTGCGTAGGAATGGCGTGGGGGCTTCGGCGGGCTGGTCTAGCGGTAGGATCAGAGGTCCATCCATGGTCCTGCAAAATTAGTTTCAATGTATGCGTCTGCTCGTAAAAAAAGCAACACACCTGATCGGACGAACAAAACTGACAAGTTGGCGGAGGGTCGCTCCTGCAACGCTCGCTTCTTCGTCGTCCATATCGACGCCATCCTCCCTCTCATCAAACTCCTGAAATATATCTCTCATGGTACATGCCGCTTCGTCCATGATCTTGTCCTTCTCCATGTCATAATCCTCCACGTTATCCGACGGAGTGAATCTGACCCAAGCTTCAACCGATTTGCAGAGCAATCTTGTGAGCCTTGTGTGATCCCATCCAGAAATATCATCCTTCGACCATGCGCGCTCCATAAGATCTTTCTCAAGATCCTTTTGTCCGGGAGCTCCTGAAGCGGTGTATGAGACGGAAGTCAGTCTGCAAATGTATGCGCGAGCCATTTTTGTACATAGTCCTTGGCGGATGATGTTTCTCAGTGTCCTGTGTGCGCCAAGAGCGACGATTGGAGCGATATGAAGGTCCTTCCCAGCCTCGGTAGGAGGAAGAAGGTGTCGTTTGAGTATTGCCATGCACGAACTGCCATATGGTCCGGAAAACAACACGTTCAAAGATTTTTGAATCCTGTCCTCTAAGCTAGCTGGCGTATGAGTGCGACTTGTCATTATGGATACACGGGGTAAAGGAGACGCAAAGAAGGCCTGCGCGCGCAAGAGGACAGGAAGAATGAGCGTTAAGAATTTGGGTGCGAGTGCTTTGAGTTGCGAACTAAGGTGGTCCAGATAGATAACGACCATTAACTCTGCGGGGTGCTTTCGAGAAGGCAAGTTTGGAGATGAGATGGAACGGATTGATATGGATGATGGATGGCGTCTGTGTATCCCAACAGTTGTTTTTACGCCGATGGGTTGATCAGCGTGAGCTGCGAGAGGCGGTGAAGGTACCGGATCAGCAGCAGGACTCAGGGGAGGTACTGTCAACGCCCGACCAAGAAGACCAGCATAGAACTGAAGCGCACTGGCAAGGTCACCTTCAGATACACGAGCCGCGGATTCTGGTTGCTCCAGTACGGAAGATAGGAAGGTAGCTAAAAGCTCAATGTGTCGTTCTCGTTCTGCACGGTCAATAGAATCGGCAGCATCGCCCGACATGTAGGCATCAAAGGCGCCTTCTGTCCATGTTCTGAGCAAGCTAAGTAATGGGATTTCAATACCAATGACTTCGGTTCCCCCTCTTGTGAGAGCCCGTAGAGCCCGTAGTCGAGGTTCTCCTACATCGGCAGCCCAGACGGTGTGCAAGAATAGCGAGAAATACTGAAGGATATCTGCTGTACCCAGGTGGCCGTCAAATTTCTCCCAGAATGTGGCCATGATTTCATATCCTGCCGCCTGCAATGAAGAAGGCGAATCATGACCGCAGAGTGCAGCCCATACTGGGTTCAGCACGGATGGTCGAGGCAGGGGTGATTGCGATGCCATTAGAGTAGCTAAAGAGCGTGCATGGGCGAGACTTGGAACTGCAGGGGGAGTCAACGCCTCGACAAGGGCATCGAAGGTCAACGGCTGTGTCTGAGGTGGGATGGTGGTAGATACGGTGTCGGCTTTGCGCCGCCACGCAAACGGTGCGAAAGCTGTGGTGTTTGACCTTTGTCTGAACCGGGGATTGGAATCTGCATCCTGTTGTTGACGAGACATGTGCTGTATCGTACAATGATGCTTATGTGCTTCAACTAAACCATTAACTGGAGGATGTGTGATGCTTTGACATAACGTACCTTCCACCCGAGATCCGAGTCAATGTTGGCTATCTCTAGGTAACAGATTTCGGCACGCTCGTCTCTACGATAACTTGAAAGTAACGATTTTGTCGTAGGCTGCCGATGGAACTGCACAAATGTGACAGAGGGTATGGATCCAGGGAGAGTTAAATTATCATTGGAAATATTAATATTATTGGATATTGCCACCGTAACGGTCAATCATTATGATACCGACCAAGTACCGTTGGACTGTATCAAAGAACGAAAAGTACACCCGCCGGCCTCTGCGATTTTTAAAGCTTCTCTACAACGCGACATAAGGGAGGAACAAGATATGAACGTATTAACGAAAAAGATCATTTCCTCTCGTAATCTCGTGAAAGATCGATTTCTCCCTTCAAATGAGTGTTGGTAATCTTGGCTTGACGTTGTCGCGGTGCTGAGCGCTTTCCCTTCTTCTTCAAATTCGACGGTGCTTTTGGTATCGGCGTTTCTTCCGCAGTAGCCTGGAGACCCTCTGTAGATGCCTGTCAGACAACAAATGGAAGGAGATAGCTCGAGACTCGTGCCAGCATGCAGCGCTTTGAGAAGGTCAACATCGTTCGGCACCTTGAGCGAATGCCACAAATCGAAGAATTCTGCGAGAAACGATCAGTAGGGGATATATGGATGTTATCATAGCTAAAACTCACCTTTCTCTACTTGCTTCCCCCCACTCTCGTCATCCGGTTTTATTTCGTTCCAAAACACCATTCGCAGCTGACCGTCCTTCACCGTCCGCGTTACAAGCACCTCCCCCTCCTTCTCTAGCTCCTCGATAGCTTGCGGTGCCTCTTTCCAAGACTCCTTCAGCGCACGAACAGGAATCCCACCGCCTTTGCGCGTCTGCCGCTGTATTTCTGTAAGGAGTGCAACTTTATTTCGAAAGCTGAACTCATGCTATATCACACGTTAGTACACCTCTAGTGAGCCCATCATACAAACATACCCGATATGAGTACAGGTCAGTCTTAGGATCCCAGAGAATGCGATCGTGCGCCTTGAATTTCTCCAGCAGGACCATATCGGTCTCTAGCGGCGTATTCGTGACTATGGCTATATCTTGAAGACGCATGGGATTATGCGTCGACTACGTAAATCTCGATCTCAGCAAGCGCAGTGGTCGAACGACACGGAAAACACGATACCTTCAGATGGTCAATCGCATATACTAGCTGGGTATTTACATTAGTACCAGTTCCCGTGTCCGCCGGTTGTGAATAGACGATATCTAGAGAGGGATTGAAGTCAGAACGCTTGCGAATGTGCAAGCATTGAAGACGTGCTCGTCTTTGGTCGTTTCTTTTTGGTGCTTGGCGTTGACTCAGACGTGGATGCAGATGCAGGTGCTGCAGCTGGTGCGGGTGCTGGTGCTGGTACAGAGTTAAGTGGTGCGGGCTGCGAGTGCCATGAAGTATAATCTTGACGATGAAGGACTCGTTTGAAAGCGTCGGCGTCTTTTCCGAGAGACATGGTAGTTGACAAGAGAAGAAGAGTGTTCCTGCCTTCTGTGGCCTGAGCACTCAGTGTGGAATTAGTCCACTGTGTGGACGAGTCACGTGCGCACAACTTGGTATGTGACACACCGTCACGGTAGTCACTGGAGCATGGCAAACAACCATATCTTCCACCTGGGTAGCCCAATTAGGAAGCCTTACTAGGCTGAACGATAACGTGCCTCGTCAACTATAATTAGGCTAGGATGTAGTAATATCCAGACACCAGTATTAAACCGTGCCCCAAATCACCTTGTATCTCTACCACCACCAAAGCCTAGTACTAATGTTTAAGTAAGCTGGCGCCCCGCCCCAGGAACGTATACCGCCGCCGCGCTCAATCCGGCACTTCCCGCAATGTGCCTATTTTCGTCATAGAGGTTGATTTGTCGGGTTCCCACGACCTTTCCCTTATCCCGACCACATAGCAGGCTGCTCACTGCAGGCAATCGCTGCCGCCTCTATAGCCTGGCCACTGCCCTCTACAACATCTGCCCAAGGCCACCACTGCCCTCTACAACATCTGCTTCATCTGCCTCACCCAAAATCCCAGCACCGCAGTCGTCTCTGCGCCCCCAGCACGTTGCTTGCAGCATTCTGCCTCCCATCCCACTCTACAACACCTGTCCCAGCACGCTGCTTGCACCAACCTGCCTCCCACCTTGTTATCCTTGCCCACCACCGCCCTCTACAACCCCTGCCCAAGTGGTCTGTGCACCCACCAACGCTCTAGTCTCGGCTACTCACCTACGCCCACAGAGTCATCACTTAGGGATCGCACTATTCAGATATTCACCCACCAACGCTCTAGTCTCGGCTACTCACCTACGCCCACAGAGTCATCACTTAGGGATCGCACTATTCAGATATTCACCCACCAACGCTCCGCTCTCAGCTACTCACCTATGCCCACAGAGTCATCACTTGGGGATCGCACTATTCAGATATCTGGTCTCGCACCCACCAATGCTCCGCTCTCAGCTACTCGCCTACGCCCACAGAGTCATTGCCTTATCGTCCTCACAGTTCCCAACCATCCCACCGGCTCCCAATCTCGTCTCGCACCCACCAACGCTCTGCTCTCATGGTGGATAGACCAGGGTATGTCTGTAGGGACTTGAGAACTGCGCACTAAAATATATTTTAATGTCGAAAACACACTATATTCATGCTACTACGTCAGCAAACAATGGTTGAATGAAAACGAACATAGGTAAATGAGGCCGAGGCCTCCATCCCTACAACAATGAGCTCAACTGCACAGGGCCATACAATCTATCTAACTCAGACAGCGCGGCATCATAATCAAATGGGGGAGGGTCAAAACTGTCAGTGAATGAACCAGAAGCACCGTCTGAGGGCTGTGGAATAGTAAGAGACTCGTCTGGAGAAGCCAAAGCAGAAGCAGCAGCAGCAACATCACAAGATGATGTAGCTGGCTCGTCTTCCTCCATACTGCTGTTGTCACTGATCCCCGCGCTCGTGTGCTGCTCACGGGAGGCAGTGGACTTCCTCGTGTCTGTATTATTCCGTTTCTTTCCTCTGTCAGATCTCGGACGGCGACGACGATCAACTATTTCGCCGCTCTCGAGCTTGTCGTTGCGTTCCTTGCGGTATTCCGCAAACTCCTCGTCGGTCAAGGCCTTCCAGTATGTTTTGTTAGTGTCCCACTTGCGCCAAAGCATTTCGAGGTCTGCAAGTGCGCTCGACGCTTGGCTCAGGTTTGCGAAAGGAATGTTCTCGGGCCAGCCTTCCACAATGACCTGGTACCGCTGAACGACGTTGCGGAAATAATGAGTCCATTGCATCTTCGCGCTGGGGTCACCAGTAGCCTCTTCTATATATTGAATTTAGTCAGACCATTGTCACAAAGTCAGAAGAATCAAATACTCACGAAGTTTTCTGTTGATAATTTCCCGGATTTCTGAACGTTTGTCGGAGACGCGCTTCTTGTGGTTTTTGGCAGAACCTGAATGTAATTAGACAGAGAACACGATACTAGTAGGCAGACACTCACCTTGCATGCCTTGTACTGCAAAACCCTCCATTTTACTGACTAAGTCTTGGTTATCAATGCCCATGACGGTACCCATAAAATTTTCGACACCGTCGGTGGAAAATGCGATACCTCGAAGGGGAAGATCGGTAGAGCCACGTGTAGTGTAGAGAATAGACTCTGCACCCGTACGACAATGCAGACTGATGAGCTAAAATTTAGGGGGGTCGTGTGAGAGAAATTCAATCAAAATCGACTAAGAACGTACCTCGTTTTCGACCGCCTTTAAGGTCTGTGTGATGTCGTTTATCTTCGACTTCGTTGAGGTACGAATACCGGTAGTCTTCGTCTCCTTCCATTCAGTGAACTCGGCAAGCAGTTCGTCTTGCTCCTCCCTCGAGAGGGCAAGGTACTCAGCCTTGTGATCATGCACGAGTGATTGGAGTGCAGCTTTACCGTGGGCTTCTACAAAAAAAAATTGAGCGGTGCGCACGATGAAGTGTGTGATAAATAAATGAACTCACCGTTCTCTCTATCCTGGTTCTTCTTCCAGCAAAACGCATTCCATAGATTCGGCTTTGAGCGTTTCGAGCGGAGAAGCCCCCGACCCACGTACAAATCATTTTGAACACGCCGGATACTTTTATGGTGGGTAGTAGCGATGGTTTTGGTAGCGTCGTCCAGCTGCTTCCAAGCATCGTCTAAAGAATCCTTGAATCGAAGGGACTTTGCACGTCGGTCAAGTCTGAGAGCAGCGCGAGCCTCTTTGCTGAGCACGACCTTGGCACGTTGACGTGTGGGTGGCTGAATATGCTTTGCGCCGCTTACACGCTTCTTAGCATAAAAGGATTGGGTGACCATCAGGAGAACCAGCAGAGACGAGTCAACAAACAATGGTCAAATATTTTCTCAACTATTTAACGCACCAGGTCCATGTTTGTTTGAAGTCCATGATCGGGACGAAATGACACATTATTGCATACTAACAAACCAACATTTAAGATCTACAGTAATAAAAGACCAAAAAGGTAAAGCGCACACAAAAAAACCAAAATGCCGAGAAGTTTCAGGATCGTGGTAAGCACCGATGATCGGTGCTATGCACAAACATTAATCAGATCAACTTGAAAAAATTCGCAGAATGGAAGATCACTAACCTCCAAATTAGCGACCTCAGGGTTGACGGCCTTCATACCCACTTGTAAGTCTACAAGGAGAGCGTTAGCTAAAATGGAAGCATTTTCGTAGTTGAGGTCCCATGCTGGAGACCTCAGTATAGCCTCCCATCTACTACTGCGAACACTGCTGATCAAAGAACGGAGCCTTGGCAAGTTTTCGTCACCCAATCTCAAATGATCAAGAGCGGCATCCGTGCGTGGCCCAATACTGATCAACGGTGCCTCGAAGACTGAAGGATCACAAGCGAGTCCTTCATATTTTGGTACCGCTGCAAGTGGGCTAGGCTTGGCAAATATATCGGCCGGACGACGTTGACGTATCTCGGAGCGTGGTGTCGATGGCGTGGCTTTGTTCCCTGATCCACGAGCCAATTCTGCTCCATGCCGAAGAGCTGCGGAGTCCGAAGAAGGTAGCGGGGAGAAGGCTTTGGAGGCTTGCGCCGAGCACTGGATGCGAGCGCCTGTGGCCACTGTGGGTGGAGGGAGATGTGGTGGACCACTGGCACTGATATGAGTTGCTGCGACTTGAGAGCTTCATTAGCAATTAAATAATGAAATAAATAGTGAAGTACTTACAGTGCCTTGGGGGTTTCACGTTTTCAACAGCACAACGAGCCGTAAAGCGCTGGAGATGAGGTACCACGAATTCCTGCGCAAATGCTTGCACCAAGACAGCAACATCTCCGCCAATTCTCTGCTGTGATTCTTGCAGCTCGCGGGGCGTGATATAGACATCGATGGGAAATTGTTCGGGCGAGATATTCGGAGTCGCTTCACTGCCAGCGCATCGAATCAGAATTGATATTCCACCATCAAGACGGTCTTGCATAGTGATCTGAGAAATATCGTGAGGTTTAAGAAAAAGAAAGGTAGAAACAACTGACCGCATCAAAGACATCCTGGAGGGCTGCCTCGCCCAGCTCGCTGTGAGTCAGGGTCCGCTCTGCCTCGTTCACGTCAGTTGGCTGATTGAAGCCGAGGTAGGATGGGTGAAGACCCCCCGCTCTCCTCGTCTGGTAGTGGGTACCGTCGATATGAGCATCGTGCCTAAGCAGAGCTCGTGCAGCAGCTTGCCGCTCATTATTGCTGAAACCTGGTGCGAAAGTAGAAGTATACAAAGCCGCAAGACCTGACATAGTGAAGCGGTGGTATCCCACTGTTTTGGCACCTGAACTTGAAGATGGCTTCTTCAAGTTGGTGGAAGACGCCAGAATGAAGGGTGGTGGAGAGGGCGGTGGTTTCATGGATGCGAGTTGTTGGATGTGAGGTGTGGTTGAAGAAGTGAGGTGTAATACATGTAATGCTGTGAGGTGTAATGGCTATAGTATTATGTACACAGATTGATGTTCTCGCATACAGATTGATGTTCTTGCATGCACTATAATTCAAGTTCGGAGGCTCAGCGCTCAGCAATTATATGTATGCTACATTATCGCATTTTCTATCCTACAGTTGTATGTTACATTATATCCTATGTACAGTTGTATGCTACATTATCGCGCGTTATCTATCCTACATGTACAGCTGTATGTTACATTATCGCATATCCCACCTTAGTATGCTACATTAACGCATTTCTGCATTTCCGTCTGACGGGGTGTTGGGAAACAGTGTTTATATCACAACTAGACATACAGAACTAATGAACTAAGAGGTAAGTAACTGGTGCTCAAGTCAATGTCGAGTAGGTGGTGCCCAAGTCAGTCAACAATCAATTGTAAATAATCAGCCATCTCTTCCGTCAATGCATCTTGTTCTTCTTGATCAATGGCGTCAAGGTCAGTGTTCTCGAGGGATTCAGAATTGACCTGGAAACTCGCAATATTCCCCAGCGGTTGTCCTGTGAGATAGATTAGTATGAGATCTATGTACTCAAACAACACATACCACGATGGCCAACTTGATCAGCATCACGAGTAGATTCACCAGCGCGCTGAAGGCGGACGCCAACACCTTTGGCTCCCGAAAAACCTGCGAGTTTCTCAATGCGACTCAACCGGTAACAATGCACTGCATTGATAGCCAGGCGCGAACGATATTGGCGCTGTAGCTCGCAGGCCAGGTGAGGGTCTGAAACGAGAAGTTCCTGCATGACGTCAGACACCCCAAGCTCTTCATCATGGATGGCGGTGCGCAGGCGCCGAACTTCAACGTTTAAACGAGTGATTTCTTCGCGAGCTCGATGAAGCTTGAAGTATTTCGTGGTGGCCTCTCGATGACCCGGCTTCGACCAATCACTGCTTCGAATGTCATCGCGAGAATGACGCAGAAGATCAAATTCGCCTAGAAAGCCATAATCAGCAATATCTTTCCAAGAAATATTCGGACGCGGTGGGTTGAGTCCGGCGGCTTGAGTGTTGTAGCGAATAATGGCATTGCGAATAGCTTCTGAACGACGTTGTAGAGCTTTGCCAATCTGCTGCCGTAGCTTGTACCCTACAAAATAAATAAATTCATCAGTGTGCGTATTTTGACATAAACGAGCTTACCGGTTCCTGATAATGACAGTTTCGAGAGCTCGAACAGCCTCATCACAACGAGGCGCTCTAGCTCATCTAAGGCGGTGCGATACTTTCCCATGCTCGCTTCTTCCTTGAAACGTTGGTACTCCAGTCCACCAATCTCCCACCGCTGGTCCACGGCCAACTGAGCCTCTATATGCGCGACAAGTCCCTCGGCGTTCTGTAGCTTAATGTATGAAGAGTCAACTCGAATACGAGCTTGTGCGAGGGCACTGTTGATCTGCGTTAAGCCTCCAGTGGGGATATTAGTAAGGGCGTTGTTGCCAACTTCGCGAGCTACATCCCAATCAGCACTAGAATGATCAGACATATCAGAGATAGGCTCGATTACGGTATGTAAACTTTACTCACCGCCGTTCGGCAAGTTCGTCCAAAACCTCAACGTAGCGTATGCAGAGTTGATCCCAAATTGGTGGCAGCTTCAATCTGTCAAGGTAATTACGTTCTTCATCAAGAAATCGCGGGAAATCTTCATCAGTAAGAAATAACTCGGCCTTGATGGCTGTGAGCTCGGCGGTGAGCGTCTGAATCGATTTTAATCCCTCTCGATAATGATTCCAAAGAAACGTGCCTGATCGTTCATTAGTTGCATAATTGATGGACTTGAAAAAAAAAATTACGCACTGAGCGCGGCATATTTGTCAGCGTCCCAGAACGAGAAGTGCTCCTCGATTGTCTGGCGCCGGTGGAATGGGGTCGCATGTCTTGTACTGCGAGCAAGCTCATTTGATGACGAGAATACATGTTCACAACCTTCGCCCTCAGTGTGTCCAATTCCCGGAATGTACATGGGATGCCAGTCTAGCTGGCATTTGCGGTTATGGGCGTGTCCGTGAAAGGCGCCTACCATGAGCCGAAAATCTAACTCGCGTGCTTGCGTTCCCAGGGAACTGTTAGTTAAAGTCTTCGAAAAGGCGCATCCGATGTCATAGGCACAGCCGCCATTCTTCCCATACACTGCGAGGAGCTTCTCAATAATAGCAAGCGGATATTTAGCCCTGTAGAATTATAGCTCAGCAACGATAAAGATGAGGGAAAAATAACCTAACAATTCCCCACTCCGGACCATGTCGCATGCCAGAACAACGAATCGATGACGACACGCTGCGATGAAAATACCTGATTCATCGAATACGGAGAACATTTTTTTGCGAGTGTCTGGTCCGGCATTACGCCACCGGTTGACGCACGTGAATGTCCCAGCACCTTCGTTTGCGGTGGTTTCATCTGTCCAGTTGTCATCGTCTGAATCCCTCTGCATAGCATAATCAGACTACAGTTGTGCACAGAGAGACGTCTTACCTGTCGTGTTCTGACTTCATCTTTGAACCTGTCTACATCACAAGTGTCAAGCCAGTAGTCCGACCGTGCCTTACGAGAATCTGTACGCCTGGTTGAGCCGTAGATCGCGGAGTCCCACCGTTTCAGACTATTGTTGCCATCTATAGACACCAGCCAATCGAATTCTAGAGCAGGCTCGTCCTCCAGCACGTAGAAGCATGCGCCAATGCGGTGTGTCATGTTTCAGCGCCTTGCGAAGGCGCTGATTCACACGGTGGATGATTTCCAGATAAATATCGTAAGCGGCTGAAAATTGCACGCAAAGGTATGGTCGATAGGGAGACTATGACAGCATCATTAGCGAAGTCATAAGATGCGATTTATACGTACGTCATGCAGGAAACAGAGACTCTTGACTTGGGCTTGGACACTGAACCGAGGGCAAGTTCGATGTATTTGACGGTAGGCTGCAAGAGTGCGCAGTGATATGGCAACTGTTGGATAAATTGGTGAGCACCCGATGTAGCCATGATAGATCAATGTCTCATTGGGGTATTTGTGTGAGAGCCGTGATTGAGGTGAACTGTGGCTTCGTGCTGCAAATGAGTTAGGGTATGTAGAAGTAAAAAAAAAATTGTACGTACTAAATATATCAACAAGTTCAATGTTAGTCAATGAAACACTAGGAGAATCGCATAAAGGTGGTTCCGGATCTTTGAATGTCGGCATCCCGTCACCAGAGTCGCGAGAACGGTAGTCGAGGTAAGCATCGACAAGCTGGTCTAGCTGAAGGTCCCATTGATCGGTTTGATTTTCTGTGCGGTCCTGTCGAGTGCGGAGGTCAACATAGCGACTAGTATATGGTATGAGTGAGAGAATATAGAGATAAAAACCATACGTGCTAGCCACTGATATCTGCGATCTGCTCAGCAAGTCCTTCGAATGCTTCATACTCTCCACCTGCATGACTGAATTCCATCCCTTCGTCTCCAGGAGGTGCCGTGAGTGGCAGGGTCTCAATATCCATGCCGCAGTCAGCCATCATATCCTCCACCATATGGCGATCCTCATTGGACATCTCTGACATGAGTGGGACGTGGGGGTTAGAGTTACAGGCGATAAAAACTATAAAGCAAAGAAATACCTTGAATTTGAGCCTGACGGCTTGCATCTGTAACTTCCCTGCGTTGAAGCTGCCGGCCAGCTGTCAGAATACGCGATTGGCGCTGTCTCCCTCGAAATTTGTGTGTGATGACCGAGTTTGAGAGGCCCTTGAGCTTATGATACCCTCCTCCACGAGACATGAGGAGCAAGAGTGATATTTGAATAGTGCAATCCCCAAGTGATGACTCTGTGGGCGTAGGTGAGTAGCTGAGAGCAGAGCGTTGGTGGGTGAATATCTGAATAGTGCGATCCCTAAGTGATGACTCTGTGGGCGTAGGTGAGTAGCCGAGACTAGAGCGTTGGTGGGTGAATATCTGAATAGTGCGATCCCTAAGTGATGACTCTGTGGGCGTAGGTGAGTAGCCGAGACTAGAGCGTTGGTGGGTGCACAGACCACTTGGGCAGGGGTTGTAGAGGGCGGTGGTGGGCAAGGATAACAAGGTGGGAGGCAGGTTGGTGCAAGCAGCGTGCTGGGACAGGTGTTGTAGAGTGGGATGGGAGGCAGAATGCTGCAAGCAACGTGCTGGGGGCGCAGAGACGACTGCGGTGCTGGGATTTTGGGTGAGGCAGATGAGGCAGATGTTGTAGAGGGCAGTGGTGGCCTTGGGCAGATGTTGTAGAGGGCAGTGGCCAGGCTATAGAGGCGGCAGCGATTGCCTGCAGTGAGCAGCCTGCTATGTGGTCGGGATAAGGGAAAGGTCGTGGGAACCCGACAAATCAACCTCTATGACGAAAATAGGCGCATTGCGGGAAGTGCCGGATTGAGCGCGGCGGCGGTATACGTTCCTGGGGCGGGGCGCCAGCTTACTTAAACATTAGTACTAGGCTTTGGTGGTGGTAGAGGTACAAGGTGATTTGGGGCACGGTTTAATACTGGTGTCTGGATATTACTACATCCTAGCCTAATTATAGTTGACGAGGCACGTTATCGTTCAGCCTAGTAAGGCTTCCTAATTGGGCTACCCAGGTGATATCTTCACGTGTGACATGTGCCACTGTCAGGCGTTCAGTTGTCTGTTTCTTAAGCTAACACACCGAGTTTCAAGTGTTCTGACATGTTTTATCTTTCTTTTTAGTTTGGCCTACTGTACTGGCGAGGCTGCAATGTTAATGCCAATGATCTTCGTTTTGAACTCGCAATGCCATCTTAATGCGAGGTTCATCATGTCATCACATATTCAACAGCCTAAGTGTGCTTTAGCACACCTGAATTTTGGTGATCAATATCAATCTGTGTGATTACTGACTTCCTACTTGAAAATTCACTGTAGATCCAAACTATTTCTCTGCTCGCTGCTCTCACCTGCCAGCTCTGGACTCCCTCCCACTGGCTCCCTCGCGAGTCGCACCTTTTTGGCCCTCAAAGAGTTTGTTTCGCCATTCAACGCCCTATACCAGCCTCCCTGCACCTCCCCATACCTTTCTCGACACCTCCTCTATCCTCTCACATTCCCAACTACACATTTACTTCCTCTTGCACCCTCTAGTAATGCTGCACTACCACCACTGTCTCGCACCATCCACTACTGTCGCTGTCTCGCACCCGCCACCATCTCACCACTGTCACCGTCTCGCACCCACTGCCGTCTCACATCGAATTCTACCTCCCCACCCTCTCATGCTGCCGTGCCATCTTGCAGCCACCGGAGCATCCCACATTGTCGCATCACTCGATCTCGCACCCGTCAGCCACACGGCCTGTATCACACTTTGATTAAGTGATCACGGCAGTTGCAACAAGTCGCAGCAGTGGGTACTAGTTAGAAACACCAGAGTTATTAACCGGTTAATAGCCGATGTTAGTAACATCCGGATTTCTCACTGAGCCCTAGTGTACTAGTACTATATGCATCGAGGAGTCGACGAGTTCCGATACCTGGTAGCGGTGTTCAGGGACATTGATGGTGCGCTGATCAAGCTCAGATGCGATTACGAATGAATCTCAGCCTTGCGAAAGGGTTTAAAGGTTGGCCACAGCACTTTAAACTCCATCTCCCAATACTCCACGATGCTGCCGCTTGTCCTGTATGATATCCTCTCTGATCTACCAGGCAATAATTGGTCAACCAACCCCGCGAAGCCGAGGTCAGTAATTCATGCTATGTATACCAAGCTTTGGTATCTGACCAAAACTGCGCCCCAGGTTCGTTTTGAGCTACAAGGATATTCCGTTCGTGACCCTCTGGGTCGAATACTCAGACATCCCCATCGCTATGAAGGCCATCGGTGCAAAGCCAAACAAACGCAGAAACGGCTCGGACATCTACACCGTCCCCGTTCTCAGCGACCCCAACACTGGCGCCCTCATCACCGACTCCCTCGAAATTGCCTCCTACCTCGAAAAGACATATCCCGAGAAGCCTATCTTCCCAAGTAACTCAGAACCCCAGATACGCACGTTCGATTCTGCCTATCCGAGCCTCATTCGACCTGCCATTAAGTTCATCCTCGCGCGCTGCACGGAAATATTAAGTCCCGCCAGTGCGAAGTTCTTCATGGGAGCTCGTTCGGTGGATATCCCACTGCCTTGGGATGCGACGCGCGATGCGGATTGGGAGCTACTAGAGAAGGGGCACAATACTGCGTATGATTGGTACCAGAAGAGTGACGGGAAGTAGATTATGGGCGACACTTTTTCATATGCAGACATCATCGTCGCTTGTTGGCTGCTGACATTCAAACGAGTGTTGAAGGAGGATGAGTGGGCTAGGATCAGTTCTTGGAATGGGGGGAAATGGGCTCAAGTCCTTGCAGATGTTGAGAAAGAGTGTAAATTGGCTTAGAAGACTTGCACGTATGCTACTGTATATTTGCTAGGTCTTTCCGTCCTGCTAATCGGATGCACGAAGTTCGAACAGGGCTGACCTTACGATACATCGAGGCGTCGAACCTGAGGCCTGAGAAGTGTGGGTCTGTGTGCTGAGTGGTCTCATCAAGTTTCATGCAGCTGGACATTACGGTAGTGCACAGCCACTGCCGAACATCAAACACAACTACATATGATTCTTTGATGATACTAGCAACCACCCCTTAAGCTTGATCAAGCACGGACATGGCATCTCAAGCTGCAGCGGCAACCATCCTCGACTCGGTCATCCTAAAGATTCTACATGCTCACAATTTTTCAAGGTCATCGTCACAGGCTTCTGTGGTTCTTGCCAGCCTCGTTTCTCGCTATCTTATTCTCCTCTCTTCTGTCTGTGGTAGCTACGCCGAACTTTCAGGACGCTCACGAATATCAGTATGGGACGTGTTGAGCTCATTAGGAGATCTCGGTGTGAACCTGGAAGAGTTAGACGAGTATTGCGTCTCTGAAGGAAAGGATCTTGGAAGGTATGCGAGCAGTAGTGCCAGGAGACTCGACGATCTCTTAGAATTCAGAGGTAACTTTTCAAATAATCCTCTTTACCATTAGGTTAACCCACTCATGTTCACAGGTTATCTCGAGGACGGCCACGAAGATAACTCGATACCTCTTATCGACCCGCAACCTTTGTCAGGCGACGACTTTGACGATTTATTCGACCGCTCAACTACTCCAGATTTCCTCCCACCTCTCCCAGATGATACATCACGACCGCGAAGCGCATCGCCCGCGCCCACGCCTCACCCCGTGAAGCTAGAAAAACCGCCTTCACTCATCCCACAGCACATAACCTCCAACACCGTTTCCGACTACGTAACACAGGTCAACTACTCAGAGTCAGTCTTAGCTTCCACCCCAGAGTGGCACCTCCCCTCGCGCCCACCAGCCAGCGCCCTCTCCCGAAAACAGCCACCTCACCTTCCAACCCCCCAAACAGAACAAGCGCTCCTCCAAGCATACCACCACATCCTCACGCACCCCGTCCCCCCTCCCGGCCCACCAAACCCCTTAAAACACAAAGTTGCGACGACTCTCCTTTCCCAAGTACAAAACAACCCGCGGTGGAACCCTCCAGATACGCTATACGCCAATATTGCACCCTGCCCACCTCGTGTCGCACTCATCGGCCCTTCTTACCCAATCGCACAGTCGACTCTGGACGACATACGCGCAGGGAAAGACGACAAAGAATCAAATAATAAACCCATATTCCCCTCTGCGCCACCTCGCCCAGTCTTTTCCTCAGACAAACCCGTTTTTCTGGTGTCTCAGCAATCTTCGCGTCTGCCAGACCTTGCGCGTCAGATCTTACCTGTATGTCATACTTTCGCACATCCGTTTCATATCTCACCATGGTGCTACCATAGCCCTCAGTGCTCGCACGCACCACGCGTCTCGCACATCCACCTGTATTACAACGGGGCAACCAGAAACTCTATTACGGCACTGGTATCAGCGCCCCGTGGAACTCTTCAGCATCAGGGGCGCCTACTGCCACGAAAGCAAAAGACGAGAGCACAACTAACGGACGCAGCAACGAACCTCCAACGTTCACATTACCCGACGCACAAATGTTCGCCACGTGGGATTTCGAGGCAAAGAGACCGCAAGAGGCATTGGTAGTACGCAGAGGGAGGGGCGGACCTGCTTCTGGAGTGACACTGTCTATGGGGAACCGTAAAGGGTAGCATGCTGAGGCAATTGAATTGGATGGCGACCATTTTCTCCACAAATGTACCATGATCGAGGGCTAGATTCGGCTCAGCATTGGCTCAGCAATAGCTATACATTGGTGTACTCAGGGGATGCACAACAAACAGGTGATAAGAGGTGCGGTGAGTGATATGGATACGGGCCGCAGCCTGTAGTTGCGAAGATGGCTGAGCATGAGCTGGTCCACCGGATTGATGGGTGTCACTCGTCTGATGAAGAAAGACTCGACGGAAGTGACACAACGCCTCATCCGATTCTTCTGCGGTGCACCTGGGAGACATTGTGCGGGCGGGCGGGCAGACCCATCCTGGATGCTTGTAAGGAGTACTATATAACATATTTTGCATACACGAATGAGTTCAGAACTTCCGAAAGAGTGTCACGAGTGGGAGGGGAGAGCATAAGTATTAAGAGGGAGCTGGGAGGCACCAATCAACTTTGTGTGCCGTACTGTACCGTGCACGGGTGCGTCTTGTTCAAGTTCTAATTGGCTCGTACTCCCTTAACACTGTTCGAAGTTTCCTCGCAATGCACACTGGCAGAATATTTCCAGCCACGAGGAGAACCCGGTGAAGTGCCCCTAATCACGGGCCTTCAAATCTCTTACCGCTTCACTCTCTGCTATCAAAACAAACATGTTGACGATTCAAGGGAACGACAGCCGACTCAGAAGCCAATCATGTCACAGGTTTCATCAATGCATTGCAAAAACATCGTGAGTGCCCAGTTTCACAAACTATAGGCGCTCGCGTCTCATAGTAATAATCATCAATCACTTTAGGTGACGGAGCGAGTGGTCGTACCAGTCAATCTATTCAGATATATGATATGATGCCATGTTCATGATTATAAAATTGCAGACCTCGAAACTCCACATTGTGGGATTTCAGGTTGCGCTGTCACGGAGAATATTGGCTTTCCACGGAAAAACATCAATGTCAAATGACGCCTGTGAAGATACACCATGTGCCAGGCAGGTACTATGCATATGTTACACATGTACTTCAGTGGTCTCGACGTTTACGCTCTTCTTATCCTCGCCGTCGGTACCACTCTGCACTGTTTCTGTGGGAGATTTCCTGTCATTTTCATATTGCTTGTCCATGGGCATGACGTCGTCCGCAGAGATTAGGCCATCGACATAAGTATCGTGAGGAGGGAACAAGTACGATGTAACGTAATAAACCAGGGACGCAACCACAAACTAGCAGTAGGTGTGAGCAAGACATGTGAAGGAGATCAGGAGTGCCGTACCCCATACATCCATGCGATGTCGAATAAACGGGTCGCATACCCTATCTTGATAGCTGGGTTGATCGAGTTGATAAGGCCGGGAAGCGTGGGCCCAACTGTTACTAACATCGCCAAGACTGCGCGCCAGTTCTATGTAAGCGGACAAATATATCACGAGGCGGAACATAGCAAGTAGTATCAAAGCTTACAAATCCTGCGGTGTAGCGATATCGTCCTGAAGGGTCATACATGGCAGGAACGTCAACATGGCCTTTATGCACCAGGTAAAACTGCGTAGTGCAAAGGTTAATCAACCATCAGGCGCGGGCGTGCTTCTAAGTTACACTCACATCGGTGACCATGATACCAGCAAAAGGGCCCAGGAAAATGGTATATCCATCCATAAAACTCAAGAACCCCGTAGCACTATCGGATTTAAGGGCTCTATGAACTGCACACATGACGAAGACTTACTTAGCAAGAATCTCCCATGGGCACAGAGCCCAGCCACCAATAATCGCACACAATATCTGACCGCGCCTGATGTTGATATACTGTTCCAAATGAGCGATTGTTTGTGAAGAGTATAGATGCTAACCTTGGGACACAGAACTGTCATATCATTTCCCGCCCCGAGGGAATTGGCGCTGATGTTGGTACCAATCGTTGTCAATGCGAATACGAAGGAGGCGAAAAAGGCTGCGGCCCGGTTGTCCCAACGATCGATTATCAGAAGAGGGTCCCACAGGACCTCGCCATAGAGCTGTATTCCAGCACTAGTCACAGCAATTCCGACGAAGCTGCACAGCGTAAATGCGATGGGTATGATAAACGGTTGGACGTATTGACTGAAAGGCCATTAAGCAACATCGTGGATCTCAGACGGGAATTCATACGCTTGTTCATTCTTGGCGTAGCGCTGCAGGTTTTCGTGAGCAATCGTGGCAGCACATTTACAGACTCATCTGACGCACAGTAAAATCGGGAATATTGACTGATAAACTGGCATAGATTCCCAAGGCGCTGTTCATCGCGCTGAGCCATGCCCATGAAAAGTAGTTGCCCTCGATAGTTGCATGCTGGGAAAACAATCCCTGTGAGGCAGGGACCCTTACAAATGCCCATATGATCATTGCCAGCCATGCTATAGGTGTGAGTACACCCTTTGCGAAGAACAACCAACGGATTTTATGAGGAGTCACGAAAAGAAACGGTAACTGGATGAGCCAATAGAGAAAGTAACATAACAATCCTAAAACAATTGGTCAGATAACCATACCATAAGGGCAGCAGGGGAAAGGATGTACCAGAGCTGGTAATATTTGCGGAGACAGGTAGTTGATTAGGCATCCTTGCAATCGACGGCCAAATGGCTTTGATCATCTGAAAGGTATTGGGTGTCAATATGCCCAAAGAAGATTAGTAGAGTACGACTCAATGCACCTGATACACGCATTGCGACCCATTGTATGTCTAAATGCATGCATGAGTACCCATGTCATAAAATGCACTCCCACAATCATTACCTGTATACCGAACCAGAACATAGATAATAAGACGCGACTGAATACGGTGAAGTAACTGAACCAGAAGCCGAAAGACGATCGATTCAATACAGGGAAGGCGATATGTAGACGAGCGCCTATTGTGCCGGTCAAAACCATCACGACGGAGATAATCGCATAGGCAGCCGCAATACATGGCAAAGCCTGACGCCTATCAATTAAAGCGACGTCAGATGAAATGTGTTATCAGAGCGGAGGACTGGTTCGAGGAGTCATACCAAGATAAACCGATTGCAAGCATGGAGCTAGCCAACTCCCAAACTGCAAGATTGGTGGCATCAGAGACCCAATAGGATATCTAGAAAACAAGCCCATTAATGCAATGTATGGTGATAACTTTGGTGGGATGTCCTACATAATTCCAGGTGCTACGAATAATCATCGAGGTTATAAAAAACGGCTGGACGGTGCGACTATCGTACTTACGTCCATGTTCTCAAACGAGGAGGTACCGGATCCATGTCCTTGTTGCTCCATCCATGGTTCGCGAAAGTCGTTTCTTCACGGTCGAGAGCCCAATTGGAGGGCCTGAAGAAATTGACTAAACCTCCGCTTTCCATCATGATGGTTAACCTAGAACAAGAGATAAGTCCATAATTTAAAGTCAGTGCATTTCATTATATACTAGGCTATACGCGTGAACAAGTGACCTCTGCACTTATTTATGTTGAGATAAGAGTTCAAAAGTTCACAGACAATCGGGATGCCAGCTTTCAGGCTGTCATGGCCAACGAGTTGTGATAACGAACTTGTTCAAACTGCTATTCCCAAAATGGATAGCTGACTAAATGACGTTTGCACAGAGAACCACGTGGGACACGTTCAGTCTCACAAACGCGGTCAGCCTGGCATATGATGCAGGCCTTGCTTCCTAAACCGTAGTTCTCAGTGTCACCATACCTCTTTCATTCAACCGCTGTGAACCAGTCGATTTGGTCCGATCAACTCATGTCCGACCCATTCGACGTTATACCCTTCGAGGTACGTGCTACTCATATAAGTAGCCTCAAACCACACCCACCGGTCTTGTCAAAAGGACATCAAGGGGGAATGGAAGAAGCTAGGATCAGGCTCTTTTGGAAATGTTTTTAAAGGTATCTTGTTCGATCAAATACTCCTCCCAGCTAACAGGCGTGTAGGATCATACCTGGGCATTGAAGTCGCGATCAAGGAAGTCCTGCCATCCAACAGTTATAACGTTGCCAAATATTTTGAGAGGGAATGGAGACTTATGAAGTAAGTGTGCGCTACTAGTTACAGATCGATATTAAACGTCGCGTCAGAGAAGCTCGCCATCCAAATGTTGTACTTTACCTCGGCCTATCGCGTGCCCCGCCCCCGGATGGACGAATCTTCATAATATCAGAGTACATTGAGAACGGTGGGTTCAGTTTTGGAACATTATCTCCTGTTCCTCTTGATGCCGTTTGTTCAGGAAATCTCAGAATGTACATATTCGATAAGACGAAACCCTTTCCGTGGCGTCTCCGGCTTTCTTTTGCTACAGATATTGCCCGTGCTCTCGCATACCTTCATGCACGCAAGTGCATACACCGCGATTTGAAAGGCGAAAATCTCCTGGTCACCACAAACGGCAGGTTGAAGATCACCGACTTCGGTTTCGCTCGGATTGCCGCCCGCAACGAAGAGGAAAGTAAACGTCTAACCTTCTGTGGGACCGACTCTTACATGTCACCCGAAATTCTACTCGGGGAAGAGTTTGATTTACCTACCGACATTTTCTCTCTCGGTATCATCTTCTGTGAGATCGCGGCTCGGAGGTTAGCTGACGACCGCCATTTCAAACGTATCGGCCCAACTTTTGGGATTGACGCCGAGGAGGTACACCGGTTGGCTAGCCCCGGCTGTCCACCTGCGTTCCTTGCTCTTGCGTTCGACTGTCTTGCTGAGGATCCAAAGGCACGCCCCACCACTCGCGTCATTTTAGACAGGCTAGGCGAGATTGAAAAGGAGGTTTTGTCACGTCCAGACACTGATGATTTGCACGTCGGGAGCATCAAACTTATGACAGGAGGCAGACGTCCGGGTGCTGCTCCCCGCATCCCGAGTTTTGGGGCTAGTGTCGGGAAGGACATCAGGCATGGCACGACCTCCGCCAAAGAGGACGTTCTCGCGGCCTTGTCCAGCGGTGAAGAAAGCAGCGATGAAGAGCTCGTGGACACCATGCAAGGTCTGGCTATCAGTCTGTATCCAAACAGCGATTGGAGCACGGCTGCCAACGGTGAGATTATTGATATAGACTTCCTACGACTTCTGATAACGTGCTTCGATTGTTGACGCCCAGGACACGCAGGTGATAGCACCCAACCTCTTCTCGTCAGTAACTCTAGCACATTGTCAGAATACAGCACCTCCGTCATCCGGGCCCATGTTCCCACAACTGCAGATGACATCCCGACATCTTTGTCCTCCATTCTCACTATTCGGCCTGCACTCAACCCAAACGGAACAGCAGAACCCATTACCCCAGGCGCCTCCTTGACTGACAATAGTAATACTCCGACAGGCAGTGACTCCATTCTGTCCGCGCAGAGTTATCAGACTGCTCAATCATCCATCCAGTATTCCACCACAGCAACGAAAGGCCACTCCTCCATCGACTCTCCCCCTATGCTTCATCGCTTTACCTTACTAAGACCTGGCTCAAAGCGTACCAGTGGATCAGTATCCCCGACACGTCATGCCGACGGAGGATGGAACCCCTTGGAGCTGATCTTCTCTAGCGGACTACTCGTGCAGAGATGTGATATATGCTCAAAGAGGATTGGTTGGAAACCTGTTTTGGAATGTGACGATTGTGGGCTGCGGTAGGTCCTTGACCTACGATGATAGCGGGTCTCATCCATGACATAACTCCAGGGCTCACGTCAAATGCGGAGAAGTTGCCCCTCGTGACTGTAATGTTCGTTCCGTAATCCAACCAGCCCTGCACACATCGTCACCCTTGTCAAAGGGAAAGAACCAGGCGAAGAGAGTGTCCTTACCTAATTCGATCACGCGATAGGAACCCTGCATGTTCTCGGATTAGTGTTTACGAGCCTGTCGCAATCATCACTTAGTCGCCTCCTTTCTGGATTCCCATCAAGCCACATAACTTACATTCATAGGACGATAGATCATACTACGTCACTGCTGAGTCACTCGGTATCCTTGCCTTGTATTGTTTACCTACATTAATGTATTCCCATTCCCAGCATTCGACAATGCAAATAGCACTCGAGCTCTGGTCGTTATCATTTTGCCGAGTGACAGCGACGTCGTCGACTAGACAATTGTGCCAACACAAGGACTCTACATAAGTACACGATGTCCTTTACAACTTTACCCATATCAATGGCAGATCATGTGCGTCGATTCTTAACCACCATCTTCTCATCTGTTTAGGAATACGTCCAATCGAGGCATGCTGCCGCAATTCAGGGCCTCCCTGGTGCTACGGACATTCATGATGTGTAATAATACAGTCCCTGATGCCGATCTGGGACCGCGTCCGCCATATATCTGATTTGAATAGACATACAGCACGTGTGCGACACCTGTTGTGGGTGCTTGACGATATGCAGCTAGGTAGGTGCGAACTCAGTCTAGTGTGTTGAGAGGAACGTTTCTTACAATCATGTTAAGGTTACGCCCAAGTTTGACACACGCTCAAGCAGCAATAAAAATAAATGGCAGGTCGCAAATCAATACCAATCAAATATCAATCTGGCCACTGTATCGTGCTTGTTCGGTACAACGATGTTTCATCATGAAATGGCATGGGACTCCCATCCTATTCTCAGCTGTATCAGGAGAGTACAAATAAGCTCTTCTTCCGAAATTCAACAATTGGCCTCCTGAACAACGCCCCAGCACCATACTCAAAGGTACACAGCGTGCAGATGTCTCCGTTCCCTTATATCCTTGCTGTAACTGTCTTGTTGCTACTGTATCGCAGGTCTTGGTCAAGGAAGTCAGCTGGGCTACCCCTTCCGCCGGGACCGCGACCACTTCCATTCCTTGGCAACATTTTTGATATTGACATGGTGCATCCATGGCGTACATATAGTGAATGGAAGAAGAGATACGGTTAGTACTGCGATTTCGAATACTTGCCCCTCTCACATTCCCAGTAGGTCCCATTGTATCGTGTCGTCTGATCGGTCAGACCGTCGTCATAATCAACTCTGAGAAAATTGCAAGGCAACTCCTTGATCAGCGCTCAGCGATATACTCTGACCGTCCTGCAGGTCCTGTGCCCAAACTGTGAGGTCGCACTTCCCCTCATGATTCGTTCTGATTGTGATAAATTGTTAGTTTTGGCGTAGATTTCATCACCGCGTTTCTTCCATACGGGGATAGACTTAGGCTTCATCGACGATTGTTTCACCAGGCATTGCGTTCTGATGCAGCAGATTCTTATCGAGATCTCTATTTAGATAAGGCTCGCCAGTTGTTGTCTAACCTCATTGACTCTCCTGAGGCATTCGAGAAGCACATTTTCCTGTAAGTTAGTCATTCCTTGCCCCCTGACGCCTACTATATGACTGAGACGGGATCAGGTACACAGCTTCGATTATCATGTCGGTAACTTACGGACACGAGAAAGTCTCTTGGGATGCTCCTCCCATCGTGTCTGTCGCCGAACTTGCGGAGCTATTGACTGTTGGCCTTCCGCCAGAAAGGAGTGCAATACTCACGGCATTTCCGATACGTACGCAATTTATTTAAGATAGAGCTTCTGATGCTACTTACCTCGTTGCAGTTACGCAACTACCAGCGTGGTTTCCGGGTGCAACATTCCAGCGTGTCGCGCAGCGTACGCGGAAGCTGGCACTTGAGTCCATGAACGAACCATTTGAATACGTAAAAAGGAATATGGTGAGCGCATGACCTAATAGTCTCGTGGACGCGGATACTCAAGGGGGGCTGAAGGCTGCCGGAAGGGCACCAAAGTCAATGGTTTCAGATCTTTTGAGTGAACGGGATGAGGGCAAGGAGGCCTTTCCAGAACAAGCGGTGAAAGAAATTGCCTTGACTGTCTTTGTTGGTGAGCTCGCTTTCTTTTATGATATAGGAACGAGCCAACATGCGGACGTTTATAGCTGGATTTGACACAGTAGGTCCATTATATTACGCTACACATAGTCCGCGGACAGATCAGCTGATGGATTGCACAGAGCTCCTCTACGTTGTGCTCCTTCATACTGGCGATGGTTTTGCATCCCGAAGCTCAGCGGCGTGCTCAACAAGAAATTGATTCTGTCATTGGCGTTAATAGACTGCCAGATTTCTATGACCGACCATCTTTGGAGTACGTGGAGGCAGTTTTTCGGGAAACAATTCGTTGGCATAACGTTGCACCCCTTGGTGAGGGACTCGATGTATTAACTGTATCATTTTCATTGTTCCTACAGGTCTTCCTCATGCAACATCGAGAGATGACGTCTTCGGAGGCTATTTCATTCCAAAAGGTTAGTCGGCGGGTTCGTACTCTATAATCGCATCCCTACTAATGTATGTGTCTCATTATAGGCTCTCTCATTATGCCTAATATATGGTTTGTGGCGATCTCTTGATGAGAGTCTCATGCTTTGTAACTTAGTCGCCCTTCAGGGACATGTCCAGAGAAGGACACGAAGATCCTGATGATTTCAAGCCAGAAAGGCACTTTGAAAGTGACGGGACGCTTTTGCCAGACACGATAGCGGCGAAACCTATGTGGGGTTTTGGAAGGAGAGGGTGAGTGAATAACCTTATTCAGGAACCATTCTTCTTACAACCTAGATAGATGTCCGGGGCGGTTCGTTGCCGAAGCTGCGACATGGAGTGCGGTGGTGCATCTCCTTGCAACATTCCGGATTACGAAGGCAAAGGATGAAGCAGGGAAAGAAATTGAAGTGAAAGAAGAGTTCACATCTGGAGTGGTTTGGTGCGTTCCTGTGTGTTTGATAAATGAAGTTCGATATCCTTACCACTGTTAATTTCGTAGCCGACCCATGCCGTTTAAATGTTCTTTTGTCCTCCGATCGACGGACAGGGAGCAGGCAATCTGCTCGGGCGATTAAACTTGAATGGGGTCGTGACCTGCTGTACGAGACGAGGTAGTTTACTTTCAGTATGAAGTCTGTAATAACACATTGTATTTACTATTACATCAATAATAATCGTTCGCTGTCGAGTTTTCGTCCAACACACACTTCTAATAAAGTTTTGCAGCACCGTTATGAGCAGCTGCAGGTACCTGCTTGTGTTGATTTCGTTCGATTGGGACACTCGTTGATTTCTCCGATGGGGCGTTTCATCTACACAAGACAGTTGTTAAGAGTGGTTGAAGACTTGTAAAGGACAGTGACCGGTACGAGTGAAGTGTGACGACGTCAAGTTTAGTAACAAAACAAACCACAAAAAACAGTCTAGGAAGATAAAAAGTAGGATCCTGCAGTTGAAGTAGATGTGAAACGTCTATCCTTGCGCCATAGAATGCTGCAATATGCATATGGTGATCAATTTCAACGATACACTCAAATGCCGGACAGTCCGCGCGAAGAAGTTACGAGCTCGATGAGTATACCTAGTTATGACATGGTGGCGGAATTAATCAGAACCAGGAAGTAGCGCAGACGCGGAGTAAAGAAATAACAAGTGCTAACGGAGTAGCGAGGGGCTGAAAAACGCCAGTAAGATAGCATTATCAATTATTCCAAGGGAAAACCTACCTGAAGAGACGAGACGCACTTATTTCTTCGGGGCAGCCTTTTGCTTCTTGCTCAGTGGGGGCTCGACTTCAGCCTCAACACCCTCTTGAAGCTCAGTCCACTCTCCCACACCAACTTCCTGTCCGAATTTTCTCCTGAAGCGTCCTAAACGACCAGTGCCCTCCTGCTCTTCATCTTCTATGCCTCCCTCACCAACTGCTCCGCTCAAACGTTGTGTGGCATTCCACAGAGGGTTATTTGTTGTGTCGCGCGTTAAATGTATTCGTGAGCGTGGTGAAGTCGTCCATTGCATGTATGATGAACCGTCCGCACGAACCACACGCTGAGGGAAGTGAGGAACAACTGGGTTGGGCAGTTTGGGCAGACGTCGCTTGAAGATATGCGAGCGACCGTACGGGGAGGTAGAAACATTTCTAATTAGTGACGATGGTGACAATAGTGCAGAGGGACGTTTATGGAGTAGAGACATCGTCGGCGGTCGCTGACAATTAACTTGAATGGAAGTACCGCAAACCTATTAAGCTTCAAGTGGATCATGTGACCCAAAAACTTTGAAATTAACTTCGGGTGCTCATCAATTGATCACTGGCAGATTTCGCCAACTTCAACTAACATTTTCAAGGACTTGTACCATAAGCTCGGCCCAGTGCCCACTACTCACAAAGGAGCCTGTCTCGCACCAAGACTACAAGACCACGATACCGATACCTAGATCCTCCCACAAACCCCAGTCTATACACGAAAATTGCCTTCTCCGTACACAGATAATTTAAAACGCCCCCCACAGGGCCCACACACCATGTCTGACAATGTTCTCATGCGATGATCAACATCGTGGTCCATAGATGGAGGTCATTTATGTCGGTTCTTTCAGAGTCGACTCGACTATTCCCCTCAGTTCCCTGCTACGTCACCCCTGCCTCGGGCCACCACTCATTTCGATCATGTCAGTCTTCATTTTTAGTAAACTCGCGATGAATGACTGATTCAGTGTGTTTCCAGTTCGAGATGGGTTCTCCGCCTCACCCTCGAACGGAATTATACAATTTCTACAGTAGAACTTTTCTTTCCTCGTACCCAGACATAGCCATGGGCCACCAGTCGTTGAAGCCGCGCCCGGGCAAAAACGTCAAGCCAAGATTACCAACACCCAATTTCGCGAGATTTCCCTCCTTATGACGTGTTGTAGAGAAGCTTTAAAAATTGCAGGGGCGGGCGGGTGTACTTTTTGTTCTTTGACAACTCTCGTGAGTATCCAACATTACTCTCCTTGGACACAACTATCACTTTTACTGTGGGTCTGTCCCTCGAGCTGGCAGCTGCAGTATTTGTTGGGGATAGATGATCTACATATTTCCTTGCAAGCACTGCAACTGTATCGGCAACGGTTTTGCTTACCTTCATCCAGTCACACATAAATTGCAACCTTTGCAGCTCCCTCCATGTTCAAGAGTCATTCAGGCGGTCGTGTTTCCAGCCCAACAACTTGAACGTCCTTCCATTGAAGGCGCACATTGCGAGTCTTCCTAGCCTTTACTCATTATTGACTCAGATTCATTTCATTTTGTAAAGGACAGGCGCACGCGATATATTATTTCATCAAGCATACACATCATATAACGCATAAGATATCACCGTTGCAAGCCGAAACTGACGTTCGTTCACATATTAGACAACAAGACAATACTGCCTGTACCCAGGACCGCAGAAACGCCGACGATCAAAACAGTGGACACAGTACCCAAGGAAACTCCCAGAGGACCATCCCAATTGGAAGGGACGGTCAAGGTAACGGAGGAGGAAGGGACGGTGAAGCCTGCGGATGAGCACGCGGCGGCGTATGCTGATCGAAGTGGTCAATACAGTGTGATGATCATGGTAGCAGGGAGATAGTACCAGTAAGAGCAGTAGATGAACCAGCTCGGGGATCGGTGCTCGTTGCAAACTTGGCGATCAAGTCACTGAACATGCATTGCTCGCAGGATGTGATAGCCGTGACTGTGTTGGATGCGCAGAGACAGGAATCATTGGCGGCGCACATCTGAAGATGGGGATAGATTAGATAAGGATGGGAGGATGGAGGGGGACATACAGTGATTTGAGCGGTTGCATTGGAGCACTGGTTCTGACACTGATATTTGACGGTTACGAAAGAGGATATGATGATGGAATGAGGGACTTACGTCACTCAAGAGGTATGCATCGGTGACGTTGAGAAATTGGGTCGCATCGACAGTTCCGACAGAACCACCGACAGCGATCGATAACGAAAGGGCTACGATGATGTGTTTCGGAATGAATTCAAGAAAGAGAATGAGTAGACTGACCTTGACCAGCAAACAAGATGAAAGAAGCAAAGGCAATAAAAGCACGCATGACTAGCAAGGTGTGGTGGAAAAGGACAAGGCAAGATATTGATAGAGAGGCTCTTTATAAGAATCTTCCAACGCCTACCGGAGCCGCTGGGAATCCAATGCACTGGTTCTCCTCTATTTTCGTTTGACAGACACAGCTGAGAGCAGCGGGCTGCAGCGGGTAACCCAAGGCGATGAGAACGAGCGGGTGGATGTAATACCACCGATCTCTGAGCCGCGACCCACGTGATGTGTTTGTTGACGCGAAATGTGCAAACATCAACATTTCATACTTACAATCTAACTGCCATGGCCCCAATCGCATTCAGCGGTACTATTCCTTCAAAGAAGAAGGCTGACCTTCAGGCTATTGCAGTAGCTCTTCAAATCAGTGATGCTGGAACCAGAGAGGATCTACAAGGCAGAATCAAACGTCATCTCGAGCAACACCAATCCAAATTTGAAGATGACCCTGTGTTCTCTGGTCTATATGGGAAGAAGAAGAAAAGCGTGCAACCTCCTCTAGGGTCAGTGCAATCTGTATTATAGTTACCAGTTTCGTCCTTATCGTTTTGGCAGTCGTTTCGTACCCGGTTCACCAGACAAATCGGAAGTGACGCACGAGAGCCCTCAACTCACTCGCAGTGCTCGTCGTATTGTTGCGGTTGACCCACGTGAGACAACCGCTGTCGACGACATGCACAACGTGTCTGTAATGCTCAGGAACCTCCCTATATCCCCTGAGGTCGACTCCCCTCTTCCCCCGTCTGCTAAGCCTTCTCCCCAGAAGGAGCAGCGCAAACCAGACAGTGTTCGACCTGTCGCGTCCATTCCAAAAACGCGTCCAGTCTCTAAACCTGTTGCTGTTGTCGTTCGTGACTCCCTCGCGAGCCTCCAAATCAGCGTGCAGACGCACACCCGAACTACTTTGTTGACGACGCGTGCCGTAAGTGTCACCTTCCTGTGGGGAATCAAATCCATTAACCACGTGTTGTTTAGGTCCTCTCCGACTCTACAAATATTTTGTTCCTCACGGCTCTCCTCGAGCTACTCTATGTTCTCTACATGGTTGTTCCATGGCAGATTGTTAAGGTTAGTTTTCCCGTACTCTTCTTCAGTTCACGTATTCAACTTCCACTTTAGCTAGCACCATCGCTCTCAGGCTCGCGCAGCCAGTTTTACCTCGCGATCCCATATCCCCCCGCTCGTACCTTCTTACAACCATCCTTCTGGACCGTCCTATTCCACTGGTCGATACCTACCATCCTCGTCCCCCTCATCTTCGGTCTACTCGTCTCCTTCCACCCCGCTAATTCTACATCCGCCCGGATCCCCCAAGTCCTTGCACTCGACCCACTTTCAGCTTCTATCGCTCGTCTCGCAGCTCATGTTGTCTACCCCTTCCACACTCTCGAAGCCTCCCTACAAGGTGTAGACGTCATCGGTCAGAGATGGCGCCTCTTGACAGCATCTGTCGTAGTTGCATTCGCATTCGCAGATGCTATTTTCTCTGCACCTAGTGCGTTTGCCGAGTCGAGGGTTCGCTTGCGCGCAAGCACTCCAAGGCGTACTGTCCCATCCGAAGATACTCTCGTCTCTGTTACCGCTGAGTCATGAGTTTTGCGCTTTTGCGTGTACATACTATGTAACGAGCCGTTCATGATCTGTTTCTCTCATTTGATTTGCTTTGACGAGCTGCTGTTTGGTTACCGCACCGACATATTTATTCTTTACCTATTGGCATTCTATGACCTGGAGTATTACTACTGTTGTGTCCCTAGGCCTGTCGCAGCATTGATGTGTGCGAGTTCTTTACGTCGTGTATGTCTTTCATTCGGAATATATGCTCTTGCATTGACCCCCATCTAAGCGGTGTCCTGTTGGATGTTGATGGTGTTTGAATCAGTTCTGGGTTCCTTGTAATGAGACCTGATTTGAGCGCGCAACACTTTCAGCAAGTACTTGGGTACTTGAGCTCGAGGGTAACCACGAAACAGACACTTGACAAAGCGTTCGAATCCCAGTTGTAAAGCTCAGGCGCTCGTCCGGTCCTAGGTAAATGCACGATTCGCGGATTTGGGTGTAGTCATGTATGAGAAAAGAAAGGGTGGGCAATAAAGTTCTCTGCTGTACCAGAGATAGTAGTGGGGCGGTGGAGCGGAGCGATCTAGCGGGACTCGGACGGATCTGGTTTAGGCAGAAGCAGGGGTAGCAGGGTGTTAGGAGTCCAGGGGAGTTCGGGGTCGCAGCAGTAGGCACTTGCATGTAGAACACAGAGACAGATCATCATCATCGTTGTCTAGCATCTTCCTTCGTCGCTCCTGACCATCGTGCTGACCAGTCCATCTGGTGATGAGAGTGGGGCAGCGACCCAGCACAGGAGAAATTAACCTCGAAGACTGTGCAAAACTACGTGGACTCACTGATACAGAAACGACACGACGCAGAAACTCGAATTCCTCTCCTACTCAACTTACTTTCTTTCCGGAATTTTCAGATAGCACAGCTCCAGGCACCCCTCGCCGTCGCATTGTCTCTCTGCCGCCCCACCTAGAACGCCAACATTCCCCCGAATTTATATCGGAGCAAACCGGGAGCACGAAGTTTATGCTACAACCCGCACGGTTTACACCTAGACAAAGAGAGAGCACAACAACATCACCATCTTCAACTTCCTCACTTACAATCACCCGTCCTACGCCGACCCCATTTAATAGCACCGCACAGTCACCAACCACGAAACGACCAACCTCATCACGATTCAGCATGCCCAACGAAAACCCGCGGCCGGTACCACTTTTTAGGGGAGACTATGGAGACAAAGAGGAACCAACGGAGTGGTTCGCTCAATTTGAGTTATCGCTGCCAGAATCCTGGGACGATGACAAGAAGGTAGACCGCTTCGAGATGCAACTAGCGCCAGGAAACTTAGCGGAGGAATGGTTTCAAGACAACGTTCCCACTAAGTCCATCACGTTCGCAAGTCTCAAACTCGCATTCCGAGGGCGCTGGCCACCACCACGACGGCCTAGATACACACGTGCGCAGCAGAAGGAACGGATTATGGCGGAAATACTGGAGGAAAGTGATATAGGGTCATGGACGGCAGGAAACTATGGTCATGTCACCTGGGCAACCAGAGTGTCGCGCCTGGCCTTAGGAATGGGAGACGTAGAGGGACACCTGATCGAGTACGTTATCGAAGGGATACCAAATCTCCTGAAAGACCACCTCAAGTGCGACTACAAAAACTGGGACGAGTTCATAGAAGACGTGCAGACGGTACCAAGTGTGAAGATTAAGAGGGGACGAGAGGATTTGGACAAGGAAAGGGCCAGAGACGCAGACATCGCGAGGTTGAAGGCACAAAGCACACCGTCAATGGCTGCATTGCAGCAGCAGTTCGCGCAGATGGCCACAAGCACCTACCGACCAAACACGTATCGAGCAGCGTTACGCACTCCCACACCACCCAATCCACCACCAGTACTCATGAACAACCCAACAAATGCTTATTCGTTTCCAACTGCGCCAACATTTCCAGTTCGAGGAGGTCTCAACATGCGAGGAACACCATTCACGCGTATGCAACTAACTAGAGCACAGATTCTAGAAAAACTGTCTGCAATACCTCAACGAAGCAATACGGAGATGGGAGTACGTCAATACGAAGCAGACGTAGAGTTATGGCATCGAACACACGGCACAGAAGGGTTCCCGACCATAGAACGACCGTATCCACTCCGCCCAGGAACAGCAATTCTCGGATCGGGAGAATGCTATAACTGTGGCATGGTCACAGAACCACCTCACCTCGGAGCGCAGTGTATAGTCCAGGAACCGTTGAAACCTCAAGAGGCTCGCTGGAGACAACAGGTGGCGGGTCTCCTCAGACGTACAGCTTCACCTATGAACCGACCAGGCTATGCAGTCGCGCCAGTGCAATACGTCGCATCAGACATCCACCCAAACTACGGCGCATATCGGGCAACAGCGGCAGCTCCAGTATACACGATAGCGCAACATGAGGAGCAAGGAGGGTGGGATGGACAAGACACTTGGGGCATGCAGGAAGCGGGGTACGACTGGATTCCGGAAAACAGCCTGGGACCACTGCCGACAGCGGACCAGCAGTAGCTCCCATGATAACTAGTCCACACTCTAACGCGTCATCCACACCAAATACTGTACATGTTATTCCTTCAACTCTCGTATCGACGGACGCAGAATCACTAACCGATACATCGTCTTTGCTTACTACCCCGGTTGTACTTTCATCTATGCCAAACAATTCCATTACTGACGTTTATTCGGTGGACGCGTCCGGCAAATTCATTCCCTCTCGAACAAGTAACCCGTTTTTAACGGTGCCATATCTGCATGGACCTCGTGGAGAGAAAGCACGATTCCTAGCCATTGTTGATAATGGCGCAATGATCAACGCGATGGACACAGCGGCGTACCAGAGAATAGCACGACATTTAACACCGCTAAGTCCTTCGAGTAGAACCCTTCGCATGGCTGACGGAGCGTTAGTACCATCCACAGGAGAATGGTCAGGAACGGTATCATGGGGACCAATACAAATCAACACAACCTTCGAAGTATTCCCGAGCGGGGGATCATGGCGCATGTTGATAGGTAAACCATTACTCGAACAAGCGCGTGCAATCCACGATTATAGTACTGACTCAATCATGTTACCCCACAAGGAGTCTCAATATCAATTACAGAACTTCTCTACTTACCGCCCCCTCCCAACTCCATGCCTACCAACAGCCATTAGATTCCCTTCCTCGTCAACATTCATAAAACCCCCTACTATAGAACCTAATACACCAACCGCACATACTATACATAATACCCAAACACAAAGTCCTACATACCCACCAGAACAATGTACTATAGAATCATGGGATCATTCTGCGAGCTTAACGCTACTAACACCCCCATCTAGAGCACAGACAGACGAACGCATCAAGAGATCATCGGATCATTCTGCGAACTTGGGACCATCGGATCATTCTGCGAGCTCGGGATCATCGGATCATTCTGCGAGCTTGGCACTACCGGTAACCTCAGTCACAACGCAAATGGACGAACGCACCAAGAGATCATCGGATCATTCTGCGGACTCGTCGCAGCCCATACCTCCAGTTATAGCGCAGGTATACGAGCCAACAGAGGTCAACCAGGTGGACAATGTCGAGGACGACAGAACGATACTAGGTGAAGTACCGGACCTCACAGATCCAAGCCTACCTGACGAAATCTATACTAGATTAACGGCTCGAGGACCATTCCACCCACCACGAGTAGAAGCAGTAGTGAACGCAGTCCGTTTTGGACCCAACCTCGATCAAGAACAACTACGCAAAGCGCGCGAACTGGTCACAGAGTTCGCAGATGTGTTCGCACTATCGATCCGAGAAGTGAAGCCGGTAGACTTCATCAAATTTCGCTTGACAATCCCTGAAGAGGCCGTGTTCTCGAAGAAAGTACACCAACGGCCGTTAACGAAGCCGCAACGGGAGTACCTATTTCCAGTCCTAGATGACATGAGACGAGCGGGGATTACGAGGTTTATACCTGCGGACGAAGTAAAAGCGGTAGCGTCAACTGTGTTAGTCCAGAAAACACACTCGGGAACTAGTCTATCGTTGGACGACATTCGACAAATTGTGAATCAGCAGTGTATCGAACTCGGTGAGCCCCCGGATTATGATGTTGAGATGAAATCTTCACCCGCTCGCAACCCAGAACCAGTAGACCCAGCCAAGGTGAAATGGCGAATATGTCAGAATTTTAGGGACGTAAACAAGGTATCCGACGTAGCGGCCACGCCTCAAGGAGATATCTCAGCAAAACAACAACGGTTAGCGGGACACGAGTACATATGCGTGTTGGATTTTGCGGCGGGATTCTACGCGATCCCAGTAGAAGAAAACAGCCAACCGTATCTGTGCTTTTACACAGAGGGACGGGGATACGAAGCATACGAGCGCATGCCAATGGGGGTGCAAGGAGCCCCATCATGCTTCAGCGACCTCACAGCACAAGCGCTACACGACATAATGATACAACTACTCCTCGAGTTGTACGTCGACGATGGCGCTATGTCAGGTAATGTATTCGACGAACTGTTAGCACGCTTACGCTTGTTTTTTCTTAGATGTAGGGAGAAAGGCTTATCGATCTCACCGACTAAAACGCAATTGTTTATGGAGGAAGTCGTTTTCGGTGGATCGCGAGTTGGTCGCAAAGGTATACGACCAGATCTAGCGAAGATCGCGGCTGTAGCAGAATGGCCAGTGCCATCAAATCTCTTAGAACTAATGAGATTTCTAGGTCTTACAGGATATTTTCGGCCGCTCATCAAGGATTACGCGCGCTTAGTACTACCGCTAACTGACCTTCTCCGAAATCTAGATAGACCGCCGCCTAGTGCGAAAGGAGGTAAACGGAAGTATAGACAATACTTACGAGAGCGGAACTTAGATTCGTACTGGGATCAACGACACGCGAAAACCTTCCTCAAACTTAAACAAATTTTGATTTCAGAACCTATCCTACGTGCGCCTCAGTTCGACGGAACACCCTTCATTATCACAAGTGATGGGTGCAAGGATGGGTTTGGAGCGGTGTTAGCTCAACAAGTCACTTCGCAGGGGCCCAACGGGGACACGATCACCACCATCCATCCTATCGGTTTTGCGTCAAAACGCACGTCACCGACCGAAGAGCGCTACAAACCATACCTACTCGAGTTCGCCGCCATGAAATTTGCATTCGACCAGTTCGGGGCAACGGTCTGGGGATTCCCGGTAGAGGTTGAAACAGATTGCACCGCACTAAGGGACACACTGCTTAGTGATAAGCTCTCGACCATACACGCGCGCTGGCGAGATGGAATACTAGCTTACCAAATAGTAGCGGTACGACATCGACCAGGCATAACCAACACCGCAGCGGACGCGTTAAGTCGACGCATGTCTGGACGACCACGAACGGATGGAGACGGGAGCACCTGGACAGTCAGCGAAGACTGGGAAACAGCCCACGGCCTAGTAAATGATCTTCTATTAGTACAACCAACTGACTCGGTGATTTCAGACCTACGGGAACACTTCAAACAGGAACCCTTGTTCCTCGAAGTCATAGAAGCGATACTCAACCTAGATGGCAGCAAACCCGAACGCGAACGTCGCAGAGCACGCTATCGTGCCCTAGGGTATATGATTGATGAAGGACGCTTATGGCGTATAGCAGATGGGAAATCCACGAGAGCACGAGCGCGAATAGAGTGCGTATCGCAACTAGAGGCGATGGAGTTAGCAAAACAAACGCACGCCAACAACGGGCACTGGGGTAGGGATCTCACCAAACTCCAGCTAATGGATCGCATCGTCAGCCCGCGACTCGATAAGTCTATAGTCAACGCACTCTTGGAATGCCCGCAATGCAAAAATTTTGGGTCAGCGCAACTACACGCACTCATGTACCCCATCACGCGACGTCACCCCTTCGAGCTTCTAGTCGCAGATTACCTAGCACTTCCAAAAGGTAAAGGCGGATACCATAATGTCTTGCTAATCCTCGATACCTATTCACAGTACGTCTGGGGGTTCAAGTTAAAAGTTCACGGCACGGCAAAGACAACGGTAGACGGACTCGAGACGATCGCACACACCTTTCGCCCACCGGACACGTTTATGACGGACGGTGGCTCGCACTTCGACAATGGGATCGTGCGTACGTGGTGCACAGCGCACGAAACCAAACACCATGTGGTAGCGGCATATGCTCCATGGATTAACGGACTAGTGGAAAACGCGAATGGGAAGTTGTTGGGGCGTTTGAAGAAGCTGTGTAGCCCAGGTCTAGGAGAGGACGAATATGAGGGCGTGGAGTCAGAGAACCTGGCCAAAACATGGCCAGATCACTTCGACAATGCCATTCGTCAATTAAACGAGCGCATCATCCCAGCATTCAAGTTCTCGCCCAAGGAACTTATGTTAGGGCTCGTCGTCAACACAAATCCAACACCAATTGCGGACGCATCTCTGGTGATCAGAGGCGAGCGGGGATGCGAGAGAGCGGGAAAACTAGATAGATTATCTCAGTCTGTATAGAATGACTCAATACAATGTATAGTACCTAGATAGATTCTATGGAACGAGTTAGCCGCTTGGTATAATGTAGGGGGGGAACATAAGCTTACATCTCAGTCTGTATAGAATGACTGAGATGCTCGGACGGATAGAGTCGTGAATTTAAGTAAAGTAGCATAGTGATGAAAAATATATGATAGCATACGACCTTGACACTTTGTATCGTCGGCGCGATGCCCGACGTCAAACGTCGTCATCCAACTGCGCTCGCAATGTCTCAGCGTGACGTTTACGACGTCACCTGTCCGGTATTCGATCCGGAGTCCAATACTCCCCCTCGAGCGCTGTCGAGGTGCATGAGATGGCGTAGCTTCTGGAGCCTAGGACGAGGGAGGGCCTTGGTGAACGCGTCCGCGATATTGTCATCTGTGGGACAATAGGTGAGGCTGAACGTGCCGTTCTTGACGTGAGTTCTGACGAAGTGATAGCGAAGATCAATGTGCTTGGTGCGGGAATGAAACTTGTTGTTGGAGGCGAGGGCTATGGCTGCCTGGTTGTCGCAATGGATGGGCGTTGGGAGAGTAGGGGGATCGTATAGCTCGTCTAGCAGAATCTGTAGGTATAGGATCTCTCTCCCGACAGTTGTTAGCGCAATATATTCGGCCTCAGCCGTGGATAACGCAATGATAGGCTGTTTGCGTGCGCTCCACGCGACTGGCCCACCGTTGAGTAGGACAATGTATCCTGAGGTGGAGTGGCGATGCGTCTGGGACGCCCAATCAGCGTCTACGTATGCTTCCAGACCACTGTCTGTCCCTCCAAGGGTGATACCGTACTCAGAGGTACCCTTCAGGTAGCGTAGTACGCGTTTTGTGGCCTCCCAATGAGCAGTTCCCGGATTTCTCATGAATTGAGAGAGTGTCGCTACGGAGAAGGCGATGTCGGGGCGTGTGCTGGTAGCTGCGTACATCAGCGACCCGATGGCACGCTGGTAGGGTACGTCGCGCATGGCTTCCAGCTGGGCGT